ATTGTAAGCCGGAAGACTGGAGGTAAGACTACAGTTTCTCTTAACGCTGCACATGGATGCCTGAATTGAGGCATTGCTGTGTGATATATGAGGTAAAATATGTTGTGTAGAGCGAGACACAAGCAGTAATACCAATGAAAGAATCGGGAATGGAGAATTGGATTATCTCCTTGTTTCTTATTGGGTGGGTAAGACACATTCTTTGAATAATTCCATTCACTCTATTCATTCTATTGTGAGTAGCAACGGGAATTTCGGAATGAAATGAATTAAAAAGAATTCCAGACTTTCCCGACTTGTTTCATTCGCACGTTTCCTCTGATATTCCAACGCCAATCTATCATTCATTCTGCCATATGCTTTGGTTTTTATTGGTGTGAGACTGGTGCCAACCGAAAATCGAGGACGCGCTTCAGCCTCATACATACGTACCTATTTCTGGTCTGTGTAGCGCTTCATGGGGCAGGACATAAAGCTTGATAGATTGATTCGAATTCCTTTGATATATTGGCAAGCGCAATCGTCTTTGATCCACAATACAACGTCGTCGGGCTAAAATTTTATATTATATGTTTTTTACTTAATTGCGGGAAGGAATATCTTTCGATCTACCTTCTTATGGTAGTACCGAGATAGATATTTTGAACTAAATATATATTTTTAAATTAAATCATATGGCTTCTAGTAGAGAGAATACATACGGCCGAATAGCTTTTAGATTGTCAGGGTATTGAGAATAGATTGGAGTTTATTCTCTTATATTATTCTCAGCATAACCTCATTATCGAAGTCGATAAGGTTTCACTTCACTGTTTTTCCTCTTGTTCCAATCTTGACACAAAGGATTGTAGAGTTTTGTTATAAAATCACATTATTCAATTTAAAATATTTCTTTTAATTTAAAATGCCTACGTAGATAAGTACAACATTCCTACGATCAAGGATTCCTTCATCATTTTTTAAAAAGACCTCTCATATATACTCCAGTCGCCTACATCTTTGACAATTCTCTACCTCTGATTTCTCTCATCCGGAAAGGTATTTTCCTAAATATTATAACTACGAAATACAACAATACCAAGAAACAATACAAAGAAAGCATACGCACGCCAAGCTCCACCCCTCATTTCAACCCAACTCTAAAGAGACAGCCTTACCACTACTACCCAACCAACATCAACCATAAAAAATGGACAACATCGATATAATTCCCGGCTTCTTCGTCATAAACTCTGGGGTTTTGATGCTCATTGCATTTTTGATCATTATATCAGTTCTACTTAAGATCTGGACGACTGTTAGAGCCTTACCAACACGAAGAGATTTGGAAATGCAGTGGGCGAACGAATGGGTTTGAGCTTGAGGCACATTTCCCTGGTTCTTGGCCGGGGATTAGTGTTCAGTGATCTGGTTGAGATCGGAATTATACGATTTCGAAACGCGGTTCGAACTCTCTGATTGATATCCTGGATGAGAGTGCTGTTCGTCTTCGAGGATCTTATGTTTGGCATATGGGCCTTGCACTTTGTGTAAGATTTTTGGTACTGGATTTTGACACGACTCGCTCTGCTTATGGTGTCTAATTCGTCTTCAGTCGAATATATGTCTTCAGACGTGGAGTTGTAGCACTGCAATGTACAAGATCGGCAAAGAATGATTTACGATTGAATCACAGCCTCGAAGGACATTGCCTCGAATCAGAAACCTACGATTATCTGCATAGATAGTCGGCTAGTATCACTTCAAAGGCCTAGGAACTATATAAGCATGTGCTTTAGAGCTGGTCTGTTCTCAATTCCTCTGCTCCTGAAAAGACCTCGGTAGTATTGGCGCGATGCGGATTATTTCGCCAATGAACATCTCAGGATCATCGCAGTCAGTGTATACATGGTGCATGAATCAATGCAGAACTCGGCGATTGAGGAAGAAAAGTCACTTGAACCATCACGGCCACAATTGTACAGCACCCACACGGCATTATACTAGCCTTCATGGTGTCCTATATCATCACCTCCTATATTCTTCGAAGATCTTGTACGTGGCTTCAACGTCGCGGTATCCGAAAGCTACAGTGAGGCTGTACAGACGAGACAGCATAAGAATGAAAGCAGGAGTTTGACTTAGAGACTGGCAGTTCCTGCGTGGCCATACAACAGTATTGTTAGAGAAGTTGCTGGTGGCAGAAAGAATTAGTGGAATCCTTGGACGGATCAAATAGAGATGCGGGTGAACAGATCTAGATGGGATACCATTACAATATATATGAAGGGGGCCTAGGTGACGGGCTCATAATTGCAAATTAGTAGTAGGCATTAGCTAAACTTCCTTTTGTTCAATATCCAAATAGAGCAAATACATATATATTTCTCTCTTCACTTTCTTTAATTTCCTTTCATGTCAAATGCATTGTACTTTAGCTGAGTATAAAATAATCTACTTCTAGCAACTTCTACAGCGGGAAAATTTCCATGCGAGCTTCGAAGTTAGTTTTAGTTTTATATTGTTTTATTCTTATCCTAGTGCTCATCTCAACTTCGCATCATATCCAATAATTATCAATATTGATATCGAACTCAATCCAAACCAAATGAAGCAAAAACACACAATGAAGTCTAAACTCCTCTGTCTACTTGTAAGATTATAATCATCTCATCATAATCCTCTCCATTATATTCCGAAATCATCGCAAGTATATGTGTTCCTAACCCCTCAAGCTTCCACATCTGACACTATCTATCTATCAGTTAATTTAATATAATTTTACCCTACATGCATATACGCGGGATACGAAAGATTTTAACTTTAAGGCATCGATTTCTTTGCGTATCTGGAGACATGAAGTCTGCTTTTTTCTGCTTTCAGACTTGGTGATTGGAGAATGGATAATGAGAGATGGATCGGCGTTTTATGTATATATATACCAGTATAGTTTCTGTAGATGCTAGAAGATAGAGGAAGGGAATTCGAAGAAGATGCTAGGTTGAGGAGTAGCGAGTGTATATTTAATTATAGTTAGCGATATCGATATTTGATTTCTCCTATCATAAAACGTTAACCTGGGATGTCGTGTTGATGTAAACTGAGGAGATTTGAGCAGGATTTCTGAATAGTGAAAGATCTGTAGGCTTTAGGATAAATCTTGTTTTGCCGAGGGGAGGGCGTTGATATACGGGAAAGTTTTCATTAATTCGGATTTTAGGGGAGTGGATCTTAGTTGCTTGGTAAAGTTCTTTTCTTTTTGAAAGAGCTCAGGTTTATCCTTGCTGTTATGTAAGATCTTATATATTATTTCCATTGTTTATATCGAACGTGGTGGTAAGCATTTATCATTACTGTTATTTATCAATATCTATTCCCCGGTGTGACAGTAGATTGACTCAGCAGTTGAAGAGTCTAATTTTTTCCACCAGAACAACGATCCAGAGACTTCACCATTATATTTCCTTGCTCCCTATCGATCCTCGCCCATTTTTCTACAAGTCAGTATGAAGAACCTTCTTTATAAAAGAGCTGTCTTATATACTCCCCAAAATACATAATAGTGGTGATCCTCTTTATACCCCCCAGAGGCGAAGTATATGAGGTAAGTTAGAAAGTATGAGAGTGTGGATATTGGAGCTAGAAGATCACGGGACGATTTCGATAGTTGGAAATGGTTTTGGGATTATTGCTAGTTGGTTCATCTACTTCTCGCTTATCCTACTAGGTTGCGATAGTTTTGCTGCTCAAGAAGGAAAGAAAGGTAAAGAATTCCCTGGTGTCCCTTATGTAAAGTAGAAAACCCCGGCTTGGAAAATGGCTCTTGCTGCTACCAAAGACCTGTTTTGCTTTACTACTAGCACGATCCATTTCTTCTCGAACTCAATCATCATATCCAATACTCGTTGCGGATAAAAACATCCAAGAAACCATCAACAGCATCTTAATCGACTAATTTCTCTTCTCCTGTCAACCCGGAAATTTTCGCCACACGATCCTTATAAATCCATTAGATCACAAGGATACGAGAATACCAGAGCATACTTGCTGAATATCTTTTTCCTATTACTTACTGCCTACCTTTACTGAATGTTATTGATGGTTGACGATTCTTTTGTATACATAGGATCTAATATTGAAGGTTGAAGGTTGAAGATGAAGGTTCAAAAATATACCATGATCACCTCCTTTGCATAATAAGCTCTCTCTCTGTATACTGTCGAGAACATGAAAAGAAAAAGAGTTCCTCGTCTTTCGCTGTTTCAGATGAAGCATTTCATACTACGGATCTCACCTACAAAAACAACTTTAATTTATTACCATCTCCCATTCCTCTTATGGCACTCTAGCATAGAGAAAGAAGGCTATCCTTCCTGAGGTAATTTAGATTATCGTGTGAAAACTATAGCAGCGAATTACAAGAATAGTCCTTTTTTTCAGCTCAATTTTATAGATAATGAAGACTATTACCCCTATGTTGTCGCTGTTTGGTTGTTTGTATCTATGGTTTCTCCTCAGATATTCAAAGTGTTTAAAATTCCATTTTCACTAATTTTTTGGCGATTATGGTTAATAGATAGACCATGTACTCGAGTATTGTCATTCGACTATCCTGGGGTCCTACTGCCAACAGAAATTGTAATGTTTCGGTGAACTACTGGAATAACTGACTCCATTTCTCTTTACCTAATCTTGTCAAGTAATTACCTACCGATGTCAAGCTTCCCCCGTGGATGGCTCAACTCTTAGTTCGGAAATATGTATTAGCTTAGCTGCTAGTGTTTGAAGTAATGATAACTCATACAGATGATAGTTTTAACATATCAAAGATTAGAAATGGCACCTCCCCCTTCTTTCTCCCCTTCTCACATTTGCAACAGCGACTCAGTGAGGTAGGTGACAAGGACTTATGGTGATTGATCAAAAGTATTTTCTTCCCAAACTGATGATCTGAATCTGGATATATCATCACTAAATGTTCCTCGCTATCAGAGTCTTATTACACGAGATAAGGAAGGAAGTGCATAAAAAATAAAAGAGACCGATATTTTAATTCTCATCATATCGTCCTTCCCAGATAACGAAGTTATTACCAAAGCCACTAGCGATCACATACGTAGATATCCATAATCGTACAACGCATAATACCTTTTCCTGATGCCATTGCGCCGAAACTCCGTCGTTACACATATCAAAGACTCCTCAGCACCAGATGATCAGTTTCCTTCCACCCACTCCTCGATTCTCTCTGTCAAATCCGCTTTCTTTCCCGCCGCATTCAATCCCTTTCCCACCAAACACTCCTTTAAATCAGCCACCTTAAATTTCTCTAATCCTCCGTTTGCGACCAAATCTTTCAGCTCTTCTTTATCCATTTCCCCTAATTTCTTCGCTGAGCTCTTCACCAACACCTTCTTTTTCTTCGGTAGCTCAACTTCATCCTCATCAATATCCCTTTTTAAAACATTTTCCTTCCCATTGCGCCATTTGCCGTATTCAAACTCTAAAGTATTTCCCCAATTGGCGATATATTCACCACATCTTTTGTGGATTTGTCTGCACTTTGGTATAGTTTTATCCTCCGGGACGTCAGGGATATCTTCCTCGAGTGCCAGGGCTTGGAGGATTTTGTAATGCCATTGCAGACTTGGATTTGGATAGTTTCTTGGATCGTATTGGGCTTTGGGTAATTGGAGCTGTTGGATAATGATTCGCATATTGTCGATTAATTTATCTGGTGCAATGATAGGACCCGGTGCTGACACACTACGGAGATCATCTGCAAATGGGAGAGGATAAAGCCAGAGACCTGCAGGGAAGACTTGCTGGTTTGTTGCGGGATCGAGTTTCTCCACCGAGGGTAAGATAGCAACAATAGCAGGATTGGCATTTTTGCGAGCGATATACCATCCTAAACCCATTTTCTTATCTTTAAGAAGTTTCTCCCAGAGAGCAGAGAAAACTCGTGTTGATCCAACATAACCATTCTCGCTTGGATAGATAAAGGTTGATTTATGGACAGATGCCCAATAGGGTAACATAGATTGAGGTTTGAAACCTATGATGCGAAGACCTGAAGGGCCGAAATTTTTGAGTTCCTTTTGCTCATCGGGAGTGAAGAGGACTTGGTCACCGCCAAATTTGTAGGCTTTTTTGATTTCTGTCTTCTGAATGATACGGGCTGAATCTTCAGCCATTTGTGTTGTCTCGCCGACTGGGATTTGAAGAACTTCACCCTCCGTCCAAACATATGTACTTCTAGCTGGAGCTTGTCTATGAAGAACATTGTACCCATTAACAGATATGGTGAAATTAGGTCCAATCTCAAAGGGTAAATTGGAGAAAAGAGCTCTTTTGGGGATTTGTTTCGAGTTGACGTCCAAGATAAGACTATTAAGTAAAGACAGCCCATCGCCTCTAGATTGAAGACTATTTGGACCAACATTCGGCGCATCTTCCGCAAGAGGATCACGGTAAATGATATCCTAGTACCTACTATTAGAAACAATAATTCGGCAGGAACAGAATAAGAAACATACATCATAGAACTTAGAGCGATCAAACTCATGCTCAGGGGTCGATATCGGAAAGAGCTCAATAACAACACCAATGTCATAAAGATCCTTAGCTCGAACAGCAGCTACGGATCGCAGGGACTTGTCTCCAGATTGAGGGTCATCCTTGTCGGTGATAATAAACAGTCTTCTCGACCCGAAATTCGGGGCTCTTGTTGTGAATATTTGATTGGCACAGAATAAGAGATTATTCATATCCAAAGGTTCCTCTGTTGGTACCAATATTTTTTTCGCTTCTTCTTCATCCTCAACAATCTCCTTCAATGCTTTGACGTCTTGCGCAGAAGGTACATCAAGGTCCGTGAAAAGATAGCAATGAGGATACACCGAGGTGTCCAACCCACTTTGATCCTTGAACTTTGTTTCCTCGGTACCATAGAACATGATACCCATCATATCCTTTGGACTGGAGATAATGCGCTGTTGCATAATCATATATGCGCATTTGAGAGCCGCAAGTGTGGGACTATCCGTATCGGCTTTCTTGGAATCGGAAGGGGGAGGAGGGGTAAGCATCGACTGACTGACATCAATAACAAAAAGAACCGCATCTTTTTGTGTGCGATAGTCCTATTAATGCGTAAGTATTGGAATAGGTTAATAAGAAAACGAAGTCTAATATTCTTACGGTCTCATCAGCCACCTCTTCCTCTTCCTCTTCCTCTTCTTCGTGTTTCCGATCTTCTGAGTATGCCATATTTGTTGGTCTTGTTTAACAGCCTTGGGAATGGAGTACGACTGCAAAGATTATTGAATTCCTGTAGTTTGAGGGGTATGTGTGCGTGTGAATGAACATTGAACACAGCACAAATACAGAAAAGGATGAGGAGACAACAATGAGAATAAGAATGAGAACATCCAAGTGATCAGGCAGACGCGTCGATCCGCGCGAAGTGGAGCAATCACCAAGAACACTAGATACGTATACACGTGACACTCCCATTCTAAATCTCTCTAGATTGATTGGCTTAAGATCTTACCTTACATCGGCATTTTCGGAGCTCCGTCGATCCAAGCATCACATTACATTGATTTGATTGATCCTTGTAGCAATCGAATGTGAGGGAAAGCTGTCTTTGCAGAGAGAAGTATGTACTGCTAAGTAGTATCTCCACCAAGAAAATTATTATAAAAGGTAATCTACGAATCATTGCGTATTTGACTAATAATTGTCCTTTTCTTCTGTTCGTGATTTGAATTTTAATAGCAATATGTCTTTCAGAAATCCTAAAGTTGTAGGACAGCTTACAAAAAGAGCTTCACAAGCTACTATTTCACGACTCACAAGCAATGTCTCTCCCACCACAACCTCATTATTGCAAAGGAACAACGCAGACCAATTCAGATCTTTCGCGACTCCGGTGCCGCCGGTGACGCAAGATGCGACGGGAAGGAGGGGACCCACGGCAATGGTGCTCATGAATATGGGTGGTCCACAAACCACAGATGAAGTTGGGGATTTCTTAAGTAGACTATTTGTATGTTTATGCCCTGCCGCGCCACCACCCTCACGTCTAACCATTTTACACAGGCAGATGCCGATTTGATTCCTCTTGGACGTTTTCAAAACTACCTTGGACCTCTCATTTCGAAACGTCGTACACCGAAGATTCAAAAGCAATATGCTGCAATTGGTGGTGGCTCCCCAATTCGAAAATGGTCAGAACATCAGGCCGAAGAGATGTGCAAGTTATTAGACAAGATGTCACCCGAAACCGCACCGCACAAACCATACGTTGCATTCAGATATGCAAATCCTTTGACCGAAGAGATGTATAATAGGTTATTGGCGGATGGCTTCGGAGGCGGGAGAGGTGGAAGAGCAGTAGCATTCACACAGTATCCTCAATACAGTTGTTCCACAACAGGAAGCAGTCTGAACGAATTATGGAAGTGGAGACAGAGACTCGAAGGGAAAGCTGCTGGAAGTCCAAATGGTAGCGATGGAACAATCAATTGGAGTATTATTGATAGATGGCCAGCACACCCAGGTCTTGTTGAAGCTATCGCACAAAACATCGAGGCTACTTTAGCGACATACCCCGAAAAGGATAGAAAGGATGTTGTACTACTTTTCTCCGCCCATAGCTTGCCAATGTCTGTGGTCAATAGAGGTAAGTCTGTCCAGAATTGTCGTGCCGACGAAGTCACTAACTCTCGCTAGGTGATCCTTATCCAGCCGAAGTTGCCGCTACAGTCTACGCTGTTATGCAGAGATTAGGTCACTCTCATGCATATAGACTTTGTTGGCAATCTCAAGTCGGCCCTAGTGCATGGTTAGGAGCTCAAACGAGCGATACTGTCGAGGAATATGTCAAGAAGGGCCAAACGAATCTTATACTTATTCCCGTCGCATTCACATCGGACCATATCGAAACACTTTATGAATTAGACGAAGAAGTTATTGGAGAATCAGGCCACAAAGACACTATCAAGAGATCTGAAAGTTTGAATGGTTCACCAGTATTCATCCAAGCATTGGCCGACATTGCTAAAGCACATTTGGATAGCGGAATTGCTTGTAGCGTTCAAATGGGACTAAGATGTCCTGGATGCAAGAGTGAGAAATGCGCAGAGACTAAGAAATTCTTCGCTGGACCTGAGAGAACATTTGCCGCGTGAGAAAAGGGGCACAAAGTTCAAAAAAAATGTATATAATTAGTCAATTACTGTAGACAATTATGAAGCGAATGTGAACGGAATTAAACATGTCCAAAAGTCCGCTTCGGTTCCAGATGCTTAAATTTATCCCGGATTTGATCACAACTGCTATGATCTGCGGGCCACTGCAGCCAAGAAGTAATTAGGTTTAGGTTTAGGTTTAGGAGGAACTATCTCACTGCAAAAAGGAACTTGAAATCATGTAACCTACGTCTCTAGTCTAAATTCATGAGCTTTTGCATTTACCGGCAGAGCTTCTCGCGAAACAACCTACGCTAGGTGGTATATTGTTGAATGTAATGAAGTCATAGACAAAGAATTACCATACGCATATATTGCCACGCCATGAATTTCCATGCCACCGGGACCAATAAGCATTCAGAGCGGTAAGTCTTTTTCCCTGGTGGGAAAAGATGCTATTTCATTAGCTACCCAAGCTTTTTGGTAGTCGCCATCCCTGTTGATCGATTATCAAGCATTTTTTTCTATTACTGCATCCCTTTTTCATTCTTGAAACAATACAAGGCTTGATTAACAAACGGATTATGATACGCTCAAGATACGGAGTTTATCTTGCTCCGTTTCTGTCGTCATGCTTGGTCTACCTAGTTGGGATTGGCTTCTCCCATTGTTATTCTTATCAAGCAGAAGAGTTCGAGCCCAACTACCGTAATTGGGTCATATCCGTGCGAGAAAGAAGCTATCGTGGATTGTGCCATACCAGCTTCTGGTAAACAGGAACTGAGCTGCCCACTTTCACAGTTACTATCTTCCTATCTTGGGCAAGCTGGATTGTAGTTTGAGGATAAGCTCTGACTTGCTTTACTCGTCTTTCTAGTTGACTGTTTTCTTATTCTTATATTATCATCTCTTATTCCATACTCTGCCAGTGTTTACATCGTAGGCGCGGACATCCATTTTCCAATAAACATCATTTTTTGTTGGACCGAGGTCATTTTACTCAATGCGTCAATCGAACTCATACTTAGTCGCGACACAACGATAAGATGGAGACAATGGAGAATGAACATGAAGAACAACGGAAAGAGGAACCGCAAAGGATTTGGGGCGCAAAGGATTCTTTAAGGAGGCACACAAAAGGTCGTAAATCTATTATACTATCTGTGTCTGAAGAAGCCCCATTGCTGGGTAATGATGGAGCACGAGAGAGAGAGAGTCGTGAAGGGAATCAGGAGGCATTATGGGAAGGGCATGGTGATTTCGCGGGGTTAACATGGTGGCATAAACCATCTGTATGTTCTCTGCTTACAATTGTTCAATGTATACTAATATATGTATTTTCCAGGTATACTGGCTCCTATTGCCATTCTTCCTGTTAGCTCTCGCAGTCGGTGGAATCATCGTACCAAAACTTAATCTTATCCTTGCCCTCGTATGTCGATCGTATCTCGCAGAAAGATCTTCTCAAGATCCAAATTTCCTATTCACGCCTGTTTTACTTGGTTCCGATAATCCTCAATGTCGAATTCCTGAAGTACAATCATTAGTTACCAAATTTACTTTGGCAATCACTATTATCACTGGAATAATTAGCGCTATCATGTCCCCGTTACTTGGGGCTTGGTCTGATCGAAATGGAAGAAAGAAGATTCTGGCGATTTCTAGTCTTGGTGGTTTCTTGACAGAAATTATCACCATTCTTGCCGGCAAATATCCGGATACCGTTTCATATCAATGGCTGCTTGCTGGTGCCGTCTTCGATGGACTTTGCGGTTCATTTACTGCTGGTATGGCACTGACTCATGCATACGCAGCAGATTGTACTGCACCTTCCAAGAGAGCGGTAGCTTTTGCCTACTTTCACGCATGTTTGTTTGCTGGAGTTGCCATTGGTCCTTTACTTGCTGCAGCAGTTTTCCACCTAACTCAAAGCTTGGTCACGGTGTTCTATGTCGCACTTGGTATACACACTTTTTTTATTCTTTTCCTACTACTGGTAGTACCAGAGTCACTCACCCGGAAACGTCAAGAGGTCGCCCGTGAAAAGCATGCTGCTGGAGGTTTACTTGTGGCCAATCAAACTTGGCTTGGGATGTTAAAGACCAAAAATCCACTTGCACCTCTTAAAGTTTTGTGGCCAACCGGTGGGGGGAATACTAAACATGTTCGTGCGAATCTTGTTCTACTTGCAACTGTTGACACTATAATTTTTGGCGTTGCTATGGGAGTTATGACTGTTATGGTTTACTATTCCGGTTACCAGTTTGGATGGCGAACTTCAGAGACAAGTCTTTACATGTCGGTTGTTAATAGTACGCGAGTCTTTACGCTTATTGCTATCCTCCCTATTTTTAATTACCTCGTCCGAACTAGACCTCGCAACAGACTACGCAGAGAATCAGGGTTCGCTATACCAGAAAGCCAGTCTGGCGCTGATTCGATAGATTTGTTTGTTGTTCGACTTTCTATTATCTTCGAGGTTGTAGGATATCTAGGATTCACACTAGCCCGCAGCGGTCCGCTTTTTGTTGCATCTGGAATCATGGCTTCGATGGGTGGTGTGGGTTCTCCAACATTGCAATCAGCATTAACCAAACACGTACCCCACGACCAAATAGGACAGCTCTTGGGAGCCACAGGCTTGTTACATGCGTTAGCAAGAGTCGTTTGCCCTACGATATTCAATCTAATTTATGCTCAAACTGTTGGTACTTACCCACAAACAGTCTTCTTGGTTTTAACAGCATGCTTCGTCTTTGCATTCACTTTCAGTTGGTTTATTCGACCTAACGGTATGATCTTTCCCCTCAATTGTTATATGGAGACTAGCTGACATACAATAGTATCTTTGGAAACCCCATTCCAGAAAGTACCAAGCTCCCAAGAAGCTAACAGTAATCAAGATGTCATTGTTGACGAACAGATTACTGGTGTTTAATCTGATTCTGTTCTAATATCTCAAGTACATATTGTAATTAATGTATGTTGTACACATTTGGTGTTGCGCAGGAAGACCTCGTGGTTGGATGCACGATTTTCTTTTGTAAAGATTCGAATTCACAAGCTGGCGTTTTGGTATGTGACATGGTTGACAGCACATATATGGATGGTTCGCGTATTGGCAGATTTAGATAGGAGAATAGGCTTGGGCGGATATCTCCATGGTTTCTTCTTTATGTTTTACTACGAGGCCATATTAGTTGTGGTACAGTATAGCGAAATGGCAACTGAACAATTGAATCCAAGCCCGTCAATGACTTGACAATTTCTATGTTCTTATAGATATGCAGGATCATCCGTTAATAATCATAATCTATTTGACGAGGCAGTGCTCTGTTTGTTACCAGTATCAGAGTCCGAAAGGAAAGATAACAAATGGGAAGAAAAGAATTGTGTAACCAAGGGACTACATCCAGGCATATAAGACTTGCTCGCGGAATATCCTTCAATCCTATCCTTACAAATACTAATTTTCCAGAAAATCAATATAAGCTTCGGCAATATCCTCGGTGTAAGCAGATGGTAATTTCAATCCTTCGTTCAGGGGCGAGGCTATCCCAAACCTTTGCGCTAAAACAATCACGCTCATAACTCTAGTGTGTATATAGTTAGTGATTGAAAACTCTCCTAAAACGTGGAATTGTCGAGTCTCTTTTTGCATTTCCACGTATCTTCAAATATGGAATGGAAATTTTCAATTGACATTGAGAATCCAAAATCCAAACTCATAGGATCCATTACGCGGATGAGTGAGTGCTACGCTAATCCACCACCACAAAAATATATACCCTTGATCGTCTCAGGAGCATAAGATCTCGCTCAAAATAGCAACGAATACTACTTCGTAGAGATTCATTTCGTTTCTCACCTCTTGCTTTAATTTAATTCTTCCCCGGATTTTTATGATCGTTTACGTCCTTATAGGGGCTGCGGTTTGATTACAGGATTATTTATTTATGCTGTGCTTGTTTCTTGGTCTTTTAATTTCCTGGCTCGGGTTTCTGCAATTCTGTGGTTTTGTGAACATGAATAGGGGAGATTTTTGTAGATGGTGGTGGGGGGATTTCTCTTTTTGGGGGGGTTGATGTGCAGGGAGTTCTGATATATACATATCTCTAGTTTTCGATGAGGTCATGTAAATAATGTGGTTGGTAAATATAGATAGTAGCTAAGCTGAGGATCAAACAGTTTCGTCGCGGAAGAAATACTACTTTGACATGAGGCGTTTCTGGGTACGCGATGGGAGAGTTGTAATAAGATATTTATTTGATGTTGAATGTCTTAGTTTACTTACTACGCATATGTTATGTTATCAGAAGGAGACAGCTCGGGCCCTGGCAAGAGATAATTGTTTCTGATCCTTTGAATGAGGTTACACTATTGCTGACGGATGAGTGTAGTAGGTATTATATGTATATCATGTGTTTCGTTCCAATCCACTTTTTTCTTTCTAATCTTGTAGAGTTCTTCTTTACTATTGATTTTTTGGTTTTATTTTTCCTATCGTGGTGGTTTGAAGGTTTTGTCATTCTTTACTGAAGTCGTGATATACATTCTTTTTTTTTTCAATACTTCAATACACTCATTTCCTAGCAACTTTTGCATTTCCTTATATCGAAGTGAAAGTGACAGAGCTAGCCTCACTTATTCAAGCGCGCAATTCTTTGGCCCTTCATATCACTTCATATCAACCGGTTTCAAACAAGCTCAGAGAAATCCAAGATGCGTCTCACATCGAGAGAAGCGACAGTTTTGTTACTGGTTGCTCTCCCTAACTTGGTATAATTAAATATTTTCCCTTTCCTCCAAATATAACTTCTTTCCCCGACTCTTCCACACATATCTCGCACTCCGAGAGATGAACTAACGCACTACAACCAATAGATATTCGCACTTCCCGTCAACACGGGTGCGGACCTCGAACACCTAATCCCTCTAACATCAACCTCGGGGGTCGATAAAAGAGCCACTGGAGAATTAGAAAGACTGGTTCCTATCACACAGGTGAAGAGAGATTTGGAGAAATTAGTTCCTTTCCCGCCGTCAAATTCGAAGAGAGATTTAGAGCGGTTCGTTCCTTTTGCTTCGGGATCTTTGGATTGGGGTAGGAGATCAGTGGGGGATGTGGAAGTGTTAGTTCCTGTTACGTCTAGAGATTTGGAGAGATTGGTTCCGGTTACTTCGTTGGCTAGTGATACGGCGGATTTGGAAGAGAGAAAAACTATTCCTCCTGCTGATCAATTGGATCCTGGGTCTGTGGCTCCGGACATGATATCAGTTGTTGAGAAGAGAGACGCTATTCCTCCCGCCGATCAATTTGATCCTGGATCCGTATTCCCAGATAACGTAAGTCTCTTCCTCATATTTACTTCAAATCCCAATCTCCTCACTAACAACCCAAGCTTGAAAATAACAACAACAAGAGACAAGAATACGCCCATACCAAAACCGTCATCGAAACCGTCATTGAAACCGTCACGGGAGGCATAGCTATTCCAGGTTATCCAGCAACAGCACTTAGTCAAACAAGCAGTGTACATTCTTCCACCATCACACGTCTCCCATCTACCGTTACCGCCGCCACAACAGCAGGTGTTTCGTCGCTTGTCGATACTACTTGTACCGATAGTAGGACTTCTTCTGGGACGAGGAGCCCAAGTACTAGTATATCATCATCCATTGCAAATCTATCCTCGAGCGCCAAAACTGGAGTTTCGACTTCGTATGACGGAACTCGCACAACGAAAGAAAGTAGTAGAATAAGCGCTACTATTACATCTTCGAACTTCTCTGCTTCACTGTCTGGTACTGGTGATATTACAACAATTATCCAGTCAAGCACTGCTAAAATATACACTACGGTTAATGCTAGTAGCGAAAGCGAAAGCGGGAGCGGAAGTGGAACAGTAAAAACTTCTTCGAGTACGAGTACCAAGGCTGGGAATCCTACAACTACAGATGTTAAAAGTAGTGGTGGTGTGAAGAATATATCTGCTCCTGCTCCTGCTCCTACTTCTACTTCTACTTCTGCTTCTATTGTTAGTACACATAGTTCCGCTACGACTGGAACAGTTGAAGGTAAAAGTACGAGCTCGGTTAAAAAAACAAGTACACTTGCTACTTCTACGAAGGTATCAAGTACGACGGCTGCGGAACCGGCTATGACGAGTAAGATTGTTTATACGGGGGAACAGAAGGTGTATCCTTTTACTGTCTAGGTGGAATTTTGATGAGTGATTGGTGTGGTGGTGTGATGGTGAATGGTGGTCTGGTTAGTGTGGAGAGGGAAAGGGCTGGAGGATGTCATGGGAGAAGGGGTTGTATTAGCGAGTGGAAGTTTTTTGTTCACTTAGATTTTTGGTGTTCTTTTGTGTGTGTATGTATTGATATCCAAACTTTTTTCTATAATACTGTGTTATAAACTAAATGACTGAGAAGTAACAGCTTGGGCGAACGCAGCTAAATTGGCTCAGCCGCTTGAGATAACTCTTGCTGGACACTTTGATTTGAACCTTAACCTATCGCTTCTATAGAGTCCAAGGAAAGAATAAATATATAGGCTTTCGGAGGGATAATTGGGTAGACATCAAGAACAAAGTCCAACTATTGAACTCCGAGGACGGTGGTCTTATATATAACTTTCTATAGGTACTCCGTAAATATGAATGTAATTTTACCTTACCCATAGATTTATTTAGCTATCGGGGAATATTTTCCGGGCGGTGAAAGATTATTATAGCGTCAATTCAACTGCCATTAATTCTGGGACTAGCCCATTATAACGATAGGGTTATCTTTTATCTTTCTTTTATCTTTCTTTTTCGCAAAGTCAAAGTTCAATTTCATATTCCACTCTCACCCTCCATCTTCACATCCATCCTTCGTCATGCCTATTTCCAAGAAAGACAGAGTGCGTATAATCTTTGTACTAGAACTACCAAATGATGACCCGTTAATTAATTTTGCCTACAGATCGCTCGTGAGCACAAAAAGGCTGATAAGGAAGGTACTCGCGCCCCGGTCAAGGCAAATGGTCTCCCAGTCAAAGCTGCCGCACCAAAATCAAAAGTACGTCCAGGGATTTCTCCAAATTCTTCCGCATATTGCTCGTATCTTTGTTTTCATACCCGAGGCTAACTCATGCTGCAGTGCGAGTTCTGCAAGATGGAATTGGTCAACACAAATAAGGCACAACTGATAAGTCATGCCGGAAAGCACGAAGACAAGGGATGGACGAAGGAAAAGTGCTGGCCAAATGATTTCCCCGCATAGAGGCTAGACCAATACAAATACAGGATGGTGGGAAATGATATCATGAATTGTCAGGGGAGTAAGGCGAAATCAATCATCCTGAGGGCACTGCGAATTCCGATGAAGGGTCTATGAGGGGATCGGCAACAGATTTTATGGAGCCAAATATTGGATTTTCCAAAGCAATTATGAATAATGGTGCCTCGCAATAATATACTTCACTCCTGGTGAGTATGCATTAGTGAAGATAGGTGGATTCACAATCCTGTTGCTCATGAACCTTCCATTCGTTGTTTCGATTCCGTGTATCTTCGATTTATCATAGGATTCTGAGATGTCTGGTCAGAGAGGGGCCATTGTGGGCCTGGAGTCTCGAACTAAAACATGTTCGCCATCTTTCACCCAGGGGGAGGAAGTTCGGAACAGCATGCCTCACTCTCTCCAGTCTATATCATCCAACAATCTATTTGCTCGCCTATCTCATGAAGGTCGCTTGGCCCGTTGTTATTCATAGTAATTGGATGACCTAACAAGGCGTGGAGAAATTCATACATGAACAGCTCATTCAAAACGTAGCGTGCCTACCTACGTGGAATAACCTGATTTATCCATCCACACTGGATTCTTGAAAACTGTAAATGACGACACATTCGTTCAATTTAGCTTCGAAGATGAATGAACTGCAGGAATCCAGCGAACTCTTTTACCCTGGCATCCATTCAATGTGACCGGCGATCAGCAAACGACAGTTGTGTTATCCACCATTTCGGCTACTCTGGGCTTTTGCTACATGTTTCATGTTCAGGAGTCTAAGATATAGAGGCTAGTATCATTTTTTGCCCGTAGAAACTTAAGGTAGAGAGTATTTTAACTCGATATCGCGTTCATAGTCCGACATCTAATGTCCATCTTTGTTGGGCAGGATCATCCCAAAGTATTTGCATATTATTCGCTAATGACATGCTATCCAAGGGATCTCACTTCATACTATGTTCATGAAATCTCCAAAAAAATATCAAGAATTCAAATTTCTCTTTAATGATTGCATATTTGAAGAATTTACCATTCTCTAAAGAATTATCTGAGGAAGTAAGTAGATGATCAAGTAATTTGTATACATAATAGCAGGCCGATTGCTCTGGGTGTTTTCCCTGCACGGACCTCCGGATGATTTGTCGGCCCGATGACTTAATAACAACTACTCTTGATAACCAACTGGTGAATTTCTCTTCCTGAACCTAAGAAATCTACACACTCCAGCTTTTATCATGGCAGCAGGGAGACACTGCATCCACCCACCCATCAGCTCTATCCATAACATCTATCATAGGTTGGTAGCCTCAATGATAGCATCGATGGCCACAACCAACATGCCTTGCCTGGCATGATGCAAATTGATAATTCCACTTCTTCTCCTGGAAGAAAGGTGAGCAAATGCACAATGGCATGATCATATATTAGAACACCACCCATGCCATGAGTTGTTGAACAGATTTCGTCGTCAGAAAGAATGAAATTGAGAGAAGTTCTCATATAGAAAGAAAAAAAGAATGACTACCAGAATGAAACACATGTGTTTTCACTTCTGGCTCTGCAGTGTTAATGAGCGGATTTGAGCTGTCGACGTCTGAAGTGGTCTTGATGTGCGAGCCTAGCGGTCACCGGCCGAATGATCCATTCCATGTAACTCTATTCTGGGCCTTGATCATCCTGGGTGGTGCAGTCGGCTGGAAATGATCCAAGGATCCCACAGATTCAGCGTCATCGTCTCTCTCAGGATCATATTCTCGTTCAAGAATGTTAGAATCGTTTTGGTATATTGTCTCATGATGACTCGCCCATAAACTTGCCTCCATTTTTCTGCCTCTTTTTTCCTCGGCAATTCGAGGAAAGCACTCTCTCCGAGGAACACGTTCAGACGGGCACGCAACTTGTGGTCGGTAATATGGATTTGACTCCAGGTCTGGAGGGAGACTCAGACCATATGTTTGCGGGGGGTCAGGTACTTCGTACAAACGCTGAGGAGGGGGTGGTCGACTACGACGTCGATCTTGGCCACCACGAGCAACGATAGCTGTATGGGCCGAAGCACGAGCATAAGCTGGTTGACTGTGATTCCGACTATTGGAGCCATGATGAACATGATTACTCGTAGGTACTGGCTGTGGAGTCATTGACCGAATGGACTGGATAGTTTTTGGCCGAGCGGGTTGTGGGGTCATTGAGCGGGCTGGATGCGTGGAGCTTGGGCGCACAATTTCCTTAGGAACGTCGTTTTCCGAATAATGTCTCCCTAGCGGTAGACGCTCTGCAGCGCTTCTCCCATATGCCCGAGGGTCGGACTGCCCATTATGCATTCCACACAGGTTTGTCGACCGCTCAGTACGACGGAGAGTATCTCTAGACGCAGATCTCTGTTGAGACGGCGTCGGCAGTCTGGGTGGATCATCGTGTAAACCATTTGCTTTCTCACTCCTGGATCTCAAATCTGCTAGTCGCGGAAGGATTTGATCTGCGAGTACATTAGTATGAAGTCTTCATATGCTGTGCGTAAAGAGTTTAAATACCTTCAACATCTTCTGTTCTCGGCCTTCCACTCATCAACCGCTGGAACTCCAAGTTTTCGTCTAAGGCGTCCGCTGTGATTGTGCTTAGCAATGCATTACCGCAAGAGAACATTGAAAATTAAAGACTCACCAAGTGTACGCAGCTCAGCTGCCATCTCACTGCTATCGGGCCTAAACCTCTTTGCCATCATAATACGTAATTGTTCCTTTTCCTTTTCTACTTGTGAAGACAAGAAAGGAGACATTTTTTCGAATCTGGTTTGACAAGCCATGTCGTTAGAAGACGAAAATTGCAGCACGGCAAAATAACTTTTCTTGCTAGAAATTGTGGCCCAAATTTATATTAAATGCTTTCTTCAGAAAGTGCAAGAGATACTCCGGATGCAACCCCGCCTTTAGCTTAGTTCGCACGTACACGTCCGCTGCTGCACGTATTTGTTTCATGTTGGTCGAGTTGTTGATTTCCAGGATATTGCCACGCTCTGCATAGGGATTGGCTCAACTGCACCAATCAAAAACTATCCACAATTAGCATATTATCATGCAGGAACATGATCGACTTACGCTTAAGCATAAAAAATTTGGTTGGAGTAATGAAAACTTGTCCTATAGAGGTAGTACAAAGTCGCCGGGAGTATTACAAATTTCAACGTCGTGTGTTTAAGGAGGCTATCTTGTCAAAAGCATGCCAATATCAGTGTTAGTTGGTATGACAATTTAAAGACTTTGGCCATGAAATGTTTCCTGAGATTATGGGTACCGATTTACCAGTTTCTCGGACAACTCGGTACCGTCCAAGGCCGTGTATATCATTGGCTGAGTATGGTAGTTTGCATCACGTGACAGTTCATCTACTCTCTTCGATGAAGATTATGGCATGGTTTGGTGAAGTAGGAAGTGATTTTAAATTTATCAATTCAGGTCGATGCAACCCTTTCAACATTAGCTTGTGGGTTATCTTTTTCTCTCTACATTGGCAGCCAGCAGCGAGAAGCATCTGCGACTTCTTTTCTCATTGCAAGTTCTGTGTCGATCGGATCTTCGAGATCTAAGCAGTCAACTGCACAAGACTACATCAGTCCGATCTTGAAGAGTGGGAAATAGATCACCCTCAGATCATGTTGCGCCCAAAGGAAGGCGCTCCTGGTAAGTAGCCATCAATTTCCTCTCAAATGCACATCTATGACATGTGAGCTTGATTACAAACTATTTGAAGTCCTCCAAAGACAGGTTTCAACTGCCATTCAACTTCAATTGCCTATACTCTATGACAATGCCTTTCAAATGTCGATTATTCTACTGATATCTTAAATGTTATCGGCGCGACCAACGGCGCGACCAATGAAGCCTCTGCTGGTGCCTCAACCTATATCGGAGCGATCCTACCATTCACCTCTACAAGATCATCAGGAGTGGGCCACTTCTTGGGCTCTAACAGTTGTTCTTCCCGTTTAAATATCCTGTTGGTGTAAGCACACAGCATACCATCGTTTACTGAACGTAGTTTGCTAATTTTCTCGTCGCAGTCCCTGTTACCAACTCTGCTCACCCTAGATGGTGTGAGTATACAAAGGAACATCTAACGCATGCTCCCAAGGGAGGCATGTAAGTCTCACCAATTGAAATAAACAGACTAGCTCAATTCATTAGCGACGAAGCTGTTGAACCCAAAACTTCCCTACCAAAACTCGTCCAAATCTTGACGGTTAGGTTCTCTTGCTACGAAGAGCCTACCCGTGAATCCGAATCCGTCAAGGCGATTTGGCAATTGATCCGAAAATTAGATCCACACTACGAAACCTGTCTCAAAAGGAGAGAAATGGCCAACAAGATGGACGAATTGACCAACGATTATTTAACTTACGACATTGCGTCCGATACCAATAAACGTACCAGTATATCTGTGCCTGGTGACACTTCTCGCTCGAAGCCCGCCCAATGGCAACTATGAAAGGGCCAAACGTCAGCCATACTCAGAAGCCTGGTGCTCAGCCTGTTGCCGGCTTTGCTGCTATTGGGCAGAGCTACACAAACGCATCTTCTCGCCACAATAGGAGTCAGCCGTATGCCTTCGGTCTGTCTGGTGATAGAGTTACTGTCATTCAGACTATTTCTCAGCCTGGTGAAAGCCTGGTGAAAGCCCTCTCTTTGATGGCGGGAATTCCGTCGATTGGGATAGAGTTGGTTGTATAAATCGATATTTCCTAGGATTTCAGGGATTCCAGGGATATCAGGGAGATTGTGGAAAGAGACATGTGGAAAGTAACCATTGGGAAGGGGGATGTGAGATACCTTGGGCTTTATTCGGTGTTGGTGGTTCTTTATGAGTCTTTGGGTTCTTCGAGGTGGTGATTGATTAATTGGGATATTTATTGGGTATTAAAAATAAGATTCGTTGGTAGTTGACTCTGGTTGTTATGATAGATATATTGATCAATTATATGAATAGAATTATTGGTTTTAATTAATATCTTTTGTCTGTAGCTTTTGGTGAGGAAATTTAAAGTTTTTTTATTATCAGAAATGATAATTTTTAAGTCTTATTAAAGTTAGAAAGTAAAATGAGTGTTTTAAAATTTCAATAATTAAAAATAGATTGAATAATATCTTAACATATTAAATAATAAAAATATTTTTATTTAAAGAATACATATAAATAAATAAATCTTATCATCGATTAAAATTTATTAATAATTATATTTTTATATTTTTTAAACTTGTAAATTTTTGAGAAATCATATAAATCTTAAAATATTAATATTTGACAAAATAAGATATTTATTGTAAAGAATTAAATTTAAAGAGATTAAATTTTAAATTTTATAATTATTAATATTTGAAGAATATTTAAATATTTAAAATGAGATAATATTAAACTGTATAATTATTATTCATCAAGTGAGTTATAAATTTAATAAATTATTTATAAAGAATAATTGAATATTCACCGAATACTCATTTAGATTTTCCAATAATTCACTTCGCAAACAGAAGACCTTACAGATTATTGTAACGATCTGGTTGGGGCAGCGGCTGCCTCAGGTTTTCGTATGGTTGGTAGTTGTAGGTTAAGGCTAATAATCACTGGTTATCCACTCGAAGGTGAATACGTTACTAGATCAATTGGAATGTAGGTAAACTAATTGATAACTAAGTTGAGCACGAAGCTCCTAAACTATGAAACTATTCTGACTATATACTAATCTCTTTTCCCATGCTAGCTATGCTAGCTGGCTAGCACGGCTAGCATTCCTGTGATGCTAGCTCTGCTAGCTGGCTAGCAGAGCTAGCACATCACGTGACTGATCCTGAGGCTTCTCATATCCCAAGGCCTTTCCTTTCCTGGAACACTTATCCCAGGAGCTTTCCCTCTAGGAACCCTAGCCCTAGGATACAATATCCTCTAGGGTGATAGTCCCATTACAACCAATTAGGTAGGACACTTGTCCTATTCTACTATGGTTGCCTAGGATACTTATCCTAGGAATCCTGGGGTCCTAGGCTTAGGTAATCAGGACCCCCGAAAGCAACGGTTAAATCACACCCCCCTTGTAGTCGGCCTATAAATCACCGACGTCAATAATACTACTATAAAGAAAACCGTGAATCGTGACAATTATCCGCCCAAAGCGATAACCTGCGGGGCTCTGTTGCGCAGTCTACTAAATGAAGAGAAGATTAATAATTTCTCTTAATTTGGGGATGATGATTGAGCTGGCTGTTATACATTAAAGCCAAGGGTAGTTTTTATACTTGCTACTGTGATCTAGGAATATTTGATATATTATCTGATCCATAGTTATAAACGATTTAACGGCATATGTTTGTGAAGTAATTAAAAAATAGTTCAGCCATTAACGATTTCTATAATTATATATTCAAAGATACTAGGATAAACCAGAAATTTTGCCGGCAAAGGTGAAGTCAGTCGAGAAGGATGAGGTCAGTTCAGTGAGATATAGAGGATAATCGATGATAAAGTAATATACAACATTCTCACTTGACAAAATCACATATTCTATATCAATATGTTTAGTAGATAGAGATTAGCTATACAACCTACTGTTAAAACATTCCTTTTGACGAAGCATGAATCATTAACTTTTGCTTAAGGAACCTATAGAGTCATCATCATTATAAGTGGCAAGCTTTCTGTGTTTAAAAATCACGGCAGTGAATCTAAACGGTTATTCGTTTTTAGAAAATCTACAAAAACAGAAATCCCCCAAAAATCCCCCAAAAATCCCCCGAATAATAGAATGGATAGTGCATAATAAGTGGACACAGAGCAAGGCCGAACGTCTCCTAATATCAGAACTACTATTGTATCCCACACCTTACTCTTACTCCTGAAAGGTAGGGAGAAGAATCGAAAATCGGAGTACTTGAGCGGATAGGGCATTTCACGTGATTGTCACTCAATCCATCATGGCGTGATATTCATAGGTCAAAAGGGACGTCACCAATTTAGCGTCCTTATATCGTAAAGGGCTTGAGGTATATATCCAGAAATAGCAAACTGCTTCTGGAAATAAGCACTACCTGCACAGAGCTAAACGACTGATGAGGCGTGGCAGACATATTGATGCTCCAGCCGAAAGACAAGTTCCTCAAAAAGCCTTTTGAGCAACGGCCGCGGGATGAGAACCAAACTTCTCTCGGCCACTTGAAACTCACATGTAATTGAAAATAAGCCCCACTGTCGGGTTTCATATATAATGTTGAGTTGGCTAATGGTGTCCACAACGGAATCACTTGGTTTGACAGAAATGAAGATCTCTTCGTCTGACATTTCTGACCATATTGCATGTACCACGTGTTAAGCTTGAACTCTGAGCCGGGCTTTCCGTCGTGGTATATGGCGGGGTAAGATAATATGGAGTAGGTATGTAACCTTACTCCACAATCGTTGCCCTAACCTACATGTGGAATTTGTATGTATGAAACCTTTGCATTTACTCCCAATCTAGCCATTTTATTCGACTTTTAAGCAACCTCCAGAAGCTCAGGTACGAGCAGCACAGATATGGTGCAAAACCTATGATGGTCCTGTCAAGTAAACCACTGCTTATTCTTCTGTTGTAGATTTGAACCTCTTATATAGTGATACCAGGCACGGAATGATATAAGAATGTTGTTAGATATTTCCATGCCAAAAGTGTCGAGGAATGTGAGACTCGATCGATTGTCTTTTGCCAGAATGGGTGATGTGCGAGCAAAGCTCATTTGACTCTCTGGCACGTGATCATGCATGTGACTCCGACACCCCAGTGTTCGCCCTTCCATTACCAGTTCAGCCTTCGAACCATCCATATATGCATGAACTTACACGTTTGAGTCGAAATAGATGTTTATGAAGGGGACTGCCGGATGAGAAATGTGGTAAAGATAAGATATGAAGTGGAAAGGAAAAAGCGGGCAGCAGGAAGGATTAGGAACGAACGGACCGTCGTCGCGGATGGATTGACCAAAACCATGTCAACAAATGCAACATCTTCCTGATGCTTCACTCATTGCCAGCGATGGATCATAGTATTTTCCGATTTGCCATGGCATGCGGGTTCGGAAAGAGATATCACTCAAGCAATGCTTATGCTTCGAGATCAAACATTCAAGTGATAAGTCATCTCATTCAATTCACAACCATCCGAACTTTCTTCAGATGCGATGCGACCTCAGAGAAGCATTTAAAATTATCCACTCGACGTACTTCATTTATACCTCACCCTCGAAAACCACTTTGTGTTTTCTTTCAAACAACCCGTGGAATTTTTATTTACTTGAAACAATCCCTTGATTGGCCAGTGTCACTTGAATTTATTACTCCCCTGCAAAACAGCAGTCATTCGTTCAATAAGGAGTAATAAATTCCCCCAATCAAAATCCTTTGGAATTATTCCATTTAGGCATTTTCATTTATATTCATTTACTCACTACTTCTCGCGCGTATAGCTATTTTGATAGATTAAAATGGTTGTGGGGTATTAGCATGGAGATGCTTAAATATGAACCATCCTCAACTTTATGTAGAATGAGAGATAAGATTTCCATTTTCTTCCTTTAGTACTTTTACATCTCATCTCTACTCTGTTTAACATCATGATGAATAACCTCGCCTTGTTGGCCTTGGTTGGCTGCACTCTCGCTTCTCCTACCGAATCTATTACATCCCGTGCTACTACTAATACTAAATATCTCTTCTCCTTGTATTTATCCTTCTTATTCATATGATCATTCAAATACTAATAACTGCAGTGGCGATTCATACTCTCAGACTGGTTTTGAAATCTCCGGCACTAAGCCATCAGCTGGAAATCCCATTGGTAACCCAGCATTTCCGGGTTATACGACCGACAACGGCATCAATTGGATTGGACATCTTGTAGAAACCTACAACTCCTCTCTTCTTCTCTCATACAACTTTGCTTATGGTGGCGCTGTTGTGGATGCTAGTATCGTAACACCATATGAACCCACAGTCTTGACCCTTGTCAACCAAACTGCCGAATTCATCGACAACCTCTCTCCAGCACCTACCGATGTCACTTGGACTGCACATAACTCTCTTTTCGCCCTGTGGTTTGGTGTTAATGATATTGGTAACTCGTATTGGTTATCCAATGAAACGGATGTCATCAGTGCCATTTTCGATAGTTACTTCGCTCATGTAAAACTTTTGTACAATGCAGGAGCAAGAAACTTTTTGTTCTTAAATTGTCCTCGTAAGTCATATGTCCAGATGATCCTACATAAATATGCTGGTGAAAAATGAACTCCAGACGTTTTGATACTAACAATCCTATCAAGCCATCAACAAATCCCCAATGATGCTCGCATATGGTGATTCCGTCACTTCTTTAGAAGCCACCGTCATATCTGCCTACAACACCGAGCTCAAATCCCGAGTAGCTGCTTTTGAAAGCGCCAATACCGGGATTACCACATACGTCTTTGACACTCAACTTCCATTTAACACCGCTCTCGATGCTCCAACAGCATATGGAGCTACAAATGCAACTTGTTTTGACGCCGATGGAACAACTTGTCTTTGGTTTAACAATCTCCATCCTGGTCAAGCGATTCAAAAATTGGTTGCAGAGGGTATTGCGGAACAATTGTCGGGCGCTTTTTTCCGGGCTAGTTCCTGAAATTCATAGATCGCAAGTTCTTTTTTGATGACTCTTATTACTCCTGTTATTGCAAGCTCTTGGCCAATTTTGCTGTTAAAGGAGTCTCCGGTAACTTTTACGCTGAAGTATCGATTATAGCTTCTTTGAAGGCATCCATTGTTTCCGCCACAATCGCCTCGAGTACTTTTATCTCACTAGCTCAGCATATTTGGGTGGAGATGATGAATGTGAAGCACAAAAGGCAGACGCTTCATGTCTCTACCTAGATGGAAGATTATCCTTTAACAGTCACAACGGAATCTGCCAAGACGTACCGTTTAAAGAGTCAGACATAATGCGGAGAAGCTAGAGCTTCTTATTTCTTGTTGTAAAAATTTTCAAATCTATTTTGTACATACTTGGAACCATAATTATACATCTCTTGTCAAATTTGGATCCCTCCTTGGTTTTGGAAAAATCATCCTTTTTAATCAACGAATTTTGTCTATAAATTCCCCCATTTTTTGTCAACATCCACCACTTTCCTTCCAACTCCCCCAGCCTCCCATCCATCCACACCCCACCCCAAAATCCATCCGTCACCATCACCTCATCACCCCATGACCTCATCACTCCATCAACCTCTCCTCTACCCCTTCCCACCCCTCCCACCCCTCATCCCCACTTCCTCATCAAACGATTACACCTCCATCTCTCCCTCTCCCTTCTTTCCTCCTCCTCCCTCCTCTCATCTTCCTCTTCTCTTTGTTCTCTCTCTTCTCTTCGTTCCCTCCTCCTCAATAAAACTATTTTCCGCTCTCTTTTTCTGCGTTTTTCTTCTGCAAGATAGGTTTGGGATTCTTGATATTTTTTACTGGGGGTAACGAGGCGGATGCTTTGCGGGGTGGGGGTGTTGTGGTTGTGGAGGAGGAGGTGAAGATGGAGCTGATAATGGTAGTTGAGGTGGAGGTTGTGGGTGTTGTTGCGGTTGAGACTGTGGAGGTGGTGGTGGTGTGGGATTGCGAGATGGTATTATTGCACTTGGTAAAGATGGTAAAGATGGTATATATCCTTCAGATTGTAAAGTAGTATCAAGCGCATCATGCGTGAGTGAGCTTCCAGTATCAGCATCACCATCACCACAAGAAACAACACCATCACAAGTAAAAGCAGAAGCAGAAGTAGAAACTCTTCTCCTTCCTCCAGTCGAACATCGCAAAGAAGCCGCAGATATTGTTCCTGATCCCGATGAACTCGAATTCGAATCCTGATGACGAATCATAATTAAAATATATTCGTACTGTAATTATAAATAGATTAATAATATTAAAAATATATATTAATTAAAAAGTCCACTCAATAATCCAGAAATCTTGATTGATGAGTATTTGAAGATATAATAAAAAGATATAGAAAATACAAAGTTAAAGAATGAAGAAAATTTTTATATATATTGACTTACTTACTCCCTAGATATTTTTTGAATCATTTTTTATTTCGAGTTATTTGTTATAAATCATGAATTAATAATATCTAAATATATAATTATGACTTGATATTTTTATATATTGTAAAAGTGGTAGGTCGAGATATATGCGTCCCGATAATATATTGTAAGGAGGGAATTGGAAGAGAAAGCTGAATTAAATTACATTGTAATATATCACTTATAGGTAAAACGGGATTCACAATGGTTTTGAGATTGATATTATATAAATTCAAATGTATATATATAAAAGATTGATTATTGTGAAAAGAAGAGACAAAAAACTCTTCTTTTATATCTAATTACAAAAAGCTATATGATTGACTGATTAAAAATCTTTATGTATTTGATTTATAATTTCAACTTTCTTATATTATTATAAAAACTTTATATTGAGATTTTTATTTTTTTATCATCTTTTTCATACTAAAGTATATTAGACCATCAAATAAAAATAAAATTATATACCTCATTTAATTATCTTTTTTATTCTTAAAAGAAGATCTTTATTTTATTTATTTATTTTAAATTATATAAATAATATAAACTTTATAATAATAATAAGTTTTTTATTATAATAAAATTTATATAAATAAGTAAATAAATATATTCGTATCACGATTCATGGTTTTCTTTATAGTAGTATTATTGTTGTCGGTGATTTATATGCCGATTACAAGGGGGGTGTGATTTAACCATTGCTTTCGGGGGTCCTGATTACCTAAGCCTAGGACCCTAGGATTCCTAGGATAAGTATCTTAGACAATTATAATAGAATAGAACAAATGTCCTATCTAATTAATTGTAGTGGGATTATCATCTTAGAGGATATCGCATCCTAGGGCTATGGTTCCTAGAGGGAAAGCTCCTGGAACAAGTGTTCTAGAAAAGGAAAGGCCTTGAGATATGAGAGGCCTCAGGATCAATCATGTGATGTGCTAGCTCTACTAGCCCAGCTAGCAAAGCTAGCATCACAGGAATGCTAGCTGTACTAGCCCAGCTAGCATAGCTAGCATAGGAAAAGAGATTAGTATATAGTCAAAATAGTTTTATAGTTTAGGAGTTTCGTACTCAATTTAGTTATCAATTAGTTTACCTACATTCCAATTGATCTAATAATGTATTCACCTTCGAATAGATAACCAGTGATTATTAGCCTTAACCCACAACTATCAACCAGACGAAACCCTGAGGCAGCTGCTGCCCCAACCAGATCGTTACAATTCGTTATCTTTATATAAATATATTTATATTCACATTTATATTTCATAAATTAAAGATTATATAAGTATATTACAGGACAGAACAGGACCGGAAGATTTTTTGATTAAAAATATTTGTATTTATATCAATTTTATTTAAGTCCTACCCCGTGATCTACAGACTACGGTCAGTGAGGTAAGCAAGTAGGTAAATAAGTTCATTAGAAAAGGAAAATTCGATATACTATTGATGGCAATTCTAGAATCAGTAAAAGCAAAGCAAAGCAAAGCAAAGCAGGGCAAGCAGAGCAAAGCAGAATAAAGCAAAGAAAAACGGAGCAGGGCAGAGTAAAGCAAAGCAGGGCAAAGCAGGGCAAAGCAGGGCAGAGCAGGACAGAGCAGAGCAAAACAGAGCAGTGTAAAGCGCAAGAAAGTAAAGCAGCGTAGAAAAAAGCTTACCTACATAACCCCACAACACCCCGCCTCCTTCTCAATCTTCCTCTTCTTCTGAAGATTCCTCACAGTCCTATTCCTCCCATTCCTCACAGTCCCATTCCTCCCATTCCTCCCATTCCTCACGCTCTCCCCATTCTCCTCCCTCCTCTGCCTCTCTACCTCCCTCTGCAACCTTCCCCTATCAGCAATCCCCATCCTACTCCTAACCCCCACCTCCAACCTCCTCTCCCCCGCCCCCGCAATCTCAAACGCGGCTCCTCTATCCCCCAAACACTTATTGCACATACGTGACATGTCTAGTTCTTGATATTCCTGATCGGGACAATTGAGGGCTGAGGATGTGGGGCTGCAGGGTTGCGTCGGGTGGTAGGCTGCGTGGCCGCAGGTGTAGATGTATTTGATTGTGAGACACATCTTTTGTGGGGTTAGTTGGGGAGTTGGCGGATGGATGGGTGGGATTTTTGGGGGTTGGGGTTTAACTGGTTAAGTGGGTTAAGTTGCTGTGGTGTGATGATTGTGATTATGGGTTAGTTTTGTGAATGTGGAGATGAATGGTGAAGAAGAGAAGAAAAAGATCGAGGAAACGATGGGAGTATTTATACTCCCGTCCAAAAAAAATATACATATATTCTCTGCCTGTTCAGATATTGTTCAACTGTTATGTAGGATTGTGAAGATCATGTGGTCTCCGTGTATATATTATGAAGAGTGAGTATAGAAACCTAATATCTAAACAAACACGAAACAACAGTGACGGAACAGCTGTTGGATCTTCCACCTTGTATATTATATTCGAGTTTCGAGGGATGGGAGGAGTGAGTTGGATCACGTGATCACAAGATACCATCGCTTTCAGCCTAGAACTCTGTGACTGGATGGAAGGCTAGAGGAGAAAACACTGCGTCCTCCTCTTCCAAATCATCCTGAAGACAAGAACAAGAAAACGAGAAAGCGAAAACAACAAAAACAGATACACAAACATTCCCAGAAAATAGATTTCGATACTGCAAATGCATATGCAGACTTCTACGTCCTTCCATTCAATACACCCATATATTCGTAAAATCCTACAACTTACAGCACTAGCTGACTCACTACTTCCAGTTTGAATCCTCATACCTACCCTCCAAGGGGCCGCACATGAGAGGAAAGCATTGCGATGATCAGAGGATAAGATTGAATATGACATGGCATTCGTGATTGTGTATATATACCATCATCAGATCCGAAACCTCATTTCTCTTTTCCAGCTCTTTCCAATTCCCGGGACCCCACCACGCTACGTCCCTCCGCCCTCCTCACCCCATGACTAAATCTAAATATTATAGATTATATATTAACCCTCATCCAACTCAGCCTTCCATTCAGATCTCTTCCATGCAATCGTTCAATTAACGGATATGTTACCCCAACCTCTAATCCTCATAAATGGTATAAGAGATTCATTAACCTTCCGCCAAGATGACCAACCAGATATTCATCCTGAATATCACGCCAACCATGCACACAAACAGTCCCTGACCTTTCAAACACCAGTAAAGATAAACTGAACCCATATATAACAAACCCCCAAACCCCGATATGATGGGAATCTCCGCATAACCAAAACTTCAAATCCATATACTGATTTCCAAATATCCAATTCCTTCATACAAAACCAGTCCTCCTTGTACATACTTTCATTTCTATGATCATTTTCTAATTCCAACCACCAGGAATGTTCACAGCAATCGAGTGAAAAGACTCGGTATTTTCTTTAGTAAGAGCAGGTCTCTGTGTCGGGTGTTCTTCATCGAGTATTTCGACCTTTTCGTTAAAGCTAGAGTCTTCTTTGGCGGATTCTACCTTTTCGTGTTGCTCCTCGACAACCGGCTCATGAGATTCTGACTCCTCTGTTTCCACATCCTCCATAACGATAGGAGTTTGCTCGAAACTCTTTCTGTTGGGGCTGAAAGGAAGTGGCACCATACTTGCTTCAAATTGTTCGAAGCTCTTCCTATTCGGGCTGAAAGGAAGTGGTGTCATGCTTGCTTGTTCCAAGCTGGTTCTCTTGATATTGCTACTCTCAACACCATGTACATCGACTGCTTCAAAACCTTCCCTTGATGGACTTCTATCACTGCTTGGGGAAGCAGTGGAAAGTTTGCTGTTTCTCAATGAATTTCTCGGGGGTAATGGTGGTGGCGGGCCTCTCTTTGGAATATTTACAACGCCACCTCTCGCTTTTATCACTTGTGGCGTGATGACTGTAGCTTGTGCGGAAGCAGCCTCGAAAACTACTGCTTCCTCTTCTTCAAAATCTTCATCATCCGACAGATCGTCCATCGAATTGAACGAGTTTTGTCGTCTTCCATCGGTGTTAGGAGGGCTGCCGTTAATTGTAGTGCCGTCGAAATCTTGACTGTGGTTCAAGTTTTGGTATGGCCCTAGATCGATTTTCGTATAATCGACTTCTTCCGGTTCTAGTACAACCGACTTTTCATCTTCTTCTATGATCTTTTTGTCGTCTTCGCTGTAACTTGGACTCGTACTCGGCGAAATTGTGCGGGGTGATCTGATGGATAACGAATCATCCGTTTGTGTGCCCATTTCGGTAGTCTGTGTTCCTCGATCTGTACTAGCTCTTGTTTTCCATGACATGTAACTTTCTCTATTACTCCTGCCGCCCTGAGTATCGAAACTTCGTCTGTTATATCTGGTGTAAATCGGACTCGATGGAGCCGGATTGTATTCGAACTGTGAGCTGACTGGCCGGGCCTTTGTTCCTGCCTCGCGAATCTCAAGTCCGGCATTTTCCAATGCCAATACTCCGAAAGGATCCGGATCATCAGGTTCAGGTATACCAAATATTGGTATCATCGACGTAGGTGCTTGCAAATCCACATCGCCAGGTGCAGGCTCATCTTTCAGTTGTTCCAACATCGTTGTATCTACATCATCTCTACCTTCTGCAGCCTTGACGGTTTCCATGAGTAACTTCGTTTCGAATGGTGTATGTCGAACGTTTCCAGCCAAGATATCTGCAACTCCGATTCTTTGTCCATAGAATCGCTCATTTTCGTCAGTTCTTTCAATAATGACCGTGCCATCCACTTGCACACCTGCGTAAAAGCCACGGGACTTCAAGTAAGTGAATACAGGCTTATTAGCTTGTTTCCAATTCCCGTCGTTCTCTAAAACTCCTCCTATTCCAAGAGGACCTGCCACGGCACTAATTTCTCCTCCTAAAGTCGCTCTTATTTTCGTGAAAGATTCGAGAGTTTTGCGATTATTGATAACGACGACACAATCATAAATATCAACACCGACCAAAAATCCGAGACCAGCAGTATGTAATAATATTCCAGAAGGCGGCGACCATGTACCATCCTCTTTTCTTGCGATCAAAATTCCAGACCCTCCGGCCCCTGATATCCATAAGCCAGTTCGCATAGTTGTGAATATAGCCAACCCAACCGCATTTTCAATAACCTTTTGTGGTATCTTCTTCAGAACTCTCTGTTTGGACTTCGCATTCGGACCATCTTGGGTAGATGGTCGATCTTCCTCGGTATAGAATCCATCCTCTGAGGCGTAGTCATGTCAGCGAGAGACCTCAAAAAGATAGAATTGAAGAAGGTGGGAAGGACTCACTGCAGAATGTTTTCAGAATACGAGCAGCTTTATCGCATTCCTTGTCTAAAGATGTCTATTGCTCGCCATAAGCATCTACAACCAAGGAGTTGAAGAACGAGGGAGGACTTACCGGCCAAAAAGCTTCCGAACCAATTTTGTTTGTCAATCGATTGACGGGAGCACCTAATTTATCTGCCCATGCCCAAGTCTTGTCGAAACCTTTCTTACTAGTGGTTTTAGTCCTATCCCACGATGGGAGCCATGAAACTGCTCTTTGCATTTTGCCTTGCGTCTGGTTGATTTCGCAATTATGCTGTGCGAAGGGAAGGTTCCTCTTTTAGGCTATTCGAAGTGGGATGATGAAAGGTGATTATTGATGACGACAGTCTATGCGTAGGTGATATGTAGAGTAGTTCCTGTACTCCTCATGTATGCTAGCGATAAATAAAGAGGTAGATAAATAAACCAATTTTTTGCAAATTATTTTCGAATTGATTATAAATTAATTTGTCGCATTCTCAAGAAAAGTATTACGCTTCCAAGTTAAAGTTCAAGGAGAAGAAAGCTCTCATCGTCGTCGCCAAAAGAAAACAAGAAAATTCCAGGAGGAACTGAGGGGTTTTGATCTTTGACTTTGCCCTCTTCATGCAGAAAAATCAAATATTATTAGGCCAGGATCAATGGATGGAGTAGGATACGTAGGATGGGTCGTAATCGGTCGTTGTTCACAGTAACTAGAACGGTATATACGGAATGGATGTAGAGCTTGATAGGTACAATTGCTTCTGGCTTGCAAGACTTGATGCGGGCTGAGTAACGTCCTACTAGAATTTTACTTTTCGATGCTTCTTTCTAGGATTGTCACCAATCACCTCCACGTATTTTGACGAATTGCGGAAGGGGCGGGCGGAATCCAAGGCCAAGTGAAGAAAGAGATGTCCGAGCGGTAGGAGGGCAGTACCGGATTTTGAGGAGTTGGAAGGTTTTGATGATTTTCAAGAAACACGTAAACGGGTAACTGATGTCATCTATTAGATGTTGTTTGTGAAGGAGTTCAGGTGAAGAAGGAAAGAAGATGTGTTGGAACGATGAAGAGAGAGTAATGTATAGCAAGACTGATGAAAGCTGACTTAGTCATACCTGGTGGACTAGGTGGTTTAATGCTATTTTCTCTATTTACTTTTTCTGCCCCCAATTTCCATAGCGTATGTAAATCTATCAATAGTTTTTGGAACATTCAAATTTTATTTTCATTTATTTTTTGTTACAGAAAGAAAACACATTTTTAAAAATAACCTTGGAATTATCAAGGTCTCGTACGGATTTCGTACCGAGTAGTACCTAGGTAGTCATAATTCGTTCTAGAAATTCACAAGACAAGGGGCTCCCTTGGTATAAAGGAGGTGACTTCATCACAAGGTTTATGAGAACTCGAGACCCCCATATATTTTCATTTTCACGATAAATCTTGGACCTTACGATTACCACGAGGGAGGTGGGACGGAGGAGCAGCCAATAGATAGCCAACAACCCCGGGGGTGGGTGCCATGGGAAATACAAAAGGTATAATAAGGTTGATTTGATCAAGGAGCCGAAATGAGAGACTGACTCCCTTTGGCGAGAATAACTCTGCTGGTGGAACATTTTACTGATGAACTGCTTCCAGGTGGATTTATATTTCTGGAAAACTGCACGTTAAAGGGAGAATCACACCACAGTCACAGTGAGTCTTTTGATGATGGGATGCATTCATGGGGGCCATGCACTTGGTGACGGGTTGGGGTCTAAAGGTTCGAAGAATGAAGAAACTCCTGCATTTTGTAATTCCAACTGTAACGCCAACCAGCCTCGCCTTAATATTATACTCCTGATTAATACGGCTCATCCCATCGTTACATCCTGAACCAAATAGTTTATGAGGCGACAGTAATCAAGCCGAACCCCGCATTCATAAGCCATAAGCCATTTTGGTGATATTCGTAATCATAGCTCGTTAGGTCGTCGAACTTTGAAAGTCCGTCGGAAGATTTATCCTTTAGAGAATCTTTCCAGTCAATCCCTCTCCACCGGATTTTAATCCGCCAACCAATCCTTCTCCCTTGGAATCGGCTCCTCCCAAAATTCCATTTGCGAGTCCCTCTCCATCTTTCTTCAGTCCGCCAATGGGTCCTTTGCCCTCTATAACATTTTGTGCTTGTTGGTTACCCTTCAAGTCACCTACAGAGATATATTGTTAGCATTGGACATTCGAAAAGGGCCAAGTATTGGGCAAAGGCTATGATAAAACCTATTGCGATTCTTTGGCAGACAGGGGAGACGTTGGTAACTTACTTGCGACAAAGTCAGTGCCTTCTTGAAGACCTTGAAGGCCCATCTTCTTTGCTTCTGCCTTCGCCTTGACTTTGAATGCGAAAACTCCCATTTTCTCAATGTATTCGTCGAGAAGTCCCATAGCATATGCGCCGCCAATGAGGACAGCAACTGTTGTGAAGGTCGCAAGGACGACAAGAACCGTGTTGGCCATATTGAACGTTTGAAGCGAGTTGTGTGTGAAAATTGTGGTTCGGAAAAGCAATTTGATTGAATTATTTGATTTCGGTGTACCGGAAGAACTGTGTTATTGAATGGAGAAAAAATAAAAAGAATATATCTTGAGATCTCTTATGTGTTCAAGAACCTACGCCGCTGACCTACCTGACCTGTTATTCTTTGTTCTTGCATATGACGTTTACATGCCAAATCTTGGAAGTGAATAAATATATTACGCAGAATCAAGTTTATGGAGGTCTTCTCCTTGAAGGCAGGCTGTCCGTAAGAATAGTGGTCCATGATTCCAGTAAATTGAACTCATTATTTGCAGTGGCATTGGCATCATCATAAAGTCGATAAACGTAACAAAAAAGAATTGATGCTGTCGATAATTCCATTGAGTAATTATAGCTCGCTTGAGCATTGTGAGGCCTAAGCTTCAAGTGGTTAGCTCGGACATTGTCGGAATGCCAATCACGTGAAAACCACTAGTGTCATTGCTAGTGCCTTGACAACGAGGGATTTGAGCTCTAAAAGTTCTAGTTCTTTAGGCAAAACCAATACGGAATCTTATGAATAACCATTGAAGCTTAACTATCTCCATGTACGTTCCCACAGACAGACATTATCAAGAAGAAAGTACAGTTGAACTCCGGGCCTAAAAAGACTCGATCAATAAAATCCGGTATAAACGGTATGTCAGAGTTTAACGACAACTTCGCCCGATGTCTTTTTAAATTTTATAAATTTATCATCTGATTGATTTGTAGCGAGGATATGCAAAGCTTTTGTTTACAATTTGGTGCCGGATGTCACGGCTTGAAGAATTTTGTAAGCCGATCATCTTGATCGGACCTCGAGAGGCAAGTAAGTGCTGGAGGTCGAATCACATAGCTATAGTTAGTATATATAACCTTTCGGGATCATCGAACTTTTGATCTTAAGTTATAGATTCTGGGGAGTGGTTGAACCCCGTTTATCAGCTCGTTGGTTCATCCGTGTTACGGCGGAACTCTGAAGTTTTGGTCGGAATTCCAGGAGTCATCGGAATTCCGTACTCACATACAAAACTGAGACTTTACAGAGAGTGACCGGGAAAAGTGGGATTATGGTATAGAAGAAGCTGGCACAGCGAGGTTCTATTGTAACGTGTTGTCGTCTGGTTGCGTACAAAAACCAGGGATCGCATTCAAAAAATCGTTTCATAAATCCGTACAACCCGCTGGTAAACTGTCGATGAGTCTAAATCTACCAAACAGTGACCACTTTCCGGCGGCGATGTTCGCTACCCAGACGTCATCATGCTTGAAGTTACATATCTTCAAGACTTTACAGTCTCATGCTGGCAAAACGTCGGTCTCAGACGATCAGGATTGCTCACCCATCTTACCCATTAAATAGTCCTCATGGCACTTTTCGTAATTACATGCCGTCAATCTGATACATCCTTTTTTTCACGAACAGCGAAGTCCAAATAAAGATTGTATAACAGTGAATCGCAGAAATCGGTGGATGAGTCTTCTCAGTTGATAACATCATCCACACCCCATCCTTTTAGAGATGGGTTCTAAGACGATAACTTTGGGAGTCCTAACTCTAGTTCTTGGTGTTTTCTACCAAACAATCCTGAAAGACTGGTTGTATCTCAACTTCGGAATAGGACGAACCTATACCCATCTCGAAGACTATCATTACAAATGTCGACGACTTGAACATCCTCTTCTATCTGCTTGCGAAGATCTCTTTCTTGATTATGAGGGTCGAGCAGTATATGCTGCCTGTTCAACAGTCGAAAGCCGAAGGGGCTGGATTCCTGGGTGAGTCAATATGTGGTTTTCGTATATTACATGAATTCTCACAAAACGTTTAGGGGAAATCATTACAATGTATCTCAGAGAACTTTGGAAGATCACGTGTCGGTACTCAAGATTGATGAGCCAGGAGAGGATGGATTCTATGGTCTTCATCAGCTAGAGATTACCGGAGGGTACAAGGGTGTAGATCATCATAACTCTATTGATGTTCACGGGTTCGACGTCGAAATTTTGCCCGATTCCCGGCGCAGATTTTGGATGATCAATCACAGACCCCCTGTGGATGAATCGGAAAACTTTCTTGATGCAACAAAGCTCGGAGCAAACTCAACTGTGGAAGTTTTTGACTTGGTTCCAGGATCTAAAAACCTCGAGTTTGTTAAGACCGTTGCCAATCCAATCATCAATACCCCAAACAACATTGCTGCCACTGGGGATGGTGGGTTCGTATTCTCGAACGATCATCCAGCTAAAACCGGATTTGTAAGTAGACTTTGAAGATGAACATTCTCTTTATTATTTCGCTCATTTATGTATAGATTCGCTCATTGGTTAAAATGATTGGGGGAGGGAATATTGCCATGTGTGAGCCTGACAATAAATGTCATTCTGGCCCCTCCAATCGATTCCCCAATGGTATAGTTCAAGGACAAGACGGGCTCTACTATGTAGCCTCAAGTATGAAAGGGAAGATTTCTGTCTACTCTCTGGAAGCCAACCATACTTTTACCCACATTGACGAGATCGATCTCCGCACCGTTATAGACAATCTATCTGTGGATGCCAATGGCGACATTTTAGCTGCTGGATTCTTAGACGTTCGAAAGGTTCACAAATCGCTAGTAGATCCTACTGTCGGCGCTCCTAGTGCGGCTTTTAGGATACGTAAGCTTGATACTGAGGATGGAGGGTGGAAATATGTGGTTACAAAGATTCTAGAGGATATTGATGCTAAGGTTTTGTCAGCTGCTACTTCGGTGGTACATGATCCTAAAACGGGACAGTTATTCTTTGGTTGTCTTACTGCGCCTTTTATTGTCGTTTGCGAAAAAGTTTAGGTCATTTATCCCGGATATTGCAATACACGGTCATGCAACGTATCTGTTGAACGTCATGAAACAACCTCACGGAGAGAGCCGGACTACAAGCGAGGGTCAAGTCGCTCCTCCTTTAAGATAAATAGTCTCCTCCTCAAAGTGTAGCAATTAAGAATGAGTAATACACAGTACTATTAAAGTACTATAAGAATAATGTCGCGGAAGTGATACCAACACTATCAAATAGTAACGATACTAATGGTCCAAGTACTGCTTGTTTGTACTTTTTTGATGATTTTCCGTCAATCTCACTTGACCCGCACATCCTCACCTTTGTTCTTTTCATGGGCCTTAGAACCACGTACGAAGTACGGAGTATAAAATAACCCTCCTCAGCTGAAAAATCATCTATATACAAGAAATCCAACCGTGCCCTCCATGTCAACAGCCCCTCCTTCCCGCCTACCAACAATCCTTAAGTGGGTTCCTCAAAACATAATATGCAACAGGGCTCGCCACCTCCGGTCTCGCGCCATGAGCGTAAGCGTTACATTCTGAATTGACATCACGGGATTAAATGGTAGTAGTACTCTATTTTTCTGGTCCGTTTCTGGAAACGTAAATAGGTTTGCAGTGGGTTTTGCGTTATGGTTTTGTTTGAGATGAAGTGATGCTTTGGCTAGGCATCACTATTAGAGATGGTTTCGGATGACGAAGGGTCTTGTGGGTGGGAATACGTAAGGCCTTGGTGGCAATAGGAGAGATATGTATTTCGTTCGATGCATTTTGAACCAAGGATGTCTCATTCACGTTAGTTAGTGTCTGTAAATATTCCTGTAGATTGAAATCAGCTGCATTCAATTTCAACACCAATAAGCTGGGTTCTCCACATCCCAATATCAATTAATATTCTCAATATTGAACTCACATTTCGAGATAATGTTTTACATAGCGGTTTTTTTCATATTCGCTCAAGCGAATCTCCCTAGCAATTGCTCATGCACTCTCCCCTATCGATATTTCTCTACAATAATATCGACGACTAGAAAAATAACTTTCCAATAACAGTCGGAAAGGAACAAGCGGACAGGGCGAGAACGTGATGAGTGGACAGACATGAGTGTAGATAGATAGTATGACTATTTTGTAAAGATCCGATGAGGAAATCGAGGATAATATACTTTTAATATTGTGTTTGGGTAGAGGAAATGCTGAGGCGTTGGGACTAGTCACGAACCGAAGGCGTTACGCACCCGCTAGGTTTGGTATGTGGGTATGATATTGATCTAATGCTTCGTAGGATCGAAATTTTAAGCTTAAAAACTTGAAAGAGGGAAGAGGCGTTGTTAAAGGAATTTTCACTCACGAGCCATTTATAGAGTGACGATTTACGGAACTTTTAGCATGATTTTTCAATCTTCCCGGTCTGAATCAGGATAGAATTTTGCCGCGCAATAAATGCTATCCCGGATCTCTATTCTCAGATTATGAAGGATTTGATTGTGGAGAAAGCAAAAAACCCCAAAATTGGAGTGGCGCTTCTGAATGTAAAAACAGATTAAAGTAGTGAGAATATCAATTTCCTGACAAGTAAGGATTTTTCTCATTGCAAAATTGCTGCCAATAGTGTAGGTGGAAAAATGGCGGCTAGCTGTTCGCTGCTATGTTCATCACATTTTCACGATGGCTTATTAATTGTAGCCTTCAGCAGCGAATGATGCGGATTTAGCCCGAGCATATGATTTAAATGAAGAGATTAGGTAAATTTACTTCATCCATAAAATTTGAGTAGTGTGGCTAGCCGCGAGACAAACTCTCTCGTTATATATTAGCCGCCGGGAGAGCGTTTGCAGAAATATTAGCAAGGGCAAGGAAAGTTTGAAGAGTGGGCGCTGACATATATGAATTGAGGGTGTATCCCAGATATTTCTGAGACATAGCAAATGATATTCACTATACCAGGTGACGACATCACTTGTCGTGAGTGCCTATTCGATCCCATCAGATTGGAGTCACATCCATAGTATAAGCTTGATGCCAGGTTGTTTGTGATAATATCCTTTAGAACACAATCGGTCACTTGAAAAGCATGGCAGAGGCAAGACTTATGTTACAAAAAGATAGCTGGGATGTAATATTGGCGAAGTATCGAATAATGAAAGTTAACATTAGTGAAAAGAGATATCTTTTAAATGGAATTATTCGAGCCCAAAATACCAGAAATGAAAGACAGTCTGTATCGTTCATCTATTGATTGGAAATTTTCAAGTATTCTTACAAAAGAAATATATGAATCTATGATTAATGCCCTAGAACTGCACCATGTCACTTCTGTATGAATCACTTCTACAATTTTTGTAAAGGTAAGATCTTACCATAAATGCACAGCAATTAAAATTATGACCATTTCAATGCCCTTCTTTTTATGAGTATATCTAAGTCAACCAATACCTTTATCATTTCTGTACATCATTCTTGTAATCGTACGAGAACTTCTAGGAATTAACGCAGTTTTGTAATCAAAAATCATAATGACCTAACTCCCAGAACCAAAAATCAGTAGGCTGCATTCCGGGTGATGCGAGGAATCCATACCGTTCGATCTAAACTTTGAATACTGTTCCAATATTGAATAGAGCTCGGTTTGCATTGATTTCAGCAAATCGAAAGATGTGTATTAACAAGCTTTTATGGAACAGTGAACATGTGTTCCTACACAACAAGTATAGTGAAAGATCAGGTGTTCTCCTATTTGAAATCAGACAATGTGAAATGGCTTACTCGTTTATTGTACTAATGTTTGGCTATAATACTCTTCTTCGGATATAGTACTCTAGTTGTCATCCTGTTATTCTTCTCTAGTACGCTTGCCAAGCCGTAAAAACTAAGCTGTAGCAAAATAGATCAAAGATATCTTATTAATTATTCTTTTAAATATAAAGCTTTCTGCAGAGTTTTGACTATAACTTTAGCTATCTAACAACTTGTCTGAAATAAATATATTCTTCGGGCTACCACAGCATTTCCATTGCCTCAGCACAACAAGTATAATAACCTTCTAGTAGATATAAATACATCTACCAAACTCATCAACGATATATTTCGCCGAAGAGGTGTTTCCTCACAGCTGATCAATAACACTTATCCAAACATTAAGCCACTAGCTTCTCTCAATTTGTGCCGCATAGAGCATGGAGATACCTAAGATGTTGACTCAGAGTTCAATCATTGCTTGCAGAATCTCCAACTCACTTCCTAACACGGAAAGAACCTGCCGGCAATGTTACTCCGGAAACTACTCCAAACCCAGCTTCATACCTACCGAGCAAAATTCAACGACTCCTACGTCTACCAGATCTTCTACAGTGACTTCCGAGACTGAAAAATTGCAAGATAACTCTCAAATCACCACACGTAGCCATATTTACTACGAAACATACAGAATCTCTGGCTTTCACCCCGGCGTCTACAATGCTCCACCGCAGCCAAAATCTGCCAAGAAACTTCCAAATGCGGATCTCGAGACGAAGAAAATCGTAGCTGAGCACACTTGCCCCATTACAACATATAAACATGCGTACTACAAAGAGTTCAGCATTGCCGGTTTTGACCCCATCCGAACTTCTCCTCCAACACAACTCGATCCCGCTAATCAAATGGCTGATAAACCAGCTGAGAAACTAGGAAAGGGCCTACGAACAAACCCACGGGCGAACCCACAAGCACTAGTCCTGAAATCAGCAGAGAAAAAGCTCTTGCTATTACCACGGCATATATCCCATTTCTCACAATCCAGAAGAAGAAGAAAGACTAAGATTATTCGGACTTGGATCATGATGTGGAGACATGTGCTCAAATTATCGAAGAGCTAAAATTTGAGACACTTGGGATTACTGGATTCCGAAGTACCCAAGATAAGACGGGAGAGGATGAACCCGAGACAAATGTTGACGATGGGAAGGTTGATGAGTAGTCTGTTGAGTCTAGGGATGGAGATGCAGGACCTGTTCATGCTGGTCTGCCCTTAATTTGTCTTTTCATGAGACTATTAGTGGATATTCTGTGAGGGTGCAGGAAGAATGACTAGCGGTGTCACGGATGGATTCGACCAGAAGTTGTTTATCCGGTCAGCTAAAAAAGCTTCGGAAAGATTCTTCGTTCTCTGACATACTAATATCCTGATTGATACTAAGTGGAGGGAAACTTCACGAGCAGCGGAAAAGGAGCTAATATTGTTAGAATTTCATAATGATTTTTTATTAGCTAAAAGCATAATCGGCAAATTCTTTCCATATGATCCAGAACACATGTGTGACCATGAAAAACGGGATTTAGTAACCTAACCAACCCATTTTTACCCTTTGCGGATATTGCGGGAAGCGAATCCGCAAACACGCGCCGAAAGAAGTTTAATGTTTGTGTTTGTTATCATGACTAGTAGTTGACAGACATTTATATAATGCGCTATGATAACTTATCACAATGAACGGGGCATGTCGGGCGATTAGTAGATTTTTTATTAACCTTGTTCGAGCTGCAGGAATTTGGAGCCTCCATATAGAGGGCATCAAAGCGTTTGCTCTTTCCGTATTTTCAATCCAACACCAATTCGATATTATATCATATCATATCAAAACACAAATCATGAGCACCACAATGAAAGCACTTCGTCTTATCCTCGAATATCCTGGAGGAGTACCTAAATTAGTCTTGGAGGATGTCCTAAAACCTACCTTAAGACTAAAGCACCTTGTTGTTAAAGTCTATGCTTCAGCAATACATCCAAGCGATGTCCTCAATTCTAAAGGTGGCTTCCCATATACCACATTTCCGCGAGTTCCAGGACGAGATTTCTCAGGAATCGTAGTGGAAGGTCCGTCTGATAGAATTGGAGAGGAAATTTACGGTACTAGTGGTAACACTATTGCCTTCACCGAGGATGGTTTCCAGGCCGAGTATTGTCTCGTTCCCGAAAATGCTGTCGCACCAAAGCCAAAAAGTCTCTCGTTCACTCAGGCAGCTTGTGTCGGTGTTCCATTCACGACTGCAAGTCTCATGCTTTCGCGCGCACATGCGAAGAAAGGGGAGACAGTATTAGTCATAGGCGCGAATGGTGCCGTTGGGTCGGCAATTGTGCAATTGGCTAAGAGCATGGGATGTCGAGTTTTGTCTGCGACCAGAAGTGATAATGATGATATTAATACTGCTACCGATCCCGAACTCAAAGCTGTTGACAGTTTGACGGCTGGCAAGGGTATTGATGTTGTGGCGGATACTGTAGGTCAACCCCTTTTAGTAAAAGCTGCCATCAATAAACTTGCGAGAGGCGGCAGGTTGTCATTTATTGCAGCGCCGAGGGCTGGAGCAGATACAGGATTGACTCTCGATATGTTGAGTTTTTATCGAGGAGAAAAGTCCCTGGTAGGGTGCAATACATTGGCATATGGTGCTGAGGAGCTCGCGGTTCAATTGAAAGAAATGGCGGAAATTTTCGAAAAAGGGTTATTAAAAGGAGCAGAAGAAGGATCATGGACAGAAATCAAGTTGCAAAATGGTGTTGAGGCATATGAGAAGGCATCAGAAAGAAAGGCAGGAAAGTTTGTGATAGTAATGAATTGAATTTCAGGATTCATACAGCGATTGTTACAACAAGGCTGTAAATACCGAGTACGCAAGCACCGCCACGTTATTGAGATCGGTGTGCGAAGGAACGAAAAATGTACTGCTGTTCATTACCACGTTCTCGACTGCCACTACAGCTGCCATTCTAATATTGGCATGATATTATTTGTATGGTTTTTTATTTTCAACATTTTTCTGACATAAATCCGGGGGCCAGCCAAAGATCCGACCGGTATCTGAAATATGGACTTATCAGCCCTCACACAGTCCAGCGACACTCAAGTAAGATCTTACCATTCACATCCAGGATGGTTAAATATCAATCCAGCAAGAACTTCAAGAGAGACGTAACGATTCATCTCTTCCTTGCAAGCCTCGTAAATGATACATTTGTTCCTACACTAAAGCATGAACAGTCAGAGTTGGCTTTCCGACTTCAAGAATGGCCGGCTCTGACTTCATCTAAAGGCAAGAAATGCCAAAGGCCGACAAGACCCTGAAACTACAGAATCTTAGTCCCTTCCACTCCGCAGTCAATCCAGGAATCCACGTCTAAGTAGCCGCAACACAGGTCTTGAGCTGATCATCACAATCACTAATTTCTGCATCCGACAATGCTCCATTGTTAATAGCATCCGCACAAGAATTGTGCTGAATCGCACAAGCCCTTTCAACAGCATCCTCAATATCGGTGAATTTGTCTCCGTTCACAGAATAAGGCCTATCTGGATCGGTGGTTCTTTCAATATTTGGAGGTTGAATACCTCCTATACTTGCTGTAGTTCCGGTTGGGGCGGGGCCTGTCGAAGTTGATGAGACAAAGACCGTGGTTGTGTTGGCCGGGATGGCGCTTAGAGTCAGTTGTGCGTTGAGTTTGGGCGCTCTGGTGTCATTATTGGTGTTGTTTTGGCTGGGGAAAAGTGCTGGCGGGGTAGGTGCTGGAGCGTTGCTTGCGTAGGGTACCTCTCTATTTCATAGTCAGCTCATGTATATCTTATTATACTAGAGAATTAGCAGTGATGACCTACATAGATCGAGCATTATTGCTAGCACGTGATCCCAATGCTCGACGATGTACATGAGGCGATGCATAGCCTAAAGCTCCGTCGGAAAATGTAAGGGCCACAAGAAGACAAATTGAGATTGCCGTGAATTTCATGGTGTAGATTTGGCAATAAAAATTAATTGATGGGAGGTTATTATTCTTTGTTTTCTCAAGGCTTAAATGAAAGGAAAAGTGCACGATCAACGTGGAAAGAATGTATTAAGGTGTAAAAGGAATGTATTTTTGACTTTGATAATGTGACCAAGGTTTCGATTAGAGAATGATTCATGAAGGGAGGAAAGGCGTTCCTGCACAATACACACACACATATATGTATATATATATGATCTTACATATGAATGTGCAGCACTGGTACTATAACTTAACAAGACATATGTAACATTATCCGGTCATGTTTTTGTCGGAGGTTTATCTTCTGTGGCACAATATCCGATTGGTTGCCCTCGCAGCGTATAGCTTAGGATTTAGCTTCATATATAAGTTTTTCGAGAGGAACTTTTCTCCTAATCTCAGCCTGGATCATAATCTAATCTGAATAACGTATGATGACCTTAAGATGCACTATTGTTTCATCCGACAAAGCCTTAAGACGGCTGAACCGGTGCTCCCCTTATGGAATTAGATCCTGCGCCTGATCGAAACAAAAGAAAAACATTGATGCAAAATTCCAGACTTTGCAGACGAAAATCGAAATAATACCTCTAACCAGATTTACCAGGACTACCTAGATTTTACTGCCAGTAGTAAAAAGGTAGTGATCATCTCATGGGCATCAACGAGGCTCAGAAGGCTAAACCATCAATAGGGTACAAAAACGCACCCGAAGAAGATCTACCCGCTCTTTCTACAAACCAAACATGAAAACGCTGTATAACAGGGATTCTAACTCGACGTGCCATTAAAGCTTTGCATGATGACACAACATGCAAGAGGGGGCAAAGATGCGAGGTCGAGGAGGTCTGACCACCTTAACCACCAAAGGAACCTGAAACTGGAATATGAAGAATCTGAAGCATGACAATGATACAGTAAGGAAAATCCCATTCTATGATCGGAGACATGGGTAGTACCCTCAACGTCAAATATCTGCCACCCATCATTTCATTTGCATCAGCATCTTCATCGCTGTTTTTGAATATAGACCATTTGATCATTTTGCCAATATTGACCCCTTTACATTCAAAGTGCGAGAGGGAAATTTACATCTTCGGCGAATATCTTTATTCCGGCTCTTATATACCAGGACAGCATTTACGAGGATGGAAACATGTCGATCAAGAGGAGTTTGTGGATGGCAGGTCGTAAACGGCGAGAAGAGATTGTTCCACAAAATATCACTACGTGCCATTCACTAGCTGCCATTCAATTTTTATGCTATTGCATCAAGAAAGAATGATGCCGTAGTCTTTACGCGCTGTTTAGCGAAGGCAGTCCTGACTTTTTTTGTTGCGCGGATTTTTAAATGCATTTTTTAGTGAACCATCACAACGTCACCTTGATATACATGATTTACGATATGGTAAAGTTTGGTTACCACAAGAATTGAGGATAGAAGTACGGTGTTCAATACTGCGGTCTAGTTCATTGTTTTATAGTCTAAACATCTTTCTATGTTTCAATTGTTTCTCTACGGTTTAACCATCTCTCCATGGTTTAAATATCTCTCTACGATTTAATTATTTCTTTATGGTTTAACTATCTCCCTACGGTTTGCTCATTCCGCATACCTCTTTACGGCTCAACTGTCTCTGTACGGCACTACGTCTTGAGTGTATATATAATACTTGATGATCACCCACATCTCAACCTCATCCTCTTTACAACAAACAAAAAGTTCTGTCGAGAGCATCCGGAACAGCAATCGAAGAATAAACAGTACCGCACTGCAGACTGAAGGATTTTTCAACAACTCGTCGCCGCTGCAGTTTATCCCGCTACTATAGCAATTCGATAATCTCTCAGTCATCAGAGTCTGACTTTGGGCTCTGAAAGAAGATCTTTCGCCATGTCTTGTCAACGTAACACTCGCAGAAAGATTGCCCATGGTGCAAGTCCTTATTCAATGCCAAAACAATCCACACGATTTTCAAAGTATGTCTTAATATTTGCACCTGCTATTGTTTTCAGATTTACAAGAATCAAAGCTAATATTGTTTCCATATTTCTCGGGGATGATATTATCACTTTTCGAGTAGGTGATGGACTTCTACCTATTAAGGTTCACAAAAACGTCATTTGCGAAAAGCTGGAAGTTTTCGATGCCATGCTTCGGGGAAACTTTAGTGAGGCAACCTCCAAAGTTATAGACTTGCCGGAAGATGATTTCCACACCTTTGAGTTGTTGGTACAGTGGTGTTACACAAATCGAATATCCATGCCGGATTCAACAACTTCATATGAAGCTGTAGGACAAAGAGTGGAATTGTATTGTTTGGCTCACAAGTACTGTGCTTTGGTTCTGCAAGACTTTGTGACGAACTACATCATTACATGGCTCAGGATGAATGAGCACCGTACCAAGATTGTCGACCCAGCATGGATTGCACGCATTGAGCGAACATTCACAGCCACATATGATGAATTGGCGGGATTAGATGGATTGCCGGGACCCCTTCGATTTCTCATCGGGTTTGTGAATAAGATGACCGTACTCGCGTCAAAACCTGGCGCCTCAGAATTGGCAGTGATGCGTTTTGCTAACTTTCGATCACGAGAGCTGGAACATTGGGGTTGTGTATTCTCCGAGGTTCCCAGTATAAGGCGATATGTCGGATTATCCGGGCAATCTGACGCGGAAATTACCGAGGAACTGAATCCATCATCAACAGCCTGCTGCGAATATCACACTCATTCCCGAAAGGATATGCTTGAATGTCCATTATTCAAGGATTTAAAAGGATCAGCCAAATATTCCCCAGACGCTTTCGTAATAGTGACACATCTCAAACGCCTAGGCAGAATGGCCAAAGAGATTGAGAAATATGGTTTCCATGGCAGTTCATTGCCGCGTGATGGTCCCATTGGCGCTAATCACCTGATTCTTCACACCGAATTCGATATGAATGGCAACTTATTCACAAAGGCACAAGAATTGGCCGGATTCAAGGAATTGACCGATATGGGAATAATATCGGAACCAACAGGAATACGCCGCAACTTCTTGTTTCTCAATGGTAATGGTCTTGAAAATCTATGAAGCTTGCTAAATGGTTTTGTACATGCATGTTCTTGTCCTCGTGGTCGCCAGAAGCGCGGACTAGCATGCAATACAAAGATTAGATAGGCTTAGGCTCAGCGCATGGAAATTTGCTGGAACAAACAACTAAATTCACGGAGCTGGGTGAGGATTTCATATACATTTGATGGAAACGAACAATCTATTTCTTTCATTGGGGAAGGCTTATAACTAGAAATGTGTTATTTGAAAGCCGAGTATGGAGATACCGTGGTAGATAGAACTTACATGAATCAATGCGACTTTGTAACATCTACTGAAAATACCCCGTGAAAGAATGAAGTGCAGGAAAGACTCATGATGTAGTTAAATACGATTGAATATCTTGATACGGATCATTAAACGTGAATTATTAAGCGATTTAATTAAAATGTAGAGAATTGTGAGAGATGTAACCGGAGTTCAAATTATGTTTGTTATTATTAAGGATATTCCCGAAGTTAGATTAAGTAAAGCATCATCTAACTGCAAACATGACTGTTGTGTTGTCTGGTTACCTCTAGTATTAAACATCTGGATTTCGATCAGGGCTGGCCATCTGTACCCTACTCGGGATATTTGATCTCTTCAGGGTAGTTAACCTACCTTATAGGGATTTTACAGGAAATATTATTATATAATATTATCATTATATTACAAGGTCAATGTAGTATTCATTATATATAATATCATATGCTACATGCCTGTAAATATTATAGTATTGAGAGTATTTTATAAGATGGTTATTTTATTCTAGAAAGCTTTAATAGGGTGGCTTTTTGACCGGGCTTTACCCCGGATTACCTGGCGTTACCCTATCTTTTGCCCAGCCCTGATTTCGATTCTAGTTCTGAATTATCCATTTAACTCTGGATGAACCTTGTTATAGTAGGCCGTATTTTAGATCCTCACACTAAAGTGGAGGAAAATCTTAAAGTAAATAGTATAAAATTCCCATTTCAGTATATTTAATTAATTGTCTCTAGTCTAGTGTTCCACACAGCCACCACCGATGCACTTACTCAACTCACGAAGCTGAATTCGCCGCAGACAATACCAGCATTCCAAATTCATCCAACTGTGATAACCACTCATCAAGTACGTGATTCTCAGGTCTAGATTGATAATTTCTTAAATTTCCATATGTGAGCGGTTTGTCTTTCATTGTACTTAAATACTCGTTTTCCCACGCTTCGTTTGTAGTCGCTCTCCACAGTTTGCGTGAACAGGGAAGCGCCATGGCCATTAGATTGCTTCCATCGCATCGGTAGTCTGGAATTCCGGAAGAGAGATCAAAGAAGAGATCAATGAAGAAGATGATTATTATTGTGCTGGGTCATAGTAGGGAAGGTTAGTCGGTTGTTCTTCTAGAATGGTAGATTTATACGACGCTAGGGCTGAGTGACCTGCTTACCGGCGTAGAGACTCGGCTAAAACCCATTGTTTCCATGAAGATATGCTGTCATTGCAGAGGTTATTCGATAGGTTAATAACTTGCGTCGCAACTTTCTATTGTCTCATCATAAGCTCACGGCACAAACCCATAAAAGTATAGGAAGTGAAATCGAAATCTCTTACAATCATTGTATGAATTAAGGGAGCATCAAAATTCGTCGCGTCCTCATTACCTTCCGAGAGGCGAAGAAGAAAATATACTGTCATTGCTTGGAGGGCAGCTACAGCATCTTCTTCATTGTATGTCGGATACTGTCACCGTTATCGTAAAACTCCTGCGAAGTATAGATAAGACGGGTAACAAACCTCGGCACAGAGCCTATCAATCTCCATCCTAATACATCGCCAGATATGTACAGCATTGTCCTCTGTCTTGTGACTTGTCCAACGGACCAGGTTAGCGCATATACCCAAAGCTCCGGAAAGCGCTTTGCGATCGTTGAAATGAGGATGAATGAATGGTGGAGGAATATCGCTGTTGTTAGAAAGCATCATTGACGGATAAGTTGGCAGAGTACATAGTATGTAATTCCTGTTTAGTGAGAATTGACTCTTGTGTGATTTGCGCGGTGCGAATGCTATTGGAGCTTTTGGGACTGGTTGGTTGTACATTCTATAGTATGGCAAGTTATCTCCGACGTGAAAGTTTGTGGAAACTGGGCTCGGCCCTGTCTGAAGAAGCCGCGGGGAAGATTGTACAGAATAAGGGGCGCTTCCGAGAAATGGAAATCCTGTATGCTCTGGGAGGAACTCCGAAAACTGCAAATCCCAATTTCCTCCTGGTAAATCTAGTGATAAAATATCCTGAATGTTGCAATCTGAACTTTGCAGTGGGTACGGAGTGATGGCTGTTTCATATACATCCATCAATGCCGACGTAGCAACGTCCGATGAAGATGAGATCAACGGCACATCTCCACCCTGATTTGTGCCATTTTCCAAGAGCCTTCCAGCTACTGGCTCCGGTACATTAGTCTCCAAGGTTCGTGGTCCCTCATAAACGCAGCTAAGGTTCCTTGTTGTGCATCGCGAGCAACTTTGACGTAAATCGCACTGAGTTTTAGCCTTAGTACAGGCCACACACGAGCGCTTTCTCGATTTTACACCGCCTTGAGCCTTAACTCTTCGACAATAAGATATATGACGGAGCTGAGATTTTCCTATATTATACCATTAGTATTTCTTGTAAACTTGACGAGAGGCGGCTAACTATTCCCGCTATCCTTTCCACAAATACTGCACGTGAACCTTTCGTTGGAGGTTTGCTTTGGTTCCATGCCCGGCACAGATTGTTCTAAATGCTTGATTGTATGATAAGACTGTAGGATCCGGAGAACTTTGGTATTTCTTCACAATCAAATTATGGTTTCTGTTATTTAACGTGTGGCAGCGACGGAGTTCCGTGGTCTATTGATAATCAAGATTAAAAGTGGGACTTAGAATTAACCGTAAACTCAATTTCTTAATGTGTTTCCGAAATATGATTTTTTGAGCTATAAACTTTATTTATAAACTTATCTAGTTCAAATAATTCGTTCTTATAAAGTTCAAGTATAAAGTTGTTTTAATAATGTCGGTACATCATGTGATCAACCTCGAAAGGGACGCCGTACACAAAGGGAGCCGTACGACTAGTGCATTCTAGCCCGTACCCCTTTCAATATAAATAGGTCCCTCTCCCCTAGATAGATAATGATCATCCATGAACAAATACAATAACATAATACTATGCATTGCATCGTATCACTGAAGTGATACCAAAAAATAACTTTGAACTTGAAATATTAAATAAATGAATTTAATTATTATTATCTTTAAAACTTTTTAAATTTAAAATTATTTTAATTAAACTAAGAATTAATTATATAAAATATAAAATATTAAAGATTTAAAATATTAATGGAATTGAAATCAAAATTAATTTGAATTATTTTTTAGAATTTTTTTTGGTCTTTTTTATATTTCAATTGAATTGTTATAAATTAAATTTCAAGGTTTGAACGGAAGATTTCTTTCACGAGAAATTTACTGTTTCAGAAACACGTTGTAAATAGGTGTATCAAGTTTGACTTACCAAAAACACTTTGTCAATTTGTAATATTAATTGCATACTACCAATCTGCTCCTTGATTACTGTTTGTCCTGACAAACGACGATGGTTATGGCACGGATTTCCATAGATGCTTTACAAAGGGAAACCACATCAATTCCTCCCCCTGTCGCAAATGTACATATAAACACGACAGTCAGTTATTTTCTATTAATCTTAAATAAACACAGAAAATCATCTTTTGAATACATAATAAATATCTTAAACCCCTTCAAAAATGTCTCTTATTACCAACAACCAAGCCGCCTGGACGCCTACTGAAAATGCAAAAGTTGAAGTAGGACCTGGTCCAGTACCCAACCCCAAGGAGAACGAAGTAGTCATTGAAGTGGCTTACGCGGCCGTTAATCCAATGGATTGGAAGGTTTATACCCATGCAATACCCTCATCAGGAATTTCACATCTCACTGACATCACAATCAAATAGATACAAGACCACGACCCTTTCAATCTCCCCTACCCCTGGATCTTTGGTGCAGATGTCTCGGGCACAGTCGTCCAACTCGGATCCGCCGTAACTCGTTTTCAGATTGGCCAACGAGTCTTAGGACAATGCGATGGAGTTTTCACTCGAATCATTCAAAATACCGCATTCCAACGTTATGCTACCTGTCGCGAGATTCTCGTCTCTGTGGTTCCGGACAGTGTTCCGCTGGCGAGTGCTGCCGTGTTACCTCTTGCTACCTCAACAGCTGCGGCGGGACTCTTTAAAGTTTTGCAGTTACCACTTCCAGTGCTTGAGCCGGTGCAGACAGGAAAAAGTATTTTGATTTGGGGTGGTAGTTCAAGTTGTGGCGCTTCGGCTATTCAGTGAGTGTATCCGTGATATATTAAGCCCTAGACCCGTATATTGATAATATTATAAAGATTAGCAGTAGCAGCTGGCTACACTGTAGTCACCACTGCTGGAGTCCAAAACCATAATTTTGTCAAAAGCATTGGTGCCACACATGCTTTCGATCATAAATCACCAACAGTCGTCCAGGACATCCTGGCAGTCCTACAAAAAGGCGATTCCGTATTTGATTGCATCGGAGAAGCTTTTACTCAAAAAGCTTGTGCCGAAATTAGCCTCCATGTTAATGCCAGCAAGTTTGCTTGCCTATGGCCTCCTTCACCAAATGAGTATGGTGTTGAGTCTGTATTTGGTATGTTTTCTCTTACCAATATTGTTACAGTTGAATTGACTGACTATAATGTAGCAAATGGTTTGGACCTGGGGCTTGTGGATTTCGATTTAGGTGATGCGGTTTGGCGTAAATACCTACCAGCGGCATTGGCTGCCGGAAAGTATTTAGCTAAGCCTGATCCGGAAGTTCTCCATGGCGGATTGGAAAGAGTGCAGGATGGCATTGATATCCTTCGGAAAGGTGTATCAGCGAAGAAAATTGTCATAGAGGTTGCAAAGAAAGCATGATGGCTTGACAACCCACTCTTAAGCCCGCCAACCAGATTTTTCTCATTCAGAGTGCTTAATCTCTTCAAAAGGATCTTGGAACATGAACCCTAAATAGCTGCTGTATCTGATAGTTTTTTTATTATTATCGAGTTTTTAAAATTCTATATGACAAGTATTACATTAAAGATATCATTCTTGACATCATACATCTATCCTTCAAGCGTAAAATAATAAACATAATCACATTTCCTCCTCATGAACTTTAACTCCAGCCTTCTTCTCCACATCCTTCTGTTCGTCCACAATTTCTTCTTTCTTCCCTTCATAATCCAAGAAGAGCCTATCTGGAAAGGGAAATAACGTCTTCCTTCTAGGAGCCGGCTCGTCGTGCGCCATTCTCCAAATATTACCCGTAACATTCTTTCCTAAAGTTTCCACCACAGGCGTGAGTATCGGTAATGATGCAAACAAAGTTCCGTAGCAAACTACAGCTGTGATCAAAACAACCGACCAATAAGGAAGCGGAGTATAGGCAGCCAGGTGCACACACACGATACTACCAAGGGACCACCATACCAGGCCATGGACCAAATAAATGGTGAAAATATGTGGGAAGAGCATTACCCAAAGCTTCATAGATAGAAAATATTGAACGGGGTAGCAATTTTCAATGACGAATTGAAGGCCGACGGCAAAGATTATTCCATTGAAACGAGGGTTGAAATATTCTGGATATCCTGCGTTCGCTGTTTGTGCAATTGGAAGACCGGTCTCGGGATCTGGATGAATACCGCGTTCTACGATAGGTAGGGAGAAGCCAGTCCATGCAGTGATCAAATCGTTTGATAAACCAGCAATGGCAAGCAAGAAACCAATAGTGATGCCGGTCCAGAGGACAATAGCATGTTCTTTGAGCCACTTTTTGTATTTGAATGTGACGTCCAAATCAGTGTAAAGAACTCCAAACCAGAAGAAAGTACCCCAAGATTGGGCGTACCAGTGATTCACAATACAGAATGCATAGTAACACATTCGTTTCCAAGGAGTCTTAATCTGCCTAACCACGATACATCCCAAAAGTGTAATCCAAGAACCTTCAATCTGTACAGGGATAGTCCAAAGAACACCTGTACAATAGTTGTAAGTGATCTGCGGAGCTGCGTTGGGAAGCAGGTACACCAGTTCTAGGACTTCGGAGATGTAATGAGAAAAGTCTGTGTATTCTACAGCATAGGGCCATGTGGTCCAGCTGATACTAGGAAGATACTCTAGCCAAGTCAAGGCGCCGACATCCATCAGAAAGTACTCGAGCAGAGCGCAAGCCGCAATCGGAATCATGACACGGAATGTTCTTCCAGTGGTCTTCTCAGCTATACTTCCAAGATCTCCAGTGCGTAGGTAACGACTGATAAGGAAACGAGTGGATGTGATGAAAAAAAGTCCAAGGAGAATCTGATTAAGTAGATATGATCCAATGGTCTTCCGAATTGTGATTTCATAGCTATAATGCTCAAGAGCTCCAATCATACCCATCGCTGGTGAAAATGTAAAGATGAAATGAATAAGAGTCACCATTAATGTTGCAATGGATATGAGACCCGCCAAGTATTCGATCCGCTTGGTGGGAGGTGTACGAGCATTGATGGGTGTTGCTGGAAAAGCAATGGGAGCTGGAACTTCTGACACAGCGTGATTAGGAGGTGCGGGCCGAGAAGTTTCATTTTCAGTACTTTTGGTGGCACCAGCTATTGGCCAGTCTTTGTCCTCCGATATTTCTGCTGGCTGTTGGTTGAAGATGAATGAATTCTTCATAGTTACATCGTCTAGGTTTGCATGACTGTCTTTGCCAAGATAAGCTGAATGTTTGGGTGTTACACCTCTCGAATCGTTCAAAGTGAACCCGCTCATATCTGAAGTGGAAGGTTGTCGAGATGCTGCAAAAGAATTATTTGTCATATATTTGCCTTCTTGATCGATCATGTCCCTAAGTGTGAGTGATGAAGCTGTAGGCGTAAATCCAACTGGTGTTATTTCGAGATCATCTTTTGGTTTTGACTTCTAAAGATGAAGATCTGGTCGATGTTGTTGGCGTGGTTTCTAAAGACAGAAGAAACTTTGAATTGGAAATTTGTGGTGGCAAGCGGTGACAGCCAAATGCCTTTGGTTCCTTCGGGGCTTTGGAATCCTTTGTAGGCCATCTTTGGAATGTAACGTTGCAAAGTAAGAGTACAGTAAGAGCGACAGAACAAGAGAGACAAATGTAAGCAAAGGTTCGAATCCCGGGTTCATGGTGTGTTGGCTTCCATTTCTTGATAGAATCGACACCGAACTCAGTATAGCCCCGCAATGATATGTCGTCCATCGGGCATGCATTTTTAACAGCGCATCTAGTGTCGAATTCTTTGTGCTGATCTTTGGTCATGGTCGATGAGTTGAAGAACGATCGAGTCCACCCAAGATTGGCCTGAGTTTCCTTTGTCGGTGGTCCCTGGGTAAAATATGAATCCCCGTTCGACCAGAGCTTAAAGATTAGTGGCGATGGAGTGACCGGAAATTTTTTACTGCTTTCATTCTTGGTGGAGACTGATCGAGCTAGTACATTCCCGATGTAAAATTGAACGGAATCCTTCGTCCAGTCTAGGCGGATTTCCGTGAAATCCCAAGGATTTATCTCCGGACTGTAAGAGCCATTGTTGGTCAAAGTACTGAAATTAAGCCCATATACACGATTAGGAAACTCATCTCCTATCAAAGTATTGATCCAGGCATCTGTAGGCTTTTGGGCGTTCAGACTATTGATCTGAATATTTTGTGTCTCGTTGTACTTGAGAAGCATCGACATTCCCGTGCCTCCAGTCCAAGCTTGAGCAGGACGAATCATTGATCTGAAAGAACCATATTGGATATCAGATCTCAGAGTCCGAATTGAACCCCCTTTGACGAGATGGTGATCAGTTGGGGGATTTATTGTGAACTCCAGTGATGAGGAGTTCACGATGCCACTAGATGTTGAATTTGTGATCTGGACATTCGATGGATCGGCACCTTGCCTATATCTCGAATTCCAGCTTTTTTCGTACAGGTTTGCGTATTCTTGGTTCTGGAAAACCTCGGAAGGGAATGTCGTCGTTTCGTTGAAGTAAACAATCAAGAAATCGGTAAATAGGTTTCCCGTCGCTGGATCATAATAACCACAAGAGCAATTCGAATTTGAATCTGCTGCGACTTCATTTATTAAGCCCAGGGCAAAAATAGTGAAGTAAAGAGAATGGAAATACATCTTGATGGAAGCATGCAAATGCAAAATCAGAAAGACAGAGGCAGATGCCAAACTCCAGTGCTTTTCTGAAGTATATGCAAGAACTTTATCGCGCTTTTCATCCTAACGACAGGGCTGCACATGGAGCTAATCAACTCCTTTAGGCGGAGAGTCTGAACAATGAGCTATCACATGGAACTACCAGTATGTTTGCTAAGCACCCGGGCTGATGTATGGATCAAGCTTGGTGTTAAATTTAGTATAAAATCTAAAAGGCTTTAAGTCGATGTTTTATTTACATTTGGAACTAAAACGCGCGTGCAAATACTCAGCACGTTCGCCTCATGGTTTTCCAGATGCGTGCTTGTCGGAAGTTAGATAGATACCAGCTCAAATCCCCACAAAGGCAATGCCATGACGCTTGTTTTCATTTTCCAGTTAGTGCTCTGGATTTACACCGCTTTGGTCCCACTGTGATGGCGTTGATTTCTTGTCCCACAAGATCCACAGCAACGACTTCAGTTGCAACTGTTGCAGAGTATCCAATAGTGCGGAATGCAATCCAATAATAGGAGACTTTTGAAGTTCCTGAGTTTATTTGAGATATTTAAGTCAATAAAAATAATGAATTAGATTCAAATATTCATAACATTTAAATATGGAATATAATTAAAATATTCAAACTAGTTGAAATATTAGATTATATTCAAATATTTCAAAGAATCTGTTATGATCAATGAAAGTTAATCTAATCTTCCGGTCCGGACTATTGGCTACCCTAACTTAATCTTGTTGCAAGTAGAGAATCCATGTTATTTTTCGATTGATTTCGCCCCTTCTTTCAGATCGCACTGAAATCGGCTGGTCATCTTGAAATTTGAAGCTTGTAGTTTGTAGATCTCGAGTACAAGGGGGCGTCGGTCGGGAGTCCCATATACGTTCCGGGCATAAGTTTACCCAGATCCAGATATCCCAGGACTATCTCGAAGATCTAGATGACGGCTTGAGTACCATGAAAAATGGTGAGCATCCAAGCCCATGGGCCTCGAGGTTAAGAATCAGACGCAGGGGTAAAAAAAAATGATGTTGGCAGTGCAAGATTACGGGGTTTGGGTCTGAAGATGGAACTACTCAGTCTCCGTGTTATGTCTATTATTATATTTGGCAGAATTAGGGCGGTGAGTATGAAAAAAAGATCGGACCACCAAGTGGACATGCTTTCTTGGCACGTCGCGGCTCCTTGCTAGCCCCTGAACCTCTTCTTCCTCTTACCCCTTGCCCATCTTCCGCTTCTAATCCTACCCACCTTTTCCCCCGGCCAAACAAAGCTTCATGTTATCATCGAGGCTTTTTAACGATGATACAATATCTTCAGAAAAGGAAATCAATGGTTTGTGCGAAAACGGACGAGTTGCTCTTCGACAATACACATCTGGGACACTCGGCGATTTTCCTCATGCGAATAGCTCAGTAAGCTTGTGGCACTTGGAATTCCAGATCTATCTCTACCCATGCCTCTGATCCTATATGTGATTTTCCTTAATGTTGAAGCCCACTTCTAAGCATATCCAATCCGTGGGTCTTGTTTCTTGGCATTAATCTTTTTGAAAAAAAAAGAGAGGACCTGTGTATCAAACGTCCTGAGGGGAAGGGGGAAGCCGCCCCTCGCGATAGACGGTATCATTAGTGGATGCTGATCTTGCTTGTTTTATGCTGTCTTTCCCACAGCAAATCCAATGAGTTGCTACAGCACTAAGCTGTTCGTCTCATTTCCAAGTTAACTCTCAACACCCGTAAAGCTAGTCTGAAGCTGGAGCTTTGGCTCTAATTGGGGTATTAATCTCATTTTCTGCTAATTTTATATAATTGATCTCTGGACATTACTTTATAGATGCCTCGATTGCTATTCGTACAACAATTCTTTGGTTTTTTGACCTTCCATTTGTTCCTGGTGGTGCTCTTTCTGTCTTTTCCTTAACGGCACACACTAGCCGTCGCTGAGTCACCTTTGTGCCTATACCACTTCGAAAAAATGGCAAATCATGGCGACGAAATCTCCACAATCGAAGAGCTTCCTAGATACAATAGCCGTCAGTCTTTCGCCCCTAGACGTGATGGCTCCCCGGGTTCTTCTGTTGGCGGAACAAGTAAAGAAGCACATGTTACCATCCACGATGCCCCGAGCTCAGCATTTGAGAACAGCATTGGCGAAAAACCGGATGGTTTCAAATTTTCTGCCCAAGAAGATATTGTGCCTCCTCCAAGTCGCGGCGAAAGATCCAAAATCTCGACCTCTCTTGCTATTCGCAACAGTTTTGGAAGATGGTCCAATTTTATACATGAATGGACTCCCTTCATGCTTGTCAGCTCTTATTTTACCACATCTATATTTGCATATATGCTATTTCCAACGAAACTTTTAGAAGTTTTCTGGTTCATATACAATTTCACCAATTTCATCATTGCTGCTTCCACGGCTCTGGAGGCATTTATGGGCCTGGAACCCAATCGACAGGCTCGTGTTGCAGTTACGAAGGCTGCTGAAAAGGGCTGGAAGTTCCCTACACCAGAAGATGACCTATTAATTTTAGACATGGTCATTGTTGCATATCTTCCTAATGAACAAGACATCATAATGGACAGGATTAGGTATGCGTGTGAGAAGTTGGAGTATCCGGTCGACAAAATTCGCATCAACATTGTTTACAACACACCTGTTCCAATCCTACCCCTCGAGGACGAGATGTGGGAAGCAGCCGCCAAATACTCCCAGCTTCGAATCATTAAAGTTGAAGGCTCCACATCGAAAGCTGACAATCTTAACTACTACCTCAGCCTAGACACCGGCTCAGATGTCACTGCTATTTATGATTGTGATCATTTTATGCACCCACACAGCCCAAGATGGGCAATTGAACGTTTCATAAAGGAGAAGGAGAAGGTTGATATAGTTCAGGGCCGCTGCATTGTTTTCAATAGCGCCGCTTCCTTCCTCACTAGTCTCATCAGCATAGAATTTGACAAAATTTATGCCGTTTCACATCCGGGAAGAGCCACTATCTGGGGGTTTGGTCTATTCACGGGGTCCAATGGATATTGGAGAACATCACTTCTCCGAGAGATGAAGATGGACGGGAGCATGCTTACTGAAGATATTGATTCTGCGCTTCGAGTTGTAGCCAGAGGAGGCAACACTATTCACGATTTGAATGTTGTGTCATATGAGCTAGCACCCACAACCTTTCCAGCCTTCTGGAAACAGCGCCTGAGGTGGGCTCAAGGATGGTCAGAGTGCACGCTTCGGCATTCAATTTTGACGTTCAATCGAGCAAGAGAAGGGAAAAGAATCTTTACCACAAGATTTGGACTCCTCAATTTATTGCTTATCCGCGAGACAAGCTACTATTTGGTCACGCAATTCTTCTGCCTGGTGGCTGGCTTTATTTTCCTCAATTTCCCCTTGACCCCAGCAGCGTTCTGGAAAACAGTTTTCTTTCAATATCCAGTTTCTGAATGGTTTTTCTTCGTCAGGTAAGATTCTTATATCCGCTCATTCAACTCCATTGCTAACTGATCAACAGCATATTTTGTTTGATAGGTACACTTTGGGTCACTAACCAAGTTAAATCAGAGTTTGCAACAAGGTTGATGATCATCAAGTTCTCAATCGCTTACCCATTTTATTTGTTATTCTTGGCAACAATTGGTATATACGGACATGCTCGTCACGTGGTCAAATATTCATCTTGGAATCCTACGGCTAGAACATAGACTGTACGATAATTTTACGAATAACTACATTTTAATGGGAGGGGATATTTAGACTTGGTCATTGTTATCTAGTCGGCGTTTGGAGCAAAAGGTTGAATTATATGATACTGTTGCCAGCTGTTCAGAGAGACAGTAACACGAGGCAGAATCATCAACAAAACCACTTCGATTCAACCTAGTTTAGAATAAAATGCGCATTCCCAAAACCTTCCACCATAACGCGTCTCCAACATGATGACCAATATGAAAATTTAATGCTGTTTTGCAATTCTCACTTCAAAAATTTCAATGTGCTATGATTTTGTTGACTAGATACCTATCTTTAGTTGATTTTTGCGGGCCGGGCCTCAAGTCTTTCGAAATGCTTCTTTTGCCAAGACACCCCTTACCTTACCGAGGCCGGCAACAACCCTCGTGTGCCAAAACCCCAAAGATAGATTTTTGTTTGAAATAAATGTGCATGTGAGTTAAATGGCATGTACAATATATGGTAATAAATATTGGTTATTACCAGACATCTATCTGTATGTTACTTCCCTAATACTCGTGATATTTGTAATATTTAAAATATATATACTTGTGGCCTTAAGGAATTCATTTTTTGGAGGTTTTGGCACGAGAGCCATTGCTGGCCTCGGTATGTCACATACCCCTGATGTTCCGTGGAAACTTTGAAAACAATGGCATGGATATCAACCGTGCACCCACGCTCAACATCATTCCGGTTTCGAAGATAAACTCGTCGATCCAATCCCCACTCTCAGACCCAGAGGTCTCAGATTAAAGAGGCTCTTTTTTCGATATTGAAAGATCGTCAATCACATTTGACAAACCGCACTACTGTCATTTCACCACGTCTAAAATCCGAAAACGGTACTGGTAATTTCCTTTATCACGCACCGCTATTTTAAAGATGGGCACGGCGTCTGAAGATCAGATAACAAGCCGAAGAAGAAACTTCATCCCACCTTTTGACTGAGACTAGATTCGCTAGAGCTTTATTTTCAATATCATGCAGAACTACTCATATTGTCCGATATCTTGCCGTCTTTTGATTCGATCCCATGGGCGACGCCTCTTGGCTGGACGTTACTCGTGCGCACCCCCTTTAGCCACAGATGCCACGAGCAAATATGGAATTCTCAGGGTACTTCTACCGTGCGCAACCCCTTTAGCCACATATGCCATGAGCAAACATGGAAGCCTCACGGTACTTTCTACCGTGCGGTGAACCGAGGGTTCCTGAATTTAGGGTGGATCCAATGCCGGGACTAACAACATCAAGCTTTGATCTACCGAGCCTTTGAAATTGACTAGGCCGAGCTAGGCCATAGTCAGGTGGCAGAATTCAAAAGCGTCATGACATTTTGATGATCATGATAATCATGATAATGCAATCAAACTGAGAATTGCCACTACGCTAGGTCAAGTGGGACCTTACCAACATGACACTGCTCTAAAGCAAACGTGGAAGAATGTCTTATGATGATACGGCACGGCATTCACAAAGTTCACAGACAGCTGAAAAGTGATGGCAACGCCAACGCAAAATATTGATGGGGCAGAGGGTACGAAAAGGTAAAAAAAAATTGTAAGAGACCCAGTGGATCTTCAATAGAATTACAAGCTTCGGTATCGAGGTCTGAAGGGGGCGACAAAATTTCTGGAGACGTGGTTCCCCATATCCACATCCGGAAGCAAAGCTCTTTAACTTCCCTCTCCATCCAAAAGTTGGGATATTTCGAAGGCAAATTGATTTCGCTATGGCTTCTACCAAATTTGCACCTGTGAGAGACTTCTACCAAGAGCCTACTTCTCATCAAATTCCCTCGCAATCACACTTCATTGGTGTCAGGGGATTTATTGTGCTCCAATCTTTTCTCTGGAGTTTTCTGACTGTCATCGCTCCTACAACTGTTACCGGTACGCCCAATTCCGATGGCCCTGTATATCAAGAGATTCTCCGAAAAGTATTTTCCGTACTCTTCTGGAATGAGTCTCTAATCTACAGTACATTCATTCTCCTAAGTGCCCGCACAATCTGCACGCCTTTCCTAAATAACCCCTCCCACGATTTCGTCGCATCTTCATCTTTCCGTCGAGGTCTTCGACTATGGTTTCCCTCCGCAGTTTCCCTCGCAATCGTTTACATCATTTTCACCTGCATCGGAACATCTTACATCGATGATTTCAAAACCGCAACAAACAATACCACCATTAAAACACCCTACATGCTTCCAAATGCCCTTGCATACTTCAATTCCGTCTTCACTCTCTTCTGGACGAACAAGAAATTCGATGCCCAAGCCGCGAGCTATGCGTATCCTTCGCAAACACTCTGGGTCGTATCCGTTCTTTTCCAACAAAGCTATACCGTTTATATGACAATGGTTATTATCCCATATGTGCGAAAATCATGGAGAGTCAAAGCTTTTATCGGGTTTATCATTACGGCGTGGTGGGTTGACAGCTGGGCTTGGTATTCTATTACCGGTCTTCTATTAGCTGATGTTAGCATCAATATGGATTTCCAGACGCGCGCCCGTGCCGGAATATCTCTGGGTACTTGGAGAGGCAGAAATTTGAGGCTACCCGTTTGGCCATTGTACAGTATTATTACCTTGGCAGGTGTGATCATGATGTATTTGTGGGCAGCATGGAGACCTCAAGACGTGTACAAGGAGGTTAGGATCCATACCGGAGAATATTCAACTGGTGGGTTGAATGACGTGGTACTGGAAGCTGGGTCTCCAATGGCGAGAGACGATAATTATTTATTCCTGCTTGGAACTTTCCTGTTCTTGGAGACCTGGAGCTGGTTACAAGCATTGTTCCGCAATCCAGTTCTGATGTACTTGGGGAAAAGATCATTCAGTAAGTCCTCACAGTCCCCCATACCGTCCATCGCGTATATACTAACAATCTCCGTAGGTTGGTTCCTCGTTCAAAACATCATTGTCTATACGGTGGGCATTAAGCTCTTCGCCCATCTCACAGAAACAAGAAATGCATCCTTTGAGGCAGCAGCCACAGGTTGTTTCTTTGTATGTTTAGTGACGGTTATTCCAAGTGCAGAGATATTTTATCGATTGATTGATTTTCCTTCTCAGGCATTTGCCAGAGTGACATTTGACTGGATTAAAAAATAGATGGAAGAACGACTCAATGGTTTATGTTATCGCGAATATAGATGAATAGAGCTACTATGTCTCATGTACTCTCAATAGGAAGAATTAATCAATACTCTACACTACGATGACCTCTCCAAATCTCATCCGTCCATTACTTATGTATTCACCATAGACAGGTGTAAACTGGAAAAGCAAGAAAGGAAGTAACTTTTAAATGAACGGACTTTGCATTTTTTTCTAGATACTAAATACCAAAATAATAAATGATCCCATCTAACTCCATTAAACATTAATTTAACCATGATAGCTTCTTTCTTTCAACCCCACCGCCAGGATCAAGGTAACACAATATTAATTGTGAAGAAATCTGGCTCCCTCCGATCTTTTTACCTCATTTTTTCGATTTTTTTCCCCTGTTTTTCTACCCTCTTTTTTTTCATGTTTTTTTTTGTTTACCCTCTTTTTTTTTCATCTTTTTTTTTTCATTTCTTTTCTGTTCTTTTCTTTCTTCCTCTTAGCCCCTCTTCCTCCCACTTTTCATCATACAAAATCTCTCCCCTCTCAACCCCTATTACTTTTCTCAAACTCAGCAAGCTTGCGTTTCAACTCCTTCGTCGCCGCTGGATCCATACTGAGGCTGTCCTCGGGCATAGTCTCCAGATCTTTGACGTCATCATCATCCAGCGCCAATACTGTGCCATTAACATGAGCCCCATCATCAACCACCTTTGTAGGATCCGCATGCCAATCCATGTTAGCCCATTGCTCACCGACATTGAAATTCCTGTTTTGCATCATATAGATCATACACCTATACTTGTGGCTCAACATGAACTTCAATCCGGAACCACGATGCCAGCGAGAATTCCAGTCAGTGTAAACCCAACCTTTCTCGTTGGAGAAAATCTTTGACGATTCCGGCCATCTGCCTGAGCAGAAGAGATAGTTTGCTGTGTTCTCATCCATGTTCTCGGTCTTTTCGCGGAGTGTTTGGCAGACTTCACGATTTTTTCCTTCAATGTCCGGTTTCATAACACGACGATGTACGAGTCCGTCTTGCCATGTTTTTTCCGGGAAGAGGAGACGTTGTCCACAAATGATGTTCAAGTAACGAGTTAAGGGGGCCATTTTACGTGTTTGCTAGGGATAAAGTTAGTTGACCGTTCATGCACGGGAATGAATGTATAGGACTTACTTCAGGGCAGTGATGCTGAAACATCTCCCAGGCACGGGGGTTTGCTTTTGTTTCTTCTCCCCAATCAGTGGAACCAAATCCCATACCCAAGTTTGTCAGATGAGATTCAGTATCCATGCCTCTATAATCCTGTCCGCTGAAGCATGGGAAATTCCTAGATCTTCTGGGTTTATCGGCGATTCTGTTGGACTTGCTGGTTGACACAGAAAGAGTAATAGCCGACCTGTCCCCATTGAATGTGAATTCCTTGCCATTTACATAGTCCAATTGAGGTTTGTGGAGCTTTTTGAGTTCCCGGGAGTATTCCCAAGAAGTTTTCTTGATATCCTCAATATCAAAACCATGTTTGGAAAGTTTATCCAAGCCGATGAGTTGCTTCTCATGATTTCCGGAGTCCATCATTGTGTAGCAATTGACTTGGCACAATGTATCAGGATAATCCTCAGGACAGAATCTTTCACTGGCAAACTTTTTGGCGTGGCATCTTTTCTTAACGGTTCCGCGATTGAGTTCGGTTTGACATTTCATGTAACATTTGTTACTGGCCCAAGCAGCAGAAATAAAGTAACCTGAGAGCTTCTGACTGAAACTCTGAGCTTCTTTGGCAATGTCAATGCTGTCGAGCCGGCTAATGATAGCCTCGTAGTCGGCATTAAACATCCAATCACTCATTGTCTTACCTGTTCCTTGAACATCTGTAAATCCGTTGAGGGCCCTGAATACATCACTGAGGTTTTGTATGTACTGCTTCATAATTTCGCTTATGTGAAAGCTGGCGTCGGCAATACGGACCATGTTGTCACTTCCAGTGCCAGCAATCCCATCCATGTGGCCGCAGTAAAGATCGCTTGTGTATCTTTCACTGGTTAGGCGCAAGAAATCAATAGAAGATTCTCCTTCGTTACCTTGTGGGTGCTTTATAGCCTTCCCCACAGTATGCTCCATTGGCAATGTGAAATCCAACAGTTGTTTCAAAAATTCAGTAAACATAAATGGGTCTGCCTTACTAAGCTTTTTCCAAGAGGGCGGATTGAGTCCGGCGTCTTTTATCTCTTTACCTTCCTCAGCCTGAACAAACCTTGACATGCCAAATCTCAACGCCTTGCCAGTGTATTGATATATCATATTAATGAACCATTTTTTAATCTCGCATTTGAGAATCGTGTCCTCGTTGTCTTGTTTCGTGAAGTCGTAGATGATGCTGTCTATTCTTGCCAGTACAAAGTCCTGGGCCCGAGCAAGTGCGTTCTACTGGTTTTTAGCATGAGGGGATTCTAAGAGTAAATCAGTACGTAAAACTACCTACGATAGTGTGAGTTCCGGTGCGGAAGACCAGATAGTAGCTCATACCGGCCCAATACCTGGCCTGAGCTTCTTCGATTTTCTCATCCCGTGTCATGCCAGGTTGGGATACATCCACGAATTCCAAAACTTCAAGCGGAGTTGGCATTGCAGTACAACCATTGTCAGGATCGCAGAACCAATGAGGCTTCCCAAGCTTTTCTTCACCGTAACGGGCCGACAGACTCTTTCCGCTGCCAGAATCGTGCAAAGCCAGAGTCTCCCAATCTTTGTATCTCGGGGCCCAATCGAACTTTTCCATGTTGGGTGTGTCCATCTTGAATATACCGCTATTAGAGATGCCCACAAGCTCTGGGCGTGACCAAGTCTCTTGTCTCTTTGCAATTTTGAGGTCATCAGGCGAGCTCAAATTTTTGAAAGTGGATGGGGAAGTGGACGAGGAAGTAAGGATATCTTTGACTGCTGCGGGGACGAGGTCTACCCAAACATGACCCGCTGCTGGGGTTCCGGATTGGAATACCAGAGGGTCATTTGGAGGTACGCTTTTCAAAGGCAGTGGCGGAGGGTCATGCTTAATCTCGGCCGTCAGAGCGCTAGAAATGCAGGCGCCCAACGCCCATATAGACGCAGGTCTTAGAATCATGGGTAATCCTTTTGATCAAAGCTGATACTTAGTTTCGAATCCGAGAAGTTGAGAAGACCTAATGCTGTTTGTTTAAATGTTGTTGATACGAGAACAAGCGTGCACTAGAATTATAAGGCTGTTGTTAGATTACTTCTGTGTAATACAAGGGAGACGTGAAAGGGTTAGATGATACGTACAGTTACGTATTCTGAGGTTAAGCTTGGGTGTAAGGTTATGAAGTTTGTAAATACTGTGAAAATTTAGTGGTTAGAAAGCTGTTCTGGTTTTGTTCTATGTGCGATGTTGTTGAAGAGTGAAGTCTCAAGTGGGACGGAGGAAAGTCAAGACTCTATAGATTCAATAAGGCGGAGGTGACTAGTCTAGCATCCTGTTCAACATCTATGCTTCCCTACCACCGTAAGTAAACAAGAGGACAAAAGCAGGAAATAATTTAGATTTGCAGATCATTCCCTAGTAATTCGTAGTCAGATGGCACCATCTTGCAAGTTACTCGAGCTGAAAATAAATGGATGAACAATAGCTTGGAAGAATGCGAATGTGATGAAAGTGATGTCAAGACTAAAGTAGCACTAATAGGGTTTATGATGATCCGGTCTGCATTTCGGATTGTGTGAACGGGGCTTAACAAAGAAACAATTCTTATTGGAAGAGAATGGCAGAGCGGGTGTGAAAGCCGTCAATTCTAGTCACTAGAGCTAAGAATATGGGTATCATCATCAATACTGCTAATTTATATAACCTTGAATACCTCATCAGTAGGTCCTACACTAAAATATATGAATATCACTAATGTTGAAATGATGATCAGTAAGTGTGCGGAGACAACTAAGATGAACTTAAAGCTTGTTGATATAACGAGGGGGACTGTTGCCCCGATAATTTTCAGGCCTTGGAAGTCAGTTATTCGTGTACATATGGATGCCATTTTTGTTAGAGGACATCATTCTATGAGTAGCATAAAGATTTAGGGAGTCTTGCGCAAGGAATCACCGCTTCCCAATCAATCCATTCCTGAAATACCCTCTGAAAAATGGCTTCTAATGAGAGTTCGAAGGATGTTTCAACAACAATAGTTTGCATTGAGTCATTGAGATTCTGATAGCCTCAGTTGAGACACATCAACCCGGTATCAGCTTGAGATGTCACCAAATTAAGGTTATGCTTAGCAAACACCACCGAAGATCTACATTGTTGACATATGATGTGGCTTAAATCTGGGCTTTAGTTTTCGTCCGTACACCAAATAAACGAATAACGTTAAATTATCACTAGCTTTCAATAGCCACAACAGTATACTTTTCAATCCAGACTTCAAGCTAGAACAAGCCAGTACTGACATATCCTCGAGCTAAATTCGCTAAAATGGATGCCCCCCTAAGTTGGTGCATGACCACAATGATCCGATACGGAGATACGGCCAGCGTTCGGGAACACAATGGACCTAGCTAGCTTCGCGCGGAAACCCAAGGGTGGATCATCAATTGTTGTTGACGTTCCTTGTAGATCCGTTTAAGAGCCATTTACGGCACTGGTGCCCTGAAAGGCGGGGTATGGAGAAAATATAGGCAAGTTTGCTAAATGTACTAACATGAAAAGACTCCGAAAGCCGGATAGTCTAGATTCAATTGCTCAAGTTTTTGATTGTTATGACTCCGGACTGAAATTACTTGTCATAGAAAGTGTTATTGAACGGATTGGTGTTCAAAGGTAGGATTTATTAGTACCTACATGCCTGCAAACAATATCCTTTCTCCTGAATAATCGATCATCACACCTTCCGTATACGTCATACATAGCACTTATCGTGACCCAGGCAATGAATCGCTGAATGATACTAGTTGTAGGTGTGAAGAGGGTTATGTTATTATTAGAGTTACGATTTCTGATTATATAGACCCACAATCATCATCGTATTTTCCATATTGAGCCTAACATCGCGTTCCTCCCAAATCATATGCCAAAGATACTCTGCAAGTGTTCCACCCTTCCAGTTCGACAATGATGTTTCGCATCCAATTCCGATAATGTACATACTCCCCCCTTTCTCTCGGCAATATCTGTAAAGTGAATACCACAAATTGAGCACAGAAGATCGGTCCGGTTCCGGCGGGCCTAATTATGTCTTTAACAAAATACTTTGCGCTCAGATCGCTTTTATTGTTGGAAACTTGTAATGGTAAGCAGCATTATTTCCGTGCAAATCGGAATTTCCAAGAAAACCCTACTCTTGAACGTAATTGAGGAGGTTGGGATGTTCAAAGAAAAAAATTTATCTTGCTTGGAACATCAATATGTCATGCATCCCGGCCACCATATTCGTGGTCATGTCGAAGCAGTGGTCTTGATTTCCCCTCCTCAGCGCTCCCTTCCTCTTCCCTTCCTCTCCTATCCCGCTCCTAATAATTGAAATATCATGATCCTTCCTATCCTTAGAAATAGAATAGAAAAGGAAGGAAAAAGAATGTTTTCTTAAGTAAGATTTAACAGCATCATTTTCTACTCTATAAGATTAACAAATAATATTATTTTTGGAATTGAATAAAATAAATAAGATATATTTTCAAAAGATAAATTCAAGTAATATAATTAATTAAATAAAAGATTATATATTTTTATTTTTATTCATAACATTTAAACACTCTCAATATATTTTTGAAAAATTCTTTCTATTTAAACTATTCCTCTCCATTCCTATCCTGAAAATTTTGACCACTTCTTCCTGCTTCTAATAATGAACTCCGGCGGGTCTATCCCTTACTATAATGCAGGATAGAAGAGGAGGGAAAATCAATACCACTGGGAAGAAGATTATCAAAATTGATCAATGAGATATGTAAGGTATGTTACTAAATCATGGCCTTTATTCCACCCGTATAATGCGGCATCCTGATCATTAATTGAGCAGTTAGATAACTACCAGTTGCGATTTCATAAGAATCAGTAATTTCAGGCTTTTGGGAATCGAGCTTCTGAATGGAAGTACAAGTGATTCAGGTAAATATCCATTAATCAATGATATGTCTACATTCTGTAAGTTCCAGTCAGAGAAGCGCTGTCTTGTCCTTTCCTTACCATTGTCGGAATGTATGCATTGATTGAGGCGCTGACGATGTTGAAAAAAGTGATGAAATTGCACAAATGGAAAATTAAAAAGAAGATCGGAGAGGATAACTCGCGATAATAATCACTCTAGTGGTTTGTTTCGTAACCTGGGACTCGCACGCAGCGTCCGCACTACGCCGAACAAACGGGGGACTACCACTTATTACATTTATATACTTTAATACTACATGTATCTATTTTGCTATGGTAATACGATAGTGAAAAAAGTTTACCGTCAGTATTTGTAGACTAAATATGTACGGTTTGATAATGAAGCGGGATTCCCTGGAAGGCCTCTTCCTTAAAATCTCAACATCGTCTCTCTCTTACTTTCACATCCAGCGACGCCACTTTACATCACATTCCCAATCATTGGAAAAGGATCTCAACCACATACTAACATTTACCTCTACCAAACTATCGACACCTCCCAAAACTATAAACAGTCATGGCACATCTGGAACCCAACGTAGAAGCACAGGACGCACCTGTCCGTCGACTCATGCTCGGTTGCGAGTTCACTTACGACAACATTAACCCTTTTCCAATGCAAAGAATATTCCTTCGATATTTTACTAGTTGCAAAAGCTCCCCATGCAAAACACTATGATATCAATTATAGGAAAGCACAGCTAGCTTTTCGGGAGGGGGTCGTCTGCTGGTAATTATATGATGAGATTTAATCAACGATGTATTGATATCGAGCCTCCTGATGTAATGCATCCGCGAATTAGGGATGCGTGTATTGACATGTCGAGGGAATGGGATCAGATCTGGGGAGGAGATGAGTGGGAGGGAGATGAAGAGGATAATTGGGAAGAGGAATTTGAGGAGGATGAAGTGTATGATGAGGAAATGGAGGATGGAGAAGAAGATGAATACGAGGATTATGATGAACTTGGCGAATATATGGATGAGGATGAGGATGAGGATGGCCATGGCGGTGGAAATTTCGAAGGAATAGTCAACGTTATTGGAGGCGGTGACGGGAACTGGAATTACACCTATCGTTCATGGTGTTTGTAGTTTTTGCAAACATCTGTCTATCGTCATTCAACTTTACGAGTCGAAATGAACAGATTCAGATGGCCAATATGGTAATGAGATTATTTGTTATGTCTTTCAAGGGAATACAGCGTGGAAGAGGGCATTTCAGACTAGGAAGGAACATGTGTATGTAAACAAAGATTTACGATAGAAAGGGTAGAAACTGTACAGAAAGCATTAAGCGAAGAAATATATAACTATTAATCTTAAACCCGTGCTATAGGAGGTATATCACATCAAAAATCAATTTCGTGAGATGATCTCTTTTCATATCGATCCTGATGTGTGAAGCCCTTCGTGATATTCATTTATAAAAATAAATCAATTTCGAGTACCGTATAAAAATATCATAAGCTCAAAAACAAAACCTCGTCTAAGCTCGAACATCATGTCATCAGCACGAGAAATCACATGCTGTTCACATGACTTATAGTTTTGTTGCATATCTAACCTATGTAATATTACATGGGTACATGACATTTCGCGGTAGTTTCTTGTGTCACCCGTGCTCTCAGTAATAATACCATTTCTACAACCATCAGATAATAAGTATATTTTCAACATTATCTGTTCAAAAGATAATAGAAACAGGAAAGGTTCAAGTCGATAATTATGCAATCCTGCTATTATTTTTGGCATTAGGTATGTATGCTTGGGATGGTCACCCAGGATATTCGGCTAGGAAACAATAGTGAGGCTAAAGCTTCTCACTTGCTGATCACAAGTGTCAGCGCATGATGTGAAGTCACTCTATGCACCATCTAGATACAAGTGGTCTATGGCAGTCACTGCTCCCTGAATTCAATTCATTCTTGCTAGAAATACTTTGTATTCCCAATTTCCAGGCCCGGATCCAATCCCCGGCTCGAAATTCCAATCCACCCTCAATATCTTCTAGCAAATCGAACATTATCCCAGATCTCCACGATTCCCACACTCAAACACCAAAATCTATCAAATAAACAGTCCCATACACCAAGCCTAAGCCTTCTTTTCCTTTCGTGCCAGACCGCCAAACAAGGAGCCCAATTCATCCGCACCTGACGATGCTCCCGCGCCACCGATCAGCGATGAAATCTCGCTCTGCAATGAAGCGAGCCCTGAAGATGTACTTGTTCCGCTACCATCGAGGAGAGATCCGAGATCTGGTAGACTAGATGCTGATGTTCCTGAGCCGAGAAGAGCGTCGAGTTGGCGCTTTGGCACGTTCGTTGGTGCGCTTGAGATGAGGGGGAGAATGGCGACGATGAGATAGGTGTGGAAATGCATTTTAATTTGTTCGTTGTGGGAAGGCGGGAAAGAATGGTGAGAAAGTCGGTTGGTCGCTTGGTAGGTTGAAATAGGAAAGTCGTTTATGAAAGTTATCGGATGAGTGACAATCGTTGAAAGTTTTCTGTACTGGCGAGTCTTCAGGAATGGATTTAATGATCGGATGAAGAGAAAGTGATGGCTACAAAGGCAAACTATTGCGAGCCTATTATACATCAGATTTAATTACAGGAGTAAGAAAAAGTAAGTATATCCCCACGTTTCCGCGTCTTCTAAACATCGACTAGCGGCGGATGGTGTCTGCAATTGATTACTCTTTAGCGCAGTAAGCTTCACGTTCCATAATAACATCGGACACTTTTCCATATTTCAAAAGCAACATTTTATCAGCAATGCAGGATATGACTTCGATTGCTGACTCTAATGCCGGGGTATTTGGATCCCTGCTGTCTGTGTTAGTGCGAGCGAAAAAATGTGGTCTTGTTGACATTCATTTGAAATTTTTTACTGATGTAAGGAACTAGAATAGGTGATAGAAGCAGGTTTGTATCTAGAATGATTGTTTAATATCTCATGGAGGAAATTGTCAATTGGCTTCACTTGACCAAAGGGCTCCATTCTATGAAAGATATTCGCCTATCCACTCACGAATACAAATCCCGTCAACGCAATCAAAGCAATCATTCATACTCATTGCACAAGTTCCAGGAAATCTCAATATAACATTTTTTTCGCTGTCCGAATACAATCGAATCTTTCTAACAGGGTATAAGTGAAAATTCTCGTTTTCTCGTCTCCTCATCGCCTCATCTCAGCCAAGTCGCAAGAATTCCAATTCTCCACGCCTTCCCATTCAACCCCTTTATATTCCCACCTCAAAACTCAAGCACCACCAGTTAAACCAGAAAGGAGATCCGCGCCACCCCCAGTACCCCAGCACCCCTGCACCCCTGCACCAGCACCAGCACCAGCACCTGCACCACCCGTCAACCCAGCAAAAAGTGCATCCTACCAAGTCATCAGCACTCATCCTCAATCCAGCAAGTAACAAAACGCAAAAGCAAGTAAAAACTCACCAAACCCCCAGCTCCCGTAGCTCCTCCAGCTGCCTTACCTCCAGCTGCCTTATCACCAGCTGCCTTATCACCAGCTGCTGGCGCGGCCCCTCCTCCAGTAAGTCCAGATAAGAGATCAGCGCCTCCTGTCGAGGTACCCGTTCCTGTGCCTGTTGCGCCACCGAGAAGATTATTGAGTTGACGTTTTGTCTAGGGTTTTGTTAGGATATCTATAGTGTTTATAGGGAATTGTGAAGTGGGAGATACGTACTGGCAAGGCGAGAGCCAATGGCAGGAGGACAACGGCGACCGAGATACGCATTTTTGGGTATTAGGGTATAGGTTAGAGACTAGGGTGTTGGGTGTTGGGTTGTATGATTAGTTGTTTAGAATGAGGATGTCGAAGCCTGTTCGATGAATAATGATAATGATAATGAAAATAATAATACGCAAGATTGGGTGAAGATGGAAAAATGGACAGGATGTGTCAATGGAAAGAAAGTATTAATCAACGAAACCAAAAAAACGAATAAAAAATAACAAATTACCTGCCTTTCCCCTTCTACTTATAGAAGAAGTAATCATCCGAAGTTCCCAATCATATTTTCATCTTTCCTTCTCTAGAAGTTTGAGAATCTTCCCAAAAATGTATCTCGGACCTCCATACATTCAGTCAGACATGTCAGATATTTAGAAATGCATAAGGTTGTGCCTCAGACCAGATGATTGATTGGTATAAGCCTTACCACTGTAACCATAGCAAAGCATTTTCGAAAAGAAGCATGGGTGGATATAAGTTTGTTTCCAAAATCGATGATCTGAGGGTCTGGGGTATGATATATTAATAAAGATGGGATTTTGGTGATGTTGTGAGGAGGGGAGTGGAGTATATGAGGTCTATTTTGTTTGAGAGGTGTGCTCGGATACCGATTCCGTAGGGTATGAAACATGATACGATGGATTTGGGGTTTGATGAAGTTGTTTGTTTTTTTGTTCTTGGATTTGCAGTTGAAAAATGATGATAAATCGGAGTTGTGAGGATTATAATGTTATTTTCTGGTATTTTTAATTGTTGTAGTTGGTATTGATATATAATTATATATAGATAGCATGTTAATCTCATAGTATTATAATCCGGAATCAGCAGCATGAAATCATTTATTAACCATGACAGAACTTGTAAGGTTAGGGTTACGAAATAAATCATAGTAAGAAAATAATGCAAAAAGTTTCGTGCTCGTCCAAACACTGACCTGACATCTCATGTTTTGGCGTTGGCTCTGTTGCTAAAGTATATGTGAAGGCGGTCTATCATCTATTGATTTCGTGCTATGTTCATGCGATGTTCATGCTCTGACATTGCATGTCGGATGACGGGATGGATTTTCTATGTGTAGGGAATAGATATCTTGAGAACGTAGTGAGGATAATGAAGACTCTGCTATGTATATATGTGGGAAGAATTATGGCGTGGTAGTTTTGACATGATAGTCTCGGTATGAGTATATGGAAAGGAATCTAAGAAAGTCTGTCAATCTGCAACATGTAAGAGAAGGTCGTCCGTTAGATGAAAAAAGCGAAAATCGAAAATCATAAAATTTTTTTTTCAAAACTTTACTAATTTATTTATTAATTAAAAAGCTTTAATTATTCTCTTTCTTTTTTAGAATTTCGTCTATTTCGCTTATTTCGCCTTTTTACTTTTTCACTTTTTCGGTTTTCGATTTTCGATATTCGCCTTTCCACTTAATGGACGACCCCCTCTTAAATCATGCCGTAACTGTGACACGTTTGATTGGCAGCCCCAGGTGTAAAAGTGGTCCGGACAGAGCGAGGATCCGCGGAAAATGATTCCCTCTTTTCGTCTGTTCTTCCCATGGACAACCTCCCAAACTACTGCTATTCCAAGTTTGTTACGGCCAGAATAGTTTTAATTAAGCATTGGTTGGATATCATCAATTATCAAAATTTATATGCGTTTTATTAGGTAGCAATAGATCACCATGAAGCGATCACTATCGACCAATCCATCTCAGGACGGCCACAAGGAAAAGATAGTTCGTCGGCAGGACCCTGTCTCATGTCAATTTTGTCGGACGAAGAAACTCAAGGTGACGAAGATGAACCTGATATGGACAATTAATCATATTCTAACCTTGACAGTGTGATCGCAAATTTGTAAATTCATCTTGTCCTAAGCTCATTCTCATTGTGGTCTAATACTGATCCACTTTCTCCTTGAAGCCATGCTCGAATTGTCATTCCCGCAAACTGTCCTGTACATCGGCTGCAACTTCCGCGGACCCTTCATCTATTCAATCGAAGGCTTTTGAGTCTAAACAACCATCCATGTTAGTGTTTACTGCCTACTTCTGGTTCGGCGTTCTCTAATTATTGCCATAATAGCCAAGGAATTGCGGAGTTGAATGCCCGATTAAAAAGGGTGGAAGAACTTCTTACAAAGAACTTCACTCCACTGGGCAGTTTGATAGACACCCCATCTGGTATTTCTGACTAATTCAAGCACCCTGGTACAAGGTACGAGCTGACACAAGTCCAGCTATTTCAAGGCAAGAGACCCTAGCAAAAGATGTTCAAATCACAAATACAGTCTCCTGGTTAGAGTCTGATGCCTTCGAGCATCGGAACCTGCATGCTTCAACCAATTATGTAATTCACCTTTTCTACATTTTGCCTCCGGAAAGCTAATCGAACAGGATCTTCTCTCATACGATGATGAAATTGCTCAAACCTTTACTGCTTCATTCTTATCTGTCCCGGCTGTTTCCCCGGGAGCAAGTGTCAACGCGCAAGATTTATCTTTACTCCCGTCTAGGAAGTATGCAAGGGTTCTCGTGAAATATTTTGTTGAAAATGTTATATGGATTTATCACATCATTCACATACCGACCCTCGAATCTCATCTGGACAGATTATACGATGATCTTGAGCAAAACAAACAACCTCAATACGGCCACCTCGCCTTGCTTTCCGCAGTCTTCGCGTTGAGTGTATATTTTCAAGGAGTTGAACCGCTGTCGACGACTCGTCGTTTGACATTATTGGCTCAAAAGGCCATGTGTGCTGCCAATTACATCGGGAAGCCCACAATAGAGTCGATCCAGGCGGTGTTGTTAATAGCGCAACATCTGTTGCCTAGTATAGGAGGTATTGCAACATTTCGAGTTTTATTTACCATTGCGATGCATTCGGCACGTTCACTTGGATTCGATCAACTTGACTCTGCTCAGAGCAAGAAACGAAGAGATGGAAAACAATTGAATTATGTTGAACTCGAAATTAAACGAAGAATTTGGTGGCACTTCGCTTCTACTGATTGGCAAGTCTACTTGGACATTTTTGCATGAATTATCTAACATATTGTAGGATAATGTCCTTCCTAAGTGGTCCGCAAAGCGGTACATACATGATTCACCCGCAACATATGAGATGTGATTATCCAAGTAATGTTAACGATGTCGACATCCGTCCTCCAGAAGATTATAACCAGCCTCTGACTGTGGAAACTGAAATGACTTATTACCATTTTCGATTGCAACTCTCGATCATCTGTCGGGAAATTATTGACGCTGTGCAAAATCTTGGCTGCGAGATACATGAGTTGCCTTACGAAACGGTATTGGGTTTTGACAAAAAGTTCACTTCCATCAAATCCCATTTTCATCCGTCATTTCTCTTGGATGCCAAAAGCCGGGCACAACATAAAGACCTAGACGCGAAATGCCCTTCCTTAGCGGTACAGAGAACCGCGGGGCATTTCGGACTTCAGACTAGATTAACAAGACTTCATCGACCTTATCTCGCACGAGGTGCTCATGACCCACGGTACTCTTACAGCCGGATGGTTTGTCTTCGATCTGCTCGTTCAGTCATTGAATTGGGAACGGAACTTACAGACCAGGGCAAAAAGCAAAATTTCCGACCAATCAGAATGTGGACAGTAACACATCATATCTTTGTAGCTACTCTCATACTGGTAATGGACTTCTGTCTGAATAAGGACGATCCACGACCAGAAGAGAGGAAAGCAGAAATAATGGATGCATTTAAAATACTTGAAACTTGTCAAGAAACCAGTACAATGGCAAAACGAGGCCTACAACAATTACGAGATATCCTACGAAGAGGAACATCACTTCCCACAGAATCTTTTTCCCAAGCTCAGATCCTCAATAATGGGTTATCCGATGTTTCAAACTCTGTAAATTCCTCTATACAACAAAATCAGGATTTCCAAATGCCAGAAACGTCGGCCGTCTTTCCTGGTCTTTATGTCAGTGACCCGTATTCACGAGTGGACTGGGAAAAAGTTGACTTTGATACTATCGAAAATATTAACTTTGATGTTGATCTGTCTGCTGATGACTTTTCAACACTTTTCCATAATGGAATGATTTCACCAGGTGGTTAATTTTCTGTTCACCAAGGGTATTTTACTGAGGCCCTTGAGCGGTCGAATTTGCAATTCGAGCCCATCGCTAGGATGAATTGAATTAAGTTTTAGGCGGTGTCCAGGCTTCTTTGCTAACAAGATTTCTGCGATTCTCAGGATTATCATAAATAAAACTGGATAGGATGCCGTGCATTCCCATCATTTTCATATCCGTCACGTGTCACAACCCCAATTGGCGCCCCAGCCACGGTCAGATCTAATTGTCCAACGATGCGTAAGGAAAGAAGAGTGGCATAGCGAATCAAATCATTTAATCATTCCCTAATCCTGTATAAGCCAATCATTATATTATTTGGTTTATCTGGTTCAAATTTGGCATCCGTTAGTGTTGGTTGACAAGGTGGTCGCTTCCGAGGTCGAAATGTCTAATTCAAGGAGGTTAGTTGGATAAGCGCCAACCTATATGGCCAGCTTTGAGCCTCATAATAACTGCAGGCGTTTCAATGTTGGAATTCGGTCATGATTTACTGCGGATAATCCAACAATTTCCAACAAATGAGTATCGAATAATATATAGTTCAACCGCAGCTCATCACATCAAACCAGGTTACTTTCACATGCGTATTTCCTTTGGCAACGTTCTTTTGCACACAATTTTCTCATAGTCTATCATTGATATCTTTTATATATATCGCATCAAACATAACCATCATAATGCCTTCTTTTGCCGAAACTCCAACAGCCGCAAACATTCAAACCGCATTTCAACTGCAGCATCTAGTTGACGCTGGTCACAAAAATGCAAGTTTAATTGACCCAGGAACACTCAAAGTTATCAAATCCATTACCGATGCTCAACCCGGGAAGGATGCAACTTCCTTACGCACACCAGAATGGGCAAATACAAAAGAAGGCTTTCAAAAGAAGGTTTCCTCATTCTTAGATGGACTTGCAGAAAATCTAGAAGTCAAAGAACTCAATCTTTCCGATGAATCAGATGTTAGTGAAGAAGATCCTGATTGGCAAGAAGGAAGTGAAGAGGAGAGTGAAGGCGAAGAAGAATATGATTCTGAATATGATAGCGATGAATACACGGAATCGGAAGATGACCGTAATAATTTGGATCGAATTAGTGAAGATGAGGATGAAGATGAAGGGGCTGAGCCAAAGAAATGTTTGGATGCTAAGCTTGGTGAAGGTATGATCTTTCCCGCTTCATAACATCCTACTTGTGAATGGACATCAACTTACTAGACTAGGAATTATCCTTCATGAAATCATCGGTCGAAAAGTAGCTCGCTATGGAGACAAAGTTCTAAAGTCAGGACGAAACCTCCGTCTCTCCGAAGCGGACGCCATGCGCTACATTGCAACCCACACCAGCATTCCCGTACCCCGTGTCCTGGACGCCGTCACCGATGGAAAACTAACCAGTATAACCATGGAATACATCGAAGGGGATCGTCTCGACAAAATCTGGAACTCGCTCACAGAAGAACAAAAAAATACCATCGTCTCCCAAATCCACGATTTTCTCGCCCAACTTCGAGGTCTAAGTGGAAAATACATCGGCGGTATGAATCGCACCCCCGCCATTGATTCCCGCCGTTACGATCTCGAAGGAGGCCCTTTTGCATCTGAAGCCCAATTCAACGATTTCCTCCTCTCGGACGCTTATCCCCAAGTCCCCAAATGTTTCCTCAAGATGGCGGAAAATTCATTGCTTACTAACCATTCTATTATTTTCGCGCATGGAGAGCTAGCGCCTAGGAATATCTTGGTGAGAGAGGGACAAGTGGTTGCGGTCCTCGATTGGGAATACGCGGGTTGGTATCCGGAATATTGGGATTTTGTGAAGAGTTTTGATGCTATGGATGCTAAGTGTGGGAGTTGGTATGATTGGGTTGAGAAGATTTTTCCGGTGGTGTTTGAGCAGGAGTTTATCAATGATCGGTTTGTGGGGACTTTGGTGCGTCATGGGCATTCTTAGGTGGAGGGGGGGTTGAAGGGGGGATGAGGGATTGGTGTGTTTTTGTGGGATGGTTGGGTTATTGTCAGATCAATGTGAGTTTGGTGGTAATCTTGTAATTGTGTTGAAGGGGGTAGAATGATGATGGATAGATAGTTGGCGTTCTAGGCAATTTATGTGTTGTATTTATATCTATTTATATCTAGATTCTGGAGTAAAACCCTGTAAGGTGATAACTACCGAATTTTTGAAATCGATCCTTAATTATCCTTGGAATGCGAAATTTGTGGTATACGGGGGACTGCATACTGTGATGCTGGATATGTCTTGGATTGTAATTGTTCTTGAAAATTCGGAGTTGGGAGTTGAGAGTTGGGAATCGAAGAAGGTTTTGACGATAATGAAGAAAAATTTGTAGCCGAATAATAATAATAAAATAAGAATGTAATAAAGAGCAAATTTGTCAATAAGAGGTGACAAGTTTGATATAAGACTTGGTTTTTCGAGGGGTGAGGGAGGAAGGGGGTTGCTCAAGGTGTGGTGGGATGGGATAGGTATTGGCATTATTACGTCGCTTTATCTTGTCAAAAATCATTATTATGGCACTTAGGATTACCCAGTAGGTATCATGGCCATACAACAGAAAAGGCACTGCAATGATATTTGGCGTGTTATAATATATCACAAGATACTGGGTAGGTGTTCATTCAATCTTTGTCCCACAGGAGCAGCAGCTGTACAGACAAAGCTCCTGCCCATTCGCACGCTGGAGATCAACAAAACCCATTTGCAATGAGCATGGCTAGAAAAGATATAGGAATTTAATGCCTCAGTTTTCTTCACAGATCTCTCATTTTCGCTGTATTTCCTTACCCTTGGGCCAGCTCAGTCAGAAGCTAAATTTTCATTCGATGACTATTCTGAGAAATCTAGAAAGCTTTGAACACAATTCTGAACAGTGGGCGATAAGTTTGAAAGGGCATAGTTAATATTCTTGATCCAAGAAATAACTATCACTTAAAGAATCCCGTCACCTTAAAATCCCCAATCATTCACCCATCTTCCAATCACTTCCTTGCTAGTTGGACTCAATCCCCTAAAGGAAGCACTCGCAGCTTTCGCATTATCACTAACTATAACCAATTGCTCCTCACTAGCTACCCATTCATAAAAGCTCAAAAGCTTAAGTGCAGGATATTTCTCGAGTTCATCTCTTGATTTAGCATCATGTTTCTTAAGTTCTTTGAGCCAATCTTGAAACGAAGCTTCTTCGGTAACCTCGAGTACATCTTTGACCGTAGGAAGAAGGTCCGTCCAATTGGCAAATGAGGGATTGATGAGATTGAAAGTTGTCAAGCCTTCTCTCGTACCACTTTCATGCATCAACTCAATTATAATTTGTGATACACTATCAATTGGAATCCACTGCACAAGATTTTGTGCTCCAAGATCACTTGGTATCAATCCCAGAGCTTTGGAAGTTTGCATCAAAATCGGAAACCAGTCTCGAGTGTTCCACTTCTTCTTTCCGTCACCAACTGGGCCACCAAGTTGGCCACATCTCAATATATCAATTGAGATACCACATTGCTTTGCAGCGTTATTCAGTATATTCTCCGCTACGAACTTGGACTGTCCATAGCCTAGCGTTGGCAATTTGCCATCGGTGAATACCTCCTCAGAAACAGGTGTTTTGGGCCGAAGAGATGACCAGTTCCCAAATGACCCTACAGAGCTCACGAATTGAATTGTGACTTTGCGTGGAGATAATATGGACCAATCTATGAAATTTCGAATACCCGCAATATGAACCTTTTCGAAAGACTTAATCGATAAATTAAAATCGACAGGCCAAGCATTGTGTATGATAACATCAACAGTATCAAGAAAGCTTTGATGGGCGGCAGGAGTCAAGCCAAATCTTGGTTCCCCAAAAGATACCTTGACAAACTGGACCTTCGCCACCCCGTCCAAGTCACCGAACTCTGCCATGACATTGTTCCTCGGCTCCTTCGAACCACGATCAAAGCATAAGATCTTTGCGACATTGGAGTCGCCGGTTAGAGCTTTGAGAAGGTAGTATCCTAGGTAGCCCGTCGACCCGGTGAGAAGTACATGAAGACCTTCACCATGAGGCTTGTTGATTTTTTTTGCTTCTTTGGCTGGGAAATCACTGGAATAATTCCGAATAAGCTCTTCCAAATATTTATTAGCCGAGGCGAGCGCAAGAGAATTCTTTTCTAGGCGACCGAGCTCTTCCGAAACGCATTTGGGTGGGTATGTCATTTTGAAAATAGCTATAGAAAGCCTTTTTATTGTTGAATTTTCGTAGATGAATCTTGTTGTGAGATTCGAGAGTTGAGCGGTAGGCACAAGAGGTTGGAAACTTGATTGAATCATGTTGGACAGTTGAGTAATCTTAAGGGAATCTAGGCCGAGGACGGAAAAGTCGTCATCCGCAGGTAGAATTTCGTTGTTGGCTCCAACCGTTATTGCTTTTGATAAACGTTGAAGATATACCACACAATCATTGATAAATTGTTGAAAGGTTTCAAAGGGAATCTGCATCAACGGAGCAGTGGGGAAACTACCCCAAGAGCCCACATTGATTGATTTGATTGAAGTAGTGTAGAGAAGATCAATTTCCTGTTCATATAACGCGATTGTTCGAGCTCTTATAATTGACCCCTTTCCTGTTCGTTGAAATGGCTTCTCGGACCTAGCGACTAGAATCATATTTCTAAGAATTCTCCCATGACCTGGAGCCGCCTCGTTTGCTTGTTCGATCATAGGCCATACGGCATCAATGAGAATTGAGTCAGGAAGGATTTCCTTTGACTCAACAAGTAGTGCAACTTGTGTTCTTCCGAGACCAATGACTAGAGCCCCAGTTAACAGTTCATGCGCGCATATGATGATTTCCATCCTGACCGGATTCAACTTCTCTCCGTTTGAAAGAACTATAACGTCATCAATACGACCAGAAAATCTGTAAAGTGGCTTGCTTGAATGTTTCTCAAAAACGTCCCTTGTTCTCCACTCTTCAAGACTGGGGAAAATTGCAAATACTCCTTGGACCCAAGCATCTTGTGGTACTTTGCGTATAACAAGCTCATATCTTCCAGGATCATCCTCAAGTGGTTCCATTTTCAGACCTCCAATATCAAAGTTAAATCTCATCCACCCCCAATCCTCGTCGCTTGTTTCTTGCTGAGCAAGTGATCCTGCTTCGGTTGAACCATAAACTTGCCCCAATCTGACTTTGGAAGCAAGGAGATCACCTGTGGTAGCCGAAAGAGGTCCACCAGAACTGATAATGATTTCTAAATCAGGAAGCAATTCTAAAAATTCTCGGTAGAAGTATTTTGCAATATCATCCGTGATTGAAGGGACCTGGACAATTACGCGACATCTGGCCTTTCTTACAATATCGCAGACCAATTTGGCGTTGACTAGGCTGTCGGTAGGCCCAAGGACGGCAACAGCTTCATTAAACAATGCAGAAAATACAGATGCGCACCCACCGAAATGAAAGAAAGGCATGCCATAATAGACACGAGTATTTGGAACCTCGCCAATGAGAAATATCCCAAATGGTTCAGCGTCTGATTTGATGTGGCGTAATTTCCTCAATGCGTCCAGAACAGAGTAGAATCTATGAGTATGGTAAATTGGCTTTGGTAATCCAGTAGTCCCAGATGTATGGTGGCAGATGATTATATCGTCTTTTGCTTCGTCCCAAGTCTTGCTGTAAAGATAAGGGGGGCCTTCTTCCTGGGTCATCTCATCAAACTCTGGTATCTCGAAAGCTTTCATGGCCGGTCTCAGATGTACTAGTCCTGTTATGTTTATGGGCAGTTTGCTGGAGAAGAAAAGGCCATTAACATTAGTTTTATTGAATAAACCGGCAAAGTTTTCTTGCGAGTTACGAATCGATGGAATTAGAATCTGCGATTCCTACGTTCAGTCTATACAAACAATTTATCAAGCAATTTCACTTACGATATATCGAATTTTTATGGCAGCAAGCTCCATAACGAGGTATCTGAAGTCAGTGATTCCCTATATATTTATTATTAGTGCCTCCAATATACGGTTCGAGAAAACATACTACGTAGGCTATTGTGTTCTTGTCCTCGCTTGGTGGTCCCAGCTTCTGTAACAACCACCAAGACATGAAGTTAACAGCATTTGCAATATCTTTGTAGGTGAATTCGAAGAATCCATGTGAAAGATCCGATGATTTTGCAATCATACCCATTAGTTGGGTTGGATGACTTTCAGCCTTTTCATCAACTAGCTGCGGGAGAAGTCTACATCCATAAGGGACGTCATTGTTGGTAGGCTTTGACGTTTCCATGACTTTTCTGTGTTCAGGCTTTCGTGATAGCAGAATAATGCTGTCGAGAGGAATGGGAGAATGAAGGGAAAAGGAAGAAAAAGGAGAAGATTCCAAAAGGCTATGTTATGGAAAGGCCAATGCTTGAGTCACTTTTGCCTTTAGTATTCGCAATCATGGAAATGATTTGCGTTATTGAATAGATGACAGGCGGCACAGATATCAATGCCCAAAACTAGATTCATGAGTACCTTGTGTAGCACGAGGCAAAAAGATGCAGGGGAATAAACGCAGAAAATTATAATCCCAACCACCACGGTAGGCTCTCGTCCGACAAATCATATTTTCTCCGTGTGACTGAAGGGTGCTATCAAGCTGCTGTTACATGGAAAACAGGAATCCACCACTTGAAAGACCCGAATTGAACGCAAATCACCCCTGTATGTATTCGTAGCTAAAACAATGTGCCTGAGAAGATACAAAATTCCAAGACAATCTTCGACATTCTCATTGCCAACCATCAATTAGGAGCGTTTGGGAAAGCTCATCAGATTGAATCACTGCGATGGTTGATGGTAGGACTGCCGACCATTTAACACAAAGGCAATTCTCAATCGTGATTGAACGAGTGAAAGTGTTAATGGACGAGGATTTTACCAATCGCATGTCGTCCTTGGAAAGATCAAGTTCATTCCGATATGTAAGCCTCAAAATTTTACGCTTAAGGTTCAGCAATTGGCGGGAGATGATGATGACTAAGCACATGACCGATGGATCCCACAGATAACACTAAGAAATTTAACTCCATCTCAACAAACACATAATCTTACAGGAAATACATTATCTTTTTATTGTGCGCAAGAGCACGCATATCTGAGTCAATCCTCTCAGTGGGACGAGGCAACTTTGCCTTTTTCTGCTAAACCGCACCTGCACGAACACGAACACGCACGATGCATTGCTTGCCATCTCTGAATCGGCAGCACTACTAACAATTCGTATATAGCACGGCGTATTTATACGCAACTCATTTTCGGGCGGCACACACTAATATTCCACCTATTCAATTCCTACAATTATCCTTCGCGCGGAACTTTTACTTCCATCCATTGCCATCCGATCCGCTTGCGCTCCACTGCGAAACCCGCATTTCCACTGGACGATCTTACATGGCTCTGCCACAACTATCAAGACCATGGATTTACTATAATTGGGGCAGGGCTTCGCGCAGGCCTAGAGATGAATATCACTTGGGAGACTGTCATTATCAGGTAATTTCGATGGATTGTAGATCAAGCAGGAGCAATATCATATCAAATGTTCGTTTATCTTGCATCAAAGGGCCAATGCCAAGAAGGTGGTGCTTTGAGTATTTGTGGTGCTTCAAGAAGATTGAACTTAGCTGCGCGAGATCTTGATTAAACCTGGCAGACAGATGATCCTCTGAAGGACTGGCACATCAACCAATGCACAGTCTCAAAGGTCAAAACAAAATGTAGGGACGAATTTAAGCACGTTTTCAATATTTGCTATGTGGTCTTACAACAAATATCGCTTTCGACATGAAGAGTCCATAACAGCACATATTTTGATTATTCATACACCTCGAGACATGTCTATCATTTCTCAAATAAGTGCTACATCGGCGGGTTACTGGCTTCCATGCCTCTTTTTTGATAGCATATTATCATCTCTGAATTTCCCATCAATCTCTGGCTTGCAATTTTTCGACTTCTCACCACCCGTCTTCTTTTCCTCGGCTTCATTCATTTGCAGTCGGTGTTGTTGTCTAGGTGTAGCTCCGTCAACTTCCCCCTTACCATTTTTCAACTTCTCACCACCCTTTCTCTGTTTGTCGACTTCATTCACTGGCAATCGGTGTTGTTGTCTAGGTGTAGGTCCGTCAACTTCCACCTTGCCATTTCTTGAACTCCCAAAGGGACTCCTCTTTTTCCTTTTAACCTCATCATCTATAGGTACTCGGCGTGGGTCTTTGGATTTTCCATCACTTTCTACATTAGCATTTCTTGATCTCTCAGGAGCCTTCTTTTTCTTTTCGGGCTCATCTATTTGCGCCAGGTGCTCATCTCTGAGCTTCCCGTCAATTTCGACTTTGTTATTCTTCGGCTTATCCACAACAGGCTTCCCTTTCTTTTCGATCCCATCTACTGGTGCTCGTCGTTCTGATTTCCAACCAACTTCCACCTTACTAACATTCGACTTGTCCAGGACTTTCTTTTTCTTTTCAGCCTCCCTTAACAGCACCTCTTGTTCTTCTTTCGAACATAAAATGGCGTTGTCAATCTTGAACCACTCATCCGGAAGATCTCTAATTGACCAGTATTGGGCGTATTTGTTTTTTGAGGCCAACAATACAGCCAATCTTTTCAAGTGCTGTGCTTTTTTATCCGTTGTCAGCAAAGCATGTGAACTAAAAGCAGGTGCGCCTTTCTTTCTCATATCTGCTCGTGGGTCAGCTCGAGTAGCTTTCTTATAATCTCGTACAAAATTATTGCATTCAATTAAAGTGTTTATATCTTTATCCTGGACTTTCAAGCACATCTTTCCAGCAGTGTCGCTTGTGAACTTCCATCCATTTTCTTCTTCGAGTTGTTTGACTTTCGCCTTCTCCAGCGATTCTAACTCTTGTTCCTCGAGAATGCGCTGAGTGACCAAATCTTTCTGTCGACCTTCAAGTAAGATTACCGCAACTTTATCTTCATTAGAACCATGACCATAAGGACGATAGTCATACTCAGCCTTTAAGTGAGCTTGTATGTCCGGCTGAGTGGATTGACTCGGAGGAGCGTCATTTTGTCGAAACATGTTGATGCATGGAAGGAATAAATTGAGTTGAATTCAGTAGTCAACAACACAGACTGGGGGAGTGGTTCCTGATACGGAGAAAAACCGATAAACTACCTAGGAAAGTTGTTTACAAATGATGCCAAGGTTAGTTTACCATGAAGCAGCGAATATCTGTGTTTTCAAAAAATTGAGCCTAAAGATTAAATTACGTTCGACCTAGTTTTAGACGCGTGTGTATGTTTGCCCGGGATTCCTGAATATATGCATGTTTTTTTGGTGTCAACCAGTAAGTGACCCAATGATTTTATAATTGATGGATGCCATCACTATGGATGGAAAAATCGTAAAAGGGCTACCAATAGGTTGGAAGCAACATGTTGCACAAATAACCGCGCGCTCTTTTTTCCAAGGTATCATGAAGGAAGCGAATATTGAATCACAACGGCCATATGCAAGCAAACATGGTGGTCCTTTGCTTGTCCGCCTTAAAGTCATGAAGACGGAGACGGAGACGGAGACCCCGCAAAAGTTAATGTTCAGCCTTGTAGGGCTTTGTATCAGTCAGATTCAGATCAGATCGGTAGGTGATGTAACCTAGCATCAAACGGTTCTGGTTGCAACATGGTATGTGAGATTGGGATCTAAGGAATTAGATGAAACGGTGAAAATGACGAAGTGATGAAATGATGAAATGATGAAAAGGATGAAAGGGATGTTCTCAAGACATAGAACTGGACCATATAACCTTTAGTTCATATGTAAAACATGGTAAGATGTGCACCGTTTCAAACCTTCGATCGTTTTTCTTGCTCAGAATGGATGAATCATCATACCTTCCTTGTTCTCTTGGATTGTATTTGATGCAGACTGTATCTGATGTATGGGGGTCAGAAGGTGGGTGTTGGTAGTTGGTTGGTTGGTTGGTGAGGTGAGTAGTTTGTTGTTACATATGTGTGTGTGACTGTGATCTGATAGGTTGTGTTGATATACTAAAAATAGCGGCGCTATAGATGTCCTGGCTATTAGGTATAGATAGGAGTAGGAGTATTGATCAACTTCCAAAGGGAAGTCTTTGAAATTGAATCGAGAAGATATTAGTTGCGACTCTGATGGGCTATATGCAATGCAGTTTCAGTCGTGAGATTACGATAAGTGATAAATCAATCCTAAGATTACAAACAGAAGCTTTTAGCCAGAAGCTAGATTGAACGACACGTGATATCTTGTTATCATTTACATCGGGTCGCTTAAATTACAAAGGCCGAACAACCTTTTCATCAATCTTAATCAATCATCTGTGTGCTGTGCTCCGTACTCCACTTTCTATCGATTTCAAACCCCTTCGTACCAAAAATAAACTCCAGTCGGCTCATCTCTAATCCAGTTTTTTATTTTATGGTTATTCCGACCTGATGGGAAATATACGAAGGTCTCAAATTATATCAACATCAACTCTCGAACAAACGTAACATACGAATTCCTACGGCTGGAACTGCTATATATATTCTCTTACAGCCTACAACTCATTACAGGATCGACAATCAGCATCACTCTGCGTTTCGGTAATGTCTCAATGCATAATTCCGTGCACTTGGCGACCCACCAAATTGGTAAAGCACCTTTCCTCCCAAGATCTCGGCATCCCCTGATAACTTGGCAGCGGTATATTCAGAATGAAAAACGTCTTCCGTGTGATCGGGATAGGAACTTCAATTACTTGATGCTAGTGCAAAATCACCATGAATGAGGCTATGCTCAATATGGGTGTCCTTGAGCTTGCTTGGCATTTGCCTATACCCAAAGCCATTGTGGCGGACGATCGGAATAGATCTCGTAACTATTTTTGATATTCATCTGATCCTGTAGGTTTCCTTTCACTCATTCAAGGAGCATATACAGATTCACTCTTTTGCTTTCTCAATTCAGCCTCGAATCTTTCTTAGGAATCAGTCCCTCTTTTATTCTAGATTTCATACATACGTCAAACTGTCAAATTTTATCATACCTATTCGTACTTCCATGTGCATGTGCATGTTCCATTCTCCTTCTATTTCTACATTATGAAGCTCGACTCTCCTTTAATCTATGCGGCAAGTTTCTATGTCCTTGCCGGTCAAGGCGTGGAGGGTGCCATCACACTTGATATTACTTCTACAGATTCAATCAAGACAGCGGCAGGTAATATAGCATATGATCTCATGTCATATTACACCGGAAACAACACAGGAGATGTGCCAGGAAATTTACCAGCACCATATTATTGGTGGGAGGCGGGAGCAATGTAAGGCTTTCCCTGCTCTCTCGAGGATCAACACTGACTATCTTCTAGGTTTGGAACCATGGTAAACTATTGGTATTACACAAACGATACAACCTACAACGACAGTGTCCAACAAGCACTACTACATCAAGCTGGAGACGATGATGATTTTATGCCTTTGAATCAAACCAAAACAGAAGGGAATGATGATCAGGGTTTTTGGGGAATGGCAGCGATGACAGCAGCGGAAACAAAATTTCAAGATCCTCCAAGTCCACGTCCTGGATGGTTAGCACTTGCACAAGGAGTCTTCAATACTCAAGTCGCGCGATGGGATAATTCAACATGTAATGGTGGATTTCGATGGCAGATATTTACTTTCAACAATGGGTACAATTATAAGAACAGCATTTCGAATGGTTGTGTCTTCAATTTAGCGGCAAGACTCGCATTATACACTGGGGAATCGAGCTATGCGGATTGGGCGGAGAAAATATTTGATTGGGTATATGGAGTAGGACTTATCTCGCCAGACTACAAGGTATATGACGGGACCCAGAATTCCGACAATTGTACGGATAAAGATCACAATCGTTGGACCTATAATAGTGGGATATATCTCCTTGGAAGTGCTGCCATGTACAATCACGTAAGCTTTAAAAGTTTCCATTAGTTACTTTTTGTAGATACTGACCTATTTAGACAAACGGCAGCGCTATATGGAAAGACCGTGTTACAGGCCTTTTAAACTCATCAACAGATTTCTTCCAGAATGGAATTATGGTCGAAGCTTGCGAAACCGGTACATGCAATAACGATCAACAATCTTTTAAGTGTTATTTTGGACGATGGTTAGCTGCAACAGCTAAACTTGCACCTTTTACCGCCGAAACCATCATGCCTTTATTAACTACCACAGCAACAGCAGCAGTAAAAACCTGTACGGCTGGAAAACGAGGCAATTCATGTGGTTTGAAATGGACCACAGGAGAACATGATGGAATTACCGGCGTAGGAGAACAAATGTCAGCATTAGAAGCCGTTCAAGGTCTTTTGGTACCGCAAACCAGGGATTGGGTTAGTCAGGTTCAAGGCACGGGGACCAGTGAGGGTAATGAAAACGCAGGGACAGATTCGAAGGTGAATACCGATGGAACTGAAATTACACCCGTCACTACGGCCGATAGAGTCGGAGCTTCCATTTTCACCATGGCCATTGTTGCCGGTGTTATTGGTGGAAGTGGATTTTTATGTATCGAGTGGTTTTGAAATCCTGTGGAGGAAATTTACTATGTTTATTCCTCCATGTGAACGTATTTTGGAAAAATCATTGGATTGCGCATCGTTGCACTCTCTTGGTTAAGCATATCATCGGCGTTTTGTATCGGGATAATTGGATAAGAGGGAATGGATCCTCGGGAAAGAATGGCGTTGTTTATAATTATCCATTTGCTGCACAAAAGTAGCTTTTGATATTTACTTGGCGTTTCTTTTGTTTTTTTCTTTCCTTTGTTTGACTTATTCAAAAGACTTTTTTTCTTTTTTTTGTCAAACCGTGCCACGGCATTTTTTATCGGGCGTCAATCAGTGGAAGATTTCACTTCATTGGTTCCGAATGGTATGTATAGGATTTAGGATATGTAGGGTATAGGAGGTGTAGGATATAGAATTAAGAACCTCATGTGTTCGTCACATACATACATCAAGAGATTTGGGAATAGAATATGGAATATAGGGAATACCTGACCTGATCTAAACCTGGAACTGACTTCATATTAGCACATTGCAGTTTGCGCTTCTTCTAATGTATGAATGAACGAGTGAGTGAATAGTGTCTGGATATTTTATAGTGGACTTTAAGGGGTTTTATGAGTGCTTGAAATATTGTTACAGTTATTATTAGCGGTTATGTAAGCACGACATATGAATAGATGGATATACTGAGCCGTTTCTGGATATCTAAGAGATTTGGGCTTCTTGATTTTTTAGACATCTTATCTTTTTTCTATTCTTCACAACACCATCTTCAAAATCTTCTTTCTTTTACTCGCAAAATATTTATCTATATCATTCTCTCCAAAAATAAAAATAAAATCCATAATAAATTAATAAAAATCTTTAATTGGAACAAAATATATATAAGATTACATCGTCCATCCATAAATTCAACATTAATTCAACCACCAGAACTGAGTCAAAGACCCCAACCAGCTGATATATCTTCAACTCCATAGAAAAATCTACCTAGAATATAATCTTACAAAGTGAAAAGGGAAGATAATAGGAAGTTGGACAACATCCCCAATTTCATCAGAAGATGCAGGTAAGCAAGTGATCAATACCAGACTTATGGATATTTGTATGAAAATACTGCGGATCAGAGAGGGACCGATTTGGACTCTGGAAGGAGACACTGTACCAAGGATGATATCGAGAAAGCTGACGCTTTTGGTTCCTGGTACGAGGGGGGAGGAAGAAAATGGTGTATATATTTATATATATACTATTATGACCATTTGGTGACGAGAATCGAGTTATCTTGATGAGTAGGTGATAGATGTGAAGATTGAAAAAGAAAGAAGCAAAAAAAAGAAAGGAGGATTCGAAAAACTGGAAGAGTGGAGTGAGTTCTTCATACCTATATCATGTGCGAAGGTAAGCTTATGTCCTTGGGGAAAGGAAGGAAGGGAGATATACGGTACCACAGCCGCGTAATCCTTTTTGTACTAATATAGTAACCCCTCCCCTGAGTGTAGGAACCGTTGGATTGGACACCGTGAATACCATGGTGTGCCGACTCTGCTTCGGATGACATGATGGATGTTAAGAAAAAGCTCTTTATATTAAATAGTTGTTCAAATAATGGTTGAAATGTTTACTTTGTGGGTAAGTGAGTAATGTTTGGGGTTGCGGTTCAGATTTAGATGGTCTAGGGAGTAAGTAAGGAATGGATGATACTGGACATGAAAGTAAAGAAGGAAGAAGATTGGGATTTGGAGGGCAGAGAAGGGAAAGAGGAAGGAAAAAGGGGAAATACTAGTGATAATAAGAATACAGCAGTGACTATCAATTGAGATTGAGTCAGGAGAATAATTAGATAATATTAAATTAACCTTTAATTATCCCTTAGAGTTTATCGGATATTGGAATCTCGACATCTTCTCTCCCGCAAAAGTTGATTGATGCACGTCTGGTCAATCATACAGCATATCATTCTCTCCGACCTGGCCTTGATACTTTCCTCGTATATGCGACGTAGCTTGCGTCATGATTACTTGTAGATTTCAGGAGAGCTAAATAGATTGGAGCCGATAGATCGATGGTTAGGATGTATATTTAACTAAAGACTCTGATAGTAATCTTTCTAACATATCATTCCTACAGAACACGAAGTCAAAAACGGGCGGTTTCGTTCATAAACGGAAAGGTTATTTATTAAGCACAGAAACAAATCAAACACAAAGTACAGCATCCATACTCATTCTTGACGTTTATACTTCCCAACACTCCTTAAAACTTCCTTCATTCCCACCCCATGAACCCCCAACATCAAATACAAAAATCAAATAAATCATTTCAAATGGAACCTCAATACCAAATATCTCATTGTTTTTCTGGTTGTATCTCAGTGTCCCGGATCGGTTTGTAGTGGTGTTTCCGGCCCAGTTTACTTTATTGGCCGGACTAGGATTTATAGGAGACAGAGGTGCCTGCGTTTAAGAGAAGAAGAGGCTCAGATTTGAGGATGTTATATTTTGATGGCCAATCGGATTTGAGAAATTTGACTGCTTTCTTGAGATATATGTTTGGAAGAAATATATCAGGATAAATACGGAAGTAACCATAGACTACTCGACGAATAAATGCTACTGCCTATTTCATAGAACAAGATAGGATTACAAAAAATAGGATATATATAAAGATAATTATCTAAAGCATCCAACACGCGCGTTAGTATTTGTGATTAGGCGAAGGAAAAAGAAAGGTAATGTTCTGATTGATGTATGTACACATAAGATGTCTGCGATCCGGGCACGATAGCTGTAGTGTGTATAAATACTAAGAAGGTTACCTAGTATGCTTCTTTGCAAATGATGAGCAGGGCGAGGACACTTGTTCTACCCACATAACTTTACAGTCTATGAGCCAGAGGTTCTAAAGCAGTTTCAGATTCTCTAGCAACACAATCAAACATTTGCGTGAAAATATGGCATATATTAAATATTCCTTTATCTTTCCATCCCCATTTTACCCACCTCTCCACATTCCAATTATATACCACAGGTTAGAGTCTCTCCTACTTGGTCCAATCGAGGGCGTAGATGCGAGACTCGGCATGACTCCTCATGTCTCAACGCCTGTGTACATGGCAAGATTGTTGGCTAGCACAGTGTTCCATCTGTACAGGTATCCCATCATCGATGCTTGCATGCCTCTGTATGATTTGTGTCTCGTTGCGTTGTTAGGCAATCAGCCTGCCACAAACTCGTTGCTATCTGCTCATGTATGCTGCATTGCTGGCAGATCAATATACTGCAGAATCAATGTACTGTGGATTCGAGGATTCGAAAAGGGCAAGATCTTATGGAGATTTTGGCATTCGAATAGACTCTCTTGGATCGGTGCAGCAGCGGGAAGAGATCCTTTTGTGGTATTGTCGACCGTGTGTGCTGTATGTATATCTAGTATATGCAAATAGATCTACTCTGAAACCATCTAATGGACATATAAGTCAAGTCGTATTGATGTAATTTTTCTCGTTTAATTGGCATTATAAATGAGGGGTAACGAGAATGATTGTTGAGTCGAACTTGAAGGAGGCTGAGAATCTTTGAAAAGCTACCTAGGTAATAAAAATGGCCGTTGAAAGTCAATGAGGGGAATTTTCTATCCGATCTTATCCCTGTGAACGGACTCCATGGCACAGTAGCACTGTCCGTATGGTGCGCTATCATGGTGCTATCGTGGCACTATTTTACACTAATGTAACTCTGTGCACATGTTCCTGCAAAAAATGCATTATCGGGCACCATGATGGGTTAGAATCATTCCCAAGACTGCATCAACAATACTCCGTACGTACAACTACTCTGTACTTACTCCGTATGGAAAAACAGGACGGTCACAGGAGTCCTACCTTAAATGGTCGGTGAGCAGCACGAAGCATCATGAACTTTGAAGGTATCCCCATTTATGAAAAAGATTTGAAGAAAAGTCAAGTCAAGAAAGGAATAGTTTCGTCACCACGTCAGAATTTTGCATTTTGTTAACATACATGTCCTGTCCTGTCCAATGAACTGAGGGGTTATCATCAAATTGCTTACCGGGGATTTTTATCAGTGTCTAAGAGTCTAAGACAGATGCTGCCATTGATGCATCCCCATCCTGCATGATCAACTCCAGTTTTTTTGAATAGAAGTTATTCTAAACTTCTTAATCTTATCCTCTTATATTCATATTCATATTATTGTACAGACTTCGGATTCATCATATTGTACATAGCGTCAGTTTGAATCTGTACATACTCAACAACGAAAACCATCACGACAACATCCATCGACTTGACTGTTTGTTGGCTTCTCTTTGCCGCGAAATATGATCGAATTAAATAATTTGTTGGATGAGAGAGCCTTTGGTCATGATTTGGAATCCCTACAAGCAGCAAATGAATACCTCGAACGATTACTCTTCGCGACGGCCAGAAAACACAATCAAGTATGGGAAGAATTAGAATCAATGAAGGACTCTTCCGGGCTTTACGACAAACCATTACCATTTCTCTCGTTCCCTCGGGAAGTCCGCGATCAAATATATACATATGCTCTTCAAGCACCCCGCGAAGCATTCGTCGGAGTTCGACACATTAGGATGCTCTCCTGCGATACATTTCCCGATTCAACACATTATCCTTTTAAGCCTCCTACGCCCGGTTTACTTCTGGCCAGTAAACAAATATACGAGGAAGCAGTGCAAGTGTTATACTCGTGCAACAATTTCTCCTTTCACAAACCAAGGGAACTTTTCGATTTTCAGAGTCAGGTCGGCGTGTACAATTGTGCTCTGGTACGACAAATGAAGATATCGGTTGTGTTCGAAGACGAATCTACGCAAATCCCATCAGAATATGTAGCACCTTGTGATTACGAGAATATACCATCACATTGGGCGAAAGCGTTGATGGAATCCAGGCTTATGAATAATATTGTTGGAATGCAGATTGATGCGAATTCGGGATCACATGAAATGCGTTTAATGACTATGCCTCCAGCATTATATCGCGCGATTCTCGCCACTTTTTTCCGAAATCGAAATGCAAAAACGGCCCCGGAATTAATTTTAAAAGGATTCCAAACACAAGAAGTTGATAAATTTCCTATGACTTGGAAAAAGTCTACGGAGCAATGGTTGGAAGTGGAATGGGCGGCCGATGATCAAGAAGTGGATGAATCCGAACCATTTTGGAATTCATCTGAGGTCGATCCTGCTGATACGCATAGTTCATGGGAAGATAGAGAAGCATCTGCTGATGAAGATGGTGAATCTTTAGATGAGAATTCATCGTCTTTAGGAAATTCCAGTACAGGAAAAGGAAATGTACCAACATTATTTAATGAATTGGGGGAATTGATGGGATCGGATTATACGGAGTCAGACGCGGAATCTGATGTGGGCTCCGAAGATTCATTTTATACCGCGGCACCGTGGAATGATGTCAAAGAAGTATTATTGCAATTTAGAAGCTTCCAAGAAGCTGGTCAACGACAACAAGGAGGTCTGTTAGGTATTTGATGGGAATTTGGTAGCGGAGAGGGAGAAAGCATTTAAGATGCCATTTCTAACAAATAGGAGTGTTTTGGAAGTGGGTTTCCCGCTTTACTTTTCATCCCCATCCTTCTAGATTATATGGCGCAATGGAAAGGAAAGGTCTTCACATTTGTATAGGGGAAGAAGGAGTCTAGGTTATGGGTCGGGAAGATATGCTTGAGTTCAGCACGGAAGTTTTCCACTTATAATCAGCATCACCCAAGCTCGGTTCAACATCATTATTCAAAAGGAGTTTGGTATCGATATCCATTCTATTCGGAAATTATTTATAAAATTTATTCACATACAGATAGCATGTTTCAATTATCAAAATCCGTTGAACAGGATTGTTCCACATTTTTCTATTCCGACTCATTCTCTCATTCTTCTAATTGAATACCGATCTGTGTATTATGACAGCATTAATTCCTGTCACTCGTCTCATCAATAATCACAACAATAGAAATCTTCCCCGTTATATCTCCCCTTACATTAATTTCGAACATCGAAAATTGGAAACCATTCCCCCAATATCCCGCGATCCATCTTTTCAGCCATTTCAACTATTACTGCTATTCCCATCCTGAGTAAAAGGGATACTTAGAAGTAATACAAAGTATCCAACAAGTACAAGGAAAATATAGACAGCCTTCTCCCCTTCTTCACTCGAGTATACTCCTCCATCTACCTATCTAGGGCACTTTAAAACTTATACACGTGTGTATCCACGTATGTATCCACGTATGTATAGTATATACACATATATACATTGATTTTCTGACAGGAATTCCATTTGCTTCTCAACTTTATAAAATTCTAAATGTTCTTCATATATATATGTAAAGCAAATTCAATTCCCGCATAAACTCACTGTTTCTACTGCAGACACTTGTAAGATGCGAGTTAAAGTTAACACCTTGTTTCATTTCGAGCTGCTTTCTTTTCTACGTTTGGTTTCGAAATATTAAGGGGAATTTGTTCTTTTGCTTGTTTTTCTTGTCTAGGCGGGGGATATTCATATCTTGGATTGACTTCCTGGTTTGATCTGGTATATGAAACTGGCTGTTTTTGGTAAAAGGTTTAGTAAATATCATGCCCGTTATTACCCCTAAGCTTAGTGGATTGTGGGGAAGCGAGGATTAGAGATGGATAAGGGCATAAAAGTAGGTGGCATGTATGTGTCGAGGCTCGGGTGGATGCCCTTGCTCTTTTGTTTGCGCCGAGCACGACTGGTAATTTGAGGAAATTTTAATGCATGGTCAGGTTGGGTATTTTTGAGGATCAGTTTGGAGGAAACTACGTATATGTCTACTATCAGATTGGATAATTTCGTAGGATCGTGGATTGGGCTGGGTTCTTTAGATGGAATTTAAATCTTTTGATTTTTGAAGGTGGTAAAAATGAGATCATGCTGAGGCACTTTTGTTGAAATTGGCCTTTGAGGCTGCTGATCGAGATTCTATATAACAAAGGTGGGTTGGCCTCTATGCAGCCGTCAATGGTGAGCTGTTTTGTCATGTCATACTACCTAGCTCATAAAAATGACTGACAAGGAGGTAACACTGACACTAACTTACCAGTGGGAACAACACCGGGCTCCATGACTTCCGAAATAATGGAATATCACAGGTTGTTAATGCACACCTCTTGGGAGAAGATTGCGAGACTAAAAATGCTTTAGGTATTCTAAAGTTCGCTTGGTTCTCGCTTCGGTTGATGAAGGGGCTTGCAGAAGCCGAAAATCAGTTGAAAATCAAGCTTGGAGTCTCCTTCTCCGCGGGTTCTGGAAGTTTGAGGATTTCAATTTTAGACACTAGACTGTGAAGGATCTTAGATGGGTTTCCCGATAAAGAAATGTGTGGACTTGTGTCAGGTTCAGAAGAAAGTTGCCACCATAGTCAACAGCATTGCTAAATCACCCGATAGAATCAATGACTCTTCTCTGAACCTGATACGGCTGCGTTCTTCACGAGCCTCCCCTTTCGATAATGCGAGGTCTTCTCATTGCTGACCTTTGCTAGCTCTGTCGCGCGTTTTGGCGCAGTTGCATCGGGCGTGGCATCGTAAACCTGGTGCACCTAAAGACTGCCGAGACAGATTCCCGACGCCTGCAGTATGCTGCTATCATTGCGCTGTCGTCATGGCTGGGGCGCCCTGATCATGTTCCTGACGAGGACTCCGCGACGGGTTGGGTGGATGTCAATCCATGTTGAGTCATCATACAGAACATAGAAAGCATGTTGACATCCAAATGTTTCGTGGATTTGTCACATATATCCTTAAATAAAACACTTTTCGACCCACCAAATCCGAAGCTTCACAACATCGAAAAATTCTCTGGTAGGGATTTGTCGTGGCCAACACGTGATCATTATCAACGACAGATCTATGTTCCTGTCAAAAATTGTTTTTCGTCCGTGACCGTCTCCAAGACATCTTTTTGACGCCCCAAAAAATCTGCAACATTGCCCCGAACACACATCCTTACTCAGCTATCCGATAACTCCCGATCTTGCACCTCTTCCGAATGTACATATCACGGGATTAAATTATCACGTGTAGATAAGGATGGCATCAGATCATGGATTGACCAATAATGACCTTGAATTCAATTCTCCTGATCGTTTCACTCAGGCGGGAACGGAGAGGAAGAGAACGAGGAAGGCTTGCCGGGTTTGCCATTCACACAAGGCAAGATGTAGTGGAACAATTCCACATTGTAAAAGGTGCGAACAGAGAGGATACGTATGCGAGTATGAATCTACAAGTAGAGGGATGAGGCGGAGCGTGCCGAGGCAACAACCGGCAGGGACAAGTCAAAGTGGCGATAGTCCTGGAGCTGGAGCGAATGCTATATCTGCTGGTGGGAGTCCGATGGATATTGGAAACGGGACGGATGGTTCAGTGTGAGATTGTCCAGGAAGGGGGATATTTGTTGAAAATCACTAAGTCTTCTACTTTAGGGACCTCGGAATCTCCAAAGCTACCATCAAGCTGTACATAGATGCATATTTCGAATTTGTCTCTTCTACTCCTGGTAAAGGTTTTATTCATCGAGCCACATTTCTGAGGAATTGGAACAATGGTGCTGTGAATCCAGCTTTACTGCAAGCCATGTGTGCTTCATCAATAGCCTTCGTCTCAAAAGACAACGAAAGTCGTGCTACAGCCCAGAAATGGATGGATGAAGCAGAAAGATACATTTGGGAAAGTTTAAGGAGACCCTCTGTTGTGTTAGTGGAAGTTCTTCTCGTCATTGTCTTTTATCGATTTGAGCATCGTGAATACTTCAAATCCCAGGCACTTACAGCTGTGGCTGCGAAAATGGCATTTGTGCTAGGCCTGAATTATGAGAATAATGCTTTGTCGACCTTGGTGAGGGAATGTAGGAGGAGATTGATGTGGTCGATTTTCCATGTTGATAGACTTTCTGCTGGTGGCTTTCCAGAATTGCTGGTTTGTCCTTCTCATTCGATGCATATTCAGTTACCTTGTAGTGAAAAGGATTTTGATCTTGGTATACCAGGAGAGACTGCTCCTTTGATATCAACGCGGACGAACGAGGCTGAATCTATGCACTTGGGTTTGAGGACATTTTATTTTCGCATATCTGATATACGGCATCGTGTTTTGGAGTAAGTTTTGATTCATCTGCTTTTCTGTTTGAAATTTGGCTGATGACTAGCTTTAGGTATACGCGGAATGTCGTAAGGGAAAAATCCAATCCCTACGATTCGCAAGATACGTTACGAAAGCTGGAAGAAGAATTACAACAACTACGCTCGTCACTGCCAGCAAATCTTCAATACAACGAAGATAATCTTTTTCTTCGAGCATATTCACCACAGCTAACAAGATTCGTTATGTTTCATGTGTTATGGCAACAATGTCATGCAGACCTTTACCGATTCATGTTCCCGGGAACCAAGGACTCGATATCCGATACTGTGTTAGAAAATACCCCTCAGGAATATGTGCAGTACTGCCAAAGAAAAGCATTTGAACATGCAGTTATGATATTGGATATTTGCAATACAGTACAAAGTATCGGTCATACATTGATTAGTGATATTGGTATCGCGACATGTGTCTACCAATGCAGTAATATAATTGTACGGGCCGCAGATATTGTAGGATTTTCAAGCGAAGATGAGAGGGTTAGGATAATGGGAAGGTTGGAGAAGGTTACAGACATTTTGGAGGGGTTGAGGGAGGTTAATACTCACGTAGATGATATTGTGAGTTTATATTTACCTCACATCACTTTGCAGGATCGCAAGCATTTGCTAATCAGAAATCGACATAGTACCGCAACGTCAAAGAAATGCTCCACCTCTTCAACACCAGCCAGGCCCGCCGTCTCTTCACGAATCCTGTCCTCGGAGCCTCAACCCCGTCTCTCTTCACCTCCGGCGTAACACCTGCCCCTGTGTCCCTCGATCACATCAACTACACGAACGGTCACAACACAATGCAGAATCACGATCCTATCCACTTAAGCACGACAGGGGTTCTCTCTCCAACAACCGAAAGCGCCGCCACGTTGAGCCTATTGGAAATAGGAAATGGAAATGATCAGTATGCAGATTGGAATTCGGGACATGTTGACGATGGTGGTCAATGGATTAACGGAATTGATTTTGGACAGGCGGGAATCGGGGGTGGGATTGGGATAGGAACGGATATGGTGGGAAATGTTGGCGCCATGTTTGATCCGTTCTGGGGGATCCATAACACTGATGAGGGTGGCAGTGGAACGGATCATGGAGGTGGAAATATGTAGTTCGAATGGTGGGTATTGTGGTGATAATGGCGGCAGAGATTTGCAGAGCTGCTAGTAGGCTGGTATTGAAATTAGTGGTCCTCATAAAAAGCCTATGGGAGCACATAACAAACCATCTAAGTCCCAACAGATATTCCATGAAAAATACCCTCCGCGATACTTCAATGGTAAAAAAATTCCCGTACCATACCCTTGACTTTAGCACCAATCTACTCTCCGGCGCAAGCAGCCGCTCGCTCTTGGAACCACAATTAGTTTCTTCAGCAATATGGATATTCACCTGCTTACGTCCCCCTGTCGCAGCAATCAATATCAGAACCCGAGCGGTCTTGACTTCTCTAATTTCATTCTCAAGAAATTCTTTGAAAAGCCCGTCAAGTTCTTTTTGAGACTAATAGCTGCTTGTACCATCATAACCTTCATATGAATCAAACTCCAGTTCTAGGATCAGCTCTTGCAACCCGCGGCAGAATTCGTTGATGAAAGGTACGTAACACTTCATACTCTGAATCAGGCCATCATTATATTCGTTGCGACATAAATCTCTCGTGCATTGATGCATTTTAATGGTTCCTTTGAATCGTAGTTTCTTCATCAAAGCGCTGTTTCGAGGCCGAATATGATAGAATAATGTCTCTTGACGATATATCTCGTGTGCCTATGCAAGACTCTAAGCATCAAACACGCCAACCATAAGTGAGATCAATCCAAGCCATCGAAGAGCGGCATCGCTGTGCAAGTTTCCAACGCTCACATTTAATTAAGCAAAGCGGCTATTGGTCAGGGATGATTCAAAAAGGGTATATTGACATTACTCATTAACATCTAATTTTAACTATTGCACATTTCCAAATACCGGGCCATCATTCATTTCATCCGAACTATCATTTCCATTCCGTTTTTTTTTGCCCGCCCAAATCAAACCACATGATTATCCGTTAGCCTCATTATACATACATTTGTCCACATTACCGCTTGCGGGATTTCCAGCCCAAGCTGGAAATGGTCTACTAACTCCACTTCCTCCCGCAACAGCGAAAGTAAGTAAGAATACCATGACTTGGGTTCCACCGTCAAGACCGGCGGAGACCAAGTAATTCCACTTGACGAAGAATTTTGGTCTCCATTTTCGGAGGTAGAATTGGCCGAATGCTCCGATGTAGTAGTACATGAAGACACTGGCGTTGATACCGACACAAAGATATCCGAAATACCAAAGGATGATCGAGAGGTTGAGGTAAGACCAGATACGTTGATGAGGGAAATATCGGTGCAGGAGCCAGAAAGGCACGGGGACGAGGAATCCGAGGAGATATGCGATGGTTACCCATTGGTAGCGAGCACCGATAGAGAACATCTTTGGAGCAATAGACCAGGCTATTGCGAGGGAGTTGAAGGACTGGACGTTAGCCCCTGACCAAATGGGTGTTCCCTCAATGGTGAGAAGCTTTGGGGTTTGATTCTTGACGATGCTAAAATTTGTTAGCGTGTAAAAGAATCAGAGATGAAAAGAGGGGACTTACGTGATCATCATAACATAGTTGAGACAAGCACCAAAGATACACCCGATAATCTGGGTTGTGTATGTGACTTTTGGAGAAAGCTTGTTTTGTTGAGCAAGTTTCAAGTCTCGAAGAAGATACTGTCCTTGTTGAAGAGCATTGTAGGTGAAGGTTGTGAAATACATATTTGCTAGTTTGGTTATTAGCAGTGCGATAAAATACTTGACCATGTAACTTACCGAGGGGAGCTCCAGGGAATAAATACCCAGCAAGGGTTTGAGCAATAGGTTCAATATTGAATTGGAAACCAGTAATGGCATACTGAGCACCGAAGAACAACATGAAAAGCACCAAGAAAAGCATCGCCACAATCAAACCCCACCATGGAAGAGTTGACTTCATAGCATAAAGACAAGCCATTGAAGTGATGAAGCTTGCCAAGAATGCTAAGAAGTACCACAGATCGGGGACTTCATCGTAATCCAACATAACTTTGTAATGTGGATCAATGTTGGGGTCGTTTCTCATAGCTTGCTTTTCTTCTTCGCTACGTGTGCCATTATTGCCTTTCCAGAACTTATAATGAGAAGGAGTAAGCATCTTCTTGAGCGTCGCTTTGTTGGCCCAAGCCCATCCAGCTTTAATGTCATCATAATTCCAAAGGAACATGTGGACGAAATTAGCAGTAAACCCCATATTGGATGTTATGAGGTAGACAATGTAAGTGGAAGCCATGTAAGGAATACCTCCAGCTTCAAGAGCCTCCTGATTCACAGTGAAATCGTCATTGAGGATTGTCGTCTCATTGAAGGTGTCAAAGTACGTGGAGTTGGAATCACCATTGAACAATTCTTGAGACAAGAATGGGAAATCTTGTGCTCTCCAAATGTTACCATAGTACACGGCCATGAAGAGAATAATGCAGCCGAGAGTACCGATGAAGCTGTTTACCAGAGTTTGAAGGGGCAGCCATAGCGGGGACCCAAAACTAGCGACATAATTCCAGTCGAAGGAAAGAGACAGGAAACCAACACCCTCGTTTCCGTTTGCACCTCCGAAAAGATTGGTGAAGACAAGGTTGTGTTGGTCTGCAAGACAAAAGATTGAAACACCAATAAGAAGAGGAAAGATGTACTGCGTAGTGTCAGAAAAGCTTTGAAAAAGCTCAAACAATTGACGGGATATTCATACCTCAGGAAGCAATTCCCAAACCAACAGAACGAAGAAAATACACCAAAAAACCTTCATTCTCTTCTTATTGGTTGCCTTATCCTTATGTAAAGTTTCCAAAACAGTAGTAACGGGAAGATTTGCTGGGTAAAGCATCTTCGTAGGCCACAGAAGACTACTTCTCATCATACCTGCAATGCCATATCCAATCAATTGTGAGGCTAAAGTCAAGAATACACCAGCAGCTTGACTGGGGTATCCTCCGTACCAAAGCTTTTGTGCTGCCAGTGCTTCTGTTGATAGAGCCGAAACTGCAGCGGCCGATGCCATTATGACAGCGGCAGCATGTTCCTTTTGATTGAACGGACCAGGATTAAGGAATCGACCTACAGCACCCCATCTTGGAATGGCAAAAGCCATGAATGCTCCAATGGCATATGCGATGACAGTTAAGAACACTAAAAAATATTAGACGTATGCACCAAAAAGCACTGGACTGGATATCATGAACTTACTGACTGATACATAAATGACTTGGGGCTTGAAGTAGAAAATTTCTTGGAGTACAGCTCCGAAAGCCGACAAACCCATACCTGAAGACTCATTAGCATAAATATAATTAAATGCGAAGGGCCGCACACACCAATGAAAAACATGCGAAACGTCCAAGGGTTCAAAGTTGGATCATCTTCGACATTAATAACAGCAGTAACAATATCTTCCGCAGTCTCAAGAGCATTCACTATCCCCCCACGTCCTTCTTCATCCGACTGAGAGAAAATCTCGCTTTCGTAAGGCGCTTTTCCGAACTTGTCATTTTGGACATCTTTGGAGTCGAGGGATTCGGAAGCCTTGTTGATAGATGGGGCTCCATGTGTCTTTTCCTCGTAAACAGCGTCGGTATCTCGTGGCGAGTCCATATTGAAAGCTAGTGCTCGCAGCAGACCAAAAGGGCTGAAGAGAGGAGAAAACGGCGGACCAGCGACTTATGTAGAGATTATTCCCGTACTACCCTCCATGGAACTACCTCGGATGTTGTAAATCTATCTTGTAAACAGATAAGGAATGAAGCGTGCCATTGTGGAGCAGGCCCAATATGGTATAACGACTCGCGACTCATTGGACTTCTCCGGGGTCCTCGTATAGTTTTGAACACAAAAACCTTGAAATCCAGTTATACCGTCTTTGAAGGAAGCTAGAAATCGGTGATATGATAATTACATATTCACCTGCCTTTTATGGGAATTCTGATAAGCTAGAGCCCCGCATTCAATCTGGACAAGCAAAGCTTAACTTTCTTGAAGATGTAGGCCGCAAAGCTTGATGGAGCTGGTCAGGTAAGCCCGGCCGTGCGACAAACAAAATCCTTCACACGATTCCCGCCACTGTGGTTTAGGCCCAACCTTCCATAATTGGTATATCTAGGCGTAGATTAAAAGCCCCGTGTAGGGGCTTACTAGACAGAATCCAATCAACTCCGCCATAGAAAGTTGAGGATAAGTGATAGCAGCTGGAGCATTTTCCGCCACTGAAAATGACATTGGGGGAACCCTTGTGAATCCCACTTTCGATAGACTTAGCGATAACGGGGTTGAGATGCTGGTATTGCTTGCTCATAATGGCCAATAATAATAGAGGGGATCGTCCGTCCTAGGCTTGACGAGAAGCGTACAATACAAGAAGTCCTGAGTTTGCTGCATATCGTCAATATCCTGGGTGCATGAAACAATCGTTGGTAAAAGCAGATATTCAATCAAGGCCATGGTCAATGAGAAGTCGGCCGAATCAGCAAAGGAAATATGACGGCTCACCCACCCACTCATACTCTTAATACAGGCTGTTAATGATGCTTTGTTGGCCGAAGAATATCCTGTGGGGACATTTTTCCAACGTGGACTGTCAGAGTAGTATTTAATTAGCAATTGCATCTAGAGGCCGCAGTGGCAATAAACTTTATCGGAGGGACTAGAGAAAAGCCTTTGGATGCCATATCATATGTACAAATGATATAATCCAAGATGCAATGTCGAGATTATCTGTTCGTGAATCGTGTCCAAATACTGCAGGATTCGATACACCGTGGTGGTTATTTTTACGTCTATCGACCATATGGCATATCCGCATGGTCTGGATAGAAACGGCCCGCGACGGTTCAGTTTCGGAAGATAAGCAAGCATTAATGGAATGATCGGTGTGGTCGTCCAAGGCGATAGGTCTGTCAGCAACGCCCAACACATCTATCCCATTCTTATCTGTTTATCAAACACACCATGTCTGCAGATAGTGGCAAATCCACGATACTGGAATCCAGCTTCCAGGATTTAGACCAGGGGTGACCGGCCGGATATCCATCGAGATAGATAGATATCCAATCCTACCTATCGCAAGGTATTTTGACTTCGAGGCTTGGGCTCTCAAAGACGCGTTCATGCAGGTGATTATCCATCTATGAACTACCTATAAGAACAATCAATCGAAGACACGAAGAACTTTCCTTATTTTAGCATGAAGCTTTACGGATATCCATGAAGAAGCTGGTGGTATCGGAAAAGCATGTGCTCAGGGTAATTGGGTCTAAAATGAAGCTGATTGCATGCAGGCTGGCTGGTGCTGAATCAGGGCCATCATCCGCAAAACCTTCCTGGCGCACAACATGTTCGGAAAACAGAATTTGATGTCGAGGAAGAAAGAGGTGAAATGGTTTTATATTCTCACTGAAAATGGCAGCCTATTAAAGACGCGTCGGGCGCTAATTCTTACCGCTCTTGATTGGGCCATCTACCAATAATTAAGTCGGAGTCCACGGAGGTTTGTAATTGTTGCAAGGAACGATGGTCAAAACCTGCGAGCCGACTTGATGTGCATGATCTCGTAGAAGATGCATCAGAATTTGAATTTTGGAATTGCATTGCGCAGTGGCTATGATGTGCTGTTTCTTCTTGCAAAACAAGGTTGCCGGTTCATGAGATCGATCGTTTCCAAAAAAAAATTGGTATGGGATGTTTGCTAGGTATGCCTTCAGATAGGCCAGAGTAATACGACGCCTTTGATGATCTCTAACTATCGAATACGATGATCCCTGATACATCTGTGATTCCCCAACCAGATGTATTCTCCAATGCACTGCTACCCACAGCACACAATATCCATGCATTCAAGGTGCTTAAATTCCTTTGAGACGTCATACCCTAAATATCGATAGGCGAAATCTTATCAACTCAAGATGTATTACTACCCCCCATTTTCTATCTCTAAACCGCTCAAAGTGAGTGTCAAATTTCTTCTTTCAGCAAAATTCAGCCTCAGTTTCTAAGCGTGCTTCATCCTGTTTCTATCCGTTGTATTCAAACATGAAGTCAAGAAGAGCATTGTTTGGATTGTCGTCATCGGCCATAACAGAAGCTTTGGATTCGCAAACATGGCTGAAGCTTCCGCGTGGTATGGTATCAACGGCCTTTTATCTTTGCGGAAAACCAACACAGAATCAAGGACCTTATGCCAATTGTTTCCTAGCCCGCCGATGTTGAAATGCAATCCTTTGACATTGACGATCTGTTTGCGGATGCAGATGGTTGGGACATAAACATGAAGAACGAGATCACAAAGTCTATATTGGAGGAGATGGAACTTGATACTGTCTTGCATGGAGTTCCCCGAATGATCGATTTAGCATGGGGCACCTTATGCGCTTTTGGCCGCAAAGATATGCTGCCTGGGCGAACAGAATTTTCTTGGTCGCGATAAGTTCACTGGGATAGAAATTGTCGGAATATTCCTCGAACTTGGCTTGACACATGAATCCTTCCGTACTCACAGCGCGTCTTTCGATCTGCTTTCTTAATAAATCCTGGTAAATAGATTGCCCTAAATCACACCTGAGAGATAAAAGACCATAGAAGGAAAATTATGCCAAGCCCTCATCTGCTGTGCAAAAATGGCCTTCTTGTCCTGTCTTGCAACCGAAGCCGTGCCATTAATGAGATCCCATCTCCCTGTATCAACGAAGCTCATGTAATCACATGCTTATTGTCAACTCGCAAATTTGGGTAGAGTGCTTTTCTATTTGACATAGGATTTGCGTGATTCATAGTTGATATTCCCTCTCTTATTGGCCCGGCGTAGTCGACGACATACCCAATTTTGTGGGCTGAGTTGGAAGTCTCATATGATCAGAAATATCCGTAGGCTTTTTGAATCCTCTGGTGGAAATGATATGGTTGTTTGAGATTGTAACTTCGGTGTATTTGGGTAGACCAAGGACTGTATGGTCACACAACACAGTGGGTGTATACAGTCTTGACACCGCGAGTAGAACTATCTTTACCTGGCGGCAGGAAATAGTCCAAATGATTGAGAGATAGTTGAATGCTCGGTATGTTGCGGTTTTGTGGAATGGATTAGACGAGCGACAAGATTAAGGTTTTCTGCTCTAGTAAGATCTTACGATCGGTTGTTTAAAAGGAATAAAAAGCAGTTTTGTCGAAAATTTGAGATTAAGACAGGACTTGAGACAGTTGGAAGTTATTGTGAGATTACATGTACAGGCGAGGGTAGTAAGGGGGCGGAGCGTTGAGGTTGGTCATGTGTGGGAGCCACCCCACCCCATCTCTTGAATTCACCCACCTCAGACTATCGAGTGAGCTTTAACGAGGTACTTCAACTTAAAAGTGAAAGAAAAATCTCTACCAATCTGCATTCCTCGAAGAATACGCATGGCAATTTTCTATAATCGACCTGTTTACATGAGAGATTGGCCATCTAATATGTTGTTATGTGGATGGATGCCTATCATTGCCAGAATAAAAATGAGGTAACAATAATAACAAGCTCTTTCCATATTCGAACTCAGAATAGCTCCTACTCAAATCTCACCCTGATAACCCACGAGTACGAACATGAATACACAGGATGAAGAGCGTAGCAATAATGGTTTGATGCAATTCAGGTACAGCATGACAAGTACAATTTACCAAACCCAAACATACCATTCTAAAGCACCACCATTTTCCGTTGACAGAGCATGTAGAAACTGCCTAAAATTATAAGATATGACCAAAATGCTATGACAACCAATTCCGACCTCCAGAGACCATTGAAGAGGCTTAAAAAGGTATCAAAATTAAAGTATCAGAACCACCTTCCCCCATGATAATTCACACCATTCGCAACATTTTGCCCCAAATTCTAACACCCTTGCGCCTGCCTCAATGAACTTCCTAGCCCAAAACCAAGATCAAATCTTTTTCCCTCCGTCCCCCGTCTATCTCTATTTGAATGAGAGCCAAATCTAACCCCATATTTCTAGCAGATAAAATTTTATAAAAACGTATATATGCCACAAGCACCGTGAATCCCATCCTCACTTACACCGTCCAAGGTGACATTATGGAGCCGGTAATACTTCGTATAGACACTGCTTGATCACGGTCTATTTCCGCGCTGTTAAATTTTCGACGACTGAAGATAGAATTCCTCGCGTTGAGTGTCAAGGGATCTTTGTCCTTCCGAGTCGGTTTAGGTCGAGAAGATGATGTGGTGGCTGAGACAGATGGGCTTTTTCTGGCTAAATTAATCGATGAGGATACACTGTGGCCATTTCTAGCTCTAGTTGGGTTGTAAAGATTAATGATATCAAGAGAGTTCCTGATAGAAATGTTGTCGTCGTGTGGTATCTGATTGCTAGCCTTTGCAACTAGGAAGGTTTGGGTAATTGGGGAAGCTGAGGTAATTTCCATGCTTTCCATACTCGCGGGTTCTTTCAAGGTCTTTTTGGTATCGACTGAAACGGGTGGAGCTGTCTTTGCACGTGTAATAGGTCCTGTGGCAATTGCATCAGACTCTCTAATCCAGTCAGGTAGGAAATCTGGCAGGACGAACGATTCAGGCTTGTGAAGCGAAGAACCATCGTCCCTAAGACTGACAAGGTCAGCGCTAGACCTCGAGTGCTGAGTCTCATGTCTCGGAGGGAGAGATTCGGATTCCGCAATCCATTCTGGTCCGAAAAAAGATCCACCACTTTTTCTGCAGGTCCTTTCTTCCTCGGCACCAGAGGAGCAATTTGTAGTCGACTGTTCTTTTCCATCTTGAGCTTTTCCGGTGAGAAAATTCACAAAACGACTCATCCTCTTACCCAAAATGCCCTTCGAATGACCACCACAAGCGTGCCCAATCTCAAGTTTTGGCCTTCCGTCATAGTTATAGAGGAAGTCAATAAGAATTCTGAAATCGCATGGCTGAAAATGTTGTACGTCTCCAGAATCACCCCCACTACGCTCGCTAACAACAGCAACGGGGCCCTTCAAAGGATATTTCAAATCTCCAGCCATGATATGGTTGATGCATGCATTCGGCGGGGAGTTATCGGTTAAAAAGTCCCCTCGGACGGCCAGAATAATGCAATGATCAAAGTCCTTGCTTGCCATGTTGCAATCAACAAGAGTCTTGCGAGTGTCTATCCGATCCTGGTCGTAATATTGAAGGAACGTGGCCACAGACTTGCCCCTAGAACCATTGGCGATCCAAGCCAACTCAAAATCTTCCGAGTCCACCGGTAGAAGGAGACCGAGTCTGTATTTCTTATCGAAGGTGTCTTCGGGGCATGGATTTGCAGTAATGAAATTTATGTATTTCTGGCAAATTATGTCATGTACTGGGCGATCCCCTTCCTGGCACTTTGTTGTACAGTACCAGGTCGCATCGCAGGTTGTACATGGGATTGAAGCATCTTCTGTACAGTATCCGCACTTCGGGTGCTCGATTCTGGGACCAAAGGACGAGATTGAGACCCGCGGGCCAAGTAGTGGGTTGCGCCGTGAGGTCATTGGAAGTAGGTAGCGTAGTAGTTCGTGGAGACTTTTCTATCTAGTCGTAGAATTTGTCTAGTTATAGAATAAAAAGCACCAAGGGACGCCATGAATCAAAACTAAGAAACAAATGGATAGCTTTGGGTGTAGTCTAATCGAAATCGATCATTTTTCATCAAATATAGTGAATCAGAATTTGCATAAATTCGGCAGGCGATTGATAGAATGAAATTAAAGAAAGGTGTTTGTGAGTGGAGGCAGATTGCTCATTTAAGAAAGAGATGATGCGATCTAAAAGTCCAAGAGAGTAAGAGAAAGGTATCGAAGGTAGAAAAGTTTCAAACGGGCTGTGCAAAAACTTATTGCTAACAATTTGTGAGTCTGAGAATGGTGCAACTTTTGAATAGTTAACAGGTAATTGATACGGTCCATCTGTTTGTTATACTGCTAGTTGTAAGGAAGGCTGATGGGTCCTACCACAAAGGCACAGTCTTATTCCAAAATTTAAAATGATGAATTGCTTGCTGTAACAAGAAAGACAAATTAAACCAAAGAGATTTTGAATGAAAGCTTTGACAAGGATGCAAAAAGTTTGAAAACGCAAATCAAAAATGAATAAGAAATGAAAGACTTGATTGAATGATACTCATCCCATACTACTCGCTACCAGGGGAAGTACTTCTGTATAAAAGTATCATCCTTTGTTAAAGCATGGTCAAAATTCACTAATGAAAATCTTGGTGAAATCTGCTAGCACTACCTCGACAATAGAAGTGAATGTCTTGATCTCCGCCGCTAATTTGATTTTGCCAAATCAAAAAGCGGAATTCTGGATCCAAACTGTGCTAATATCTCTATACAAAGGGAGCAAACAAATTTATAAAACACTTCACGTACTTTAACTGCAAATCGCAGTCTGTTACATAACAACACAATAGTCACTATGTACCTTGAACGGTGACCCATACAGCATTTCTAAAGGGAACCGAAATCCTTTTCCGCAATTTACTTCTTCTGATGACCATGAAATATTTTCTCCCATAAAGCAAGCTAGGTCATCTGAGTAGCTATAAGGCGAAGCCGTGCTGTTGAATCTGGCTCGGTCGAAATTCAGCATTCAGTCTTTTCATTGAGCTCGAATCGCTCCTTATTGAAGAAATCCTAGAGAAGTTGCTTTCTCGCACGGCGAGTTAATGACTTGAACATTAGGTTAGATAGGGCATCGATATAACCAACAATTGCAGATAATTGATCGAAGGTAATGTCTTGTCTGTCCTGCCTTGCAACCAGAAAGTGCCCCATTTTCCTTCGCCACCCTGGAAGTGTTTCCCCCCACGTCTTGCTATCAGGGTCAATGTCAATATGAAGTGAAGTACAAATTCCAGTTCTCATTCTCAAACCATCATCGTCAAACGGATCGTCTGGATTAACTCCTCGAGATATCTCTTGTACGATTAGTGGAGTCCCTAATTGCTTTGTGACATCGGTAGGTTCCATGCCATAAATTGGGTGAGAGTCAGGAATGCTGGCGTCATAGCTATCCTCTCCTGAGGGAGCAAATAGAACGCATTGCTAACTTAGCATTCCGTCCCACTACCTCATCGCGTTTACTATTGTTTTCAATCGATGACAATTCTGTAATGGTTTTCATAACGACGGGTAAATCTGCCAAAACGATATCCGAGATAATTGAAGAAGAACCAGGAAGATCTTCTCGAAATACGACTACAGGTCCATTCCAAAACGCGCCATTTGCAACAGAAATGATGCAATGGTTGAGTTTGGGGTCACTCAGTTTCCACCAAAAAAAATGAATGATGATTTTATGATGTTTCGCTGATTGTCAAAGGTTAGCAAGCATATACGCGCTATGGTGAGATTTCAAACCTTGGGATTAATTTCCTTGCAAAATAGAAGTTCTGTTTCTTCATCACTACGCTGTGCCTGAGGAATTTTCGGACACTGAAGCCACTCTAATTTTGGATATGTAGAGTAAACCGGGAAATAGAAGGTGAGTTTGTGGCACTCAGGAGGTCGTGGCTCAATGAAGCAAATGCTTTAAAAAGGGTTTTGTGAAGAGGCCAGTCCAATTCTGACATTTTGGAGAGCAATAGGCAATGGATTTGCATAAACTGCAGAGCAATTTTGTAGACGCGAGACCATAACAAAAAGAGCAAGTAGAATCGCCGGCGATACACATGGTCATTGCAATGATAATAGTACAGTGGAAAAGTATCAACATACAGTTATTCGTGGTAAACTGTGCTTGAGTAGGTATATCTATGTGGTAAAATTGTATTTTTAAAAATCAGTAAAACAAAATGAGAGGAAATGCAATTATCGAGACTGACGCAAAGGAAAGAGAGAGGAAGGGAAGGAGAAGGATAATGAAAGATGCTAGAAACTGATTTGATAGGGAAGCAGGTGACGAAAAAGGAAAGTTCGACGGAAAAGGTAATTTACTCATGAAACAGGGGAGCTTTACACGTTGACGTGTGATTAGAACTTTAACTAATATTGAGTTGACTTTCTCTCTGCTAAAGGTTCGGAAACCGTTGTCATGCATGAGTGTTTACAGAAGTATTGATCAATGAATGACATTAAGATTTCACAGCTCTATTTAAACCACACCTAAAAATAACATTTCAGAAAAAAGGTCTAATTGTAGCGCAGGGCAAATAGGAGCTTGGTGTAGGTTTCGCTTCTGTAATGTTAGGGTTGCACAGTATCCTAATAATAATCAACTTTGAAAAATGAGAAACTTAGCTGATTTCTGCACGTAAGGATGTGGCACATAATCTGAAGTAAATCTCCAAACAGGCAAGGAAAATGGCTCGTAATCCGAGGAAATACAAGCACATAGAGGGAAGGAAAGTAGGATTGCGAGACTTATCTAAATTATTTCCTGAACCTTCCCAGTTATTTACCTTGCCAAGATGGCTTTTCAGTCTTCTCGGACCCCCCTTCATCCCCCCTTTCCATTTTAGCTCGTTGACGAAATTGAAATCATCAATCATCTCATAATAGCAAAACCAATTCTGAGAATTTCATTCCTCGTCTCCAGTATTTGGGAATAAAGAAACTTTAAATTCATCGCAAAATACCCTCCACCCTAACCCTCTCCCACCAGCATCCCCAATCAATCGATACTGCGAGAGGAGAAGTGAACGTCCCAGAGAGTTGAGCCGTACTCCCAAACGTGGAAGCGCTAGTGACTTATTTTCCACATGGAAAATAGAACTACAAGGCACAAGAGTCAGGCATGATGCAGAGGAGTACACATCTAGCCATAAATCAATGAAGGATACGCACTTCCGAGAAGGAATAAGTGGATGGCTTTACCTGATAATACAAACATGACGACGCTCCTCCTTTTCTCTTTTACCAAAACCCATCAAGATAGGCCCTATTGAAGAATTCTAGGCGATTGCAAGCTTAACATACCATCTAAGATGAAAACACTCCACTCAAAAAAGCAAAAGAAAGTAGAGAAAAAAGAAGCAAGGCAGGGAAGGGGAGTGGCAACTGAGAGATATACGGAGGAGATGGAAAATGCAGAACAAGAAGTACAAGCTTTGAGAAGATGAGCTATAGAAAATACGGATATGAAGCTTAAAGTTTCCAACGGCTATAACTGCATGCGTGTTAAACTTACTCAAATCAGAAGTTCTAGTGATGAGATCATTGGCCATGAGAAGAGTGAGAGAAGGAAAATGGATGTGATCAATAGACAAGCTGAATGATCCTTTTTTTGTTTAAATTTATCTTGCTGGCTGAAGTGGCATCAATTGACTAAAGGAAAGAAGGTGAAATAACCCAATGAAGAAAGGAATATGGCACGCGAATTCTTGCAACTATGCCAATTCGGCGACATCACCAATCCTCTCATAAACTCTTTAGTTGTAAGAAGTCTTTATAATTAATGGATCTACATACTCCTGATCCGTCCATCTAATAATCATCCCAAGCCCTCCTAATAACCGGTCTCGCTGGATCCCATGGCCCATGGATCTCATTTTTATATTTCTGCAGCCCAATTAACCACCAACTACATCCACCCATGGCCAATCCCGTTATTAACGTCCCCAATACAACGCCAATTAATCCACTTTTCCAATCCCAAGCCGATCGTCCCGATTGTGGTAGTACTAATCCTACACCGCCGCCCGCGCCGAAAACGAGTAGTAGTGTGAGGATTAGATGTCCACGTAGAGAATGTAAGCGAGTATAACGACGGAAAACAGGAAAGAGTCCAAAAACTTCTATAGAAAAAAGCGTGAGGCTAAAGACTTGTCCTGTACTAGGAAGGCGGGAAGCAAGAACTGTAGAGGCCATTAGAGCAGCATTTGTACTAAGACTGGCAGGGATGTTTTTGTTTTTTGTATTCGAGGGTGAGTAGCTCGATGAGTAAGAGGGGGATGGGGTAGCGTAGTCGAAGAAGAATATGTTGATCGTAAATAGCAGAAATGACATTGCCCAGATTGAATCTGATGACGTAGATCTCGTGAGAGATTTAAGAATAGGAGAGAGACCAAGGAGGACAAAGTATATTAAGACCGCCGATTTCGCGGTTGACAAGCGAAGTGAAGTACGATGTGAAAACGGTGGATTATGTGGTGTATAGATTGGCCGTGTTGGAGGTGGTTGGGTTTGATTTGAGGCCGTAGATTGAAGAGATGATGTTGAAACTGAAAAGGCATGTTTTGGCCCATTTGCAGCTGTTCCCAATAGATTTGGTGTTGAACTTGTTGCAGATGCATTGTGCGGAAAAGGCTGCGGAGGTGGAAATGCTGGTCGAGTACATTCTTCTCGTCCCACCCACAAGTCCCATAATAACCAACCTAAAAAGGTAGCTATAGATCCCCATCCAACCACAGAAACCGGGGAAACATGTTCTTGATATATTCCAACGAAAGAAACAACGAATATTATGACAGAACAGACATGTTGAACTATAACAGTCGAGTCTGCTACCAATGGCCAAAAGTCATAAGGCTGAAGACGCGGATTTCTTTGAAGATGTTCGAGAAAGGTGTCTTGATCCGTATAGTTATCAGGATCTATTTCAATTGATCAGTACAATTATACACATGTAGAATGAAAATATACCATACAAGATTGCTTCACCCATAACAGTTTCTTCCAAGTAGCCTTTCGTCTTCTATGACTACTTTTCGTTCTTTCATTATGTCTTCCTCTACTTCTTAATCTTCCAGCATCTCCATTTGTCATACGCAATTGGTTGACAATCGCAGATGGTTTACGAGGTGGTGAGGGTTGAAATATGGCATCTTCTGGCGCAAGATATGATCTTTCATGTGGTGTGATTCGAGCAGAAGAGGTATTGGGCAGTGTTGAACTTCGATTTAAGGGGGGAGCAGATTGAGGTGCCATTGGAGGCACCATAATTGAGAAGGCTGTAACATTCCAAGGTTGACATCTGCATTTGGTTTGAAAACTGTCAGCCTCATGTTCATGGTTGCTATTGAGGTCAATCTTGGCTACCGTTGTAGATCTTGCGAATTTTGCTTAGCTAATAGCACATGATGAGATATATAGCTAGGTATGTAAATGTTGTTGCACATCTAGTTTTGTCCTTCAGTCATCGTTAACTTTCTCTGCTTTCTCTGTTTTCTCTGTACGATTACAGCGCCGAACATTGGTTATCTAAAAACACATGACTAATAACAAATCAACATTTTGTTGCATGTCTATGAGAATTCAACAGTCGGTGCACAGACTAAACTAGTCTGGTCGCTAATAAGTATATCTTCATCGAAATCACCGTAAGACGGTCGGGGCATCGCTTGCCCTTCCTACCCTTCCTATTATATCCTATAACTCCTTCACTTCATCCTCCTCTCCCTTACCTACCAGGGGGTGGCTCGTGAAATGTAGTACAGCATCATCTATCTAACATCTAACTTTCTACTCCGCCTTGTAAATCATGATTGATTCTATCATTAGGATCACCAAATCATCCCGAGGTCGTAAAGGATTCGTCTTATTACCATCTCATCCCATTTGTATCAGTATTGATACTCCCACATAAGCATAATTTCAATTCTCATCCCACAGAAACATTGCAGGGCCAAGCTAATTAGCCGAAGCTTATAATACAAGCAACCAGTTGGTAAGATTACCATTGAACAGTTTCACCCGCATAATGTCTAGTTGCCTTTGTCACATGGACCTTTGTTTTCAGGCTTTTGTTGATCCTTTGCATCCATCTATGACTTTTCGGGAAGCTCGCTCTATGTAGGTAATTCGAGCGAATTGTCAGCGCTTATCTATTCTACAAAGGTTAGGTTACAGATACAAAAGTTGAAGAAGCACTGGGGCAAACCTTTAGACGACTTTTAAAAAATCATGTTATGAGCGTTGAATATTTTTTAAAGATAGTGGCAGTGGAAATGGTAGCATGAAGATATAAGCTGTTTCCCGGGATAGCTTCTATAATTCTAGAAGGATCCATGGTGACAGTTTCAAGGTTGAGGCCTGGATCTTGCTGACTGCAGCCTGGGTAAATGCGAAAGGAGGTAAAGGACCTTTCCGAAGATTTGATAGTACATGCATGTAATATACACATGCGGTCGAGAAGTCTATTGCATCTCTCGTATCCAAATACAAAATTTTGGTATGGAAAGATACGAACAGCGGGGTTTATATAACCTCACCTATTAGATTATTAATAACTCAGCCTTCTCCAAAGTCCAAAATTTCCGTCAGCAGCTTGTGGACGGGACCTCCTAACTACCGAAGGGTTCAGGGTCTCCGGAAATGTACCTTTACGGAGTGTAGACAGGAAAAGCTACCAGGACCTTTGGATTGTACCTGACGATCATTTACTTCTGGTAAGCAAAAACGTTATTGAGACCATCAGTGTGATCCCCATCATTGAAGCTTTTAGATGGTATTTCCCCTTGATCGATTATTCTTAATATCACGACCCGCGATATACTGTAGAAGGGTGATCCTGCAGGCTTTACTGCGCACAAATGCCAAGATACCAAGAAAACTTTGAGAAGATAAACGGGAAACCCTTCGCGAACTTGGGATTTGTGGATATGAAATGGATAAATCGATAAGGGCAGGCGTTAGAGTTGAAGAGGATGGAAAAATTAATGTTTAGATGTTAAAGTTGAAGTAAATAATATAGAATAAATAAATAAATAATTGAAGATTTTGACAATAATGTATCATACAAAAGTGACGTCAATCTTGATGCATAATTAATTGAGTTAATACAATAATTATTAAATATAATAAAAGTAATAATAATAATAATAATAAAATTTATATTAATTTGATAAAAACTTAAAAAAGTTATAATAAATTTAATTATATTTGTATATCTTCAAAAGAATATATTTTAATAATACTTTGAAAGATAATCCGATTCTAAAGCATCTAATAGAAAATAGAATAATATATAAGTATTACTCTCTTTTATATTTATCTCTGATCTTATTGCTCAGCTCTTTTATTTCTTCTTTGTATTTCAAGTAGTTAGACAACTGTACGGATCCATAGTGAGGAATAAGCAAAGCATAAAGAAAGAAATAATAATTTGAAAATTCAATAGAAGTATGCTTGGATACAAAGAGGGTAAGACTAATCTCCAGGAAGAATAGGAGATATACATGTCCGTTTGTACCAAGGTCTTTGATAAACAATAAAGGGCGTCTAACCGTCTTCCGCCTGTTGAGGCTATCTTCTATGAGCTCGACTATCTCTTTGTGATAATAAAAGGGTAGTAGTTGGAGCTTATTCAATGTTAATTTTGCTTTGATATATAAATACACGATTATTACTCACGGAGAAACCTGTCTTTCTCAACTCTTCATCGTTCCTCAAAATCCATGCCATAGTCTCGTACATCTCTCTCCCGTACGCTTTCCTCTCAAACACTTCTAGCCAATCTTCTTTTGTGTTTGAAAACAGCTGTTTCCCTGTTCCTTCGTATTGCCTGGCAACCGTGATGGCATACGATGTTTCTCGGCTCATGTTTGTGACAAAGTGGTCGGCCATCCATGCTCTTACTTCATTGGTTGTCCAATCGTATTGTGGGGGTGTGGGTGGTATTTTAAATATTGGTTCTTTGCTGTCGATATCTTGAATCTGTTGGTATTGATTTCTGAACCTTCGAAAGGGGTATATTGTTGCTTTCAAAAGCTTCATGTTTACATCTAAAATATACGTTTACTTGAATATTCTGAGTCGTAATTGCCAAAGAAGATTCAACGGAAGTTTATTACTATCATAGGGCAAAGCTAATCAACTTGTTCTTACTATAACAAGCGAAATGCTGATCATCGAAATCTACATTCACTGTCAGAATACAAAGTTTGATTTCTTTCACCGGCTCTTTAATAAAATGATTTATATTATTTATTTTTACTTTAAAATGTTTTTTATTATTCTTTATTTATATAAATAAAAACATCTTTTGATACTCAAACCTAATAATTTCATTTAAGGATTTTGATAAAATGATAAATTAAATATAGATATTGTTTTTAAATTTAATATAATTTAATATCATAAATTATTAAAAATATTTATAATTTTAATAAAATCTTTTTAAATCTATAATTCGTGAATAATTCTCATGTTTTAAATCTATTTAATAAGTTTCGAATATTACTCCCTCTTCATCAACCGGTCGTTTAAATGCCGTGTTGGGATACAAAAAGCCTCGGCATTCAAAACACGAGACCTTTAGGTTACTGGGTCACCAATGATCTACTCGTGTAGCACCACATGATCGAATTCCAAGCCAGTATATCATTTTAGGTATGCCAAGTAGAATAGATGTGTCCAGACAAAATAATTAATGCTTACAGCACATGAAGCTTTTTATCCTTTTCTCCCAGCCTGCGAACCGGAGATATTCAATCTTATAACATTCTTCAATTGTTTTACCAGCTGAACGCGATGGCCATCTGTCCATGCCTGGGATCAGTGACAAAATCATTTACTGACAACCAACGACCAACGACCCACGACCCACGACCCACGACCCACGACCAACGACCCTGGACAACGGATTTACATGAAGCGCACTGACACAAATACGAAGAAAAGTGGAAGTGGACGCAGTGGAAATCACAGAGGAAGAATTGGACCTTTTTTAAGTTCTCCCTCCCCACAATTTGAATACGATCAGCTTGATCAAGTCTTCTACGGAGTAACAATCTCCATCATTCATCCAGTGATTATTCTCTTGGCAGCTTGTTGGTTGCGATTAGCGCTGAGCATCACTGTATTAAGGTTATTAAAACTACGGATTATGCAGAGTCTCGAGTCGAGGAAGTGGGTTAAATGATCACGTAACCTTGCACACGAAGGAGAGCAAATGAATACCAAAGAAAATACATCTTCAATTGATTGTTTGATTGTAGTCTGATTACATAAGAAGATTGGGATTTCTTGTGGAAAACACACCTCGACCTATCTATACATAGCTACATACAAACAAGCCGGACAAAACCCAGTCAAAACCCAGTCAAAACCTCATCTCTTGTCTCAAATAATGCATCCAAAAAGACAAATTCATCCAACGCCCCATCAGCCATGTAACCTCAGCCAATTACCCTCTGATTGACCCTGCTATTCACCTCATCATAAAATAAAAATCGCGCAAAGGGCCCTCCCCCCTCCCTGAAAGGCTGAAGCTTCTGCTGCCACAATGCCAAATACGGGTTTTGGTTTGTTTTTGGCCTTGTAGGATTTCCACCAGATGGGGATCAGGAAGATGGGTGATGGGTGGTGATGGGTGATGGGTGATGGGCAGCTCTACTACCTAGTCAATGGCATGGGATACTACCTAGCGTCATCCCACTTCACTAAATTGGTGCCAAAAACCCGAATGCAACTTGTTGCTTTTTTAGTGTGAATGCTATGCATGCGTTGCACCACATCAGTCAGTCAGTATGTATTGATTGATATGCTTTTGATTTAAGTACGAGACGTTTCCTGCTTCCCCTCCCCCACCACTTCTTTCTATACTACTCTTGGTTTCAATCCATGTTTCTGTTCCTTGCTCGGCCCTCTTCTTTATTTGTATCTCAAGTATCAATTGATTCTGTTGACCTGCGCTCGGAAGATTGAAGATTGAAGATTGAAGATTGAAGATTGATCCCCAATACGTTTGCGGCATTCCTAACATTCTGAGTGTAACGAAGTGTCAAGACCGACCCCGAAAACATCAAAACATCAATTGCGGTCCACGAACAGAAACGGAATATCTGATACGATATTCTAAAATATATACTTCCTCTCCTCAATCTCGCTCCATTCGAAGAACAACCAAAAATAAAATAATCATCCCGACAGTCGCAAAAATGCGACCATCATCACCACTCTCGCTCCTTCTATTCCTCCAACTCTCAACCGCATTCCCAGTGGACCCACGAATAACATCTCAATCCCAAAAATGTTTGAATTCTCCATCCTGCACCTCTCTCCGCTCTGCTATGAGCACTCTCTCTTTCTCCCTCTCTCATCCGAAACCCAGCGATCCCCGAAATCCGCATTTTCCAGAACATCAAAAACGACCTCTGGTAACCTTCGTCAAACCAACCACGACCTCTTCCTCTTCTTCCTCGGACGAAGAAAATTTCGCCCAAGAAGGCGCCTTCGATAATGCACCAATGACACCTTCAAAAGATATCCCCGCGGATGAAGCACTTTCTGCCAAGGCCCCGCTCAGTACGGAATATCTCCAGAGTTTGACGAAAACGGTTGACGAAGACGAGGCGAGACCTAGTATGCCTACTTCTGCACTACCTAGTTTGCGCAAAGAAGACGCGCGCAAATATTGGGAGGGGGAAAATGGGAAGAAGATTATCGGTGGAGAAAAGCCAGAATGTGGAGATTCGAGAATGTGGCATGGAACTGCTGTGGGTTACAGAAGTCGAATGACCCATTTTGAGATGGGGAGTAGAAACGATTTCATGGTTGTGGGGATCGTGGTCATTTTCTTATTTGTGGTTTTTGCGTTAGAGGTTATGGACAGGGTTGGGTGAGTTTTCTTCTGTTCCATTGATTGCTGGGCTTGGAGTTTGGCTAATATCTGCATAGAAATCGAAGTTCGAAAAGAGGGGAAATCTTTCTTGAAGATGATGAGACGTATGCTTTTATCGTTAGGAAACCGAGACACTTTTTTGAGCGAGAATCTAGATGCAAATGCGCGCAAGTAACGGAGTATAAGGAATATAAAGATGATGAGACGATTGTGGCGGAGGATTTCAATGGGGATGCTGAGAGAAAGATATAAATTCAGCCCATTAGGGAATTTCTTTTGTATTACAGGCAGGCTAATTGGATAATGGTGTTATAATATCAGGAAGGGATAATTATGGTGCGGAAAAAGAAGCACGATCGGCGTTCGTAGCATGGTTATGGGACATGATGATTCTGGTTGAGAAATCCATACCATACTGAATGAAGGACGGATTGGTGGATTGGATGCTCCTCAAGCGTAGGATTTAGCATGAGCAACAGGAAGAGAATTAAGACTGAACAAACAGATTTCATATCAGTCGTGAGTTCATGACAATGACATAGCGGTAGTGGTTTTTTATGAGCTCCTGAAGCCACCCGATTAAATACTAGGTATTATCTCCATCTCGTAAATTAGCAGAACGTTCACGTTCATTCATGCTATCTTACATTAACATTTAAAACCATCTCTATGCCCCTCTCTGTCTAAGTACTTTCCCACAAGCCAACCATCACAGCCAACGAATGAATACAAACACTTCATTCCCGCGGTTCTCTTCTATCTATCCATCTATCCATCTAAGTCAGTCAGTCAGTCAGTCATACAATAAATGCACATTCATTCATTCACTACTGTACATAGCTTTTTCTTTCAAACGAGTTTACTAGTAGAAGAAAAGAAGACGATACGATATATATTTTAAAAGCATCAAGTATTCAGCAATCTACTCCCATCCCATCCCATCCCATCCATGGATGGAAAAGTTTATTGTCGTCTTCGCCCTTCCCTTGGACATTTCTTCGAAACTGGCGAGACTGGAGGATGGAGGATGGAGGATGGAGGATGGAATTAAAAATTGTTATTCTTCTTCTTGTTATTATTGTTTCATAATAGCTCTTTTCTACGGATGTAATATCTCGATTATGTATGCATGCATGTATGACAAACAGTATTTTCTACAGAGTCTTGGTGATATTTCCGTCTCGAGTTTAGGTTAAATTTCTCTGTGAGTTTAGTGATGAACTTTTGAATCTTTTGAATCTTTAAATCGCACGGAAGCGGGTAAGAGCGGTAAGAGCGGGGTCAGAATACTACCCGGATTCACTTGCCGGATGGATGGTGGATGGGTGGATAGAGTCATATATCTTATAATAGACATTAATATTACTTCCCCGGTCCGGCAGCGCCGTCGAGTGGATGGACGGATATTTACCGGTCTAGTGTATTTTTGGGGGGCCGGGAATAACTACGAAGGTTAATTTAACTAGGGTTAAGTTAAAGACTCGCAGGGTTTGTATTCCCGTGCATGCTTCGTTTGGTAAAATGTAAAAATGATACAAGAAGTGTTTATACATAAACAAGTGTTGTTTTTCTGTAATTAAATTCTTCCGCTTTTTGCCTACCTTCAACTAGTGGTTGGCTCTTCGAAATATATATTTTCTTCATCTTTTTATTGTTTTGTTATATGTATGTTTTTCCGGTTTATGTTTCGTGTGATTTGAGTGTATATGTGGTATTGCTTTGTATAACATAACTGGTTGGCTTTGATGTATCAGTTTTGCTGGATTTTAAGAACAAAATTTCTAATTCGGGTATATCTTTACTATGCGATTTCTTAATAAGTTATTAAATCACTTAAGAATATTAGACGAACCAATCATCAAACGATTATATAATATATTGAAAATATTATTATATATTATTAAGTTTTATTATTATATAAAAATCTGATTATATATTATATTAAAATGATTTATAATAAAATAAAACAAAAATAAAAATAAATAAAACTTTCTTATTTCTTGAATTGAATATTATTAATTATTATTTCTTTTTATTATATAAAAATGATTTTATAAGATTTGATTTAAATTAATTTATTTATAATTATAAAATATATTAAACTTTTATTAAATATTATTACAAATATAAAGGTTTTCTTTAAAGAATCCTTTGAAATATCAAATTAAAAAACAATAAAAATCTTATTATATATTATTTTAACTTCAATTTATTATTATATTCAATCTTACTTTATTGAGTTTAAATATAATTAAGTCTTCTACTATTGTAATAAATAATATTATTTATTCTATTAACTTCCTTCAAGATTTACCATGGAGGATCTTAGTACTTGTAAGGTTATCTGTCTTTGAATATGTCATTTCATGCCACAGGGGGAAAAACATATCTTATATAAATGAGAATGTATAGACGGAGCTAGTTTCCTTGCCGTTAAATATTATCAACAAGTTGTAGTCATAATGAAAAACCATACATTAAATGAATTACTTGGATATTCCGCATCAATCACTTCTGGTCCCTATCTAAGGAAGTTATAACTCGGAAGTAATCTTACCTTTCACCGAATTATAAAAATGGTGAACCCATTCCATGAAACGCATATTACATATGAGAATTTTTAGCAACGGTTCGCTTCGGTATATGCATTCAAACCATTCAGACCTGATATTTCGCAAGGCAAACCTGGAGGGGAAGTGATTCGCAGATACTTAAGCTTTAATATGACCTTCTATCTAATTCTTCACAAGTCTCAAGACTTTTCGTTGTCTCTTTAATGCTTCGGTCTATGTGAGATGCCAATGGCTATCGTACTTCAAATTATAGCTCAGTCTAGTACTCTACTTTTCGGCCACCCTTTTACATCAAAAATTGTGAATTTCATCTATTAATAACTTTACAATCAATCAATACAATTTAATAAAATTTGAATTGTAGATTTATTGTATAGTTATTAATAGATTTTGAAAATTTCAGATTTTTTGTAATTGATTTCGTTGAGATTTAGAAGATTAAATTTTTGAATTTTTAATTTGTATGGAATTAACAGACAAATTTAAAAAACTACTAAAATCTTGAATAACTTTTCAACAAAAATAATTAAAAATAAATAATAGATTATTTTAGAGTTTCTGAATTAAAATCTATCGAATAAATTAAATTATTTTAAAAAATAATTTACAGAAATTTGATTAATCAAAATGTTTAGATTTTTAATCCCTGTTAAAATTAAAAATATCAATAAAAGTTTTTCTTTATAATTTAAAATTCTAAATTCTTATTTATTAGATCAATTATGATATAACTATTTTAAAATAATTTCTAGTTTATTTTTCATAATTTTTGTTGAAAAGTTATTTCAACTTTTAACGATTTTTAAATTTGTATGTAAATCCTATATAAATTGAAAATCGCAATTTCTACTTTCAATTTCTCAATCAATAAAATCGTGAAAAATCTGAAAATTTCAGAATCCATTAATAATTATATAATAAATCTGTGATTAAGGTTTCAATTGATTTCATTCATTCGTTGTTGAAATATTAATAGCTGAAAATGACGATTTTTGGTGTAAAAGAGCGGCCGAAACGAGGGGGTGGCCGAAAAGTAGGGTACTAGACTTATGTCGGTATTGATGCCCTCCCGCAAGTATCCGTTGATAATTTGGCTATTTGATATTTTCTCGTCATGTCCCTAATATGCTCCAGAGGTTTTGTGGCAGTTGTAAGTTTGCTGGCCTCATTGAAATTTTTAAAACTTCAACCTTAGATTACATCAGAAGTTGAAAACGAAGCGAGTATTTACTTTATTTATGTATATTATGGAAGGTTAGGCTACTGGTAAAGTCATATATTCGTCCGTCTAAGAAGTCTCGCAGTCGTGTTGTAGCCGATGGTGATGAAGGATAGTTTTGGGAAGTAGTATAAACATCTTATTCGCCACGAAAATGTGAGAGACGCTCCTAATGGTCAACGAAGGTTTCTTCCCCTGAGTTTCAAGTGTTTAGATTGCCCAGACTCTTCATTTGGTTCCTTTCTCTAATGAAATCGCTAGGTTACTTTAAGATTGGGTTATCGAGATGAAGCTGACAGATCAGACTAATGCGTATTCACATTTTCGTCTATGATGGCTTTGGTATCTCATTGTGAGAAATACCTTGTTCTCACTCATAGATATTGGTGTCTAGCACAGATTAGTACAGAAGCAGCGTAGGGGGGCTGTTCTCAAATGCGAAGGTAGAAGCGAGATATGTCAAAAGGAGATAATTCCGGAGATGGTTCCTTGGCAACTAGCAAGAGCTGGAAAGAATCTAAAAGCACAGGGATTCATGTAACTTTGGAATGAAGGAAACAGAATACTAGATTGAAAGCAGAAAAACAACCAAAAAGTAGAACGAGATACCATGAAATAAATGAAGTAGAAGACAGCGCGTTAGTGGTATGAGTAATACTTGTATTTGGGCTGGCACGCTAATTTCATGAAGATGCGCACCATGACTAGGCATATATTGTGAGAAAGTTGGAATTATAGGTTAAATACATAGAGGTTTTTAATTAGTCAATCATATAACCTCCTATAATTAGATATAAAAGGAGAGCTTTTGTTTCTTCTTTCTACAATAATCAACCTTTTATATATATACATTTGAATCCATATAATATCAATTTCAAAATCATTGTGAATTTCGTTTTCTTTATAAATGATGTATTAAGATGTGATCTAATTCAGCTTTCTCTTCCAATTCCCTTCTTACAGTATGCTATCGGGACGCACGTATCTCGACCTACCACTTTTACAATATCAGAAGCTTTAGGGTCGGAAATGAGAGATATGAAGAGCTTTGTTTGCCCATGCTTTCTAGCATTTCTATGTTCATACAAGGTCAGGAGATGAAGCCAGAGTCTGAGCTCAGATTAAGCTACTCCATCTTCTCTACGTCTTCGCCAAGGCGTATATGCTCCCTTTGACTTTTCAACGTCCCATCCCCACCGTGAAGCATTAACGGTGAGTTGGTACGCCATGCCTAATTGATAAAATCCTATCACAGCATCTCCTCTGCATGCTTGCTTTTAAAATGAAGTTAACATTGCGCGCGCACAGCACATGATATTTGTTGAATTAGGAGAGTTCGAGCTCTGATACGATACTTGCATTCATAGTATCCAGGTTGATCGTCAACAGAATTACTACTTCACTGGAGTTTTGTGTAATTGGGAAAGAAAACTAACTAACTTTGCATCTCTACAGGTTCGAAGTTGAGTTTGTCGTCAATTTAGAGATGGGCAGCGAGAAAATTAAGGTTCACTAGGTAAGGTTACATAGCATGTGATGATTACTAATCAGTGAATTTTAGCGATAATTTTATGGTCATAGACGGCTTCTATTCATTAGGTAACATCTACTCTTTAATATGGTGAGTTTGTATTATACTCCCTATCATATTTATCCTGGCGATGGTATCGCTCTGTTTTTCCTTTATCTTCATGTACCCGTTCCCCAACTGATTTACCTGCGAAAGGCACCCACAGCCACTCCAAGCATCGCAAGCGCAACCTTATCATTACTGCCACCTTTAGTTTTCTTAGCTGCTAGCTCTTTAGCTGCTAATCTACCAAACATTGCACCAACGGCACCATATCTCAAGCCTGCTTCGTTGTCCGAAGCTTTGTTTCTTGATTTGGATGTTCGTCTGTGAGGCAAATCGTTGCTCTCGTCCACAGTATACCTTCTTCCGTTACTCCGAGTCTCTTTTCTATCCTCATACTCTCGACCGTCAGCCAAATCTCTTGACCTTATTTCGTCTTGAGGTAATGAGCTCCTCCGACGCAAATCCTGCTGACGGTGATTTCGACGAGAAGGTAATGACGAGTTATTACCGGAGTCGTCATCACCTCTCCTGTTTCGTGATGGTGGTGGAGAATTGTCATATGGATATGGCCGATCTTGTTCATATGTAGCATCTTCGCTTCGATAACTATAATTTGGCTCAAATCGCTTTTCCTGACCTTCATTGAGACTCTGACGGCTTCTATGTTCTTTTCCACGATAGATTCTCTCGTCTAACGTGTGGTCATCGCTTTCACTTTCATCTGCGCCAAGACCATCATCTCGCAGTTTTCCAGCAATTACATTTTTGATATTCCGCGGACAGTATGTCTCCGAGTGTAGTGCTTTGTCAGGAAGCTTGTCAAAGTGTTTATCGATGCATCTATCAGTCGCTTCTATGCCGAGTTCAATGAAGTCGGCCGTCGTTCTCGGAAATCAAGGTTAATGTTGGGAATGAAAAGGAAAAAGACGAAGAATGCGAAACTAGAGGGGTGTGGTACGACAAATACGGTCAAGAAATACGACAAGGTGTGTAACACGCCTATGAAACCAGGATAATTCTCTTGGCATTGCTCATCGTGCATTGTGTGTGGGGACTGATTGGCATCGCGAGATGGATACTCGGGCTAATCTAGGACCGGGCCCAAGCTTTTATATTTTGATCCTCAAGCAATCGACCTTTTGAAAAATATATATTAATTTACTTTTTCAATATTTTAATTTGATATTTGAAATATATATTAATACTTATTGAATTAATAATTATATATTATTAAAAATGTTTTCTGTTTTGTTATTAAATAAAAATTATTGAATCAAAATTATAATCTTTCCAGATTTTGATTCTCAATATATATTTTGATGTTTGAAGATGAAAAATTAATAAGATATTATATTATGATAAATATTTATTATACTTTTAAGATTTGAAATATATATAATTAATCATTGAATTTATAGAAATTTTTGAAATAAATGATCTTTAATGTAGAAATATACTTCGCTAAGCCCCTGGCCCTCTTCAAAGACTCGCCCAAGTAGAAGAATTCTGAACCAAGCACATATCCAGAATGTATTTCTATCTCAATCCCGGTACCCAATCCAGTATCCAGTACCATACAAACATGTTCGGCACCGAGTATTCCATGATGAAATGAGCCACAGTCGATGGATGCCACCTCGCTCAATGATACACAAATCAAGCATTGGTTTGAATATTCCATGGGTATCTCAAGGAAAGTCTTTCCCTCGGACTTGCTTTTTACCACCATCGCGAGACTGAAATTAGATATCATTTATATTTGCGTGGTAATATGCGGACAAACTTTCTCGACCCATGATTCGATGGCGGTTTTTGTATTCGGGTGAGAAGAGTACAGCCACCAGGTCGCGCTTCAACTCGGCAACGAGCACATAATCATCTAAAGCGACTAACCCGGTGAGTACTTTTCCTTAGCGTATCCAGTATCTCAGGAATCCGGAACTGGCGAGCCGAGCGCCATTTCCTCCTTTTAGCTCTTCCGCCACTTCAGTCTCCACAGTTTTTCAATATGATAGAAACTGGGACACCCGTCTGTCAGGCGTTATTGCTGGAATCTCATGTCATATTTATTCGCTTTACCATAGCGTCACATTCTGGCATTACGGATTGGCTTAGAATGTGCGGAATGTTATGTGGGGCCTGGTGCGGAGTGAAACAGTGGTATGCAGAGTACGACTAATAGCGGGCGGTGGGGATTCCCACATGCGACAATCATCTAGACGCCGGAATAGGGGCGGCTCTTCACCCGGAAAATGAATGTCCATCACGAGGTGCATATATTTTGCTGACTGCAGTATTTATGGAAGATTGAGCAAAATCGTTAGACTACACATCACACAGCGAACAATATCAAAGTCTTATATTTACCAGCCGAGTGCTTTACTTTCAGACCGTAGCATCCCCGGAACAAAATGGCTACCACCGACAACGTTGAAGAGCAGTACAAGCCATTGAAAGTGTTGATAGCTGGTGGTGGGATTGGAGGGCTCTCAGCAGCCATTTTTCTCCGACAAGCAGGACACAATGTAGAGGTTTGTAGACATGCGTAAATTTCATGAAGGAAGTAAATTAACAGCAATCTAGATCTTCGAGCAATCACGTTTAGCATCTGAAGTAGGTGCAGCAATACACATTCCTAGCAACGTCAACGGTTTATTACGAAGGATGGGCATGGTGCCGGAAGATCATGGAGCAAACCTAATTGAATGGATTTCTGAATATAAATCGAACGGCGAGGTGTTGATTGTCAGAGACGTGAGAGGAATGTCCAAGGCTTATCCATACCCGTGGCAACTGATCCATCGAGTGGATCTTCATAGTGCGTTGAAAGAAATTGCTACATCGGATAATGGAAAAGGAAGCCCTGCAGTTCTGCATACTCGAAGTAGAGTTACTTCTGTTGATGTCAAAGCTCCATCTTTAACTTTGGAAGACGGATCTACGCATATGGGTGATTTCATAATCGCTGCGGATGGTGTTCATTCAAAAATTAGGAGTACACTCTTAAGAGATCACCCACCTCCGGAGTCATCTGGAGCCAACGCCTTCAGGTTTATGATCCCAATCGACAACATTCGAAATGATCCCAAGACTGCGCATTTCGTCGAAAAAACTGGAGATATGCTTGTAATATCTGGGGAAGATCGAAGGATAGTTGCATATCCATGTAGGAGCAATACCTTATTGAACCTTGTGGCAATGCATCCCGAAGAAGAAACAGAAGCTAGTTCCGAAGAGTGGAGCCAAAGTGCATCCAAAGACATGCTTTTGAAATGTTACGCTTCATATACAGATGATGCACAAGCCCTGCTGGCAAAAGTCTCTCCTGGTGACATCAAATTATGGAATTTGCTAGACCATGAGGAGCTAGGAAGAGAAAATTGGGTTCATGGCAAAGTGGCACTTCTTGGTGATGCCGCTCACGCATTTCTCCCACACCAAGGGCAAGGTGGTGCTCAGGCCATAGAAGACAGTGCAGCAATAGGTGCTTTATTTCAACTGGGTACTACTCCGTCTGACATTGAGCAACGTCTGAAACTTTATGTTCAAGCTAGATACGATCGTGCTACGCTTGTGCAGGACTTCACTCGTCAAGCAGCATTTAAAACGCCTCGTGGAAAGCATGGAGGCAAGCTTAAGGACGGTATGCAATTCATGGATATAAATCTTAGCCACGACGCATACGATCACGCGCATGGAATATTGCTTCGAGATTTAAATAGAAATGCTCTGTCTCGCAGAATTCCAATGCCCTTTGGGCCTACCCCAGGTCCTAGACAAGACTTAAACGGAAAGCCTCGGGGCCCTCCAAAAGGATCATATAAGACAAGTTATATTACCTTTAAAACTCACAAGAGCTATCTATCAACGCTTCTGCCATCTGAAAATTTCCAGATAAACACCGATGATATGTGGGCGACTGCCATATTCTCAACCACACGCGTAGGTAATCTGGAATGGCTAGGAGGCCGAGGATATTCAGTGTTCGGACTATACGTACATGATGTCGTACATAAGGATCCATCAACCGGCGCTGAATTGAAAGGTGACTTGCTACCAGTTTCTTTTCACAACATGGCCGATCCAATTATTAGCGGCCGAGAAGAACTAGGAATTTCCAAAGTCTTCGCGACCTTAGAGGAGAAATCCAACTCGGATTCGTCGTTCGTGTTGAGTTCTGGTTGGGAGGGTACAGAATTTTGTCGTTTGACTTTGAATGATTTGAAGGAGACTTCAGAAGCCGAGTCCGTTCTTCAGAACCCAACCCTGCATTACAGGGTCATTCCTTCAAGCGTGAAACAAGAACAGGATGCAGAGTATGCGGCTGCTTATCCTCCAGTGCCAGCGGCAAAAGAAGAAAAGAGATGGAAGGCTGGGAGCGCGGAAGTCGTGTTCACAGATCTGGAAAATAGGGAACTGGAGATGGCATTCCCAACACTGGTAAATATAATTAAGGGTCTCCGAGGTATCAAAATTGTGGAGGTGATCCGATCTGGAATTCAAAGTTCAGTTCCATAGTTCTATATGAGTTGAAGGGTAGATTGGAGGAAGTGTTTCTGGGTCATGGATGATATATTTTAGGGTTGTACAGACTGTGTATGATAGATTTTTTTTAGATATTCATTATAAAAGGGCGGTTAGGTGTTATATATATATATGATCAAAACTCAAATTAAGGTTTCTAATCTTTCTTATCATTTTCTAACTTGTTTCGATCTAATTAATTATACTTTTTCTCTACTATAATCATCCTTGTTACTTTTATCATTTTTATTATTTCATGATCGCTTAATTGTGAGTGGCCCCACTATACACTTTATATTCGAAGGTGTTCGAGTTATAATGAGAGAAAACTAATTTACATTTCGAATAATAACAAAAGAATATTCAATTGATATATCTCACAGCAGATTACATCCTATTTCAGTGCGAAGATCACACGAACTATCAAGTCGGCAAATGTATGACTTCCTACGCGATGTCTTTTTGTATCTACTTCATCTACTTGACCCAATGGTCAAACCTCTGGATGAAGTGGCTTTAGAGGAAGATATCATGTATATCTTTACATATAACAAGGCCAACAAAGAATATTAAAGTGTTTACACAGCAACGAATGCGGAAATCCCCGTTCGGCAAAAAACCACAGAAATGTTGCTGCATCATGATATGTTCAGTTTTGTGATTGGAACAAGGTCCGAACAATGTCTGAACTCATTTCATAAACACTTCGCACGTTCAAGGTTTTACAGACTATATTGGGCTCCAATGCCGTATAACTAACACATAATAAAGAGCTGTACGGTTAGATAACCGACATCCCTACATCTTGCACGACCTTATATTTTGTATATTATACACTCTCAATTATAATCATTTCAAAATTTAATAATAATCCGAATTTACAAGATATAAAATAAAGTTAAAACTTTATTTTATAAATAAAAAAATATATTATCATTAAATAAAATTTTTATATTTTTTAATAAAATTCGATATCTAATTTTTCTTTAGAAAATAATTTATTATTTTTACAGAGTGTTTTATTATATAATTAATTAAAACTTTGTTTTATTTTATTAAAAAAGTTTCATGTAATTTAATATAAATTACATTACAAAGAATTGATTTATTTTTATAATATCGAGAAAGTAAAAATAATTAATTTTAATTAATTTTGTTATAATAATATATTAAAGATATTCTTGTTCTTTGATATAAATTAATATAAATTTTATAATATTTTGTATAGTTATATTAATAATGATTTAATTTATATAATCGATAAATTTTGAGGTTATAAAATATATACAATATATAGGGTTGTGCAAGATATAGGGATGTCGGTTACTCGCGAACAAAAGGATGGAGAATAGCTCACATAAGGATCACAAATTATTTCGCTGTTTTAGCGAAAGTCATAGAAAGCTTGATAAAGTCATATCGACATATATCAGCCTCTAAACACGCAGTGCGATGTTTTGGTGAGGAGATGGTGCTCACCGCTTACAGCAATTCGAACAGACTGAGTACAATACCATTATGGTTTTTGGTTACGCTACAATGAAGGGTTTACGAGGACAAGATGCTTAGAGTTTACGGTAATTGCATTGTAGGAGAACAATCCTGAACGCAGAGTCAACATGGTATAGTATTTTGGATACGCACATCGTGTTTTGATGAGGAGAGGACGCTTAGAGTTTACGGTATTTGAATTGTAGGAGAACAATCCTGATTATAACAACCATTACGGTTTTGCGTAAAAGATATTCTACCTCATTTTGGCTGGATATATGGTTACGCTGTGATTTTCAAGCTATGCTACAGATGATACGGTCGTGCTGCTATCTATGCTCCCAAGTATATATATCCAGCTATGCCCACGTCTAATCTCAAAATCCCCAGAGTTCAACAAGACATCTTCATACAAAACATTCTGACCAACCAAGGAATTCACATCAGAAAAACAACAAATCTTGATCTCCTATTCCCATCTACCAAAATCTCTTTCAAGAAAGTCTTCTCTCAATTCTATCGAACTCATCAAGCAACATGGGTTCTTCTATCAAGCAAGAATCTTCTATCAAGCAAGACCCGGCTCAATCAGCTGCACCAGCTGGCAAATTCTTCGACTGGCAGAGAACCTCCAGGCTCACATTTAGCAGAGAAATGGTCACAATGACTGTTGGCGTAGACAAAGATGCACAAGAATTCCTAGTCCACGAGGAATTGATCACTCATCTTCAAGCCCGTCTGTTCATTGATGTTCGTATGTCGAGAGTGGGAGATGGCCCGCTCAAGGGTTACTTTGGTGTATACCAACAATTGCAACCCGAGGTTTTCATTGGCCTATTGCACTTCGCCTATCATGGAAAGCTTTTCCGTGAGACTTCTCTAGACACCCTGTGGCACTTGTACATCTATGCCGAAAATTATCGTCTTGTCGATTTCCAGGACATCCTCATGAACCGCATTGTCAGTACCTACAAGAACAGCAGGCCTTCAATTTTTCCAAATTCTCGGCATATGCAACTGGGATATAATAGGACGGGAGAGAATTCTGCTGCTAGGAGATTTTTAACCAAGTGCTACGCCCACCTTTTGAATCGCAATACAAAGTCCCCTGCACGTCCTGTTTGCTACAACGAGATTTTGGCGGATGCGGCTAAGAATGCCGATGGTCTTCTGCTTGATACTTTAAATCTTATGAAGTGGAAGGGAACAACCTATAATGCCGAATGGGACCCTAGAGATGCTTCCCCATGCCTCTATCATCACCACGCTTTGGGAACAAAATGTCCTAATTTCCAGGAAAGCGCATGAGGACGATAAGTTCAGTGGGAATACCTTGATAAATGGGTGAATTTCTTAGCTGCAAAGGATTATAGCGGCATAGATCACAGGGCATTGAATTGAGACTGAAGCGATAGCTGGAACTATCATGATATTATTAAGATGAGGCAAATCATTGTGGGAAATTTTGACGAATTGCATGGAATTTTACATGAGAATCGTAACGTCGTAGTTTATTCGTCCACAGTTAGACAGTCTAGAAATATGAAACCATTGAACAATTACAAGAATTTTAAATCGAAAACTAACGTGAGGTCTTCCTGCTTGCGTAAAGTGATATAGTTAAACTCATTTGTGATATGTAGAGATAACCAGTGCCGAAAGTAAAGCCTCGTATCCCATAATTATTATAATTGGTTATGCCGGGCATAATGTCCAATAGTCCGGACTGTAGAACTATTAGGCATTCTAGATTCGATGATCTAATGGTAGTTCGTTGTTAAATTTAAGAAATATGTCTTTAATATTTGAAATCTTTAATAAATCAGATTGCAATTTGAATAAACTAATTTTTTTGACCAATTAGGTAATAACATTATATAATCAGAATATTATATGATAATATCATATAACATAGAATTCTATAATATAAATATATAAAGAATATTATATATTATAATATAATACTACTAGTATTAAATCCGGCCCTTTCAGGGCTAAAAATAACAATGGATTTATTATACCCTTTATAATTGTTATTTACACTCTCTTTAAGACTTATAATCAGATTGTATAATAATAATAAAAATAATAATAATAGTAAATTTATAAAAGATTTGATCTAATTATAACTAGTACTGATCGTATAATATTAATATATAATGTTTTAATTATATAATATTATAATTCAATTTAAAAGTCCGGATAGTAATTTTAATCTTTAATATTAGATATTGAATTCAGAATTTTTTTATTGAAATTCTTGCTTTTAATAGTTCATTCGATCTAAAAAATCACAGATTAGTTGTTCAGATGGCTATCCAGATGAAGTATGAGAAGATTATTAGATACATTGATGATGGGGCACCTGTGCTCCGAAGGAATCTAGATCTTTCTTCCTTTACCTCACTGTATTTATTATTTGAAGTGTCTACAAACACCATATGCATATGCGGACTAAAACACTGAATATAGAAATAAAATATGACTGATAACTATGGCATGTCTAGAGTATAACGCATCTGAAGCTAGTCTCAATTTTTATCTTGGCCAACTAATTCATTGTTCCACGAAGACCTTGTAGCCCCATACCTTCAGCTCTTCCCTATCACTCCTCACCTCGAAGAGCCCCGTCTAAATGTGATCTTCATAACCAAATATCTTGATGTAGATGATTCCATTAATAGCCATTAGGCTCTATACAGAACGCTTTGCAAACATTTCACCCACCAGCTATAAAGCAAGATGTATACAAATACCTCGCTTAATTATCTCTTTAATGGCTGGCATCCTAAAATATTCAGAGGGAGATTTATTGGCTTGCAAACTGATGGAATAACTCAATCTCCTTCCCAGGTTTCAAACCGCTCCAATTGTACTTTAGCGAAATCGTATAGTATCCAGCTCGATTCGTGCAGTACGAGAATATTACAGATTTCCACTTATCGAAGATGGCATGGCCGTACCATGAAGGTTCTATGTGCTTCATTGCATTATTAACTTCACAGTACTAAATGCTCCACAGTTACAGCCATACAGGTTCTATCCAGTATATAGGCTCATCATCACCTCCAAAGTTTCGAGATAAATTTTAAACAACCCATCAACTTGCCACCAAATACTTCTCTGCACACACCAAAGATTAAAAATATAAAACTTTCCATCAAGAAGTTTTCCATTCTCCACAAAAGCTACCTCACAATTACTTTTTCAGCACTTAGGCGACTCTCCGCAAAGACTTTACCCAAAAAATAATGTCTATAGATACTCAAACCATCGCTTCCTACATGTGGCAAGAAGCAGACCCTCGCTTTGCACCATTGCCAGGAAGGAATCGGCAAGCACAATCAAACATGATGCAATTGTGTTACTAAAACTAACATTCCCGCAGGTCAGATCATGAAATGGTAGAAATCACCGTTGTAAAGAGCGGATATGAGAACGAATTCATTGTACACAAAGAGCTACTCACACGTTACCAACAAAAGCTTTTCGCCAAAATATTCGGCCCAGGTGAAAACCTCGAATCATTGAGACTTGTAGAGGATCCCAAAGTATTTGTAGGATTATTGCAATTTGCATATCGCGGAAGATTTTGGCTGCCAGAAACAGTTGGGGATATTGATACCTTGTGGGATATTTATCTTCTCGCGGAGAAGAAGGAGATTCCGAACTTACAAGACGTGATGATGAATCGTATCACATGTTTTTACTTTCAAACTAAGACGTTTCCTACGATGGAAGTCATTCGACATGTATACAAGCATACTAAGAGAGAATTTGGGACGCAGAAACAATCTGTGGCACGACGTTTTCTCGCCCGCTGCTATGTGTGTATTTCCTTCAACTTTTTCTATGGCGGCACGTGTGCAGATACTTATAAACGCATCGAAGATGCACGGATAAATATTGAGGGGCTTCATTTGGATACTCTCCAGGCTATTCACCAACCTGCTGGAACACAATGGAAGATGGATCTGGATCCTAGGGATTCCAGGAGGGTCAGCCAATGCGATTATCATCAACATGCTCGGAATGAAAAGTGTCCTTTGCACAGAGAGACCCCTTTTAATAACGAAGCGGATAGATGAAGGGTTGCTTATGGAGACGGATAAGTGGAGGGAGGACAAGATTTGAGGGAGATAATGGTTGGATGAATGTAATACAAGTGCGAACAGGAAGATGTTTCCACTTGAATGAATATGTGCTCCAATTGCTCTAGGAGAAAATAGCAAATAGCTGGATGGATTCTTCCGCTGTTTCTTAATCCATTTTATCACCAACAAAGATACACTAGCACCTTTTGATTATAAACAAGTCATACATGGGCGTTTCTAGATTTTCAGCGATGCCAAAAAGTTGGTAATGGGCAGTATTCTTGTAATTTCGTGACTGTGTACTTTCCAACTGCCCAAAGACTCTATATGTGAAAAAGCCGAAAATGAATAAAACCATAATATAGGAAAACTCCTCACCACCCTTATTTAGACTCCCAAATCCTATCCGAAGGATCGATGATAAGCTTCCGTCACATTGAATGAGTCATGTCTTAATATCTTCGGAGTTTGAACTTTCAAGTTTCCTACTACAATTATTTTTTGTAAATCCGATTCTGCTTCACTTCCCAAAACCAGAGCAGACACACTAGACCAAACCACATGCCTATTTTTATGCGTTCTTTTCTTTTCATATGGCATCCTTCCCCCCTTTTCTCCTGTGCGTCTTACATCATCATACCACCATTTCCTCCACTTTGGGTTGTATCTTCCAAGTTCTTGACATACTCTAACACGTGCACCATTTTTTATTTCTCCATTCTGTCGCAGGTGATTTTGCTTCGCTGTCGGTTGCTTGTATTTCTACCTTGATATTTTTGTCGTAGCTGGTTGATTGTATTTGGATCCATGGGTAACTGATAATAAACAAAAAATAACACTGATTGATGGTGTGCGCAGCGCTTGATCATATATTACCACTGAGTAAAAAAAAAAACCGATCGTTTCACCACAACTTTAGAAACCAGATTGAAAGCACATAATACAGATCATAAATTGGAAGGAGTTTCTGTAGCAGTAAATTGACTTTAGATCCTCACATGGAAAACTCCATAAAGTACAGGGCTTGATAAGTGCCCGTGGGGATAGAGGGTATATTAGTTATAAATGAGATTTAATATTTAAGATTTGTTCTCTTCAGTCTGTTTTTCGGCCTCTGGGTGCTCTTTTTCATAAATCCAATCGTTCAATCCCTTGCGGTTTCTATCAAGAAGTTAATGGATATTTCTCCAAGTTGTAATGGTAAACAAACCTTGCAATTTCGTAAGCATAGAATTGCATTCTAGGAACTACCATGGCCATCGTTAGCTCTATAACCCCTTGAATCACATCCGTCAAAACATACCGAAGATAGTCTCGTCCTGCCCATACTCAAATTTTGGGTTCGTTCTCAACATTGTTCCAAAATTATAATCATCAATCCTCTTCTCATAAGTCATCATGAAGCTTCTCCATTTCTCCTTTCCTGCCTTGCTCTTCATTTCATCCTCATTAATGGTAGCAGCTGGATCGAAATCCGGGAAATCCTTCATCAAATGCTCATATATCTCGTTATCAATCTTTGTGAGTCGTAGGGAGGATCCGCGGACTTTCTCGAGAATTGCCCAATATGTAGACATATGTTGAACAGCTAACTGCGGGGTCAATGGCGGGGTAATATATGGAAGACTTTGAGGCTGTGCGGACCTTTAACTGCAAATTGCTTCTCAATCTAACAACTTGTCAGTATCATAAACATAGGGCATATGCAGCAGAACTTTGCCTGCACGCGATTGAAGATAACCTACGTCTTCGAAATTGTCTGCCTTTTCGGCATCGAACTTTGCTGGTGGCGCACTCATTTTGGCAATTTCAGTACGATGACCGTGGGAGTGTGGCTTCAAATCCGAGTATGTAGTAAATATAGTTGGCAAGTTTAAAAATATGCGCAAAAATTGAAATGAGAATGGTTGTTTGTTGTGCGGGAACAAGAAATGGTTTTCAAAAAATCGATCATGACGAAGGCTAGGTCCGGCAAATCTTTCTTCCGGGATAAGGTTGACATCACACTTCACAAATTGCATGCTTCACGTAACATCTCATAAATATATACATTCACTCACATCTAATTGTCAATATTGCAGTACTTTCTATTGGCATCAACACTTTCTATGGAACTTCCTCTCGATATCCTCTCAGTAGGGTACCTTTGGCTTATACTTATTGGCGCGAAGCCACGGGCTTAATGTCTTTTATGTTGAACAGGTTCCCACAGGAGATCCATGAAAAATGCCACTATTCATTGAATGATTCTCATTTCATGCGAATCTTTACTCTCGTCGGTCATGAGCAGGGCTACATGGCTACGGGGCAACTGTGCCGATGACTATATCTCAAAGTTCCATCTTGAGAATCTTGGTGCAATAATCCTTATAGGTTGATATTGCAAACAAGACGAGGTAATGAGGTTTTGTCACCGGTGAACCATCTTGAAAATACGAGGAATCCTTGAATGTCCTCGATCCATACCTTGAGTCCATAAAGACTCCTAAAATGAAGTTTCTTTCTTCAAGTGTTTCTAGTGTTCCTTTGGTGATATGGATATCAAGCAACAATCTGATTTCCTCCTCAGAAGTCAAAAATCCTTTATGATCATTCCTTATTTAGTGTGGTGATCTCTGTCTGAAATCTTTAGTATACTGGCAGCCTTTTAAAGCACATCCTGGGTTCACTAGGAGTATTCTGATGAAGTCACTTTAAGCAGGATCACATTTGAGTTTGCATTCGAGTATTGATTTTAAACTTCACTCAACATAAGTGGAATCAAACTTCATATTTACAATTCACTACTCTTGCTATTTTCACAGCCTTGCTAATATAACTCGCTAAGAAAAAATTCGTTCCAATTAATCAAAATAGCCTATTGTATCCTAACCGATCTCTCGGGTGCGTTCCACCAGTTCCTGCATACTTCGACTTCCGAACAATTGAAAATCATGGACTCCACAGGTAATGCGAGTTCCAACAACAAGAGATGTAAGATCTCATCCCACTCTGTTCTGAGAAGCCCTGCTGATAATAATAGTATCCTTGCGAAGGTCTATTGTAGGGTCAATAAAACGATCATTGTCTCCTCTCTCGAGAAAATCTGACTCCCCAACTACATCTCAGACCAGTGGTTGTTCTGTTGAGTCAGCGCAAGATAGCCTCTTCTTGTACAGTGGTCGGTCTCTGCCAGGTAGTATCTCGTCTAAATCCGGTAGATTCAAAAAGTCCAACTGTGTGTCGCCCAATGATCATGTTGTCACTGAATATGCGGAGAGCTCATCTTCTCGGAAATGTCAATTGACTCCTAGCCATGTATCACCAGCAACAAACAGAATACCAAAACCAAATTCCTTTTCTCCTCAGAACAGAGTATCTGTACAATCTATGCAAGACATTCCATCACCAAAGAAAAAGCTTCCAACTCGTGCAGCATCCACAGCTAGCAAACTTAGGAAATCTCTTTCAACTTCTTTTCGTACCGATGATAAAAATCCTATTCAAGCACTCAAGGATGCGCCAGCACAAGAAAGCAACTGGTCCCCTCCGACTCAAACGGCATATGTAGCTGGAGCGCGCCTTCCTAAAAAGTTTCCGACTTCCTCGACGACTTCCAACAGTAGATCATCCATTCATTCGATAAAAAAAATTCCATCGTCGGAGAAGGATCTATTACCTCTAGTGCCAACATCATTTACAACCAGTAGACGTTCTATAGGAATAAAGGCATCACCAATGATGAATCAAACAACACCAAAGTCCGAACACTCAACTCCACATACAACGGCAAAGCGATCATCAATTGTTTCATTTCAGATCCCCGAAGATGCTCAAATCGATTCACCACAAAATGATATGTTATTCAATATTCATCCGCCGTCAAGTGCGAGCAAATCAAGCCGATCGAGTTGGCTTTCTACTGTATCACGTACCTCATCGACGAAAATCAGGAATCAACCTCAATCTGCAAGACTCCAGCGTTTGGCACTAGGCGGCGGCAGAGAAACCTCACGATCTCAACGGCAACATGTTTCGACTAGTGCCAAAGAGACTACCCTTCCTTGGGATTCTCCTTTCGACAGGAATTGGGACCTTATGGCTGATGATGGTGTGCCTGTCGATTTCAACGATCTTTTTAAGCATTGTCTCCCACCACGACAAAACAACAATTTCTCTCTTTTCTTTCATTTGCCCGTCAACGTTCGCCGAAGGGTATATTCTTACTGTTTGCCTGACAGAAATGGTATTACAATACTACTATCACCTCATTTTGTTATAAAGAACTGCTACCATGGATATTACTTCAGTTCGCCTTGGAATGTTCTTGAATGCGTTGCCGGAGGATTGGCCTCCTTCAGCCTAATGAGAAATGATTTGATGACCTATTTCTGGACTGAATATCAATTTCATGTGACTTTGTCACCATTTTGCAATTCAGTTTTCACTCCACTCTCAAGTGTTTGGTTACCCAACTTTCTGGATAGAATTCAACACCTTACAATCGAAATTGACCTTACTAGATTCGGTGGTAACGCACTCAAGTTTGCTAGACGCTTCGGGTACAACATGGAAAAAATGGAAAGTCTTCTACTTGCTGTTGTCAATGGACTAATAAAGCGAGAGGGGAAAATGGCCGAGCTCACATTATTGTGTCGGCGCTTTGATGGCCATCGACCCATCGATGAAAATGATCCTGACTGGAAAGCAGACGATTTTTTTGGTACGTCCACCATTTGTTCCACTGTTCCAAGGCCCGTTTGCTCACCTAAATGATGTACTAGAATATTTTCCGAAAGAAGCTATGCAATTTTGTGATGCAGTTATAAACCTCCGTGGCATTGTCAAATCGGTGAGAATAGCGGGATTTCCTCTAGATTATACTAAAACTTTACTCAATTCTTTGTTCGGTCAAGAAGGATCTATGCGCCAATTTGTTATCCCAGATCGATCTGCATGGCCACCGCTTCCACAATTATATGCGGGTATAAAACACGCATCAAATTTTTACGCTCCGTCCATGACTCCAACGTCATCAGAATTTCTCGATCATCAGGAGAGCCTCAATACTCCATGGTTGCACGAAGTATCAGTTTGTTCTATTGACTGCCCTGAAGATCATGATGAAAGTCTAACGAGACCAGATACTTCGTTGTCTGTTACGACGGTCGGTGACCAAGTCAACTTATATCAAGACCTTTCACCATCTACTATTTCGCCTAACTCATCTCCTGACTCGGTGAACCCCTTATCAGACCCAACTAGGACACCTGCCAGGAATGCTACAGTCACGTACCAAGTAATGGCTGCAGAGGATCGTAACAACTCGAAACGACATACAAATAAGCTCAATCCACGAAATTCCAGCGATTTAACCCCCGGTCACTTCTGTTGTCAGCCTGGGGATGGAACTCAAGTTGATTTGATGAGTCGGCGAGAACAACAAGTCTCTGACCCTGACATGATTAATCTGACACAACAAGTATTAAAAAGTACTTGGACTAGTCAAGGAGTAAATCGGACGGAAACTCATCCATCTGGAGAAAATAGTGATGATCATTGGACATTTGACACTGTAAATGGCGGGCCTTTACTAAGAACCTCAAATCCTCAAAGTAAAAGGAAATCACAATTCGGAGAATGGCAAATGCCGGATATTCCCGAGAGTCCCTTAAATACAACTAGTGTCCATGACCATATCCCCATTTCAGCAATTAGACCTGGCACGCTTAAAGCTTCCAATGATCTTCACATACGTCGCATACATGCTCATATAGAAAAGTCAACATCAGAGAGCGATGAAGGCGCCAGCAAGCCTCCATCACTATATACATCTCTAACGTCCAAACAGGAAGGTTGTGAAAATTCTAACGAAGGGAGTCTTATCCTCACTCCTTCAAGGAATTCCATATCAGAAGTTTCCAAATACTGCAATGATTATAGTTCACCCCGACCTTCTTCACATGTCGCTAATCATGATATCCAACAATTGGACCCTGAAAACCCTATCGACCGTCGCCTACTCCGCACTCCTTCACCGCCGGCAAGACTAGTATTAGCAACCTCCCCCAATACACTCAACAGCATCAATGAACGAGACCCCAAATATATCCTTAGTATCCGAGCTCTTCGATCCGCTTCTACATCCACCGAAAGTGTTATTAGAGCACCGACAAAAGTTCTCCGACCTACTTCATTAGCACATCCAACGACTTGGCCAGGTGTGAGTATGGGTTCTACAACGTCCTCACAGAGAAGTCTCACGAGTACAGCGTCGCAGGCTCATAGGGCTGAGACTAATCAGAGTGTCAGGTCTGGTGAGTTGGATTGGAAAAAATCGAGGTTTATGAGCTTGTTCCGACGAAGCGGATAAGTTAGGGAAAATAATTTTTTTTTGATTCTGATTATTTTTGCTTCTTGGATGATGATTGGTGGTTTTTGACTCTTTTGCTATTTTTCTTACTGCAACGGCGCGGCCCCATAGCTTGTCGTAGATAATAGGAATGAGAGTGCGTAAGGTCCAGAATTCTCGTTACCAAGCATAAAATGCTTCTTCAAATTCTGGAATTTAAAATAATAATGAATAGATGTAATGTAAAGAGCGCATAGCAATATGCATTCCATATGGGCTTTTATGTATGACTTATTATAGCATGCCCCTTGGTAGGGTCGTATCATTGCTCTAAAACTTCTAAATCAATCTCCAGCACATTTTCAGCAGGTATCAAATTATATGTTGCGACGACCAGCAGTGCAGCATATCCTGAGCTCATGTCCGATTCCCAACCTCCTCCTCGTCGGTATGTCATCATCACTGTATAAAATCAATGCAGAATACCTCGTAGTGTGGTTTACTTCCAGACACCAATGGGATCTCTCCATGTATTTCATTCATTCATTTATTCAATATTATCTATGTGCTACTTACAGAAATTCCCCACCGTAGAATCATCAAATCATCCCGATATTGAGACATCATCTTCCTCATATGCGGATTTTACTGTACACAACAAGCTCTGCTCATTTTTATATTTCATTTTCATAAAAGAATACATCATATCATGTCCATAGATCCCCAAAATATCTCCTTGTGGATAGATTATAGATATCGTAGCCTTATAGTGATGGGATCTAATCTCCTTGGTGCAAATGCTTGTGAATCGCGTGTATCTATGCTAACAAGCCGAGTTATTAGTCTTACTTACTCATCGAATATTTTTTTAGGGTTCTACAAGACTCCTTGTGTTTCCATTGAGTCATCAAGCAAAAAAACACCTAGCAAGAAAGCGAGAAATCGAGGTTCGATTGTCGTCGGTCACGATAGTCAAAACCCTTCCCAAACGATCCATACGCACGCACAAGCTTTGTATGAAAGCCGCTATGTCTTCGTACCTATTTCCGCCCGAAGAGATCGAAAGCTGTGTGCCACAAACAGAACGTCCCATGGCTACCCTCCCCCAAGTCGCTGTCAACCCTGTCGAGCATATGTTTAATTTCTTCCGACTTCTTTCCTTTGTAATCTTGTAGTTCATGGAGTCATGGACCGCTCCTGGATTAGCTCTTGGGAAACTGGCTTGGTTGTAGAAATAATGAATCCTGATATTGTTGTATCTAGTTCTTGATGCACATAAACGCCGACAGTACATTTCGAAAGCCAAGTATAAGTGACTGGATGAGTCTAAAGGCACTCTATCAAGCATTCAAACATGTCCCTCAGGCGCTTTCTGAACCTAATTCTTCTCTTTCAATCACTTTCCTCACGACCGATTGGGACTATTTGAGCACCAGGAAGTTTAGAAAAAAGCACAATTAAATCCAAAACGGGCCTGATTCATGGAGAGAGTGGCGAATTTGAATGAACATGGTAGAAGTCGTGAGAATGGGGACCAAAGTTCGAAGTCCAAATCTCGAGGGTGAAAAGACTGCTCGCGGAATAACACTGTGAGACACTTTGACTGCTGGGGAGCAGGGGAACAACTTCAGACTCTAGGATACAACAGTGAGGATGTATACAGGGGGGTTTGATTGAAATAGCCTGCTGGGTTCGGTGACGATGCTCCCAATGAATCTTGTAGGGAGATTTATCTCTAACTCGCATATCAGCGTTTCGATTCATCGTGTTACAGATCGGCTCGGGGGAATATGGCAGGAAGAGCTCTATTCAGAAATAAGCAAAAGTAGAATACTGAATGGATTGGTTTTGGTAGGACGTGGGTAGGGAACACTTGTTCCTCAAAATGGTTGCCTTCAAATGAAGTTACGGTGAGCTTCAAAGACTTCGAATTCCTCTGTTCCCCGACCTTCTTTCTTCTTGGTAAGTATATTCAATTACTTCAATATTCGATGACTGAGGTTACGAGAAAGCGAGATAAGTGCGGCTTTGACTGTTAAGCTCTGTGTACCATATCACTCATATGGAAGTGCGACGAGGCCTTGATAGTTTGCCCATATACGTTTGTGAAAGTGTGCTTACCTAATGGTCAGGATATTCCTTATCGTTATCTACATGTGACCAGGCGTTTGTGTGGTGGAGATTCTGCGCGTCAAGCTTTCAAGTCCATTTCCTGCAATACTGCCTACAAAATTGATCCGTCAATAATTCTCTGAAATAATACAACTCGATGAACTGATCTAGTATTACCCTAAGGCCAAAGGTCGTTATATCATCGTCTTACCCTTCTTAAGTCGTTCTCCAATGATCCGACTAAACAAGTAAACCTTTTAAATCTTAGTGTCACTCACTGCCTTTACAATGTGGACCATAGAAAATGGAGAGCTTTTCGACGGTAGACAACCGTGTTGTTCAGAACTTCTTCCAGGAGAATACTAAAACCATACAGGGAAAAAGCTATGGCTCGTTCCCGGAAAGAAATACCTATTTGGTAGAACTGTTTCGGAACGTTTGTTTGCCCATCTTCTTCTACTTGTAACTCAGCTGACGAAGTGCAAGCTGGACAAATCGAAATCGCAGATAAATCAGTCTCAAGACGGCATCTGACAATAGAGATTGGAACTGTTGGTCCTGATGATTGCGTAAGTCCCCGACTGAGTTAGGATTACAGACTATGCTGATGTTCCTATCAAGGGAAATCCCAAAAGCCGGTCCAAAATCACTCTGACCGATCTCAACACTAAAGTTGGTACTGTCGTGAACGAAGTGCAAATTAGGGGAAAAGGTGGCTATGAAATGACCAGTGACGTGAATGAAATATGCATAGGGAAATACAAGACTTTGTTCCGGTAAGAACTATTCTTAATTACTTTGGCATGAGTGACACTGATTATCTAGCATCACTTGGCATCCCGTTGTACTATCATTTTCGTTCTCTTCAAAAGAATTGAAAGCAAAACCTCTCGAAGCGCTTTATGCAACATTTGGCCCACTCGACATTAAAGTTCTGACGGAATATGAACGTGATGCAACAACTCATGTTGTTGTCAAGAAGCGCAATACCGCTAAAGGACTTCGAGCTTTGATTAATGGAAAGTACATTGTAGATAACGATACATTTATCAAAGCAATTGTTGATGCTACTACTCCAGGGCCGAATGGTACTTCTTTGCAGGAAGATTTTGAAAGAAACTTTCCAGATGCTGCTCAATACCTTCCCGAGCGCGGCTCAGAACCTACAGATGAACCAGCAAGTGCCTATGCTCCCGATCCATCGAGGGAAAGTATGTTCGATGGTTATACTTTTGTGTTTTACGATAAAGCCCAGTTCGAGACTCTTCTAGCACCCATTACAGATGGACGTGGTAAAGCTCTTTTTCGTGAAGTCACACCTTTACAGACGCCAGTCGATGAGTTTGTAAGATATGTAAAAAATGTCGCAGGAGAGAAAGGGGTGGGTGAATTCGAAGATGGGAGTGAAGGAAAGGGCGTTGTAGTTGTAGGGTTCTATCCAACGAAAGGAGATGGTGTTGAATGGTTCCAAGATTTCGCTAGGCAAGTTGCTCTAAATCTGGATCAACGACTTATTGTGCAGAGTGAATTCTTGGATGCAATACTTAAGAAGGATGCAAGCCTATTAAGGAGGCCTCTAGAGGTCGAGATGTCTGGAGTTGTCGCTTCTATACCTGGTAAGTTTTTATCAAGTTAGATATGGTGATGAATTTACTGACAACAATAAGCAACAAACACAAATGCGAGCAGAACAGAAGAGGTGCCTTCCAAGCCTAATCCAGTTGCAGCTCCTAATTCGAGCCTGGTTGCACCATCTCAAACTACTCCGCCTGGTGCATCGATCACAGCTTCGGTTCCCAAGGATGCGGTCTCACAGGATACTCAATTTCGAAGAGGTAGATCAAGAAGAGCTGTAACTAGTCGTTTCAGTGGATTTGACGATGACGACGATGATGATCCTCTACCAGCTCCTGCCTCTCTAGCTCCCATACCTGAAACTATGGTAGTGACACAAGAAATCCCTGAGGAATCGCAAGGTCTTTTTGTCTCCCAAGATCCCAACCGCGAACCTGATAGCTACCGCGCGTTTTCCCAATCCGTTGAACCTGAAGAGCAATCTCAATCAACACAAGCAACACGATCAAGTAGAAAAAGACCTGCACCTCCTATCGTCCAAGAAAAATCGTACATGGATAGTTTCGCGCCCACCACCGCATCTTTCAAACGACAACGTCGAGAAAGAGGCGAACCAACACCACCGCCTCAATCGATCAAAAAAGAAGTTGTAGCCCCCGAGCCAGTAAAGAAGAAAGAAAAAAAAGAAGTCGACATCCTAGCCCTGGCAGGGCAGCAACGCGAACGCGCTGAAGCTGCTGCAAGAGCTGAAGAGGAATCATTAAAACAGGCTGTCTCCACAATTGATGTTGAGGAAATGCGCAGGTTGACAATAGTTGAGGATATGGAAGTGAAGCGTTCTAAGCCAGCACCAAAAACAACACTACATGTGGATGAAAGTGAGCGATGGGATGATAAATGGAACGGGCGAAAGAATTTCAAGAAGTTTCGCCGAAAAGGTGCGGGGGATGGGCCAGTAAGAGCTCGCGCTAGGGTCATTGTACCGCTTGAGGAGGTTAAGAAGAAGGATCATGGATTTGGAGATGATTACTGGGGATTAGGCGGAGACGATAACGACACACAGCGAAGAAGAAAGAAGGGCAAAGGAAAAGAAACAAAAACTCAAGAAGAAACCCAGGAAGTAGAAGAACCCATCTCATCATCTCGCTCCAAGGCTAAACCCAAAGCCAAAACGAAAACACAACAACGAGAAATCACTTCCGAAAACGAAGACGAGGAACTCCCTGAAAATCCAATGCATGCTCGCTCTCGCATCCCAAGCGAAACCCCAGAAATCATCCCAGAATCAGACGACGAAAATGTGCATAATAGTAATTCAAATTCATCCCGTCCCAATCCAATAGATACACATGTATCTACAGCACGCAGCTCCGGAGCATCAACGACGCAGGGTTCTGGTTTGCGGAGTGGTTTGCGTGGGAATAGGAATGCGAGGGAGAGTGATGGGGATCGGGATCGGGATAATAATGTTGCGGCGAGTGGAAATAAGAGGACGGCGTCCAATACGCTTGTGAAGGGTGGTTCTGCTAAGAGGACTAGAATGGCGCCCTCGGTGAGGAAGGTGCAGAGTGAGAGTGAGGAGGAGGATGAGGATCGGTTTACGTTTAGGTAGGGATTGGGGTTGGGGTAGGGGTTGGAGGGGAGGATATGAAGGGAAGGAAAGGGAAGGGGTGGTTTTAATGAGGTATGGAGTACACGGGAGAGTGGCCTGAAATAGTCATCAGGGGTGTATGATGATCTGATGTGTTGTGATTTGATTTATTGTTCATGGTTTAATTTTATGTTCTAGTTCATGTTAAAGATATTATCTTCCTCTCTGTATGTATGTGTCTGCCTGTCCGTCTGTCTATGTATTACATCCTGATCCACACACATGGAATTATACACTCATCTATACAGAATCCAGAGCTTACCGTCTAATCCCTCAAACGCCCAACATCATTAAAGCATAATGTATCACCACAAACCCTACTCGAAGTTACTCCTCCACACCCAGCCCTGCCCCGGTTTTGTTATCAAAACGAAGGCAAAGGAGCTCCTTTATTATAAACGACTAGTGTTTTAACTATAATCTGTTTTTATTCATTCCCTAATCCATATCCTCCAATCCACCACCCCCCTCCGCCTCCTCCTCACCCACACTTATCCCCACCAAACACGCCTCTAACATCCCTCCCATTAACCCACGGATGCACCTCCCCAAAAAGCCTCGTCCCATCTCTCCCCGCACATTTCATCAACTCCGGTTCACCACCCGGATGATACGGTAAATAAGGCGTGATATTGTATACCTTGCCACCGAGAACCGTCCACGCATCTTTACCTTTTCGACCGGTGAATTGTTTGAGGAGGGAAGGAGGAACGCGGAGATAGGGTGTGGATGGGGGGAGACCGCGGAGGTTGGAGTTGGGGGAGGTGGTTAGGCGTGCCCAGTCTAGTGGGGAGTGGTTGGGTGTTAGGAGGACTTTTTTGCGTGGTTTCGTGGGGATTGATGTGTGGGTTGGGGTGGCGCGAGGGATGGGGCGGTGAGTGAGGAGGTGGGTGTGCGGTTGGGGAGGGAACGGTTGGGGAGGGACCCGAGAGGAGCGGCGAGAGAAGTTGGGAGGGCGTTTAGTCGTGGGATTGATCGTGCGCCTGGATGCAGCGGGCAGCGGGGAAAGGGGAGTCGAGGGAGAAAGGATGTTGGTGTTGGGAGAAGGAGGGGCGCGGGGTGTGGTTGGAGAGGAGGGTGTTTTGTTTGGGTGCGCGGGTTTTTTGAATAGAGGTGGTGGTGGTGGTGGCATGGCGGCGCGGTCAAGTGCTGCTTTGCTAGGTGGCGGTAAAATAGGTGGCGGCATACTCTTACTTCCTATAATGGTCGCATCTTGGAGTGGTTCTGTAATGTGCATACTCGGCGCATCCGTCGACCTTTCCATCTTTGCATTTTCTCCATTTTCTTCATTCTCCGACGTCGTTGCCTCATTAGATAGCGGTCTTGACGAATCCTCCCCTCCACCTCTACCTCTATCTTTCTTCATCTCCTCATCACCGCCTCTACCCCCCGATCCAACATCCTCTCTCTTCCCAGCATCCCTAGTACCAGTAACCGGCCGCAATCTCTCCAGAAAACCCCACCATTCCGCCGGAGAATGTCTGTAACATAAAAACGATACCGATGCGATCAGGAGACCGAGTCCTAGCAGGACCATGATAAAGAATGTGTTGAGCGAGCGAGCGAGCGAGTGAGTGAGTGAGTGACTGATGTTTGAAGTGGTGTATGTGATTATATTATATTATGTCATGAAAGGGGATTTGTGCGCCCTCACCTGATAGCCTCGGTCGCAAAAATTCATGGGAAAGAACACCAAAGGAAGGACCGCTAGACTGCGAGATTTGCGATCGGGTGGATGTTTAGAGACCCGCTTTGTTTGATTCTTTTTTTGGGATGATAATTCGTAATATGGAGAGATTTGTTTATTTATATCTTGTTGTTCGATGTTTCTCCTTAATATCATCTCGTACTTTTCGCATAGTCCGTTACATACGGAGGTATATAATATCTTGAAGTTCTAGTATGGAGCGGGTAGAGTAACGGTCCGGCATTTCTTCATAATACAGTGTTTTGTCATGGTTGATGAGCTATGCTATGAGCTATGCTATGCTGGGGCTGTAGGTAGTTAGAAATAGGTTACAGTCATAATCACCTAGCTGTTATAACGAACCCTAAGCCTTAAAGATATGACAACAGCACTTTGCATGGGATAACGAGGGAAAATCCTTGTGGATGGGTGTTGGCAAACAGGGAGAGGTATCCCTAGATAAGTCAGCTTGTCATGCCCCATGATCGTTCCGATCTTTCATTCTTTGCGTCTTTCTAGAAGGGTTGAGATTATGGTAAGATACTTATTACCTGTAAGGTGATTACCGGTAGTCATCAGTTGAGTGAGTAATGAGATGAGAGGTGCATTTGTTGGAATTTTCCAAGATTCGTTGCCATATGATACCCGCTTCGTCGCATGAATGTGCAATTAGACGTTGTATGTGTATGATGGATGTTATTGGGGGTGTGATCAGAAGCAATCTTGAGGGTTGGATGTCTGTTTATATCAGGGTTGTGCGAACATGTAAGATGTTAGTTTTGAGAGGAAATACGAATAGAGGAATGGGATAATAGAGAGATCTTGATGCAGGTAGGTAGTTAGGTATTTAGTAGCTAATCAGGAGAGAGAACAAACACCAAATCTTCCGGTAAAAAGACATCTCATAGTAGAAAGTAAGTCTATATATACTACTATTGTTTATACAAACTTCAAAGTACAATGAAATTTATCCATCGTCGTACAACTCACACTCCGAATTTATGTTGATATACTCCGTAAATACCGTTTCAATTATTGGAGAATTGTGGATATTCAAGCTCCTGCAATTCATCATTTCATTCATCTGATGTTAACATTTAACATTTACCGTAGACACACTCCTATTTGAGTTATCTTGGTATTTTAGTATTCTTTTATCTTTTGCCCATTAAATATCATCATATCATACATATCACATCGCATCACATCACATCACTCACTCACTCACTTCCAAGGTGTTCAAGTCCATTCGCTCGGTACTGGATACTAATGAAGCCCGCCTTATTCGCAGTGGCTCTTCAATCTACCAATACCACTAGCACTAGCACTACCACTGCCACTACCACCACCACCACCACATCTACCCCAACTCTACATTCAAAATCACAATCGGCCACTCTACATTTACCACCACGAAAGACTTCTTCGACTCCTTCCACCTCTCCGGCTTCTTATCGAAGATCCCTATCAACCATCGATCACAATAATGTCATAATGCGAGTTGTTTCGCAGAAAGATTCTGCGCAGTTGACCGCCAAAAGTCCTAATCCCAACATGCCTTCATACGATAAGCCAAATAACAATCGACCATTGGCACCAACTTTAAGTGCTTCTGCGAACAGAGGAACCAAACCCAAACCTCCATTAACACCAAAGGTTTCCACGAGACCTACTTCAAGACAATCACGTACCGAAAATCTCACGCCAAATAATGCCAAAGAAGATCTATCGACTCCCGTTTCGACATTTCTCAATAGTAACAATATAACTGCAAGATCTAGCACAAGAAAGACGCGATTTGATACTTCAAACCATTCATCATCAGGAACCCCCACACCCTCCGAAGCTCCCCGATTATACGATCCTTCACATAATGGCTCCGGACTGGGTATCTCTGGTTTGGAGAAGGATACATCTAAACGAGCATCAGTAACCTTCAGTCCCTCTAATTCGGATTTGAATTATTCACAATCGTCACAATCTTCCGTCGACTCCAAATTCTTTTTTGCCAGTGATGTAAAACCGCAAACTCATAGTTCACAGCAAACAAAATCCGCACCCACCAAAAGGGCGTCGACATTGTTCCATGCCAATGGAGATAAAGTTCCCAAGAAACCGTCACCTCGTTCTGGAGCATCGACGGTAGGATCAACTATTGGAGACGAAAGAGGTCATGCGAAATTCTTTCATGCCAATGGCACTCCTGAAATAGGATTATCACCTTCACCACACTTTGCGCCTCCTCGCCCAAGTTCGGTTCTCTCGACTCATTCACGAGTTGCATCACCTCGACTAGCAAATGTTACGACATCTCCTTCGCAACGACCTACATCACCACAAAAATCAAATGCTCAATATGCCTCAATTTCATCATTCAGGTCTCCAACCCCACTGGCTTCTCCTGTTTTGCCACGACCAAAAGCTGGTCCGCGTGGCCAATCGGCGAATAATATTCACATCGCACATTCAAGGAGAACAAGTGCGGATGGAGGATATGGCCATCAACGGACAACAAGTACAGGATCATCTGTGGAGAAATTGGTATCGACAAGGAAGGTTTCGTCAGGAGGTCATTCTATGGACATACGAAATTCAATCACGATAACGGAACCATCAAGTCCGGCTTCGCTAGCACATACGGATGACATTCTGGAAAGCGAGGAAAAGGAAGATGAAGGGGAAGAAGAGGAAGTGGAAAGTGAAGACGAGGATGAAGATGAGGATGATGACGAGGACAGTGAGTCTATTTCTTCCGGAGAGGAAGTAAAAGAAGAAGTCCTCAAAGCCGGGGGTTCGATAGAGCGCATGAACGAATTAGCAGCGGTCGCACGAAAGGAAAGGAAGGTGTTAGATCTGGAGATTAGAAATTCATCCCTCGAGGCTATAAATCGAACTTTGGAACGAGAAATGAGGAAACAGACAGCTGAACTACGAAGATATAAACGACTGAGTCGTTCAGGGCGTCTATCCGTGGCTACAAGAGCATCGTCACGTGCAACGAGTGGAGCTTTGTCGGCCGTAGATGAGAAAGATGGCAACGATCTATCAGATAATAGTCGGGAAAATTCTGATCTGGAAGACGACGAAGACGAAGAGGAAGAGGGCGTGAGTTCTGACGAAGATTTCATTGATGATGGAACATTAAGTCCTGGGGCTGTCGCCGAGCACGATCTCAAACATCGAAAAAAAGATGAAAAAAGGTTACGCCTTGATTTATCAAAACATCAACAGCTACTCATTGATAGTCAAAAAATGAATGAAAGCCTTAAGAAATGTTTAGGCTGGACCGAAGAACTCATCAATGAAGGAAAACGAGCATTGGACTACCGAGTGAAAACCGGCGATATAGGAACCCTTGCACCTCGTGTCTTGGCACCGGATGAATTTGACGATGATGATGTCGAAATCGATAACGAGGGGATGTCAGCCATTGGAGCGAGTCTCCTGAGAGAAGCAAGGAGAGCGGCCGCGGAACAACATATGGAGAAGGGAGATCTTAATATACCAACAGAGACGGATGAACAATTGAAGGATTTAACTCAAGATATCCAATTCGCTCTGTTCGCTTCTTCAGGGGAACCGAGTGAAATGCCGGTTCCAAAGACGAGAGATGAAAGTACGGAGTCGGTACCGATTGCTCCACCTACTAGTCCGTGGGTTTCGACATTTACTTCGAGGTTGCAGGCACGATCATAAGGGTAAAAGAGTAGCGGGCAGAGAGGAAGAGAAGTTTTGTAGGAATCGAAAGATTATATCACCACTCATAAATTTGCATCACAACGCATATTTCCTTTTATTTGTTCTGGGTTGGGCATGGGCAATGATTATCAGAGGGTTTGGTGTTTTGGTGCTTTAGTATAAATGGGCATTGCGGCGGCGCATTTGCTTTCATAACAAATTGGGATGGGAGCGAGGGAAGGATTTGGGACGGAATGGAAATCCTAGCTACTTGTTGCTATTACTCGACTTGTTTATTCGTTTTGTTTTTTGTTGTTTTTTTTGACATTTCCGTCCTTCTAAATCGGTTCTCGTACATACCCTTAGTATTTTTTTGCAAATACAAATGAGATACCCAAGATTACTTTCGCTAATGCGTTAAAGCGGATATATGGATGGATAAGGGGGGTGGATACGGTATGGTGATGGTAGAGGGATGGGTCTGTGAGTTTGTGAGGGAGAGTGGAAGGGATGGAGAGGGTTGGAAAGGACGGGTTGGAAAGGAAGGATAGTGGGGAAGGAAAAGATAGAATATTTAACAGTACGGTGGTACATGTGTGTATGTGTGTCTGTCTGTGTGTGTAGTAAATTGAGAATAGAAATAGAGGTTGAATGAATGAATGAATGAATAAATAAATGAATGAATCTTAGAGCATGAACCAGAAAAAGAACAGTCTTTTGAAGTTTGAAGTTTGAAATTTGAAGTTTGAAGTGACTATGAAGGAAATGAAAGAATAGTTATCAGTATCAATATCTGTATAAGGTTAGGTATGGTATCTCCATCTCCATCTCCATCTCCATCTCCATCTCCATCTCCATCTCCATCTCCATATAAGCATACCTACTACAAGAAATTATCTTACTTTTTCTTCATTTTTTCAATATCATCAGGAAATAAAAGGATATATATTTATATTTTATATATATATATATATATACCTAGTGAAGAGAGAGATAGAGATAGATAGATATATAGTAATATATAAGATATATTAACTAAAAGTTTGTAATAAGATATATCTAATCTTATAATATAATAATATATAAGCTGGTAGTTATTCTTTTTTATATATTTTAATATAAGACTTAAAGATTAATTATACTTTGTAATCTTGTGATATATAATACCTATATGAAATGATATTTTAAATGAATAAAAAATGAAGAATTATACATCTGGAAAATAAGATGTATCAATTGCATTATTATTTAAAATCCTAAAATCCTATAAATAAAAAGAGAAAAAGAACCGGCTAAACAGTTCAAGATGGGATGGAATGAATGTACAAACTTATTCATTACAACATTAACAACAACATCAACAGATCCATTTTTCCACTATTACCTATCTTCCCCTCCTTCCTAATCTTCCTTCTCCGCCTCCCAACTTTCATCCTCTCATTCTGTCATCCACCTCAAGACTCACCTATCCGTACTTTTTCTCAAGCTTTTTTAAAATCCCCGTAACTCCCTTCTCCAGCCTTGCCGCATTATCCTCCAATCTCCCTCTGGGTCCCTTTTCAGCATCCTTCTTCTTCTTTCCACCCCCATTTTTCTTTAACTCCGCCTCTATTTCAGTCGGTCTATAAACCTGTTGATGAATATTGTAATCACTTTGTGTCATCAACGGTTGTCCAGAACTATTTTGCACTCCCGTATACGTATAGTTTGCAAAACCTCCTGGAGGGGATAGAGGTTGGAGACCTGGGGCAGGAGAGGAAACAGGGGGATTTTGGTGTTGTGGGGCGAAACCAGGGGAAAAGAGACCTGGAGTAGGTAGGTTGTGGGATGGGTAGGAGCTGGTAGAAGGGAAAGTCGCATATTGGGTTCTAGGCCCTTGGGTTGGTGAGATAGGGGGTGAGGAGTAGGCGGGTGGTGCAGGGCCCGTGGGAGTTGCGAGAGGAGGGTTGTTGTCAGTGGGGGGTGGTGCGAAAGTGATAGGAGAGTTTGATGTGGGCGGAGGTGCAAATGAAGTGGTTTGAGGTGCAAATTGTGGGGAGAACGGGGAACGTAGTGCGGTCGTAGATGAAACAGAGCCAGCGTGGTAGTTGGAGTTCGGAGGGGTATTGCTATGTTGGGGTGGTGGAGTTACTGCCTTGAAATTACCTTGTCCGTGCGCCGAATGTTGCGGTGGAGACATCATGGGGAAAGTTTGCTGCCTTTGAAATTGCGGTGGTAGGGCTGTTGCCGGAAAACTTGGATGTTGCTGAAATTGTGAGGGTGGAGAGAATTGTCCTTGGTCTGAAGTTGCTGCATGCACAAGTGGATTTCCAGCTCCATCTTCGGGTGGAGGTGTCTTTTCTCGATGCTGGATAACTTCAGGAGCAGCTGGTGCAGCTGGATTATAGGCCATCGGGGCAAAATTAGTAGCAGGAGCTTGTGACTGTGGACTCGAGGATCGTGGGCGTCCAGGAAATGAGACCTTTATAGCAGCTGGAGGGGAAGTTCGAGATGTCTTGGTCCTACCATGTTGATATGAAGGATCAGAGATAGCTACGTTTTCCAATTGTTGAACCACCGGACTCATCTCATCCGCGTGAGGTGGCGGTGGTATCGGCTCATCCTCGATTGTAATCTGATGTTGTGGTAAGACCCTCCGCACTCCATTCACAAAATTGAGTGCATCTTCTTTACTCCAAAAGTATAAATCAATAGTGTGAAGTCTGTACATGTATTTGGTCTCATTTCGAGGGTCAAAAGTAGGTAAATGCCATTCTTGGGCATCAATGGGACAGTTTCGCTGCTGTCCATTGGGTCCATCTACAGTCAAAGTGACGAGTGTGGTGTGTTTATAAGAGTATTTGACGTGAGCAGAGTCGAGGTCTGTTGATGGCGATATCAGCAATTGTGTTTTCGCATTCAAGCCAAAGATACATTACTTACAGCCAGTAAAAGCATCTTGATCTGGAGTACCGGCATTATTAGCTATTTCAAGTCGAGCCCTTCTCTGACTTGCATTCTCGAAAAGATAGACATATGAGCTTTTATCGAATCTGTGGTGAGGTGGTTTTGCCGTTGGCGGCCCATAGTAATAATGTATATCTGCGAACCTGGAATAGATTAGACCAAATACCTGTATAAAGAGATTGAAGAGCGTTCACATACAGAGTAGCTGCTAGATCCTCCCCTGGTCGTGCTGCCATTTTTATCGACCTGCGATTGTGTGATAGCTAAGAGTACTGGAGAAGTGAAACTGGGCGCTCTTTTGTTGCGCGATGAAAGTACACAACAGAAAAAAGAGAGAAGAGAAACAAATGAAAAAGAAATACTTATTGAAAGAGGAAGAAACTGAAGAAATATGAGACTTACAATACATCATGCCGAATTACCTGCAGCATGGGTGGTGATGAGTACCATGTTCGGCGGCAAAGCTGCATGAAGATAGAGCCAATGGGGTGTTGAATTGATGTGATAGAATATTCATGCCTTAAAACCTTATCGCGATTAGATGAGGCAGAAATAAATTATTTTGGTTTTTGGCTTCATTGAAATAATTCGAGACGGATAACCTCAGGGTGTTATATGAGATTCTTTTGCGGCTGCAATTATTAAACTGCGAGTGTAAGATTTCCTGAATCTGGGGGTGGCTATTCAGTACATATTCCAAGAAATCTAGCTAACATTTCCCCTCAGCATTGCATTTACATCTCCACCTCGAAGAAGATATCCCTGGTAGATCTCATCAATTGTGCCCGCGCGGGCTTGCGAATTCGTTCTAGAGACTCTCAATCCTCGTCATGTCTCTCGTAACTCTTTCCCACGTAGCTTCGCATCTCCAAAACGCCTCAAAAGCCCGTCTTGGGCTCACTTCCGTCCCATCCTCGAACATGATCCTCACTCTCATGCTCAGTCTCCAATCGTCTGGATTTCTATCCTCGGTCACCCGTGGTGGCCTCACTCCTCCTCCCATGGACGAACTATCTACATATGAGCCAGAAGCTGTCACACAGCGAAATATTTCGACAAGGAGGTTGTGGCTAGGATTGAAGTATTGGAACAATGAGCCGGTGTTGAGTCGGATGTCGGTGATCAGTAAACCCACGAAGAGAATTTGGATGAATGTAGACGGACTTTCGGAGATTATAAGAGGAAGAAATGCAAACTTTGTGGAGGGTTTGCGGAATCCGGGAGAGTGTATCTATATTAGTACATCAAGTGGAATCATGGAGGCAAGAGAATGTGTAGAGAGGAGGGTGGGCGGTATGCTTTTATGCAGAGTGCAGTAGGTATGATGATCAAGAAATTTGTAAAATTACAGGGCATGATCATTTGTGGGAGTTCAAAAGTGTATAAAAGAGATGCTGGTCTTGCCCAGAGGCAGATCAATCACGGCTTGGGAGATAAAACTCCGAATCACGATTCCAAAGTGCAAAGGTATAATTATTTGGGATCCAGAAATACGTGCTCCTTCGGCCACCCTTAAATTCAAAAGCATAACTGCCAACAATGCTTCAATATCCTTAAGCGGGTTTCCAACCCATCATCACACCAATATCCAGATGTGCCGCAAAAGCACTAGCAACAGCAGCCGAGACTCATGTCCTTGAGCCAGGGGTTTGTGAAAATACTATCCTGCTTCTTAATATCTCTCGATTATCCAGTTTCTCCTCTGTTCATCGTTCATGGGCTTCATGAGCTCCAGCTCCGCCCGTTTCATTGCAATATATGTAACCACTACTGCCTCACCAAGTATCCTATACATGCCTTGGTCGCTTTTGAGACAGGCAAGCGCCTCCTCCAAGCTACTCGGCAACATTTCTTTGATATTGTAATCATCTCTATCTGCCTGGCTCAACTTAGCAGGACACATATCGCAATCAAGCCATATCATCTTTTCTTTTGCAATCACACCTTCTACACCGGCGCCAATCATTGCTGCTAAGGCCAAATAGATGTTGGCAAGGCCATCCAAACACCTTATTTCCCAGTGCGATCCGTCGATTTTTCGTAGTGGGGTTTCTCGGTTTTGCGTACCCCAAGTCACCCAAGTACTGCCAGCAAAACCACCAGCTGCAGACATACGGTCGTAGCTCGCTGCGTTACTATAAGTCAAAGCCGTAATTGATCGAAGATGTTTCAATATTCCAGCATAGAAATGCGTATAAGTTTCTTCCTTCTCACCTTCTGGGGTAGGTATGGAAACGTGAACATGTGCTCCCGTACCTATTCTGTCTGGGATAGGTTTGGGGTGTAGTGTGGCGCGCCATCCATGATTTTCCGCAATCGTAGTGATGATTTCGCGGGCCTGTAAAAGCATATCTGTGGCCTCAAGGGGTGCGCAAGCAGGTAGGACAAACTCAAATTGGCCAGTGGCCGACTCTGGATGCCATTGTTCAATATCAATACCAGCATTTGAAAATGTATCCACTATTTCACCCACAACGTCTCTGATAGCATGGGGAAGGGCATTATTGGATCCCCAACAATGAGAATCCGCACCCGGAAGAGGACCAAACTTGATTGTGTTTTCTTCATTGAGTGTGCCCTTCATAAACACAATTTCAAGCTCAAAGCCAACGAGAAATTCAAGACCGTGATTCTTTGCTTTGTTCACAATGTTTCTCAGGGTGGTTCTGGGACATACATCCAGCGGAGTGTTGTCCTGGTTGCGGAGTTCTGCTTGAGCCGAAGCATAGCCATGACATGGACCGGGACGCATTGAAGAGACAACAGCAGTTAAAAGCCTGAGAACCCCTCTGGGAGAAATGGAATCAATACGGTGATCAACTGGCGTCAGTGTTAAGCTACTATTAGTGATTCCGATGGATACATCACCATTTTTGTCGCACAGAAGCTCACGGACACGTTTCATGGGTAAAATCCGCAATCGAGTGAGCGAGCAGTAGTCGATGTATTGTACACGCAGAAACTTAACGTCTGGGTGGTTTGCCATGAACAATTCAAAGGTCTCAAGGTCCGATGGATGTTTTAAAAGTTTTGCGCCATTGGCACTCTTGACCCCGCTATTGTTGTTGTTCGAGTTCAGTTGATGGAAATTGTTGATGTCATTGACGCTCTTAGTGGCGCTGAAGTTGTTGGTTCTGTTGATCCCATTTGTCTGTTTAACCGCACCCACTCCATTAGCAAGTCGCTCAACCACTCGTGTTCCTGTTTGCTTCAATTTCAATTGAAGACCATAAAGTTCGTTGGATGTGTTAAAAAACACATCTTCAACAAGTTTAACCGCTTGTGTAAGAGTCATTATTTTCTTGTCGACATATTCCATGAGTACCTGGAGATTTTCAGTATTACTGGACGTAGATTGTGTTGTTGCGCGGTAATGAAGTGCCCTACCTTCCCGAAAGCTTCGCGAGATTGAATCTTCGCCAGCAAATATGTTTCTGGAAACCAATGCCCATCTGTGCTCCACACGATCTTTTGTGAAGGACAAAGCTCTAAGAGATCGCGGATAACAGCTTCTTGGCCATCTTGACTTACACAAGGAAACACCTCCCCAATATCAGCATAAACATTCGAGTATACAGTGGCTAAATATCCCGTTTCTTTTGTCCACGGGTAACCCGCGTGAAGCAGAACGATTGGAACGTCCGGATATTCGCGAATAAAGCCTTGTAGATGGGATGGTGAAGAACGAGTGAGAGTTATGTCGTTATCTCCCAAACTAGTGTGGAATTGAATTGGCTTCTTGTGAGTTGTTCTTGATTCTTGAACGAGTCCAGCTGTCATGTGAACAGCCCACGAGTTCAGAAGTTGGCCATCGGAACTTTTGAAACGACTATGACCTTCGGCCTTCTGTTTCATAATACATTGCAACAACGACACTTTTACCTCTTCTAATGGGCAGGCCCGAGGAATATCAAGCCCTGATATATAACAGATGACTGATTTAAAGGCGACAACATCGGGGTCAGAAAGAGCATCATTTATGGCTTTCAGAAGCCCTTCAAGCACAGAGGCAAAGAATTCGTCCTCGGAGACAGCAAACAAATCGAGGTTCTGGTCCACGATATCTGCCGCAAGTCTTTCGATTCTTACTATTCTCTTGCACTTACCTACGACAGCCAAGATTAGCGAGGTATTGAACGGATTGACATGTACCGTGTCGAGGTAACACAACTTCTATACGGGTGCGGGGAAGATGAAATACTTACTACTTGTTAGTTTGTCGTGCCAAGAATAGTCGAAGGCATCATTATCCGTATTCAAGCCATCATCGAGAAGAATTGTTTCGATTCCTTCAAAACATCGTTTCGCCCAAACATCATCTGGCTTCTCATTTTCTTTTGCGATAGCTTTCGTAACATCACTCCATGTTTGCGGACAGCCGAGAATTTCGGCAAGTTGATTTGTAGCTCGAATGTGTGCCAATGATGAATGGGTGGCCTTTAGAGCATCTCCATTCGCCTCGGTAGTAATGCTTATTAGGGGATATTTGAACTTAGACGAAGGAATAAGTAATGGTTGAGCATGATTGTCAATCAGTGGAGTTGTACGGATGGCATGAATAAGTCGATCCATGTTCGGCGTAAGAGATTGAATCTTGAGTGATGAATATTAAAATTTCTCAGGTATCTCCAGATATATGGGGTTTTATAAACTCATAGTGAAGCGGAGATAGAAGAAATTGCCCCTCATTCCCCTCATGATGTAAAGCCATGGCGCGACTTTCAGGGCCGCCTTCAAGATTTGAATACACATTTAAATGCGGGGCAAAGGAGTTCTATACTCCATTGATACACTTGCATGGCCGTAATATAAAAATATGACGATAGTTACTTTTGTTGTTATATAGATGGTAGTACACTAGGAAGGAAAAAACGGTCGAATTATAGAATGTAGAAGACTTGGGCAAATCCGAAATATGTGGAGGTCGATTGAAATACGGGAATAGACTCTATTCGAGCATTTAAAGTACCAGCAATTCTACTATGCTTCCAATCAATCTGCAGTTGCAAAGCACAAGGTCCATTACATGGACTCTGTCGTCGATATCCAAACTTGATTAATGCCTAAGGCTGTAAGGTTATATCCATGCATGTAACCACAGCATTAATGCAGCTGTCAATAAATGCAGCTTTCCAATTGGTTCACCGCTCGGATTTTGTTGAATGATAAATTCAAGTCACACTTCTTTTCATTGTTCGTACTTCATACCTCCTCCCAACATTTCATTTGGCCAATTTGAGTATATTGTCCACAAGAACATGGATAAATTCTGTCAGCTCACTCCGGTATATGAGACTTTTCCAAACCAGCGGTTTTGCCAATGTGTAGCTGCCGTGTTTTCAATATCTTCACAAGCTTCGACTTGCTCTTTTCGGAAAGGTAGGACGCAAGCAAAAGAAAAGTCAAAGTGGCCAGGTTCATTGCACTTATAAGGACGTTGGTGCAGGTGAAGCATGGGATACACAAATTTGTTTTGTCTACCGGATGTCATTAAGTTACATTCCGATGCATTGGGGTGTTTGGGATGAGCATAATGGGTGTCACATCTTCGGCCCCCAACACGGCACTTACTCTGGCCTTCTTAGTAGCATAGCAATATACCGTGATTCACGTACACACCAAAAGTGCATTGCTATGGGTCTCTCATTTTATTCTTTTTTCCAGTTCCTCGAATTGAAATTTGCGAGCATGTTTTATCCTTGACATGGTCATCGATCGCTATGAACATTAGAGTCTTGGAAGTTCTCTTATTGTTCGTTAGTTTGTCTCTTATATACGATATTGAATCTGATGAACGCCATTTCAGTTGGCTGCGGGGACGATTCCAGCTACCAAAACTACAATTGTGCGACTACAGCAAATATAGAAAAAAGCATCCCCGCGATCATCTCAAATCGCAGCACATTACTACTTACTCAATACTGAAAGGCCTTGGAACAATACATGCCTCCGCGGTTGCATCAGATACCCTCTCTTTGGTAAAGATATAAAATTTAATGAAATGGAACACCAGATTTCGCATGAAATTGTGAACGGCTCTAGAAGCGCTGATATCATTGCAAACGGTCATAAAAACGCAGATGGACCATTGCGGATTGAGAGGGTGTTTCCTATCCGCATCGAAATAGAGCCGGGTACAAGTTGGACGTCCAAGATTTGGTCAACATGTTAACTAACGATGCACAGAAGTTCCAGGCCCGGAGTCTAACGGTTCTAATGTTACAAAGGACCAAAATGCGCCAAGTATAACAGCTCCTACGGCTGTTCCAGTCGTTGCATCTGAGATCGAAGGTGCGATTAATCAAAGGCATCCAAAAGTCGTTTTAACAGAATCCTGCCGGCCATTATCACCATCTGAAAATACTGTCATCACAACTTCAATTCATCATTTAATTTCTGATAATAAGCCCATTCCAAACCATGAAATTAATGAGGTTGTACTTCGTTGCGAGGATGAGCCCATTCAAATCCCTGGAGCCATCCAAAGTTTCGGAGCATTATTAGCTTTGGAAGAGAAAGAAGACGGGCGATTCCTGGTCCGGATCGCAAGTGAAAATTCTGAAACCATTATTAATCGCGGGCCTGAAGATCTATTTGCCCTCTCTTGCTTCACCCAACTGCTAAGTCCAGTGTACGAATCAGACTTCAGAGCCCGGATTGAAGCCAGAAAGCTGTGGCATCAAAAAGAACATCTCAAAGCATATCCAGATATTTTCACGATGATGCTTGAATCAACTCCGCATATCCCTATGTATTGTGCTTTACATTTTCGTGAGGATGCGGGCTTATTCATATGCGAGTTTGAGGCGAAGAATGATATATTGACTGACATTCCTCCGGAGGATTACAACTTGCCTGGGGAATCCGTCAACGTTATTGATAATCAGGCTACAGAAGAAGAGCGAGTTGTATCAACCACAAAATATAGTGAGCCGTTCCGCACGATACATAGGACCAAGAACAGACTTGGTGAGATGGAGATGTTTCATCTAGGCTGTGAGGTTCAGGAGCAGCTTAATTCAGCCACCTCAATAGCCTCTCTGTTAGACATCGTCGTTGGTCTCGTCTTTGATCTGACCGGATTTCACAGGGTTATGGCTTACCAGTTTGACGAAGATGATGCAGGGCTGGTTAGAGCGGAGTACATTGATGAAAGAGCATCATTAGACCTCTATCGTGGTCTTAAATTCCCAAATACTGACATCCCAATCCAGGCTCGCCAGCTCTATGCGCTCAACAAAATACGATTGCTGTATGACCGAACGGCAAAGACAGCGAGGCTCATGTCCTCAACCGAACAATATAACCCCAAAAATCTTAATCTCTCATCAGCATATTTGAGGGCCATGTCACCTGTTCATATCAAATATCTGAAGAACATGGGTGTGCGGGCATCATTCTCAATCTCCTTGATTGTAGAAGGACGGCTGTGGGGCTTGATCTCTTGCCATGATTATGGCCTGGAAGGGAAAAGAGTTTCTTTTCCAATGAGGGAGCTTTGCCGAAGCCTAGGTGATTGCACAAGCAACAACATTGAAAAACTACTCTACCTTTCCCGGATACAGGCGCGAAGACATCTCGGCAAAGCCCCTCCAAAAGTCTCGCCATCCCAGTATGTTGCCGCCTCATCTAGAGATCTTTTGCAAATGTTCGAAGCAGACTTTGGCTTTCTAGCCATCAAGGATGAAGCAAGAACGATCGGTAGCCTCTATGCCTACAACGAAAGCATTTCTTTACTTCAATATATTCGCAAAAAGTCTCATACATCAGTGTTTTGCACTCAAAGCATATCCGCAGACTGCACAGATATCATGTTTCCCGCCCGCTTCGTTTTGATCTCTGGATTTCTTGTGATTCCATTATCTCTATCAGGAAATGACTTCCTCGTATTTTTCCGTAAGGGTCAAGTAAAGGAAATCAAGTGGGCCGGGAATCCAAAAGAGAAGATCTACAAACCTGGAACACAGTACCTTGAGCCAAGAGCAAGTTTCAAAAGGTGGAGCGAGCATGTTGTAGGTACTAGTCGGGAATGGACGCGAGAGCAAGGTTGGTTTATCCTAGTTCCAGTCGATTCCTCCTAATCTGAAGCTTCATAGTTGAGTCTGCAGGAGTCCTAAGCGCATTATACGGGAGGTTCATTGAAGTCTGGAGACAAAAAGAGGCTACTGTACAGCAGAATCGCATGACACGATTGTTGATACGGCAAGCCGGAGCTGAAGGTACGTTACCTCAAATTTTGAAGCTTTCAAAGCATTGCTGATGTGTGCAAGTGCGAAATCCGCTGAATGCTATAATTGGATATCTTGAAATCGCACTTGAGGATGAACTCAACGAAAAGGCGCGTCTGCATCTTGAGAAATCCTTAGGCGCATCAAGGTCACTTATCTTTGTTGTAAATGACCTTCTTAATTTGACAGAGGCAGAAAAAGAAGATTTGGAAATGTCCCATGATAATGTTAGTTTATCAGAAATGATGAACGAAGTCATCGATGATTTTGGTGATGAATGTCAAAAAAAGAGATTGCATATCAAATTTGACAGAAGCAATGTCCCACCGATGGTTAAATGCGATGGTGTGCGTTTGAGACAAACTATCTCAAACTTACTTTCAAACACTGTCAAACATTCGACTGCTGGTGATGTGGTTGTTGGGTTGAAGAATATTGAAACTGATGATGATAAGACTCGAGTCGAAATGTTTTTCACTGACAACGGTTCCGGATTTACTGAGTAAGTTTGTTATTATAATACCACAGTTGAACTAGAGGAAGACTTTTATTTCTTTGTGTAGCCCAAAATTCCCAAACAATATTCTAAGCTACCTCTTATAACGGGACTAATCCTTCGTCTTCTTAGATCTGAACTTGACGGCATATTCCAAGACTTTGAGAAAGTTCTTGACGATGACCAAGAGGTGGATGCATCACCATGCCTCGATGCGGACAAATCATCAATTGGTCTAGGCTTAGCCGTAGCAGCGCGGTTCGTGCGACTCAACAATGGCAAAATAGTTATAAACACGGAACCAGGACACGGAACCACAGTCACCGTATCCATACCATTCCGTAAGTCCAATGGAGGACATTCTTTCAATGGAAGAGTTCTACGAGAAGATACTTCAAATTCATCCACCAGTAGCGAGAGTCCCAAGTCTGAAAATGGCAAAACCTGTGGCACGCCCGAGAGATTCCAGGCCCCTCCTCCAACTTCCCTCAAAGAACCTTTCGTCACATCCACGACGGAAATACTCGAATCGCCTGAGTCGTCACCCAGTCCCTTGGCTTCTCAACCTTCACCATCTCTCCCGCCCCCATCTCAATCATCAATCTCTGTCAAATCCGTGTCCACAAATTCCAACTACCAGCTTCAATATCCTTTCCCTATCATGGATTTGCCTCCGCAGCCCGAGATTCGCAATCTCAATGTCCTAGTTGCAGAAGATAATCCTCTCAACAGTCGACTCTTGGAAGAACGTCTCAGAAAAAGAGGTCATGTGGTGACTGTCAAGACAAACGGACAAGCTTGTGCGGATACCGTGCTGGCTACCCCGGATGGTTTTGATATCGTCTTGATGGATATACAGGTACTTCTTCCAACTTTTCCACTCCCAAAATTTCATATTTCCTATTACAAACCCACTCAACTAACCCCCTTCCCCACAGATGCCCATAGCCAACGGCTTCCAATCCACAACCATGATCCGCACCTCGGAGTACCTAAACACACCGCCCGTCTCCCGCCGCGCAAAAGTCTATGGCCGTTTACCCATCATAGCCGTATCAGCTTCTCTAGAAGAAATCAAACGTGAAGAATATATCGAACGTGGATTCGACGGATGGATACTCAAGCCGATTAATTTTAAGAAGTTGGAGGAGATACTGGCTAGTGTGGAAGATGATACGAAGAGGGAAAAATTGTTGTATGGAAATAAGGGGGTGAAGTGGAATAAGGGGGGTTGGTTTAAGTTGAAGAGTGGTAGTGAGAGTGGTGAAGGTGGTGAAGGTGGTGAAGGTGGTGAAGGTGGTGATGGTGGTGGTGGTGGTGAATTGAGTTGAGGAAGGATGAAAAGGGAGTGGTGGCTTTGTGGTGAATGAGTGTTATTGCATATTGGATATGGATGATTATAACCAAGCAACTAAATTACGAGAACAATCTGAAAAGACACCTACCTACCTACCTACCCAAGTCCTCCCCGTATACGCACAAATGTGATAGTTTCCCCTTTTCCTTTTTCCTTTCCTTCTTTTATTTTCCGCTTCCTTTACTTCAATACTTCCTACGCATACATGGTCTTTTCCACAGTACTCCTACTATTGCGTATTATACGTTGTTATTTAAATACTACTATATGGAATATGAAACACGGGATATGAAATGCGATGATAACTTCATCTCCTACTCGAGTATGTTTTATCAAGATATAAATATTAAAATATATAAATGAGATTCTAACTCAATCATGACTTAACCATCATGAGGAACACAGACATCAAAAACATTGTAATGTAAGATTAAGTCATATAAAAAGTATGGGCATTAAATATCAACAAGGGAAATAATAACAACTATGACGACGACGGTAGTATTTAACGCCCACGGCCCAAATATTCCCATTGACCAATTCCGTATCCCACCATTCCATCTAACGCCTACCAATCATTATTTCAATTTTCATATGGATATCGTACCCAAAATCACAATCACAACCTACAACTTAACACTACCCCCATTCAACTCATTCCACTCCTTCTCCCCAAACCTCACATACTCCTCCGCACCGGGCTTCAGCCAAAACAACTGATCACCACTCTCCTCAACCACATTAGGATCCACACCCTGTTTCCTAACAACATGTTTAACCATCTTGACCGTACCCGTGATTTCCATCTCCTGACCATCTTTCTTAACCCTCAAGAAGACCGGGACCGCATAATTCGGCAGACCTTTTTTCGCATGAGCGGCCAAATCTCTCATGACGGCAGGACTGTGGTCTTTTAATATGAGAGCCACGCAGCCTACGCGGCCATCATGGTGTGGTAGGGAAACGCCATATACGTTTGCTTCTTGGACTGCTGGGTGAGTGGAAAGAGCCTCTGCGACTTCGTTTGTGGAGACATTTTCTGATTTCCAGCGGAAAGTGTCGCCTATGCGATCATTGAAGTAGACTCTTCCTTCGTTATCCCAGGTCATGATATCTCCTGTTCGGAACCACGCGTCGTCTTTTTGGAAAACGCTTCGTAGGACTTTACTGTCAGATGCATCTTGGTTACCGAAATATCCTTGATAGCCCGAATTTATATCGGCGGGGTCAAGCTTATACAGCATTTCTCCTGGGCTTCCAAATGGTAGCTTGGTGCAGAATCCGGTAGTTTTCGATCGACGTGGTTGTTCCGTTTCAACATCTAATTCAACTACTGCCCATGATTTTCTCAATAAAAGCCAGTAGATAAATCCATTACGACTCACAGCACCCTTGCTAAAATCGTTATTTGAATAATTCCAACCAGCTCCCGCACCTTCAGTTGCGGAGTAAAATTCAGCAATCGTTTTGATGTCAAACCGTTCCCTAAACTTATTCCAGACATCTGGTCTGAGGCCATTCCCAAATGCCATCCTAACATCGTTCTTCTGGTCGAGATTTTCGCCTGTCACGGGATCATATTGGGGAGGAGCGGATAGGAGATAGCGACAAACTTCGCCAACATATTGAATAATATTTGCTTTTGATTCTCGAACTTCTTTCCAGAATGTCTTTGTAGAGAACTTCCTTCCAATACATATTGTTGCTCCCATGTTAAGAGCTGCCAAAACAGCAAGGACACTAGCGGCGGAATGGTACATAGGCATGCACTAGGAAAATCAGTATTGTAATAAGACAAATGGAAGAATGAACGCACGGTATATAATATGTCTGGTCGACTATATCCGCTCCATTTGGGCATGATAGTCGATCCAAAATTAGCCTTTCCCCAGGAGAGAACTGCGGGTTTAGGTAAACCTGTAGTTCCACTGGTGTATATCAACATTCCAATCTTTGACCTTGTCTGCTCATGTCTCGTAGAATCCGGCTCCCGGACGCCCTTGGTGGAATCAATAGTAGCCTCTATGTCAGGGGTGAGAATCTGAAATGAGATATCGGGAAGTTCATCTCGAACTTCCTGTGTCAGTTTTTCTTCGGCTACTGGATCGACAATGCATAATCTGGCCGTGGAAACTTTGACACAATGTGATAATGCGTTTCCCGTCAAGTTGTAATTTATAAAAGCTGGTTTGGCGCCTATACTCCATAATCCAAACCACAAGAAAAAAAATTTATCTGAATTGGTGAAATCCATAGCAACGATTTCCTCTGGCTTGACATTGTGGGTATTTTTCAACCATGTTCCGTATTTTAAGACTATATCGTATGTTTCCTTAAATGTCCATTTCTTGCCTTCAAATATGATGAACGTGTCGTTTGCGAAACTTCCTCTGGCATGTTCTTCGAGTATGTAAAACATATTAAGACGATCCTCTTTTTCCCTTCTGCTAGTAAAGGCGTATGCTTTTATGGCAGCACCCAATAATTGATAATCGTAGCTCAAAGAAAACTTAGCATTGACATATGCCAGCCCAGCCAAAGCTACTGGAGCTGCTAAAGCCAATGGGACTATGGACTGTCAGTAATCGCAATCGATCTTCGAGGCGTGATAATATATAAGCTGACCTGGCATTTTGATCGCAACGTGATAGCAATACTCCTAAGGATTAGATGAACTCTTCTAAAGCTTCCTAAAAAAAAAACACAGTAACAATGGTGAAATGTTATTTCCCCGGGCAGATTCTAAAGGGGATGGATGACAACGGCGGATGCTGTGGGACCTGATCGAGCAAATATGAGGATGGATGTTTGAGCCGTTGATAAATCCAATGTAGGCGATTCAAAGAAACGATTCAAGGTGAGTGAGCAGTTCAGATGAGGAAAAGGACGACAGATAGAAAGTTGAGAAAGATTGAACTTAAAAAACTTACCGTCCATAATATGGCCGAAATCTGGATAATATGCATGCATCCCGCCGTTGGGTCATTTTTTATTCATTCCTCAAATTGTGGAATATGCCTCGGCATGGAGGAACATTTGACATTTGGCCTCCTTCGCATTCATTTCATTGCACAGCTGCATGCAATGCAAAAGAGGCGGGTGGTTCTATCTCGGACTTGATCTCTCCATGAGGGTTTAGGATCTCTGTGCCTCTGAGATGCACAGTCCCTTTCTTCTTCCCACTGCCAATCACGGAAATTCATGCAATTCATGCAAAGTCCACAGTCGAACTCTTGTCTGTTCTATTCGTCCCAGAATATGGGGTATCGTCGGGTTTTGATGGGGCCGGTGACCTCGTTCATGAACCCATGAATGATTTACGGAGTAATAATATTTGATTGGATGGATGGTTGAATAATCCATTGAACCCGATGAATCTGTGTGCAAGTTTTACCGTGCTTCACTTGAAGCGGTTTTGTTATTTCAGCCTTGTCATTTTAGCCTTATCACTCACGTCAGCCTTGTTTATTATTGAGCCGTCCAATCGCTTAAACTTGCTTGTGCAAATGCAATGCGGCGATAGAAACAGATACAGTAGGAGGTACTGGCAAATGGACACCCAAGCTTCAACATAATGTCAACATCACCAAATGAACCTGCATCCTCAGGAACGACAGAGAAAACACTTGAAGATGTGAAAACTATCAATGATAAAGCACCCGAAAATGCGGTCACAGCAGTAAACACAAGAAAGGAACCACCTCCTGAAAAGCCCGAAAATGCTCGCATGCGAACCCAAGTTCTTATTTCATTCTGGGCTATTATTTTATTATTTGGTGTGCCAATATGGTGGAGAACGACGACAATATACAGAGCTCCATTACCTTTAGATCAGATGACAGATTGGGCCGAAGGAAGAGTATGCTGCAATCAATCGCATCGCTAGCATTTACTGATTGATAATTATAGGCATGTCGACCAGTCTTTCCCCTTACAATCTCAATAGAAGCCGAATCATTGCAGGAAAATGAAGCTCAAAATCTTTTGCGAACTACACAACATGCTTTAGACGATTTAAATGACTTCTCCGCGCATCATTTACGGTTACAACTTTCCCCGCCAAACAATGCTTCCGCGTCTGCCAAGGGCCTCTCATCTGGAGGAATGGGAGAGGACGTTGCTTTGACTATTAGACTTCTGCCTGGGGCGGTGTCACAATTCAATTTGCAAGCCTATGCACCTGTTTTAGATATATACTATCCTCCAAATCAGATTCCCTCGAGTTCATCATCATCTTCTTCATTGGCGACTTATATTGCAAATACCTTACGCGGCGTGTTTGCCGAAGAACAGGCTATGATCGCATATTTACTTTCCACCAGCTCCGCGCCTCCAGAAAGAAGCCCTAAAGTACTGGCGCCAGAAGTGGCAGATACTTTGGCTAAATGGACGACGCGATCATTGAAATATTCTGGAACTTATCACTTAACCTTCTCCCTCTTTACTCCAACTGCCACTCCCTCTTCTTGGGATATTGAAGCTGCGCTAGAGGAATACATGAAGCCATTACTTGAAAGCTTCACTGCTATCAGTAATTTCACAATCGATACCCAAGTCCAATTATATGCCAACCCCGGTGTCAGCGGAAATGTCTTACGAAAAGACGATCTAAGCGGATTCATTAACGCCGCTGAATGGCCCTTAAGTCCCAGTATCGGCGGCGCCCCCACTATAAATTTCATTCTCTACGTAGGCGACATGGAAGTAGAAGGAGGCGGCAAGAGTTGGCTAATTCCCCAATGGGGAGGAGTAGTCATACAATCCGACATCTCCGATTTACGCCCCGCCATGCTCACTTTCTCAAATCAATTAATGTCCTTAATGGGCGCTCCTGAGACCGGGTCGCTCCCCCTCCGCTTAATGACACTAGTACGTGTTCGTAGCGCTGGCCTTCTGCTAAAAGCAAGCGGTACACTAGGAAGTCTAGCGAGATTGAGTAAGGCGCTTCCTTCCATTAGTATACCGGAATCAGTACAAGAAGGTGTTTATACAACCATCGAACATTTGAAAAAATCGTGTGACGGATTGGGAGGGAAGGAAGGATTGGAAAATGCTCGGATTGCGGAAGAGGCGGCAGAAAAAGCGTTTTTTGAAAAGAGTATGGTGGGCCAGGTGTATTTCCCGGATGAACACAAAGTGGCGGTTTATATGCCTTTGTTGGGACCCGTGGGCGTGCCTCTAGTTATGAATGTGTTGAAGGAAATTAAGGCATGGAGGAAGAGGAGTAGAATGGCTAGCTAGTCGTATTTAAAATGATGAGCTAGTGGTATCTAGAATAACGATTTAATGAATTCTCAGTAACTTCTTTTTTTACCTACTTCCATGTATCTTTACATTTTATCCATTTATCGACTAAGTACTCTTCTCCTCCCACCTCTCCAAATCCCCAAATCCCCAAATCTCCATCCCATTCCCAACAATAACCGCTTTTGCCCCGTTCTCTTCCCAATTCCCACTCCCAAGTTCACCAGTCTCACAAATGACAGCTACATCCCCAATATCACTAACCGCCGTAAAATCATCCCCAAGCATCTCCACATCTACCGGACACATCTCCTCTCCCCCTTTTCGAGACAAAATACCAACGCGCCATGTTTTTACCCGTTGATCCGTGCTTGTGGATAGGATGTACATATTTTCTTTTTCTTTCTCTTTCTGCTTATCCTTCTCTTTCTTCTCATCTAAAGTATTGGGAAAATTGGAAGGATCGGGAAGAAAACAAATACCCGTCACAGCAGCCGCATGTGCATCGGGCAGGAGAATCGAAATCGATTTTGTGAATTCTTCATCGGAGTTGCATGGAGATAGTGGGTAGAGAGTGATTCCTATGGCGTTGTCATCACCACCTGTTATCACTACTAGATGTGGGATGCTGCTGCTGGAAGTGTATTTGTAGGAGAGGGTTTTGATGGCGTTTTGGTGGATTTTGGTGTGGGAGAGGAGTGTAGGTTCTGGGGTTTGAGGGAAGGTGGTAGAGACTTGATCCTGGTGGAGGATGGTAAGTGGAGTGGTCCAGATACAAAGACTTCCATCCGTGGCAGCGGTCAAAATTTTTATTTCCGTCTTAGAAATGCGGAGATGGATGATCTGCATCAGACATGCTGAGGTATATCTTCCCTTCGCTAATAATTTCCACCCTCCTTTTCTAGAATAGACATAAGTCCGCATTGTAGAATCTGAATAGACAAGAGTGATGATCATTTCCTCGGAATGACTTTCGGGAATATCCGACACGTCAAAAGACATAATGCGTAAATCTTGCTCGTCGGTAGGGTCAGGACATGATGCTTCACAGATGACTCCGAGACCGAATCCGGGGATTTCTCGAATGGACCAGATGTAGAATTCTTCGACACCGCCACTGCTGAAGAGATAGTTTGAGTTGTGCCAGTGAAGATGTTGCAGTCCTGCTGTGTGCTTTTGGATTACAGAGAGGCAAGTAAGACTTTTCCAGTCGGAACTGTGGTTCTTGGCGTCTTCGTAGCGCCATATCCTTATATTGGTATCTTCAGCACCGGTAGCTATCATTTGAGGAAAGCCTCCTACGGCACATGCTTTTATCTCTCGTCCGTGCCCGCCGCTTTTTATAGTGCGATGTGAAGGAACCTTTTGTGAATGAAGGTATAGTTGCGATGCTTTTGTGTATATCAAATGCCCACTGCCGCCTCCGTTAACATCCTTTAGTGGGGAATATGCATGAGCTCGATGAGCTCCTCCGCATTCAATACGCATAACTTCAGACTGTTTCGTCTCATTCCAGACGATGAGGCTTTTGCTTTTGAATCCATATAGAATTAGGTCAGAATCCTGAAACCAGCAGGCTTCAATCATAGGTCCAAATGGTGGCGCAGCCGAATGTACACAAGAAATTTTTGTGGCTTCAGGTTGCGCATTATCGTAAGACAGTATGGCATATAATCCATCTCGACTCGTGATTGCGAAATAGCTTGTGGTTTGTTTAGATTCAGATTTTGGCACAGAGACAATGGATGTGATGGCATCTTTTCTGTGGGGCGAATTCCAGGTAGTCAAGGTGTTGCTGCCTATGCCGTGTACTGCAATTGCTCCTTCTCTAGAGCCAAGAACGAGATTATCATCACATCTACCAGCACCTGTGACTATGAATTTCGGGGGTAAGGAGAGTGTCTTTCTATTGACAACAGGCTGTAGGTCGGAAGGTTGCAAATCAAAGGACAACACCGTCAATTCTTGGGTTCCTACTAATGTTACCAATAAGTCAAATGATCTATTGTCATTTTTTTGGACAATGAACATATCGGATGGTTTTCGCTCAACACGCCCTATCTCGACGATGGCCGAGCCTGGTTGATACAGAAATATCTTTCCATTGATGCCCGCCAAAAGGCACAATTCCAGAGTCGTATTTCCTTTTAGAATGGAGTACGACTTAAGATCTTGAGTACTTGACTCTGGCAGAAAGAGTTCTCTGAACGTAATCTTATCCTCGACAGTGGCGCGGAGAATTCTCCCAAATGTTGTTGTAATCAGGAAGGTATTTTCAGATACGAATGCATAGCGATTGAAAGCATCTTTGGGTGCCTTCTTCCTTGGTACCACGGATCCTTGCTCTTGCTCCTCTTTCTTTTCAGGACAGGAATCGGCGGAGGTGAGAGATTTAAACACATCTCCGAGCTCAAAAGCTAACGAGGAAAATGAGCCTTCAACCGAGTGATCTATTGCAAGAGCTTCAGCGGCGACATTGCATGACGGGTCAATAGAGAATAAATCTGTCTTTTTTCCTTCGTCAAAACAGTAAGTTGATATTTTTCCATCCGCTCCACCCGTGACAAGCAAACTCCGATTGTTTTCTATCCGGGTGACGGCCGCCGACCAAATGTGCTTCCCGGTGTGGAAGGCGAATGTTTTAATATGCGTCAGCTCAGCAGGAATATTTGAGCTAAGTTTGGAAACTTCAAGCTCCAGGATGCCAGAAGTTTTACCTCCATTCTGCAGTTCATTTCCAAGTCCTAGTGTCCATTGCTGAGCTGTTGAATCTTCTCCAAAAGAGAGAACAGTAATTGGGGAAGTGCCGAATGTTGACACATCAGTACAATGAAATTTGACACCCCAGATACGGGATGCATGAGCCATGATTACAGCAACACATCTATTGGAACCATTAGAGTCATGCTGAGCTTCTGCAGGCTCGCCAAAACCTGTTTCTCGTGGCAGTAAGTCGGCAGCTAACTTCATGGCGTCTACATCACTTTGTAAATCTTCTGTAAGGTTCCATATCCGTATAGTACGATCATCGCTACAACTTGCTAGCAACCGAGTGGTTTTTCCATCACCCCCCATAATTTGTGGTGATATGTCGACACCGAAAATGGAACCTTCATGACCAGTGAAAACGAAGAGAGCTTCATTGTGATATGTAGATCTATCTTTAGCAGCAACACATTTCCAAACGATAATCTCGCCGAAGATGGTTCCCGCTGCTACTATAACAGTATCTTGATTTTCGCAAATAAGACTGGCAGAGTACAACATGGACCGCGAAGAAGGTTGTAACTGTCGCAACCTTATCGGTTCGTCTTTTTTCGATAAAGTTGCTTGAATCATTGCATTATGAGCAGTAACTGCAATACAGCCCTGCTTTTCCCAAGGACAAAAGGCAACACTGAGGACCCAATCACTGGTGGATGTCGCAGTCTCTGTGATACTAACTACATTTTGAGAGATTATTTCCTCAATTTCGGATCTACAGATTAACGTCAAACATTGGCCACCCCAAATGACTAGCTGTAGGTCATCACTAGAATCACCGTCTAATTCTCTGACGATGATGCCATGAATGGCCTGTGAGTCAAAAACTCGACAATGACCAATCAGCCTCGAGGTTTCGGCATCATATATTTTCAGAAAAGAGCCTTCGGCCGCAAAAATCAACAATGTACCAGTTGAAGTAAGGTAAAAATCCAATGCCAAAATTGGACTCAACGAATAATTATGCTAGATTGAAGCAGGTGAGTTAAAATCCGTGTCGGAAATTGAGCATACGGAACCGTTGCTGACCTTGGAAGAAGACATTGATATGAAGAGATGATGTTCAAAATCTACATATTTGGCAAACTGGTCAATGTCAAGAATACTTGGGACACAGTATCATGAGTGTCGTGAATTTATGGCCTTCTCGATTTTCTCTTGTGGAAAGAAGGGGGAGTTTGTCGGAAGCCCAAAATTTCATCACCGCCTTCACGGCAGAAATCCTAATGCGACACCCTTTATTATTCTGCCACGAGGGTCCACCAGTCAAGCACTTTGTTGCATGTCTAGATTTTCCAAGCCCAATGAAAAAAGTTGTTGAAATCCGCATATCAAAACGCAGTTTCCCCCGGCTCCCGGTGAACCTCAGCGGAGAGAATTTTCATATATCATTGATGGATTTTCACCTAAATTTTCTAGATATGTATATATTTATGTCAATTTATAATTCTACCGGTATGTTCTCTACAACCATCTCTTCTCAAAAATAGTTGCTGTTTCCTCATGAGAAACCCTCCTTGTCAGTTCATCAAACAGCTGCAGCATGCCCCGCTTCCCATCTTTATTGTAGTTAATTTAGTTGCCGTCCCATGATTCCATGTTCATAAGTGCATCCCAAACTTTTCAGCATTCCTCCACTTTCTTTTTCTCTCCCTCTCCTCTGATCTTCCTCTTTCGTACTTGAGCATTGCCCATATCTTCGGTCACTGCGTGGTATATTGGGAAACATCAGAAATTTCAATGCGAAAGTGGTTGCTTCCCTTCTTTGTTACTACACTTAACAGTTGCTATGCAGGGTTTGTTGAATTGTGTCTATTGTATTCTGCGACATTACTAACTAACATGATTTATCAGCATACCAGCTTCCCACCTTGCCGTGCCTCATTCAATTGAATCATGACGCCGATTTGAGACTTCTTTCATCTTGAGAACTTGGAGAAGAATCGATCCCAATCAAAGGGATATTACTGTTATCTGGAGTAACGGATGATTCGTGAATCTTCCCAGGGGCTCGTTTTCCCTTCTCTTTCCCGCCAAGCCCTGATACGGACTCCTCAGCACGCATGGGAGCTCTTCGCACGCGGTTTGATGAGCTACTTCCAGCACCAGTTGTACTTGGGTTAGCTTGCGACTCGTCGGTGGTATTCTGTATTTTCCCCTTTTTCAAGTGAGCTGTAGATGACTTTCCACGCCGTTTCGGCGGCGGATTGACAATATCTGCTAAGCTTCGACCTTCGTTTTCCCCTGTTCCCTCGATATGACGCCCAGGTATGCCACGTACAATGTCCGCCAAACTCAGTCCACCTGCATCATGGTCTTGTATATGGCCACCCTCTTGATCACGCTCCCATACACGGCGATCGTCTGCGTCGCTCTCTCGTGCATGAGGACTGCGTTCTCGTATGGGGAGCATCTGAATTCCTTCATTAACCGGTCGCGATCTGTGTAACCAGTGCCATACGAAGAAAGCTACCGAGCCTCCGATCAAAGTAATGACAATGATTACCAAACTAATTATCAGAGTTGCCTGACCCATTTCGATCTCAATTGGGGACCCTACAGCCTCTCCGCTCTGACTTCCAGGTTCAGATACAACACTTGGTTGACAAGAGAGGCCACTAGAGAACAACTTCCTTCAACAAAGGGTGTTCTACAAACCGTTATGGAACAATATGAGCCACGCCCTTTGTTCTATTCGAGAATTGTCATCCTTAGCAAAAGCAGACCTACTGTGTAACATCCAATAGATGTACTCGTGGAAATCTCCATAATTTAGATCAGGTACAAGCCGAAGTAAATCAAAGACTAGCAATTGAAAACAGAGCACTTTGTCGTCCAGAATTAGGTCAACTAAGTGCCTGTACCTGTTTATGTTTGATGTGCATTATAAACTAGCTACTACCCAGTGATTAAAAACCCAAATGTGATAGCTGGATGGTCAACAGTAGCCCTGGACTCTACTTGTTGATCTCCTTCGTTGCTACCTTCATAAAGATAGCGTCGTCAAGATGATGTTACTTCAATGAAAGGCAGAATGGATCCTTCTCTGCAAGCTTCCGCCTTCGAGAAGGAATATCCCAGGTTTGCTTCACGCGGCAACATGCTTGTAAACCTCCGATTCAATTGGAGCATGCAAGACCCACACATAGCGGCGTTGCCATGCGTCTGAGATATATTGTCGTTTTCAAAGTTCACGACTGAACTCTATGTTTGACATTAAGAAATAAATTCTGGATGTTGGCGAGGTGACCATGTGGCACAATATGATTTTGAAACAATCCTCGCCGATTACCTTCAGCGTAGTTTCCTCCCCCGAAGAATTCCAATGTTACATCCGCTGTCAATGCGTGAAGATCGAATGCAGTGGGAACCCGAAAGCAAATATCAGATGGCTTCAATACTAGCTAGCATTAAGAGTACCTGGCAGATAGAAGAAAGAGCTCATTGTTGTAGGTTGCTAGGAATACCCCATACATACCCGCATGCGATTCATGCTGGAGTCATACGATATAACTGCCCTGTTGGAGATGTAGTTGACCGCCTCACAACGGTCGTGCAGTGCTAGAGCGATATTTTAACTCCACTCTCTGCACTGTGCCTGCCAGTCGTCATGCTCGATGATCGCTTTGAGCTTTTGGTTCCGGAGACAAAGTCATGGTTTCTTTGGTAAACTTGTCGATTGTTAAATGTGCCTCAAGCGTTAGATGCCCTTCAACCAATGTTAATCATGAATTATGGTAAACTAGTGATAACGGAACTCGGAAGCAGGAAATGTTGGGATGTAAGATCAAATTTTGACATTGGATACAAAATATAAAATAGGGTAGGATCGGGCCATGCCGGTAGTGCTACATTAGCGACGGGCTCTATATAATAGGCATTTAGTGAGGCTGAACTACTGAAGGTGGGAATGTGGGGAAAGAAAACTGCCTGGATAACAATGGCAGCCACTAGAATGATCGTCCCGATACCATCTATGTCATTATCATTGTAACATGAAAATGCAAAACTTATTGGGAACTTGTGTACCTTCACATTGATACAGGTACAATTCTATAACTATCCTTTTCACGATTGACTTATAAAACATTACTCAAAGAATGAACAATGTTGCATAAGAAGGTCAAGAAGATCTTCCTTGTGACTTCAATCCCTAACTTTCCCAACTCCAACTCTCTACCATGTCTTTAGTCCCATATTCATCTCGAGACAGTCGGGAGATTGTGCTGTAGGTTATACTCTGTCGTTTTCTTGCATAGAATCTATAGAGTATCCAGCAGTTAGAAGACACATACTAACATCTAGTATTATAGTCGCCATGATGATGCCATCGTCATTCGAGATCCCAACACCCAAGAATTGGCTCTGCGAAGTGCCCCTCCCAGTCTCGCCTTGAATGATTGCCCTACATGTCATCGACCATTGCGTACTCCGTCCCCCGAGCGACAACCTACGGCCTCTACTCACGCGAATACTTTCATAGCCCCAGAATACTTTCGCATGCTTCACGTTGCAAATAGTGGTTCGAATAGACAACGGCCCTCCAGTCCGATTCGCAGGCTCGTACAGCCTGCCTCAACGTCTGCGAATTATGTGGATGATGCAGAAAATAATGTGGAATTTGTAACGAGTACGCCAGCAGTAGAAAAAGGGCATACTATAAAGAAGGAGGCTTTCAGCCCGAACTACTTCGAGAGATTCTTCACTGAGGAGAAGGAATTAGGTCGTGGAGGGAAGGGTGTAGTTCTTTTAGTTCGTCATGAGCTTGACGGGGTGTCCTTAGGTATGAAATTGTGATTACGAACATAAGAGGCAAGTGCTGATGGTTCACAGGCCAATTTGCGTGCAAAAGAGTACCCGTTGGAGATGATCATGCATGGTTAGAGAAAGGTATAACAATCCTTTCCACACCCAAGGTTCTCATACTAACTTCTACAGTCCTTATTGAGGTCCAACTTTTGCAAGGACTTTCTCATCCAAATCTTGTGTCTTATCGACATGTCTGGCTGGAAGATGTTCAATTGAATCGATTCAGTCCCTCGGTACCATGCGCTTACATACTTCAGCAATATTGCAATTCGGGAGACCTACTACGTTATATCGCTGGACCTACACCTAAAATGCAGACCACAAATGAACAATTGAAAGAGAAAATGCGAAGGAGATCGAAAGGGGGCGCAGAACGACCAGACCTGGGGTCATCGCAACGAAAGTTACAGTTTGAGGAAATTTATTCGTTCTTCAAGGATATTACTTCTGGTCTCGCACATCTACACTCCTCGAACTATATTCATCGCGACCTGAAACCAAGCAACTGCTTGCTCCATCAAGACGGAAGTGATATGCGATGTCTCATTAGCGATTTTGGGGAAGTTCAAGCGGAAAATGTTGCGAGGAAGTCGACAGGATCTACGGGCACAATATCATATTGTGCTCCTGAGGTTTTGAAACAAGATCAATTTGGTCGATATGGAAATTTTACCACAAAATCCGACATCTTCAGCTTGGGGATGATATTGTATTTCATGTGTTTCCGGCGGCTTCCTTACAAGAGTGCAGACAGCTTCGAAGAAGACTTCGAAGACATGGATCTACTTCGAGCTGAAATTAGCACGTGGTCAGGATTTCAGGATGAGCGGCGCGAGCGACCAGAATTGCCAAATCAGCTATACATCTTTCTCAAAAGACTTCTCGCCGTCAACCCTAATGATAGACCTAGTGCAAATGAAATTTTAGAAGCGATCAGAACTGAAAGGGGACTACAGAATCCAACACGCGTACGGCATGGCAGTGCATCTGGAATTCGTGGAAGGATTCAAGCAATCGACTCACCCATGGCACCCTCAACACCTGTCAACGAGCGTGAACCGAAGCGCGTGCGCTCAAGAGCATACATGGAAGATGCTTTATCTGAGACTTCATCTCGTTCATCATCACCCAAGCCAGATTCTCAGCTCGCTGTTGGAATCAGCCGACATCACAATTCTGGTCCTATATCAAAGCCCTCCATCACCACCCCACTCTTGATGCCACCACCCACCACATTCATATCCTCCTTGCTGCATCGCTTATCCCTTTACCGTCACTACAGCGAAACATGGGCTCAACACAACGAGCAATCTCTTACTCTATTAGGTAGAGTATCAATTTTTCTTTTCAAAGTTTTCATGATCACAAAACCATGTCTATCTTCTCTAGCAAGACGATGGATTTGGTATCCGCTTGTCATCATAGCCGCCGTTGAACTTGGGCTCGGGACAAGAATAAGTTGGGGCATATCTGGTGGTCTTTTGACATTTCATTTTACCGTGGTAGAGTTCTTTGATTGGTTCGGGCCGGGAATGTGTAATGGAAGACTGGGGGTGCATGAGCATTGGTATCAGAACGGTTTTTAAAAGGAAAGCTTACCTTTCCTGTGTGAAAATCATGGTTATTGAAAGGATTATTTAAATGCGAGCAAGACATTTATTGCATCTTGAGGTGTAGGGGTTTGAACACACCTACCAGGCAAGGCGTTTGCATTCATGGATGCGACATGAAACAAGGGATATGTATGATATGAGAAATGGGAATGTGATAATATAGCATTAGCATGATAGCTTTCGATGACTAATAAATGATAACTATTTGAACAACTCTGCTGGAGGGTAAATTTTCGACTCTTTGCATGGCCCAAGTGGGTTTCAACAATTCATGTTGGATCACGGTAACGAGTCTTCCAGTTTATTTGTTTATTAGTTTTGACTGCAGTGCGAGCGCCTCCTCCAATACCGCATAGCACGCTCCCTAGTGGTGAATCTCTTCTACAAATCTAACCTCTGGGGTTACCAAAACGCCATCTTCTTCCCGAGCTAGACTGCTTTGTACTGCAGCTACTTGCCTCATTGCCGACATGATCAGAGGAGAACCCGGTATCCAATAAAATGGAACACTTGTCTTTTCAAATGAAACTTTTGCCCTCCACTTTTTAGGAGCTTGCGCTCCATACTCTACCACGAGTATAAGTTCCAATGTCTGGAAGTCTTTCACAAAATTTAATTTTTTGGTTTCTATAGTTCCATCCAAGTATCAAAGCCCTCCCATATTAAAAGCTATACACCAAATACTTTCTTTCGCTTCCAGTGTCAAAGGTTCAAACATACCGGGTAGCCTTTCTCGAGGACCACTATTTATGAACAGCATGTCAGTCTTGGCGCGAAAGTGAACATGCGACTTCGAGATATCTTGTGCACTAAAACCTTCCAGGCACCTCTCCGGATGGAAGCACATAATCCAACGTGAAGAAATACGGACCTAAGAAAATGGCTTGACTTACTGGTTGATTGTCTTTGATGCCGCCAATGTGATCTACATGGTATTGCGATGCTTGTGAGAGCTTTACAATTGTGAAAGATCTGGATTCCTTGGAGGATTCCATTTTTCCGGAGAAGGTTAGTTTTTGTGATTTCCTTGAGAGTATTTTGAAGGAAGGAATTCAGAAAAATTGAAAGGAAGTGGGAGTAATATCTCTGGAAAAATTGGGAGTAGCCGCCTTTCTTGACAGAAGCAAAATTCACTGGAGATATTGCGGTGGTATGTAACTATCGAACGACAAGTGCGTATTCTCATATTTTTATAGGCTGATTTTATACAGCGTAGCAACTATATATTCTCATCTGGTCTCAATCAGTGTTTACCGAAATCATACTCGTTATTCGACCGTTTATACTACCTCTGTTCTCTTGTGCACCAGAAGTCTGGATGAGGTTGAAAATACCCGATCTAATATGGAAAGAATGACGAGAGAGCTAAAGGACTTTGAATACATAGAGCGAGATGTGCCGGTCTGCAAATCTATGGCACGTGACCAATCCAAAACTTCGCTTCGCTGCTCTTCAGCCGCTGTTCATTAATGCGTGTAAGGAGTAGTCAACGAGTCTCATATAGGACCGTATGAAGATGAAATAATGCCGTAACAGTTCCAAAGTTTGAATACATATAGAATGGCATATCTCCATAACTCCTCTTCTCCCACATTCACCAACCCTAGCACAAATCCCTAAATCCATCAAAACTGAAGGTAGATAACCCACAAGACTCACCACACAGCGCCCACCACATCCCCAACCATGGATTTTCTGCAAGAAAAATTTACCCAATTGAGCGACGGATTAGACACTATTTTCTGGCAGCCTCTCACAGAGGAATTAAGATTTGTATTGCTCAACGAAGTCAAATCCTGGAAACAAAATTTGAAAGTTGGTATCATACTTATCCTTCTCTTTTGGATCTTGGTCTTGATGTATATTCCTCTTGTTCTTATTTGGCTTATCTTTATCGACTTCCCGCTCTTCATTCAATATTATGCGCATGTTTGGGCACATGTTTTGACGCGAGTGGCTAGACGTCTGAGACGCCTTAGATGGAGTTGGTTGAGTTGTACCTTTAGATCTAGGGAGTAGATCACTTGTTCAAGATCTTGATCAAGGTTTGAAAGCATCAAAAGAGTAGACGAGAATGCTGTTTTATTTTTGTTTCTTCTTTCCTGACTTGATGTCATAGCATTTTGAACATTTTTCTACAGAAATTGGAACCTTGTTTGTAAATTTGCAATGTTATGAATTTGAAATAAATATAAAAACGAACCAATTTTAAGTTATTGATGTCTTTGTGTAGTATTATAAATATTGTAAATGTAATCGAAATGACTGTGACCAACTTTAAATTGTTACTTTGAAGCTATAATTAAGTGAAGATTATACATGAGGAGCGAAGGGCCACGAATGTGCATGATTTGAAAAAGCAATATATCTACGAGAAATGACCCGCTATCTCAGGAATAACCTACTGTGTCAGTGGCGCGGCAGGAGAATACACCCTTCCGTAACATATAGATGAACTAATAAATAGAAAATATGCACGGGGTGAGTGCTCTAATACCAAAATAATAGACTACACTCATCTGATTTCAAAATCGGTCAATATCATCATAGTATCATAAGAATCAACAACACGTCCAAGCATTTTAAATACAATGGCGATAATGAACGCCTCTACACCTTTCTCTTTTCATTTCAGCATGACCGTAAAACTGTAAACTCAGCAAAGGTAAAAGTATTTTACAACCAGAACTCACAGCAATTACCAAGATGTAATCTTGTAATCATGAACTATCTGCGCAAATTACACTAGCGATTCTATAACATGGACCATGAAAACTACATGAATGTTGAGCGCTCACTCCTGGACGCCATAGAATCTAGAGCCGCTGCTGCATATAGAACTTAATTAGAGATGACTTTTTGGGCGGATCACTCTCGTTACTTTACTCGGTATGATTTTTATTTTCTTCCTTGCTCCTTAATTCGCTCGCCTTCATACCTAAACGTAACAGATGGGCTTGATGAGAACTTCATGGGTGTAGTAGGAGAAGTGCAGGTGTTGGTTATTGAGTGGAAAGTGTAGAGTTCTGAGTGATTGATACCTAGGTAGCTATAGTAGTCCTAACACTTTTTAAAGTCATTACAGTAATCAAAGTAATTTTGTATAAAAAACAAAGGTGAATTAACAAAAAATGCCGTGATTCCAAGGGATTCATACGATTCACTAGAAAACTTTGATGTAGTGATTCGGTAAAAACATAGGGGAAAATATTAGACGAGCTCTGGCGACTTTGATTCGCCATGGCATCGAGGCATCTAATCGTTCCTTGAAAAGTTTCGTGTCCTTATTATGTATATAAGCAAGACCAATCGCCATATCACCACTCTGCACAAGTTTTCGCCTAGTATTGTAAAAGTGATAGGTCGAGATGTGTGCGTCCCCATAGCACGCTGTGAGAAGGAATTGGAAGAGAAAACTGATTAGATTATATTGTAATATGTCACTTATAAAGAAAATGGGATTTATAATGATTTTGAGATTGAGGTTATATAGATTCGAATATATATATAGAAGATTGATTATTCTGAAAAAGAAAAGAAGCAAAAGCTTTTCTTTTATATCTACTTACAAAAGGTTATGTAATTGATTAGTTAAAAACCTCTATGTATCTGGCCTATAATTCCAACTTTCTCACAGTACGTTTCCAAATGACAGTGAACTCATGCACGCAAGAATAATTATACACATGCAAAGCGTAGCACGCATAGAACAAGTAAATGTACGGATTTATGATATCATATCGGTAGTTATATTACGAAGTCCTGTTCAGAGGCAGTTTCAGAGTGTGAGTGATTATGAATGCTATTCACGGCTTCGGTGCGATATCGATGTGAGGTCTGTAATGCGTGTAGGACCAAGGGCAAGTTGCCATTCTCGTCGCCCAGCCGCCAAAAAAATAGAACAGGTAAATGCATAAAACAAGTAATAAAGTACATGTTCATCAGTGATCGTTTCATTGAGGTAGTCATTTTTTTTATGGTTGTTCTGTTCCTGATTCCCTAGTGCTATAAGATTGAACAGGTCTTACCTGCATACTTCAACCAGTTGGAGGAGCCCTAAACAACTCTTGGACTGCTCCAGAACAGATCTATGGCCAGCTCCAGATGATGAGTATTAAATCATCGTAGCCCCGTTTTAGACTCACCTTTCTTTCTCCCCAACCACTTCTGCTTGTAACTTTTTTTAATTTCCAAGAGAATTACACAAAGTGGTACAATCAGAAAATTCACACGCACAGAAAACTCTCAGAAAATTATGTTTACCGTACGGATGTTGCTTGAGTTTGTAGTTCTCCTTCTCTACATTTGTTTCTTCTCCGTGTTAATCACCATCACATTGCCAATGGCCGCCTTGGGATTTTACCGAATCGACTTTGAAACTACCTTTCAGACTATTCTCGAAGGAGTTCTCGGCCCATGGATCGCGAGCCAACTTCGCGGCAACGATGATCTCTTTTTGGAGAGGCTGATTGCAGAGAGGAGAAGACTTGTTGGACAGCGACCAATGCTCGGACAGTACCCCCCGAATGAGGAGACTACGCCGCAAGAAATAACACGACGTACGCATAGAATTTTACATATGGAGCAGGAAATGCTGATGGCTCATCGGCTTGCAGAGTATCGTGGATGGCTTCGTCAGATGGAGAATCCTGTGGGCTGGAATTATGAGGATTATGAATCTGAATCTGAATCTGATGAGGCGAACTAGCGTATGAAGATGTTTATCTAGATTTTTTCATTGAGTAGTTGCTATTGCTGTACGTAAAGGTGTAGAGCTGGTTCTATGGGAGAGGATAAAAAGAATAAAATCTACTTTTGCAATTTAAATTAATACAACATGACGAATAATAATAAAGTGATAATAGTGAGATTGATAGCTAAGTGAAAATGTAGCAGGCCGAGATATACATACTTACAACCTCCGAGGAGGAGGTGGGTTTCATCACCATTCATTGCAGGTCCATTATTATTAGACTTTATACCTATATGGAACTGGCATAGATTCGGTAGAGTGAATCTTACATAAAGAAAAATAGAGAGCGATAACTGATTGACTATTTGGAATTCCAACAACCAATTTAGACGTTCCAGAATAAGGTGGATAGATATACAATGAAGCACAGTCAGACTGGGTATTCATTGTATTCTATTAAAAGTCTATTAGCTAGTGGTATAACCTGGTACTCCGTAACCCATGACGCAAGAAGTAGAATATCATGCTATATTTATGGTGTATGTGCGTGAGTGGGTACGTATTATGGCGAATCCATGGCAGTTTTATTCATGAAATGCGCATATGTCCGAAGGACTTTCTAATTATTTACAACCGATAATCTTGCAAGACCGGGCCCAATTTTATGTTAATGGCGAGAAGAAGCGGCGCTCGTCGTCTATTAAATGAGGGCATTTTATTTTTGTTCGTGTTGCTAACGCGGAGTGTTTGAATTATGAAGGACGAAATATTGGGTAGTTGGGATAATATTGGGGTAGTCATGTTTTGATTCACAATTTCACGGGGATAGAATGCAAATTAAGGTCATGAAAGTTATTTTTGTAAAAAGAGTCTTGCTTGATTGTTTGATATTCTGAAGATGCGAATATTGACTTGTCATCCTCGACCGAGAGATCGAGATTTGTTTGAGATTTGTATGATACAATCTCAAACTCCTTCAATCATGCCCACAGCACAACCACACTCATGTAGATTCATCCTTCTCGACTTCATACACGGGCATTGCTCTCTTCTTTCCAACCTTTGAAAAACTGTCATCGTCATCCCAATTCTTTGGATGCATTTCGATATCGCTGTGCGACCGCCCAGCGGTACGCGAGCGCTTCTTTGCGGCTTTTTTTGAGTTATCCATTCCGTATCTGTGGCGTTTGTGAGGCCAGAAGAAAGCCCATGCGAGCATGGCAAGGAGAATGACGATGCAGAAGGCAACTATGCCAATTTGTACTGAGTTGGGCATTTTGAAGTGAAGTGAAGTGGAGATTAATGCCAGAAGTGTAGTTGGTGATGGTTAGAATGGCAGAGAGACATCACGGCATATGTACTCGGACAATTGGAGTTGTTCATGTCTTCTCATAATTCCAAGGAAATCTACTACTAACCAGAACAATGACGAAACAAAAGACTTTTGGTTTTGATTGGATGATTCTCTTTATTTTGGAAACATTCTTAATAATGGCGGATCATCTTGCTTTAGCGAAGAACAATACTCCGTAGCCTCCCAAACAGTCCAGAATGGTTGTAACTTGTGGCCCAAAAAACCCTCATCAGCGAGATCTTTAGAAACATTTGAACAACTTCAAAACATGCATTGACAACTCATAATTGTGTGAAGAAGGATTTGCTACTTTATATAATAATGGTACGGGGTTTCGGGAAGGATTTAAACGAATGTCTAGTAACGAATGATGGATGGAGAAAGTTATGCATAGGTTACTTATGGAACTGAATAAACATTAATAGGGTATGTATGGGTGTACTTGAAATGAGAAATTCGAGGTGAATTGGGAGTTAAAAGTATTGACTCACATTCAAATCAAGCTAATTTATCCCAACACTCTCAATGCAACATTTGCGACACCAACGGCATTGATGTATTCATTTGTAGAACATGATGAAACATCAATTTTGGGAATTGTGGTCGCAAATGTGTGAGGGAAGCTTGGCGGGCCTTATGGTGCAGGGGACATCTCATAGCCACTAAAACCATCGTGAACAGCGCGGCGTAGCAAAGTATTAACAGGCTGCAATACCCATCTAACTTGTCGTATGGTCACTCCGACTAAAACTTACTGTTGTGTCTGGATAATCGATAGGGAAATTGGTGATTGTCGTGAAAGGATCTGAGGATCGAATCGAGTACGACTTACAATACCAAGATACTGCGATAATTGACATGACCAACCATCACCCATTAACCTCGATTCCTCGAGCACGACTCACACAATCGTTACCACCATTGCCTGAAGAAGATACAATACCTCTCGCACCGTACCATGATGATCCAGCAGAAGATGAAATTGCCGAGGTTACTGAAGGAGTTGAGGGAAACCAAGCTGATATGAACGAACCTCCTGAATATGAGCCAATGCACGACTATTTGGCCAGTAGAGTACGACGATTATCTCAAATGTGGCCTCCTGAATATGAATCATCGTTGCATGATCATACAAACAGTATACCGCTTCAATACCAAGAACCTTACCGAGATGACCCCTTCATTATCACGATAGATTCGAATCAACCTCCACCACCGTCCTACGAAGCTTTATACATACAAAGACAAACAGAATTAGAAATGTTGAACGATGAGGATCTGGAGATAGGCCATGCTGAGGATGTTTGCAAATGGCTGGTCAGCATGATTCTGATTACTTTAACAATTATTGCTGTTGGCTTCGCATTCAATTGGGGACACCCATTTTAAGACGAGCGAGACCTAGGATGCCGACACCGTGCAGCAAAAGACAGCAAAAGCAACAAAACGAAATGGTGGAATTATACCCGGTCTATGGAAATGGAGTTTGGAGTTTGAAATATGCAGCTTGAAAGGATTATGGTACAGGATAGCGGGTTGCAGCGGCTTGCCAAGGGCATTTGAAAGATTGCTTTCTAATAGAATAGAATACAAGCTTCGAACTATTTTGCCAGTTTTTACCGCCCGCATATCATATACGATATCTCCCACATATCGTGAGGACTTTCCAGTTTAGGAATGGCACTTTCAGCTGGGTAACCCCGCCCGTTTTCCGAAAATACACGATAACAATATTCGATCATCTGGAGATTCCCTTACCTTATCTTCTCCACTGATAATGGAAAGTCAAGCTCTTATTAAATGTAAGTGCAGCATGTTTAGGTTTGTAAGATTACATGATTTCCGTTTAAATAGTCTTCAAATCCAAACCTCTCTAGGTTTGCCATCACCTGTTCCATCTTCCCCAAAATAGTTATTTTCTTAGTCCACATGGCAATTTCAATAGTAACAACAGCCTCTGGTGCATCTTGGCAGGAGGTCGCCAAAGATAGGCAAAGACACCGCGATGGGACCATCGCAGCTGTCCAGCCAGCTATCCCGGATATCACTAACATTCCATTGAACACATTATCAGTTGCGAGACAAGTACTTACACCTGATGAAATCAAAATTACTGAAGCTACAGTCGAAGATTTGTTGACTAAACTTGCGAAAGGGGAGTTAAGTTCAACCGAGGTCACGAACGCATTCTTGAGAAGAGCCGGATTGGCACAAAAAGTGGTATGTGTACCCATTCATACGCTTTTACATGTGACTAATCCATATTCAGACTAATTGCATCACCGAATTATTACCCCAGCGAGCCCTTTCTCGTGCAAAATACCTAGATGAGTATCTCAAAACGAATGGAAAGACTCTTGGTCCCCTCCACGGCTTACCGATAAGCGTAAAAGAACATGTTGGGATCATAGATTTGGATCATAATGCCGGATTTGTTGCTTGGGTTGGCAAGATAAGTCCAGTTGATTCACATATTGTGGAGATTCTATTGAATGCAGGTGCAGTTTTATATGCTAGGACCACACAACCGCAGAGCCTAATGCATTTGGAGACGAGTAACAACATATACGGGTACATCTCTCTGACAATTTGAATTGACCTCGCTGATATGTTTTAGAGTGACTGTAAACCCTTTCAACACTACGTTGACTTGTGGCGGCTCTTCTGGAGGTGAGGGAGCGTTGATTGGGTTCAGGGGCTCATGTCTTGGTATTGGAACTGATATCGGTGGTTCAATTCGTTCACCAGCGGCAAACAACGGTAACGGACAGAGTGAAATAGTCGAATAAAAACATGCTTACAATTGTACAGGCTTGTATGGTATGAAGCCAACAACACGTCGACTACCAGTAGAGGGATGGGCTGCAACGATGGCTGGTTCCGAACACATCCTTGGCACAATCGGACCATTATCAACAAGCTTGGAAGGCTGCAAAATCTTCATTAAAACGCTTATTGACGCGAAACCTTGGTATAAAGAACCCTCTCTTTTGCCTTTTCCTTGGAAAGAAGAAGATTTATTTTCTGGTAAGAAATTGAAGGTTGCCATTTTATGGGATGATGGGGTTGTCAAACCACATCCGCCAGTTACCAGAGCGTTGCAGCAAGTTGTGGACAAGCTCAAAACGAATGACAATATAGAGGTGGTTGAGTGGAAGCCTTACAAGCATGACCTCGCTTGGGATATAATTGTGAGCATGATGCCTTCCGTATCGTTTCCACTACTAATTTCTTTTAGGCCAATCTATATTTCTCGGATGGTGGACAGCAAGAACTCGATGCGATCAAAGAATCCGGAGAGCCCCTGCGACCTCTCACTGAGCACATCATCACTCAAAACCAGCACGTACAATCACATAGCATTGCCTCCATGTGGAACTCCCAAGTACAACGAGACAACTATCGTACTGAATATGCAAACCTATGGAACGAAACAGCGACTTCGAAAACACCAAGTGGTGAGCTAGAAGGAATGGTAGACGTCATATTGTCTCCAGTTGGACCGGGGAGTGCGCCAAAACTAGATACTGCTAAATGGTGGGGATATACCTCGCAATGGAATCTGTTAGATTATCCGGCCATTGTGTTTCCAGTGGATAAGGTCGATGTCACTAAAGACAACGTCAAAGAGACATATACACCTAGAAATGACAAGGACAAGTACAACTGGGATTTATGGGAACAATATGGAGCCGAGGGCTATAAGGACGCACCTATCAGCTTGCAGCTGATTGGTAGACGGTAAATCATCACAACTGTTTGAATTAATTGTCGCTAATAATTTATTCCTAGGTACGAGGAGGAGAAGGTTATCCAGGCGTTAGAAATCATTCAAGGGCAAACCGGATTACCATTTGTTGAATACATTTGAGAACGGAAAGTGTTTAGTTGTTATTCCTACGATGCTTATATATTTACTATATGTACTTTATTAGATTAGAACCTATCTGCCAATCAAACAGAAAGTCAGTAAAATATATTATAACTTGGCTACAAATATGAAGGGGGCTCGCTTATTTGTTCTCAACAACTTATTTATCTTATTTCGGGCTCTAACTCGACGCTTATTGACGTCACTAGTTATTGAGAAATGCTGATTCCAATCGAATGACTTGCGGGTCGTCAGTTAGATGATTTTCCGTGCTGCCTGCACGTAGACCAATGCCTAATTCGTGGCCATGCGGTAGGCAACCGGAGGAATATGTTATAAACTAGAGACAAAAAGAAATACCCGATGCCGAAATCTGGACATCTAAAGAATTACCCTGGATGTACCCTTAGAGAACTTTGATTATCACCGTGGCTATATTTAGCTTTTAACTTGGCCATCTACTGATGGACTTAAATGTAAGATAAGAGTTGAAGAATTACCCAATTGTGACCTTTTTTTCTACAAATTAATAAACCCTCTCTCTTATTTCCTTGACTGATGCCTGTTCTAAAATTTCGCTATTCAAACTCATTACACGCATGTACTAGACTCTCCACATGATTAGATTCATCACAAAATCATTTACTAGTAGTTTATTTCATCTATATCTACTATTCTTCTCTCAATCCTAACAATTTACACAATATACGAGAAAGCCTAGGCTACCACAGGAAAAGTGGACAAGTTCATGGTATCGAGTGAGAATTTCGATGAAGAAAGCATTTCACCATATCACAATATCACATTCGGTCCGTATGTTTTGCGTGATAGTGAGCAGAGGATTGATATCGAAACGCTTGATAAACTGGCTGGTTGGGGAGAGGCGCAATGTTGAGCAAGTGCCTTTGGATGTCCTGTGCTTATTTTGTTTCTATTTCTAGATGGGGTCATTTGAGTTCTTGGAGATGGCATGGGACCGCCAACGTTGACTTGGAGCGCGTCGAAGGTGGGCGGACTGATCATGAATTTTGATGGAAATGAGGAAGACGGAATATGAGAATCTTGATATGTGTTATCGATCACAGGCATGTTCGTCTAAATGATAACGTTACAGTACGGAGCAGGTCCTAACAAGATAACTCCTCCCTCCCACTTTCCACACATTTTTGCTTATCGGTGCAAATTATTAGCTCACGATTAACTTTTTTCACAGTACCAACATCAATTCCATCACCCATACAGTGCCATACTCAACCCTGCATCAGGCACAACATCCGCCTAATCCCTCCCAACCTCTTCCTACTGGTCAATGCGGCACTTCTCCCAGCGTCAAAGGTCTTTAGAGTTCTCATACATAAAGCCATAGATGAAATGAATGGCTTCCCCACAAAAATACGATGATGTGCGCATGAAATATGGAGTGCATGGATGCCATGTGGTCTGTAGGAATAATCATAATCTTCCTTATTTTTTATTATGTGATGGGGAAGGAAGAGTTCAAGGAACAGTTGATGTAAAGTGGTTGATGAGCCTCGTTGAGGTCTTTATGTATTGGGCGTTTCTCCTTGTTTTTGTTCTCATTCTTGTTCTTGGTACCGATAGTTTACGGCCAATCTTTCCTTCTAGTCATTCTTTAATCGTCTCATTTTACATTTGTTACTTACTTGGCATTATTGAATGACCTGCGTGTTTGTCGTTCTTTTTGCTGTTGGATTATTATTGGATTGTAGAGAGTGATCTGAATACACATTCTTTACTTATATACTTACATTCGTTTACGTCTCTCGAGAATCATTCTTTAAATTTCAAGTTGGAAATCATCCAAACCAATTATTTCACCATCGCTACCAAAAATGTCTTCATCAACCACTTCCTACAATCCGACCTCAAATACTCCTTGCACGCCTAAGAATAAAACACTCACTCGCTCCTCCTCAACTCCCTCTACAACCTCAACATCAGCAAGCACCTCAACACACATTCATCAATTCAGCCCCAAACCACTAACACTCATGCGCTCTCTTTCCGCATCCTCCACATCATCTACATCGTCATTTCAATCACGAACCTCACAGCCTTCATCACCATTCCTCGAACCTCCTTTCAGATATGAGTCTCGTCATCCTAGCGAATTGACCTATAGAAGAATGTCAGATAGTCCCAAACCTCATTATTTCTACGAACGACCTGGATTTTTTATTCCAAAGAGATTAGCGCCTAAAGCGCCAGGTTCGCCGAGGGCGAAGGTCCTTTTTATTGACGGTGTGGATGTTGAGGACGAGGAAGATGATTGAGATAAGATGGGTAGATTGTTACGAGGGCGTTGTAGCAAATAGGAATGCCATAGTGATATAAGGCGATAGAGTAAGGATGAGGACAATACCATACTTAACCGGCGAGGAAGGTTTTGACTGTGGAATTGCAAGTTCGATCTGCACTTCTACATATGATGTAGGAGTATACGGAATATCATCAGAGGAAAGAATTCAATCGATTGTAAAGCACCTTCATACTTAGGCTCGGGTTGATTCTTACTACGTCAGAAAGCAATGGAAAAAAGTCTGGTTTTGGGCGTTATCATTCGTTTATACCCTATTGTATCACTCTTCAGTTTATACATAACACTCCTTGTATATGCATGGACATATTTTCTCGTATTGCCTCTCGTTCGAAGCGGCAGTACTTTTTAAAAAATATATATTACACATTCATTTCTCAATAACTGTCTTCTTTAATGTGCATGTGAAATTAAAAGCAGAAATACTGATGATTTTGGGATATCTTTAACGCGAAAGTAATTATTCGATATTTCTGTAAATCATCAGGACACCTAGCATGGTATTGGTCCTGTCCTTCTTTCCAAACCCGTATTTTTAGCACGATTCAACTCTTAATATTTCGTGCCGAAACCCTATTACTCTATCTCGACTAGTAGTGCCTAGATCCATGCGCCCCAAGTGAACTTCCTAAATTTTCCCGTGAGAAACAAAACGGACATAGAAAAGTATCAGCAGGTTTTCATGCAGAAAAGATGGAATGGTTGAAGTTATTAGATAATACATAGTAATTTTGATGAGAATTATCTTTCCAGTTGACTGAATTATAGAGATTTGCATACGAACGAAAATAGACTCTTCTGATTGTCTGTGGAAACAATCGCTTGATGCTCTACCATCTTCGCTGTGTAGTCCTCGCCCTTGGAGCCGTCCTCGTAACATTCGGTTCTCTGTGCATTAACCCTATAACCATAAGATCGTCGTCGAATGCTCCTTTTAAAAGCCAGCAGAAGCATATAGATCCTGGACAAGGTTTCAATTAAGCGCAGCGTTTTATACTAAACTCTGGGATAGGGACGAGAATGTAGGGTGGATGCATGGTACGATGTTATTTTTTGGGAGTAGTGGGCTAATGTGCATTACGCGTCTTATGTTGGAAAGAACATAGAGTTTGGGATTTTGGGGCATATAAAAGGTGTTGGTAATCCATAATTTTTTCTATTCATGAATCATGAGTATAGAATGCTATGAAAGTCCATCGCAATCTTGAATCTGTCGAAACACAGGCAAGAGTCAATGATTCAAAAACCGACTTCTCTACTTGTGTAAATATTTCGACATTTTTGTTTTATTCTTAATCATAGTATTTTTATGCACATACTGCCATGTTGACTTTAATTTGCCAGTCCGTGGCAAGTAAAGTCAAGCGCTTCACGGTTGATATAACTCTTGAAGAATGTGAGGGTAAATTCTTTTCACTTTCGATAATTTATTCTTGTCCCCTCTTCTTGACTCCTTTTTAAGCGACGCGCATGACTGAATCAGGCCCTTCTATGCGCAATTTTTAGGGATTACCGATGTCGGGGAAAGTTTAATTTGAGAATGAGATTGCAATGAGATTGAGACATTTTTGAATTATGTCCTGTTGTGTGGTCTTGGTACAAGATTCTTCTCGATAGTGACCTTTCGTTGACTGAGACACGGTTCGCTGCATGCTAAACTGCTGCCGTATGGTTTGTGAAGCTCCTTCAACTCGTTTCCAGGCATGAATTATCTCCCTTTCACATATGTCTTGTCTTTCTTCTATATTCTCATCTCTGTTGTCAAAACTTGTGGTTGTAATGATTTTTTTAACCTCAAGCTGTCTAGACGATTCAATTAATCGCGAAAGTCGAGAGCTGTCATCATCTGCTTGATTAGATTTCCGTGGACCAATTGACCCTGTAATGGCCGTATCGCCTGGATTGTTTGACGCGGGAATCTCTTTAGATATCGTGTCGTGGCTTCCAGGATCTTCTTCGAAAATCTTAGCTGTTTTAGATTGCGTGCGATCTTGAGTTGGGAGCATGCCGCTGCTTTGATTGTCTGATCCAACATTCATGTGCACACCATTTCTCCGTTGTAGGCGCTCAACCCGTTTTCGATTGACTCGTGAGTCGTGGATGAATCTTTGCGGAATGTTTTCACCCTTAACGATTTCTTCTCTTTCATCTTTTCTAAAGTTCTTTCTGAAGCCCCATTTTTCGATTTTCCGAGTGAATTGCCGTTTTCTTTTTCTCTCATCAAGATATTAGGTTCACCACATGCCAAAACACATGTTTACCATGGGAAAACTTACGTGATGTTGAACTTGAATTCGACATTCAGTGCCTCCTTGACTTTAGGGAATGTTAAATTCTCACTGATATAAAGACGGTAGATGACTGGAGTTGGCCAATCCGCTTCGGTGATGGCCTTCCCCCGGTAGGCTTGGACTTCCTTCGGAACTCCTGCTGCGAAGCAACGAGCTCCAAACGCCTGGGGCGCATCGATACCAGAGGTAGATATCGGTGAGGCTGTGAGGTTGCTGATAGGAAGTATTGGCCAATGATCCATACGCGCGAAATGACCAAAAGGAAGAACTTGTTGTTAAGATGAAGAGATATCTTCCTAAGAAACACGATGGAATCGGAATGTAGATGCAATAAAGTGTAAATATTGGAAAACTTCGCCCATAAACATAATGCATTTCGAAGCTTGCAAAATAGGTCAGCCAGAATTACCTTGCATAAGAAGGGCTGCAAGGTAGCCTCTTATGTGTAGCCATCTACCAAATTCCCCCGCGTAATCAGGTCGCCAATCACGAATGAAGCACAAAGCCTATTCAAGGGGAGTCATCCAGATAATGTCCATCGATAACCTTGTCGTGCAGTAAATTGCATCACTATGGCCATGTCCTCGCTATGCAAACGATATCACTCAAATGATGGATGGCACTTCTTAAAATCCTTGAAATATCATAAAAGATTACAAATCGTCAGCTGAGGTGTGCGAGGTTGCACAGCGAGCATGGCAAGAAAATCCTACCGTTAATCGGAGTCCGAATGAAATAGATCGTGTTCTGTTGCACCATCTAAGTAAATAACCTTCTCATTTTTATCGTAGAAGCTTGAAGCAAGCAGGCACCATCTTTAGTATCACAACGACTTTTGGAGAAGGGTGAATTCTAGGATAACTTCAAGAGCAACTATGTAGAAATGAATTTGCCAACAAGGTACACAGTAATTTTCTAATGAAGATTCACAGTGCTGATGCATGGTATTTCCATACACAAGTGAAATAATAAATGACAAAAACAAATAAGTCTGATTACTGTAAGTGGTAGCAGGAACGTGAAAGGAGATATGAAAGTTGTCCGCCGAGCCCCGTTTCTATTCCACCAGCTCATCGCAAAATTGTTTCGAACAGCTGCGTGCGGGCTACAAAGGATAATGCTATAGACCAAAATCATAAGCGTATACAGTGACACCAAATGATTGTGTACCAATGTCAATAGTGGTATGACCACAGCCTTATTGAGATGATTTGATATACAGCACTTGTTGCACACCAACCCGCCCTGCTCTAGGTCATTTCAGTCGCCTTTGAATTGCTGCTGAACGAGACTTTTTTGATTCAAGATCCAGTTGTGCTTATATTCATAGCAGATAAGACGCAGAACATGAAGAATATGAGAAAGTGCCACTATCTAGCAGTATTATCAAAAGGTTGACGGGTCATTGACCAAAGAATTAATTATATTGCCATCCTAAAACTTCTCACCGCCTTGGCCCTGTCGCGGGGTTGAGCGGCAATATAATTTCAACCCCGCCATGTGAATTTTCTTTGACGAAACGGAATAAAACGATGGAACAACTAACTACAGCCCCAGTTCTATCAACACCGGAAGTACATATATTCGAAGATCCCACACCCTCCGATAAGAAAGATGATCTCCCAAAACTTTCCGACGAAGAGTTGTTCGATGTTTACGAGATTTCGCGGACGGTGAAGGAGATACGAGAAGGAGGATGGAAGAAAATAGCTTTACAATTTTCAGATGGCATGTTATCAGATGCACCGAGAGTTTTCCAAGAACTGGAAAATAGGCTTCGAAAATTACCTATTGAACCAGCTTCGAACGAAATTCCAAAGACAGAAAGCTCAGGCCTAGAAACAGATTTCAGCAATCCATCAGCGAACATTCCGAACCCGAATATACGACATAAATTATACATATTGGCAGATACGTCTTATGGTTCTTGCTGTGTTGATGAAATCGCAGCCGAACATGTCGATGCGCAGGTAGTCATTCATTATGGCCGCGCCTGTCTATCCCCCACTGCACGATTACCTGTGATCTATGTATTCACATCTAGGCCTCTAAATCTCGAGTCAGTCGTGCTAGCATTTGAAAATACATACAGGGAAAAGGATGACAAAATTGTCATTATGGCTGATATCACCTACCACTCGCATATTTCATCTCTCGTCAGCCTATTACGAGACGGAGGCTACCAGAATTTACTTGCGCCAGAAATTACACACGATCCCAGTGCGATAATACCGAATCGAAAGTTGGATGAAGGCATAGATATGAAGGAGTATAGTTTATTTCACATTAGTGAGCCACCGTCTGCGTTACTACTTACGTTGTCGGGGAGAGTCAAGGATATGCATATTTACTCTACAGATTCTATGACGGGAAATGAAACGACGAAAACAAACGCGGCACGGGCGCTTATGCGGAGATATGCTTTACTTACATCACTATCTTCCTGTGCCGTGTTTGGTATCCTGATTAATACCTTAAGTGTAACAAATTATCTACCTACGGTCAATTCCCTGGCTTCACTTATACGATCGAAGGGAAAGAAATCATATACATTTGTGGTAGGGAAGGTTAATGCTGCGAAGTTGGCAAATTTCAGCGAAATAGAAGGATGGGTAGTGGTCGGATGTTGGGAAAGCAGTTTGATAGAGGGGGAAGCATTGTTCAAACCGGTTATTACACCTTTCGAGCTGGAGTTGGCTTTACAGAGTGATGATGAACGAGTCTGGGGTGGGGATTGGGTAGCAGATTTCAATGCCTTGAATCTGAAAGCTTCTACTGCTGCTGTTTCATCCGCGGAGCCTACGGAATCAAATGCTTTCGAGGAATCAGAGAATGTAGATGCTTCCGGGGATGCAGAAGATTCCGAGGAAGAATCAATGCCTCCGGAGTTTGATCTTCGAACTGGCCGATATGTTTCACACTCTCGACCTATGCGCTCCTCTCAATCGACATCATCGGAACCTAAGAAAAGCCTGGAGAATGGCTTGCAACCCAATGCATCCAATAAACTGGTCAAGCGAGCCAAAATGGAGTTAGCGACAGTGAATGGAGAGGTTAGCCCAGGCGCAGAATATTTGAGGGAGAAGAGGACCTGGACTGGTCTGGGTAGTGATTTTGATAAAGAGGCGATTGAAGAGGGTAGAGAAAGAGAAGTAGCTGCGGTTGTGGAAGAAGGGAGAAGTGGTGTGGCAAGAGGATATACGGTTGGTGAGGATGCCTCGCGGAGTTGAACAAATGCTTTCTAGGTGGAATTGTGAAATGTCCAGATGGCCAAAGTGAGCGAGGGCCTTGTTTACTATCAAAGTCCCTTCTGCTCTTTTTCGAGCATGAAGCGTGCGAGACGGCGAGGCTACCTGTTGTCCCAAAGTCGACAAAGTTTTGGCCAAAAGTGATCTAGCCATACGAGCCTGACCGACATCATGTACTAAACACGCAAACGAATGTTTCGGGTAGATTGAAACAACAGAAGAAACTCGGCGTGAGATGGAGGTCCAATCGACAACGGGTTATGGGGCCACCAGACGATTCACCGCTTATCGATGTAGGCATTATCAACTCGGCGAACAGGTACAACGAACAGGTACAGATTGTTTTCCCCACAACCATATCGGTCGGTACCTGAGAAAGCCTCGAATGATTCTTGTGCTGGCAAACAATAATGGACCTTGACAGTAGTGGTGGGCTCTATATCCAACGGATCCTAGATCAAAATCCAAATTCCCGAGCATCCGACATAGTAACTTTGGTGCCTTTTCTAAGACGATAAAAATATATCCTTTTCTAAGACGATAAAAATATATCTTCCCGTTTTTGTTTTCGAGTTCATTCGATATTAAAAAAATGTTGTCACCCTGCATTTACGTAGTCAAGGATCTTTGGGCGCCAATAACCTGCCACTTCTTTTATTTGGTACACTAAAACCCAACCCCGCCAATTTTCATAGCACAAACATAGATTTTTTTGGTGCAAGTACCCAACATGAAAATGGGATGAGGCTTGTTAGACGTTCAATTTAATTAGTTGTATGAAGATTCTCTAGAAGGATGACAGTCCTATCTCACTACCTAGACACTGGGGCTAACCAGCCATCTTACTTTTTAGTGTTTTGATTCTCTTGAATTTGTGTATTGTAGACTGAACGTACATGGCACCTAGTACTACATGCAATATTGAAGTGTATATCGTGTGGGAGAGGAGAGGAGACGAGACGAGACGAGACGAGACGAGACCAGATATCTTATAACCCCTCAGCAAGATTTGACTATCGATAAGAATTATCCTCATCGACGTCATAAACTCATAAACTCATAAACTCATAAACTCATAAACTCTATACATCAGGCTCAATTCCTGCTAGAAAGACTTACTTTTCTAGAGCCTTGCCAATTTGTCAATTTCTCGTCAGCAATTCGCCCAGCACATCTCTTTTCTTCTCCACGTTCTTGTTTTCAATCCTTGCAACTTGACTTCACTCGAAGGAAGCATCAAAAATTCCAGACCCACCAACCATTTTCATCACTATCCCCGAAAGTCTATTAACAAGGCTGCATCATATTAGTGAAAAGCAGGGCAATCCATTCTACGCCGTAACCTCAGCGTCTGTGGATTTGGATTCATAAGAGGACATAGCTTCCCTCCTCTTCAGAACGAAGTTGTATTTTGTTCTTCTCTCACTTCTCTCACTTATCTTACTTGGATTCACTTGGATTTGGCTGTGAGGTTTCGGTGCTGTTGCGAATAAGCAACTAACTACCCAAGTGGAAAGCGAATTGATTCGCACGTTTGGGACTCGGCATCATCATCATCATCATCACCGTCATCATCGTCACCATCATCTCGTTGTCGCATAAGCCTTTTAGTTTCAGCTTGTCTCTCCAACAACTTCATCGTCACATATTAATATAATTAGCAAAGTTCCTATCTTTGCTTTCACATCAATAATATAATCAAACACACTACCCCGAATTTCTGAAAGGATAAAAGCCTTCTCAAAATGCTTTTCGGAATGTTCTTCGCCTTTTGGCGATTCTGCGAGATCATAACTTTGGTATGCGAATCTCACATTTCCAGCCTTTCCTCACACTCTACTAATACTTTCCGTTTCCATAGATCCCAACTTTAGGAATGCTCGCATTCTTCGTCAATATCTACGCATCTAATAATGCCCTCACGCCAAATTACATCCTAGTACTCTTCATCGTCTCAGTGCTCGCCTGCGCCTGGGCCATCGCAACGCTCTTCACCTATCACCGAGCGCGCTCCAACGCCCTCTTCGTCGCATTCATCGATCTCTGTTTCGTCGGCGCCTTTATTGCAGGCGTCTACGAGCTCCGCTTCATCACAGATTACAACTGTTCATCCCTGACCACCACTCCCGGCTACTACATCAATTTTGGTGCATTCGGCAACGCAAATGTCAATGGCGTGAGCGTCAAAGTCGATAAAACCTGCGCCATGCTTAAAGCTTGTTTTGCGTTCGGTATCATGAATTGCATCTTCTTTTTCATTACGAGCTTGTTGGCTTGTATGGTGGGTAAGGGTCATGAGAGACAGGGTCGTAGAGATGAGAAGGTTTATGTGCGTGAGACTCATGTTACTAGACATGGACATCGCAGAAGTGGGAGTCATAGGAGTAAGAGGAGTTCGCATCGTAGAACTTATGTTTGAGTTGAGATGTGATGTGGATGTTAAAGTGGGAATGGAAGGAATTAAGAGGGTTAGGGATGGGAATAGGGTGGAAAGAGTGTTTTTTTGGGGGAGTTGGGGTTGATACTTTTTTATATCTTTTTTACATGGGTTTATCTATCTATCAATGATTTGGATGAATGAATGGCTGGAGGAATGAGGAATGAGGAATGAGAAATAGAACGAGAAATGAAATGAGAAATGTATGAGGAAAGGGAGGGAAAGGGAAGGAATGGAATGGAATGGTTTGGTTTGGGATCAATGAGAAATGCTATGATACGATATGAAACGATATATCATCATCATGAGATATTTTCTAATGAGGACGGGAATATGAAAGAATAGGATACAAAAGATAGGATAAGAAAGGAAATGAAATGATAAAGTAAATAAATAAAGAAATAAATATAACAATAAATCAATCTCTATAAACAACTCTCTTGTTTGTATTATATCAAATTATATTATATTCATTTAATTATTTATTATAAAAACTCATTTATTCATTTATTTATATTCAAATTATTCAAATTATTTATATATATATATTATATCTCGAAACTATAAAGAATTTATATATATATTTATTTATTAATCTATCATTATTATATCATTTATATAAAAATTTTTTTTTTTCATTTCATTTATTAATCAACTTAATTAATAATTATTAATTTTCCAGTATATATATATTATAAAAAACCTTAAATTTAATTTAACTTAAATTATTTATATAGATGTAAAATATATTATCTATCTATACTTGAATATATATATTTATATCATCATCATCTATTCATCCATCCATCTACCCATTCATCCATCTATCCATCCATATATACACTCATACATCTATACCAAAAAGAAGACACCCGCTCATTATCTCATTATCCCTCTCATTCTATAAACCCCAAGTGCAAATCCGAATTTCCCAGCCCGAATTTCAAAGTTCTTTCCTCGCTATTATCTCTCTACAGTCTTTTATTTGAGAAGGATATGAAAATATATATATATATATACATATTTATTGATAAATATATATAATTCAAGAAATATTTAAAGAAAATTAAATTAAAAAAAGAAAGAAAGAAAACAAAAAATAAACAAATATTTAAAAAGAGAAAATTATAAAATCAATCTATTAATCAATTGATCAACTGTTGATTGATTGTATTTCCATTGAACAATCTCCCAAATTAAATGTAGATTATAAGATTACCCGACCGAATCAAAGGATATTTAATCATCATCTCATCTGAAGAAAAAAAGATACTGTATTGAGACTGACAACCAGAAATTGAAATTTTGCAGTCGCCGGTGAATATCTGAGCATCAGGCTACAAGGAATCACATTTAACCTATCGTTTTAACTTCCGGGGAAAGAAAAATATTAAAAAATTCTATATCGAGCTCTTGTCAAGACAGGAGTAAAAGAGTTTCCCTCCCAAAGCAGACTAAGAGTTCGACGAATGCTACCAATATATTCAATACCCATTCCACACACATCCTCTACATCTGTTCGTCAAAATCATGAATGTGCACGACCTGCTGTGCATGAAGATGAGCATTTCTCCGTTTTTGATGGGCCTTATAATTTTCATCCACAGGACTACCATTATTATATTTTCTTATACTCGGCCAGATAGGTTCTTCAAGCTTTTCGATACCAGGTCCATATCCAGAATTGCTACGTTGCGATAGGGTATTTGGGTGGGGAGAAGAAAGTGTTGGAGAAGAGATGGGTGTAGAAGAAGCACTCTTGTGAATTCTTAAACCCATTATTTCTCCCTCGTGGCCTGGAGGAGGAACTGGATATGACGATGCTTGGTAAGGAGATGGTCGGGCACGTGTTGATTGGTATGTCGACACGTTGCGGTTCGGATTTTGAGGGTTTCGAGGTGTGGATCCATAGGAGGAAGGAGTTTGAGGAAGAGGTGATTTTGGAGGTTGAGATGGTGGCTGGTTGGTCGTCGAATAGTACTTGTCGGATGACTTTGAAGAATAATGTGGTTCGATAGGTTGTCTTGGAGGAGCCGGGAAAAGTGATACAGTCTTCAGGGATGGTGATTGTGTGGACTTTGAGGATAGATCTCTCGTACGAATACTTAAGTGTTCCGCTGGCTGCATAGTCACAAAGCTTGATTCGCTATCAGCGATAGATGCAGCAGTTGAGGTACGAGCGGTATCCAAATCATTAGCAGTATCTGCCTCGGAAAATGTGGTAGTTCTAGCCATGCTCTCGTAGCTAGAAATTGAGGACATGGACCTGCCAGTAGCATTTGGTTCAAGTCTCTCTGGTACAGAATGGGGTCCATTATTTTCAACGTGGACTTGTTTTTGCCATGTCGAGGATATGGTCCAGCAATGACTTCGATCATATTCAGCCTGTTGTCTAAGTGATTGATCTTCAATCCATACAGGTTGTTGCTCCACTTTACCGGACAAAAAGTATTCGACCCCGTCTGTATGGACTAATCCCGGCTTGTCCACCACTAGTGTTGATAGAGTTTGTAAGATAAAATAAACAAGAACCCAGCGAGCTCGACGTGCGCTTCTTGGATCACATTCACCGATTCTATCTGTCTTCTCCCATTGCATATACGCCTCTACCATATCGTTACCCTCGTATTCGTCTCCAAGGAGAAATATGTTTGTTGCCTCCGTATACGCTAGAGCGGACTTTCTAGCTTCTAATTGTGTGGTTATTCCTTGGGTAGGAGGGCAGGATTGTGGTAATCGAGGGTAAGGATGAGGAATGGACGGAAAGTTGTGATGACTGTCAAATCGTTCAATTAAACTGGTAAATTCGCAGTCATGGCTGTCAGGACGGAATTCGGGGGAACCAGGACGAACAATATTGGATCTACGACTGTTAATCTCCATCAAACTATTCCAAATAACCTGTCGATCAACTAAATAGTCATAGAGCGCATAGAAGTCCGCTGCTAAAGTTCTGACGACAAGTCTGGTAAGCCAGCCATCAACGTTTTTAGAAGCCGGTGGCATAGGAGGCCATGTCCCAAACATATCCGAGTAATGGTCGCGGAAGAACTCTTGGAGCCTAACGAAAGCATCACGAGAGCTTATGCTATGATGATTTGAAGCCTCTGGCCAATAGGACCCATAGTCGAAACCTGCCAACAATTCCTCGCAATATGCAACTTGGGTTGAGGTTTCCACACTAGCTTTTTCGAGCATCAACTTTGTAGCTGGTGAAACATTCTTCCAGCTGGGTAGCAAAGCGACATCATTGTACATACCAGCACAGTGCACAAAGGCTTCATGCCATCCTTGTTGCCAGTGAATTTTCTTGTGTTCACTCCAAATCAACATGCTGCAAGCCGACTCCGGATCATCACGAAGATCATGCCAGCCCATTGCTTCGGTGTAGTTAACAGGAATGTAGGTCAGGCTTTGGTGCCGAGGCATAATGTCCTGAAAACGCTCATGTAAATCGGTGATTGCTTGGTGTAAGGTGTATCCAACGATTCCTTTACCAGAGCATACCGCAAAGACATTTCTCCAAGACAGCTTGTATCTAAGCAGCTCCTGCCCCGAAATATTTCCAGCAGTTGGTAATGTAAATCTGTACGAGATTTGGGAAGCGTCGAAACTTTTGCTAGATTCGGAGCCGGGAGGAGTCGGATGTCTAGGTCGCTGTGAACCATGTCGGTAAGAATCAGCGATGCTCATGGCATCCATGTCATCAGTAAGGCCATCGCGTAGTAACGCGTCTACTATAGGTGACCCAATCGATTCAATCATATGAGATCCCAGTCTGAAAGCAGGTTGCGATATCTCAGTGTCTCCTGCCTCTTTAGCATAGAACACTAGAACATCTCCCTTTGGGTCCCAGAGGTCTGGATCTCTGACATCAACCTTGTCCCACAATGCAATGGGCTGACCTTTTCGTCTCCATAACTTCATCTTTGCTGGCAATGGTAGGGCTTCTCCTCTAGAAGTTCCTAGTCGTTTTTGGGGTGGCTGGTTTGCATAGCGTGGGGTCTGTCCCGGGGCGCTAGTAGGTTGTTGATTTGCATACTGCATTTCTTCTGCTGGTAATTCATGCTTGTCTTCACCAATTGGTGTCGCAGGCGGGGTTTCGTGCAGTTCTTCCTTGCCTTTCTTCTTCTTGAAGACATTTGCAAAATTATGACGGAAATTCTCACTGCTCTTCTCCATCTTCGAACGAAAAGCTGATTTTTCGATTCCAGATGTTTCGATCACCGGCATTTCAGGTCTTCTGATTCGAGCGTACCCGGGATTGTATTCAGCCTCATAGTGACCACTGTGGATCGATCTAGATGAACCCTCATCTGATCTGATAAAATCAGGATGATCTGCGAAATTCGATGGGACACCATTTTCTACTCGAGGAAATTCTGAAATTGATGGATCTGACTTGACCGAAGGCGTGTGCTCTTTGCCTTTGAGTGTGTCATCTTTATTCAGGTAGTCGTATCCTGCTTTGTTGTTTTTATCGACCTTCACCTTTCTGACATAGGCTGAACGTCCAGACATGATGACGGTTGATATACGAAGAGAGTGGTAATATTTTCTAGCAAAATAGTAATTTGAGAGTTTTTATGGTGTTGAGGGCTCGAAGTCTAATTAAAATAAGACGAGGTATTGGGGCGTGAATCATACCGTAAGTGGCGAAAGAAGAGACAACGAAGCGTGCCTAGCTCTGGGATAATGGCATGTGTGAATAAGAGACTGTCTGGTTAAGAAGTGAAGCCAAGTTGATATCCACAAGGCGCCAATGGAGCAATGTCTCCTCGATCTATGGTTTTTGAATATAAAAAAAAATATATATAAAAAAAGGGTAAAGGATTTGCGTAAGACTGCTGGTGGAAGAAGTGGTGAATATCAAAAGCAAAGTTTATTGTCTTTAGATTAATTGATTTCTCGTAGATGTTGTGGTGTATCGGCAAATGGTTGTTCCGAAATTAGAGGTTATTCGGATGAGAATCAGACTTCACTGTCGCTCCCCTTCAGTCCAAACAAAGCTGACCAAAATAAATTCACCACCAGTACTGCCAAGAAACTTCCCAACAGTCAGCTGCAACGCCAAGATATATAAAATATATTATTAGAGAATGGGGAACAAGAATGGGGGATCTGAATAGGATAGAACGACTTTTCGGCACTCTAGAAAGATGCTGTAATGCTCAAAGAACAGTGAAGGGTGATGATACAGAACAAAGCGAAACGAATGAAGTCAGTGTTGAAACTTTTCCACTGAATAATGGTGGAGAAGAGAGAAAGTTTTACTGGGGAAGAGCACAAAGATTCACATGTCGACTGATCTTATTTTATTGCTTTTTTCCTCAAGGCTGACAATGTACCACCAAAGTAGGCTTCACTTCCCCATGTAAAGCGTGAGATTGAAGGATATGCTCTTGCATACCTAGATACTGAACGGGGGCAGGGTAAATTTGTTGTCATTGTGTGGTTGTAGACTCGTAGTTCAGCGAGTAGTACAAAGAACTACTCCGTAAGCTTCAGAACTGGATCCTCTTGTGGATTCTCCTGATATTAAAAGCATGGCATAGCACCCCTCCCTTCTTCCGTCGTCTCCTTGGGTATCCTTTACCTTGCAGATGGGATGCGATAGGTTGGATTGATTCAGAACGGAAGGCGGGATACTACACAGCCTAGGAAGGTAACGGTAGACTCGAGCCTAGAAAAAATAGACCTTGTTAGCCTTTATTGATTTTGTATCCAATCACTGATTCATATCTGAATTCAAGGATACATTGAAGCACACACATACCGAGATTGAAGGACGGACGGACGGGTTCGCCAGACTAGTTCCAGTGAGGGAGTCAAGAATGAGGTGTGAAGGGATGAGACCCAAGAGATACCTACGGAGTACTGGGTATGCATAATAAATGAAAGCATAGGCGACAGGTGCCGGTGGTACAGCTCACTCAGCCTATGTAATCACGAACTTCACGACCTCGCGACCTTCCTACCCACTAGTTTTGCAAACAAAGTTTCTCTTTACTGCCACTTTTGAGCTTTTCATGGTTCATGTACAGGATAGAGAACCATCAAAATAGACGAATGTATTTGCTTTTGTTTTACTCAACGCGATTGCAAATTGAATCGTGCTCCCAAGCGATGTCTCGTAAACCAATTATCTGCTATCTATAATAATTTAGGAAGGGTTCGTCTCGATATACCCAGCTTGTTTGTTCCACTAAGTATGTCCTGGACTCATCCTGATGGCCACTATGTCCACTAGGGAGATAGGCCATGTGCGCTATACTCGGCCCCACTGTCCGCCCTGAATTAGTTCATGGATTTAGAACCTTTTAGGGCTTCTATTGCATGATTCTTCGAAAAGAGGTTTGGTGAACTCCGTATATCTTTTGATGGTTCACCTTATGATTCTTATCTTTTTGTTGTTCGAAAAGACAACTGTAACAATTGACATGCAAAGGACTTGGAAATGGTTTCCTGGCTTTATGGCTGCTTGGCCTCATGGTTTCTGGTTTCATGGCCTCACAGTTTCATGGCTTTACAATTTCATGGCTTTATCATTACCTATTAACGGTTGGCACTCCAATGAGATGCCGGAGAGGCAAATATACTGGCATTTCGGCTACTCGTCCGTAACCGAATAACCTTGAAGAGCACCCTTTTCTGTCACACACCTTATTAGGTAGCTAGGTATATCTCTAGATCCTCTACAACATGTCAACATGTCAACATCTAGCTTTAACCAACCAAATGTCCTTATCACATCAACGATAAGAGAGAGGAGTTAAAACTTCCAACAGTTGCCAATGAAAGTTAATTAATCACTTCAATATGTTTCAACCTCTCTCTTTCATCTATTTAGCATTTGATACCTCGAATCTACTGCGTAGATAGATATACTGCACTTGGCTTCATGTTGCACCGCTAAACATCATTTACCTTCGGACAACACTCATCAGAGTATTCATATCCGACGGCTTATCCAATTCTAATCAATATGCGAGGCGTTTCGGTATCTAGAACCGGAATGAGGAGAACTACCATGGATGTATAGGGACAAGCCCCTTCAAAATTTGAATTTTCCGAAGCAAACATCGACCAGATCCTCGGAGCCTCAATCCCTTTTCTATCATCATCGTACGAGGATGGACTTGTAACATTTGTACGGGGCACGTCAGCAGTATCCACGAGTGCACGACCGATACTTTCGTCATCTGTCAGACATTGGCAATCACGCTCCTACCTTTTTTATTTTTCAGCTCATTCCAAAATCAATTAATCGCCTTGGAGGACCAAAAGGAACCATTGTATCTCAAAGCTCAATTCAACGTTATACAGCATATTTTTCCAAATCCATCCAATCCTTCAGCTTATGTGCAAGCCATTCTATCCGAAAATAATCATCTTTTTCCTGCCGCTATTACGCGCAGATTAACTCATTATTGCCTAGCAGGATTAGCCCACCAATGTTAGGTGTGAGCCATGGGGTTTCCCCTTATGGCAGTAGGCCCAGTCTTCCCGTGATAAGCCAACCCCCGCAGCTTACAACGTTTACTTTCTCTGAAAGTGGAAGGTAGTTATTATTTCTCTCCCGAGTTGCGAAGTAGCGAAGTAGCGAAGGAGAGAAGGAGAGAAGGAGAATACATTTCTATCTCTTGGCAACAATTGAACTGAGATTCCTTCTTTATTCCGGAGACCGAAAGCTTTTTCTGAAGCAGGCCCACAAGGCTTGATTGATCACTGAGGATCTCACTTGAGATTTCATCATGAACAGGATCACCTTGTACGCAGATCGTTCACAACCTTTCCTGGGGACGAGCCACTGTCCCACATTTCCGTGGGTGGTCCGAATGCATGATTTCCTCGTGGAAGGGGGGGTCTAGATCACAAAATTCTACATGTGAATAATAGCATGCCTTGCAAGTTGCAAGATCTTGATTGAAATTCTTCACAATGCCGGTAGTCCCCGAAGGATCTAAACTCACATTTCGATTTCACACGCTTGAGGGTACATGTTAAAGCAATCTTTAAATTTCAATTCAATTTCTGTTCGATTATTGAAAAGTTGGAGTTTCCCAGTCATATAGTATTTCAGTCGGGGCGTAGAACAGATATATCCCGTAAGTCTATGATATTACTCCCCGAAAAGTCAAAGACTTCAATCCTCACGTGAAAGCACATTGATGTGACGTGTGTACTGCTACACAGTACATGTATAGGAAACATACATACATTAAGATTCATTCTGTCATATGCTGTGGTTTGTACGTTGCAGAAGCGCTGCAGCAATTAGAGGTTCTAGTTGTATCTATTTCATCTATGACCACAAGATCTCAATAAAAAATTCCGAATCTTGTTAATCATGACTGTAGTAAAGTCTGACGAGGTGCAAGGATTTTGGTTTCACTCATAATCTGGGATGTATCCCAATTAAGGGAGATCAAGAAAACAAGCTTTATTATCTGTGTTATGTGCTTATGAGAAAGCTCCCGAAAAGGACAATGTGTAAGAGTATCGAGGCGACCTAATGGATGAGTACATCTTATATTGTCATACGATACTGATATAAGCCTTAACAATCAAGGCCGGCCGATCCCTCCTCTATGAAAGACGTGTTATAGTAAAAGATGGTAGGCTTGGAAGTGGTCTTGCGATTGTTTTCCTCCTTTCTTTCCACAGGAATGTCTTTCCATTCTCACGACTATCAAAAATAGGTGAATTCTTCGCTTTCGATGGAATTTGGTTGTTGAAGCTTTCATCTTTTCATACCAAAATATCAAAGCAAAGTCAACTTAAATGCAGGAAGGATAGTAAGACGAAATACAAAAACTTGCCCCCTTCACCCCTCAACCCAGTGAAGAGCAGGAAGAAAAATCCACTGGAAGGGAGAAGCAGCGAGGCGCGGTTAAAAAACCCTATATGACACTCCTCGCAGCTGCACCATGGCGCCCTGTGCTCTGTTTATCTATCCGGCTTGTCAATAGACGAAAAAACTATAGTCTTAGACCTTTTATAGACATCCATCCTTCGATATGGGCACTAAGAAATGAAACATACTATTTGTATGTGGCAGAAAATTGCAAACCTCCACCGCCACAATCCCCAGCTATCAAGGCTAACATACTTACTACACCCTTATATAAATACTAAATAAAAAATGAAATAAACAGTTCATTTATAAACCCAGAAACCCCAAATCTTCACATTATCCATATTCATATTTACATCCACATAACCCAAACTTCAAATATAATTTATAATATTAACCTTACAAGATCTTTGTATTTAATTGAAAAGAGTAGAGATAAGTAAAAATCAGAAGCTGCATCTGCATCTTGTCATTTATTTGTATAACCAGATCGTACGGAGTTCTGATGATGTGTTAATTGTATCATTCATAATAGTAATAGTGAGGATGTATTAAGGGTGTATTGATTGATTGATAGATAAGCTGGGTGGGACACCATTTCCACCTTCAAAGACATGCCATTTATTTGCTTCATAGTTTGTTGTGGGCGATAGGTGTGACTTAGACGAGACTTACTATCTATGCGAGATACTTTGTGTCACTTGTTTCGTATTGATTTGAGGTTGAGGTTAGTATTTTCATGATATTAAATGGAAATAGATATTGATTGCAAAAAGATTCATATGTCCTCTCCTATGAAAAACTACTTGTGGATATCGAATCATGACTTAAACCACTCTCTAGTAAATATCCGCCCAAGAAGGAAGTAAAAGAAAACTCCAGTGCAATCTAAAGAGACCTAAAATACCCTCTCCTTCCCGTTACCAGAAACATTATCTCTATCTCACTCCCTCTGCTTAACAACCAACTCTCTAACCTCAGGAAGCCCCTCCCACCCTCTCCCGTTTCCGCCAAATCTAACACTCTTCTCCATGACCTCCCTCCACCTAAGTCCTGGAGCTAGTTTTCCCGTAATGGTATTCGGTCTCCTTACATCCGCATTAGTCGGGACCGGCAATGCTCGTCCCAATAATGCTTCCATTGCTTGCATTGCGAATCCTACTGCTTTCTTCGCATTTGAAGGAATGCCAGTTTTATCGAAGCTGCCAAAACGGGCTTTTGGGAATTCAGCTTGGAGATCTGATATCAAGGATGTGTGTGACATGCCGCGGCCGTCGACTGTTATATCAGCTGCGTTAACAGCGTCACGACCGGGGCCATAGAGGAGAATCTGTTGAGCTATGCTGGCGGAAGTAAAACGCGTGATGGTAGATATTGTATCTGCAGGTGAACAACCTCGATGTGCACACATGCCAATAATCTTATACGCCATAGCGTCACCATAAATTTCCCTGGCCGTGGTTTTTGGCGGTCGTGTGCTTAGATATTCATCGTTGGTAATGAGTTGTTCGACTATTTCATGGCAGATTTCACCGTGTAGGAAAGAGGGCTGGTCCGTTTGTGGATCGAGGCCAAAGTGACGATAGGCTGCATCAATCATACAAGTGCCTGGACCTGTGTCCCAATCGTACATTGCATCTATCCCACCCTTTTTGTCGGATGGGATGAAACATATAGTTGTAATGCCTCCAATTGTTATGCAAATTTGTAATCTCGTAGGATGATGCAGTAATAAACCTACCAAATATGCAAATAAAGGAGCACCTTGTCTGCCCACTGCTTGTTCTGCCGTCCGATAGTCAGAAACGGTTGTTACACCTGTTTTTGCAGATATCACAGCTCCTTCTCCTAAACACATGTTCGATCGATGTTGCCCTCGAGGCGGAGCACCGGTTAAGGTTACGAGCTGCCCTCCGGATCCAATCAAGTCGATATCATCAACTGAAATGCCATGCCTTTGTGCAAATATGTGTATAGCGTTCGCGAAAGTATGACCCATCTCTGCGTCCATTTGCGATAGCATACTTGGTGGAGCGGCGTCTTCTTGTAACATCGACAGGATCTCGGATCGAATCTTCGAAGGCATAACCACTGAATCATACTGGGAGAAATCAGTTTGTCTTCTGCAAAGGCAGTCTTATTGTTGTATACCTGTATAAGATCCAAATGTAATGGTGACTCCGGTGACTCCTGAGTATAACGACAGAGTGCGAAGTCAATATCATCCATCGCAGTGCCGGAAGTGATTCCCAGTATCAATAGGTTCAGACCGGGGGAATTTTGGGCGCCATCATCTGAAGATGAGGAGCTTGAACTTTGATAACCTCCATCTACTTTTGATTGTAAAGCTTCGAGATATTTATGACCAACTTTCGTTCTAACGCGACCTTTTGGGGCCGGTATCAAACCATTCATAACCATGACCATGCCCACGACATCAGATCGGAATGCTGATTTGGAAACGGCCGCAATCGGCAGTCGAGAAGGGATTGAAATATACGGGAATGTACAAAGTCTGCGAAATATTTTGTTTATGTGGAATGCTCATCCAAAACACACAGAGTATTTTGAAAGTACAAAAGTACAAGGGAAAGACATGGTTTCTGTAGTCGTGTGAGCTGAGACTGCTTTGATCTAGAAATGGTGTTAGTGAAACTTGGAGGTTAGTGGCATTGCCATGTCAAATAGCAAAGATGGTGCAAGAATGACGTGGGAAAAGATCTTCCTAGGAAGAAAGTGATCCATGGTCAGAATTCAGAATGGTTGGGTGAGGGGAGAGGGGGAGAAATGATCCTCAAATGGAAATACTATGCGCATGGGGTGGGGGAAAATATAAAGTTTCTTGCCTGAGGCATCTGTAACATGCTTAACATTTTCTATTCCACGGGTAGGTATGATGGGAGGTGGAATTTGTTTATACAGAGTAAGTATTGGAAATCATGGCATCTTGCTCTTCCAGAAACTGGCCACCAATTGCACCAAAATGTGACAAAACGTGACAAAACGTGACAAAACGACAAATGTACCATCATATTGCTCTTATCTGCATAATGCAAGCTCATATTGGTACTCCTGAGACCAATGGAGGTATAAGGTCGACTAGATCTTCCATTAGGGCATTATCTGGTTCCTCACTATCGGTATATCCAATGGCATTTCATGACAATGTCCCAATATATTGGGAACGAGTGCTTTTCATCGGCCGATGCATATATTTCCGATGTATGTAGTACTTAGTTGATGGAGCATTCACTGGGTTTGGAAGACACTGGGTGGCTATCCGAATTCGGATAAACAATCCTTTTTCCCGAACCTTATCCTTCTATGCATGGGTGGGAGGACTTTTGGAGAGGATCAGATCATCAGAAGCACAGCTTTTAGACGGCTTCTTTCGTGATCTGAGAGGTAACAGCTCCTGATCTGAAGGTGGAGTTATGTTGGTGCGATGGATGGATTGAAGGCCTTTCCCTAACTCGTCCTTCTCGCGGCATATCTCTGGAAATACATAGAATATAGTACCGTCCTTTCCATTGGAGATTCAAACCCATTGCTTCATGCTCTACCAAACCTGTGATGTAGATGTAGATGTAGAGTAGCTGCATATTGTCATCGGAAGCTGCGCAAGTGAGGAAATGCGGAGAAGTTAATTTGGCCTAGCTCGAAATATTCTGCCGCCCCGCACAAGAACAGAAGCATGACAGAACGGATTCAATCCCTTAAAAGTCCAACCCTCCTAAATTATTCATCATGGGACTTTTCGGCTCTTCTCAAGCTTCTCTACCTCCTCCAAAGATATCTGCAGATGGTGCGCCCATAGCACCAGATCGGAGCCAAAGGTCAAAATGCTGGGAAGCAAGAGATGCATACTTCAAGTGTTTGGACAAAAATGAAATTATTGACAGCATCACGGAGAAGAAGAAAGCAGAGAAATCTTGCGGTACAGAGGCAAGAGGGTTTGAAAAGAATTGTGCAACTAGTTGGGTAGGTTGCATCCACAGTCGAAGATCTTTCAAGTGTTATTTTTACGAATCGGTGCCGAATGAATTAGTTTTGATGACTGACGTGCCACCGCATCAGGTTGAGTACTTTAAGAAACGAAGAGTTATGGAATACCAGCGCGATCAAACATTGCGAAAACTCAAGGCTGAAGGAGCACAAGAGATGCCGGGCGTTGTAGGAGCTGGAGTACCTGGACAGAGGCCATAATGATGTTTGGCAGAATGAAATGTACAACAGCATCTGGGAATAAACCATCCTATGGTCTACGGCGTTTTTCTGAAGTTATCACAGAGTTTCTTACGACCAAACCCCACTACAGCCATGAATTGAAGAATCTCCTTTGAGCTCAGGATACAAAACATTATTTCTGGTTACAAAATCTGCTCACACTCAAGTACGGAGTCTTTGCTAAATTGACATATACGGGAATATGATGCGCGCCTCTAGCTCCGGGGCTCTTTTATCTACGGTTCCTGAACAAGAGTTGCCATAATACGCAAGCAGAAGCCAAATATTTTGTCTGAAAGGATTCCGCATCCTCGCCCATATTCCTAACTACCTTCTGAATTACTGCGGCAAAATGCACAGAATTCCTTTCGAAAAGGCCAAGTTGTTTAAGCAGCTTCAATCATTGAAACTATATTTCAGCATTCATCCCACCCTGGACTTTTTCCTTGCAGCCTTTATACGGATATATTAAAATTATAGTCAACTTTTTGCTCCCAAGTGGTTCATGAAAATAGGTCAACATATATTACGCACATTGTTGGTCTTCCATTGTGGTACTCAAAAGAGTCAAAAAAGTCTTCTCTCTCGCTGCACTACTTGCATACATTGCCCAATTAACTGTGTCCGATGCAACTTCCAGGTTTTGGCTTGTATATACACAGCAATCATTCTTCTCGTTCCTGCGTTTTGCACATTCCGCTGAAGAGGCATCTTCATGTTCATTAACTTTACTCCTGGCAATCTGTTGAAAATATAGGTAGGTGATACTGGATGAGTGAGTTTCTTTGCATCCGTGGGGGCGCGGACGTTTCTTGGAAACTATATCGTCGACTACTATGATTCTTTTATCAGGATTATACCCACCTCCAATTTACAAATGAACTATCTGCGCTCGGCTTTTATCTGCGGGGTACCAATCTTTTTTTTTTGAGTTTTGTCAGCCATGTCTTGAATATTTAGGCGGGCATGAAAATTGGAGTGTCAACGTTTGAACGTGTTTTAGAGGACCTACGCATTTCAGTGACTGGTGTATCACTTTTGATGTAAAGTTCTGGTTTAGGAAATGCTCCTTCAAGGTCCTGTCATCGCCTTTATTGGAAACCGCATGAGTATAAATATAGGAGGGTCATGTTTGAGCAAATGACGAAACTTACATGAAAGGGGAAAGAGAATGAGTACTGCAAGCGTAGATGGTTAGGCGATTTCATGAAGTATGAACAGGATCCCTCTAACCTCTGCTCCGGGTGTTGTTCCCCGCTTCGGTAGCGCCTTGGGTTGTTTTACTAAGGTCTGGCTTCAATTGTTCGGAATAAAATCCTGTCTGACACTCCAGCCATTTAGTAAATTGCTCTGCATCAAACCTATCTATTTTCTCACGTCCCACACTCGTAGGTACTCCAGAATATTTGGCTGCCCGGACTTCACTGCTGCAAGTAATAGTACTGGAGAAGAGTTATAACCAATAGCATTGCTGCTTTCGCTAGTCTTGAGAAAGCAACTGGCATGTCTTGAGAAAGCAACGTCTTGAGAAAGCAACCGGCTTTAACCAGGAAACGTAGCGTTACAAATCCCTATTTTCTATCGCATACAACATAAGCGTCTCAAGTGCATGGCTGTCAGAATTCTCAGCATCCTTCAAAAGTAACCGCACGATATGATGCTCGCTCAGAGTGAGGTATTTGATTCAGTCCAGCGTTGTGCTCTTCGTATCTTCTCAATGAAACACCATGATTGACATAAACACGAATGGCATCTTCGTGACCCCTTGTAAATGAAAAGTCTATTGCATCGAGGTTGTTGTAACGCAAATGAGTATTTTCAGCCCATACATATCGATTCGCGCCATTTCTAGCTAACAACTGAGCAATATTGGGCGGCTTTATAAGCTGCACAATGAATTGACGACCAGTTTGACATAGCGTCCCAAGTATTTGATATAGTAAAAGTAATATCTACATCACTGTCAATCATTTATTGTGCTAATTCTTTTCTTATCTAGTATATACTTTGAATAGACATCTTGTTTCGAACTATTGATCATAGACCAGAAGGTCGTGATTTAGAAACGTCCCAGCGAGAGGCAGCTGCTCCACGAAAAAAAAAAATCTTCTCCTTCTCTGGAAGTGGTATGGTAATACGGCATCGAAATGTGGTTTGAAGAAGAGCTTTGCGGCTTCGAGATGGCCATTCTATGTAGCTAGTTGTAGAGGACTTCCAAAAGTGCAGGTAAATTTATGTACCACCGTATTAAACTCAAGTCTGCAAGAAATTCGAGGGGAATTGCGTGTTGCGTTTTTCTATGGCTCGCGGTAAGGTGTAAATGCCTTCCAAAATATTTGTTGCCGAAATCAGCATCAGTATTATGATTTTCAAGTGGATATTGTACATAGTCGCATAGTCGGCAACGATGGCCACAATGAGTGTGATTTGTATGTCCAAACTTGTTCCGTCGTCTCCATTGGTAGCAATCTCACGAATTTAGAACCACCTCCGATCACATGAACTCAGGTTCCGATCATCATTTGAACTCCACTTCAACTGTTCCTCCATGCATGGCCTGGCAAACCTCAATTTCGAAAGCTGTTTATTCGTCCTTTGTCCGAAGGCCTTTACTACGCGTCTTCACAGAGTGGATAGTTTGATAGATAGGAGCGAGAATGCTATGATCGGCTTGTATTATATTTTTAAATAATAGAAAGGGAAGCGATGCCGGGTAACTTGCTGTCAGTGTATCTAAGGCATATTTCAAAGGGCGTCCTGAGTCGGGGCCATGCGAGTTTGTCGTATAATCCACGCATAACACTTTCGCGATTATTATTTTGAAGAGTTCCGCTAGTTCATCGACACGCTGGAAGGCTGATGGGGCATAACATACTGTAAATAACTCGCAAGTTCGTGATCTCGCATAGACCCGTGAACGCTAGTATCTGGTCAAATACAAGTGACATCGTCAAGGAGGTCGATGCGGTATTCTGTGATAGTCTTGATGTTGGGAGTATATATGGTGCTGGTTTTGGCGGTCGCAAGAATCTCCAGCTGAATTGGCAGCGGTACATTGGAAATCAGTCTGGGATGTAGTGATTGACTGAATGGCGGTTGAATCTCACTCGCTTGTCGATGCATTCGAAATATTGGACTGAAATACTGTGGAAGTGTGGTTCAGCCCAGCTTTGCGGTTGGTATACTCGCGCCACACTGTGACAAGTCGCACCATTTTAACCCGAAATCGAAAATATCAAATGAAAAAAACTGTACACCACTTCAAACACTCGGCTGAATTCCACAATGGAACATAGAAGATGTGGCAAAGGTTCCACTTGATGCCCTCAAGTGATTGCGAAAAGCGGCGACGCTCTTTCAAAAAAACTGCAGTATGTGGGCGTTTTCAAGATGGAGGTTGGGCAGGCATGGCTCGAGGAGGTTCTAGAACGGGGATTCGAGTATGGATAGAGCACTTGATTACAAGTGAAGACGGAATCATTCGTCAAATGCCCGAGGCATCACTATAGCCGGTCGATGCAACGAACGTGATCCTCCGTCCAGTAGCCCACGTACTTGATTGAGTATGGTATTTTCTTCCCGAGGAAGCAGGGCGGCAATTTTTGTTAGGAAAGAGACGGTCTTCATGAATCTTGGGCAAGACCAGGTTTCGGCCGATTAGAGGAGGTACAACCAGGCACCCCGTGACCTGTCCATTTTCTCCCACGAATGAATGCCATTAGCTGGACAAAGCTATTCTTGCTGTCATTCTTGTCGATATCGATTCCTCTTGATTCTTGCCATTAGATGTGAAGTGTCCTATCAAGCTTGGATATATTCTTCTCCCCGTTCACCGCCTTTTATTCCGCAATTCTTGAATATCCGTGGCGGCAAAAATGCTTATCTCCGCGAACTTTATCAATTCCGACGAACTTTTCGGCTTTGAAGACGGAGAAGTCTATCTGCTACTTTAGGGCTAAAAATGTCCTTCTCGTCTTGATTCTTTACCTCGTCAATTGTTTCTTTTCTTCTGCAAATAGGAATGAAGTGAGAGAAGGAGGAAATAGAGTGATATATACTCTCTGAAACTACCATTTGCGTCTATTTAGGAGAAACGAGTGTTTCCAGCACGTGCAAAACAACTCATCGAGTTTTTTCGACGGATAATGGGCATTCAACAGGTGTCTTGCCAATTCTTGATGCGGTGTCCATCAAGACTGCTTTCGTTTACAATTCCCCTCACTGTTTTTCTTCGTTATAGGAGCACCAGTGGACTGATTGTGAATGAGCCTCGATGTTCCAAGCGGTACAGTATGAGTGTGTGTATAAGGAAAGAGTTCTCATGATCATAACGAATGAGGTATGAATTATTTAGGTGGGGGGAGAAGGGTTTGAAATACTCCCAAATACTTCTGCATCCCTCTCGAAGGGACGGGACGGAAGAAGAAAGACTCATGCTCTTCCGAGCTCTCTCGGATCAACCATCACATGCAATAAGTGTTGCGCCTTTTTACGTTAATTATCTTTACTCAACATAAGAGATATGATTTCCAAAATTTTCCACATTGCAAGCAATTTTTCCCCTTGTATACCATATTTCTTCGGTTCTAGGATTATACTAACACTTGTCTCTATACATTTTACCTTGCATGTACTGAATCATGCACCGAGGTCTAAGTATACACCGTTGATGATTCATTAAAGCTCATTTCAACAAGCACAAAATATGGATTAATGGAGTAGACAAGCGGATACTAGTACCGCTAATTTTTAATTATATAGTCGATTATTGATAGGCAGCAACCTTTTTTTTTGGATACTGTTTCCTTATTGGGTGTTTCATGCCCTCTCCTCTCTACTTTTTTGATCTTGAAATCAGTGTTCTTGCATGATCAACCTCCATTTCAGTACTATGGATTGAGCTTCGGAGATTCTTCGGAAGTCATCTGTTTAATGATGCACAATCATATACCTAATACTTAGGGTTAAATACCTTCTATTTTCAGGCGAGAGGCTCAAAAATAGCCCCAATTAAATGGGCTTGGATTGACACTAAAATTAGCATCCTTGCCAAGCTTATCTCAAGGTGCAAGAGAATAATGTGGTAAGGATGAATTAAACTTCATACATGACAATCCACACCGTCTAACTTCCCCAGTATCGTTTGACGGGCAGCCGGTCTCCATCGATAGCCCCTTCTGATTTGGTTTTTGCAATTTTCGAGTCTTCCTTTTCGTTCTATTTCAAGAACTCATTTCGAGGAGTCCAGTGATTGTCTTTGCCGGTTCCAAATGTTCAGAGCTCAGAATTAATATCACGGGAGACCAAGCGAAACTTGCATGTAAGAAAACGTGCCTCTTTTTCTCCGAGCTATTTCTATTTGTGTCTTATGAGGGATTTAAATCCCGGTTCAGATATCTAACTGTTGTAATATTACATTTCAAGTACTTCGTTTCGCACTAAATGCTGTCCAAATAAGGTTAATTATTTTTAATTCTGATTTCAGACGGAAGAATCAACACAGTGGATTGAAAAGTTTCAGCCCATCATTTCACTTTCCTGATTCATCCAATGATTTCAATTATACACCTACGAACTTATTCTCTGAGGGGAAAAGCGTGATGAGAAGTACTTAAGTTTTTACAGTACGTCCTGAATAAAGTTACCTGGCTCAAAACACAGGGCTGAGTAAGAAAACGGAGTATATACCGACCGACCAACAAGTAATTTCTCTCCGTTCCTTAGTGTATATCGCATGTTAACGGTGTGACTTTTGCCCGACTCATACACTAGAACACCGTTCGTCGTAACAATCTCTCCAGTCTCCAGGGCATGTAACCGTACACAAGGTCAGCAAAATCACCAAGCGAGATTTTGTAGGCGGATGCCAATCTCATGCTGACCATACGAGCTAGACAGTATGCAATTCTTACTCTAAGTGGATTTGCACGTGCTTTTTGTGTTCGGGTTGTGCTTTGATTCGCAGGTCTTTTACGAGATCGGCCTTTTTTGAGATGGGTCTTTTACGAGATGGAGTCGTAGGGGCTACCAGTGTTGCGGTGTATATTTTTTTTGAGACAGTGGCTAGATAATGTATGTGTTGGTGGTTACCTAATTACAGGCAAGTGCGAAAAGGGGCAGCGCTATCCCTACGCGTTTTGATGGTAGGGACCTGCCAGATGATTAGGGGGAAGAACATCTTCAAATAATGAAGAAACGAGATAATGCAACTGTGCCGCAAAGAACTATATAAAGCTCCTTGTATGTTTTTGGGTAATGGGGTTTCATTCATATAGATCTAGGTATGACATTGTATCTATTGTATGACAGGTCTTACTCAGATATGACGAAGGTGTAAGATTAATCTTTAATTTTTCTATATTATCCTTTGATTTATATTCTACATTCTTCCTTCTACTTTACCTTCTCGAAGGTCCCCCTTTCTAAAAAATAATCCAGCCATCCAAAATGGCAATCCAAATCTCTAAACCACGATATTCCCTCCAAATCCAAAATACGCGCATCTTCAAAATCCTCTCCATAGGCATCCTTTTCTACCTCTCCATATATCTCCTCCTACCCCGAATTCGATCTTCAACCCTCACCATCACCGAAGAAGACATCTCCTTCGAACAACAAAGCTCACACTACTCTAATAATTTCCTTCCCGCCTCCAGCGCAGCGCAACTATGTGCCTCGCACTCCCTCACACCTTATCCACTTCGCTCCCAAAAACGCAAAATATACGACCTCTTCATGGTCAATTCCGAGCTCGACTGGCTAGAAATCCGTCTCCACGAAATGAACACCGAGGTAGATTATTTCGTGATCCTCGAGGCACCCACCACCTTCACTGGGCTCGCGAAGAACATGACATTCCAAGAAAACCGGGCACGATTCGCCGCGTTCGAGGATAAAATCATCTATCACGTTTTGAAGGATGCACCTTTACCCATATCCAATACTTCATTACCCGGCTCGAAAGAATACGAGGCAAATGCATGGGTGCAGGAGAAATTCCAACGAGATGCCATGTTCACGCAGGTTTTCCCTACGCTGCTGGATGAGCGGAAACCTAATAAGGGGGATGTGATACTCGTTTCTGACATTGACGAGGTGATTCGTCCGGCTTCTTTACAGGTCCTTCGGAATTGTAATTTCCCCATTATTCTCACGCTGCGTTCGCAATTTTACTACTATTCCTTTCAATTTCGCCATCGTGGAGAACAGTGGCAACATCCTCAAGCTACCTACTACCAGGGATTAGAAAACACCATCAAGCCGCATAGTTTGCGAAGTCGTCATGGAGGCCATGTGTCAGTGGATGAGAGGGATAGTAATAGTAAGGGGGATTTGTGGAATGCGGCTTGGCATTGTAGTAGTTGTTTTAGTACGATTAAGGAGATGAGGAGGAAGATGGAGAGTTTTAGTCATACGAATTTGAATAAGGAGGAGTTTAGGGCGACGGGGAGGATTGTGGATAGAGTGAGTAGGGGGAAGGATTTGTGGGATAGATTTGGACAGGTATGTGAAAAGATTTTCTTTTTGGGGCTGTGGGATGCGGATGTGGTGTTTTAGGGCGTAATGGGTGTGATGGTTGAGGCTTAGATTCACTCAAGCGAGTCTGAGAAGCTGCAATGAAACTTCTCGAATTCACTCCCATACCCCTATTCGCCCCAATCCCCTATTCGCCCCAATCCCCTATCCACCCAAAATCCCATGCACTCTTAAACAAGATCCTCAATCTAACAAACCCTTTCAACAGTGGTACAAAAGAATCGATCACAATAACGACATACCCACATACATCAAAACGCACCGAACCAAATACCAATACATGGTCGATCGAGACGGCACCGGTGCCGGATTCATCGATTACGAAGAAATGATTGAACAAGACAGGAAAAGTGTTGAGTTAGTTTGAGATTTTCTCTGACCTTCCAGCTATGTGATAGATATATGGATATTTGCATTTGGGTTTGCATTTGCGCTGGGAGTTGGGATTCAGTCTGGCATGGATTGATTGAACTGCATTTATCGGAGTTGAGGATTTGAAGATGAGAAGGGTGTATGATTGCATTTATTCATCTGAGAGAATGAAATACGAAAGAGGAAAAGGAAGAAAGTGGGAGAGATATATATACTTTACAGAAAGGGATATCTGTATATATATCCATGACATTCCTCAGGAAGTTCTGGAAAGCAAGAAAGAGTGGATTAATTATAGAACGAAGCTACTTCAACTAGGAGGGGTATTTTTGTTTTATGCGGAATTACCGTACTGCAATAAAAGAAATAAAAAGCTATATACCAAAAGCAGACTTCAAATTCTCAAAGTGATGTAAATGAGCACCCACTTGGGAACCACGCAAATGCTTTGGCTACTAAAATACTTTCGCTTGATAATGAAGGGGTATCAAATATTATTTTATTATACGCCATCGGCCAGCCATATACAATCCATCTACGATCCACAAACCGACAAGTCCCATCCCGCACTATATATCTTCTATAACCAAGTTTCGGGACGAGCAGATATGAGAATAACCATACTCCACTCTGCATCTCTCATATCAACTCAAAGAATTCATAAATTCATAGAACTCATCCCATCATATCCTCCACTAAATCACCATATCCAAACAAATTCCCTCATCCCCTATTATTCCGAGCCTCCATCTCCGCAGCCATCGGTGGTCCAGGAACAACCGGGGGTTCACGAATAAGTGATTTCTGCTCTTGTCCTAGCACCACTATCTCACACGAATAATTAGCATATATTCAGACATAAATTTTCCCCTCTCTTCTTCTCTACCCGCCACTACAAAAGCAAAAAAATCAAAACAGCAAAAAAGAAAGGAAACACTAACACCTATCCCAAAGCACCCAACTCGTAACCAACAAAATCGGCAGCGCAACAATCGTCATCGTAACCCTCCTAGCCACACTCTGATAATTTCCCGGTAAGGGTTTGTCTCCTTTTCGCATCAAAGGGCGCGCTCCGGCGGGAGTGGTTAGACGCGAGGTTATGGATTGGTTGAGGGATTTGAGGGGGAGGGATTTGAGGGGTGTTTGTTTGGAGGTTGATTTTGAGGGTGGTGGAGGCGAGGTACGAGGGGGTGTGCTGGGGGATGAGGAGGAGGCGAGACGCATGGTTTGCGCTTGTTGCACTTGGACGAAGATTGATGATGGGGGGATAGTGGTGGTTGGAGAGGTTATCGTAGTTTTCGTAAATGAGGTAGTAGGAGAGTATCTCGTTCCTCTAGCTGTGTTTCCTGCCATATTTATATTTGAGAGCTTGAACCTACACCCAATTGCGACTTTGCTTCTGTTTGTGTGCACTTCCAATCTCAACCTCAATCTCAACCCTCGCAGATATTGTCCTAGGATACTGATGCGCGTTTCGTCGCTGTAGCAAAAATATTCAACTATTCAGCCGCAGATGCAGACACAAACGCGGATACAATCGCAAACCCAACCCGTAAATCCAATCACAACACAAACCTCTTCTCCAACCTCTCGGAGGAGCTTTCCTTTCCTCCCTCTGGATTTCAATTACAATTTCAACTCAACTTTCCACGCAGTTCTTGTCCCAGTAGTAATTAAATTCCGTGTGCCGCAATCGTAGTCGTCGTAATAAAACCTTGTCCCACGTCCAATCTTCACTTATCGCTGATTCGAACAAATATTTTCCTAGGACGACGACCCAATGCGCAATGGTTTCGTGGGTATGATATTCATGTTGATTGAAGCGGGGTCCAGGGCATACCTAGCTAGCTTAGTAATTTTGAGATTACTTGAGTTGTTCCAACATCTCAACTCAACATATCATAGAAATTTCAAACTTCACAATCAATTAATCAATTAATCAATTAATCAATCAATCAATCAATCACATATTAGCATAATATGCGTATGCGTATGCGTATGCGTATACCTATGCGTATAATCTCTCAAACAACCTTAAACATTTAATTTTCCCATCTATAATCTGTAGGATGTATCATCAAAGGTATCTATGCATTCCACTTCCCAGCCCTCTCTTCTCAACCCAATTCCCATTCTATTAATACAATCCATTGAAGAAGTTAATGAACACCAAACACCGAATCCCAGGTCATTCACTTCATAAACCATCATTACCAAACAAAGTTCGTTTCTTTTCCCCATTATTCTTCTTTCTCCTCTTCTCCCTAAACCATATCTTTATCACCCAAATCACGGTTATGCTGAACATTCATCGCTTCATGCGCGTCCGCCATTTCCCTTCTCACTGGACTATTTGCCCTCGAGTTAGCTCTCGAGTTTGTCCTACTATTTGGATTGCTCTTGTCAAATATACTATGCGGTCTACTACCTGTGTTTTGTCTCACTCTCAAATCTTGTTGAGAACGAGCAAAACTTCTTGCCCTCGCTCCAGTTGGCATTCTTGAAAGATGGGTTGGCGCTCCAGATTCCGGGCCAACATGATGTTCCTTCTCATAAATTATTTCGTTATGTGCAGCTTTGGCATCGGATAATTGTTGTGCGAAAGGTGAACGTTTGCGAAGAACTGGTCCTTTCCAGTAGATGACGTAAACTGCAATTACGAGAACGAAGGAGATACAAGCGAGAATTGTAGAGGCGTATGCAAGGGAGCGGGATGGGTCGGATGACATATCTAAGGATATCTGTCAGTTGCAGGTCTTTTTAAGAATTAATATCAAGAAAATTAATACATACTTTGGAAGAAAGGGGTAGCAGGAACGGTCAAAACACCAGCTAAGAAATCTCTAGACCATCCATTTCCACCCGTTGCAGAAGCTGAGTATGGCCCATAGGCACAAATCATATAATCTATTGTTGCCATATAGATACTATAATTGGCGATACCGACTACAGCTGCGAACACGCATGAACCGATCCAGTGAATCGGTGGACCAGTAGATGTCCAGGCAAAACCAATGAGACCTATTGGTAGGCACGGTGCTGTATAAAGCAAGAACCAAAGTCTAGATTCGAATTGGGCGTGTTCATCGTCTGGTTTATTCGCACGTTGCTTAATGTTGCGTTTGATGGCAGGAATGAATGCGAACCAAGCGATGAAGTACCCGACCAGAATAGGAATAAAGGAGAGACCCAGCTCAACAGTTCCAAAACCCCATTGCTTGTAGACAAGAGCAAAGGATTGAATGAACATGAAGATGAGTGCATCAGAGAAACCAGATAACAAACTCAATGTCAAGACAATTGGTTCTGTCAAGAACATTTTGAATGGTCTGACAAAGGTAATCAAGGTTTCCTTCATGGAAAATCGTTCCTTGAATGGCGTAAGTTCGTTTGGACCGTAAATGTTTGGATTTTCACCACTCTTTCGCATCTTCTTCGCAATTTTATCCATCATGATAGTAGATCTTGTCTCAGGTACAAGAAATAAATGCAGAAGTTGTACGGCCCCACCAAAGATAAGTTGAATCCAGATATTCCACCTCCAAGCCAAATTAGCTTCGACGAAACCACCAACAACAGGACCTAAGACACTTCCACCAACAGACGAAAACACTACAAATGCAACAGCATATTGTTGATCATCGGCTTCCCACATATCAGCAATCATACCCAAAGTGACGGAGCCACCAGCCGATGACAGACCACCCAGCGCACGACCGACCATGATAGTTGCAAAATTGGGAGCAATCCCAACAGGGATTTGCCAAATGTTGACCAAGAATAAGGAAGCTTGTAGAACAGGCTTGCGTCCCAACTCTTCCGACCATGGCGCCCATAATTCGCAACCAAAGGCATAAAGAATTAAGAAAACCACGGCACCACATCTGGCCCCTTGTGCACTGACACCGAATTCATCGACAATCCCTCCGATGGCATTGGAGTATAAACTGGTATTAAAGTTCATGGAAACCTGAACCAAGAAAATAACGGATAGAATCATCCATTTTTTGTAGGTTGGAAAAGAATATCCCAATTGACCCCAACAATCCTCTTCATTTATTTCGATTTTGTCGGATGCTTTGACGGCTGTTACCACATTTTCATTGCTACCAGATGGAAAATGAGCCACACGGTTTGCACGAGGAGGATGTCCTTGAGCTAGATTCTCATCATGAGATCCATGCTCGAACATTCCACCACGTTTAGATGTTTGTGAAGAGGTTTCGGTGTCGTTGATGTGATTTCCATCACTGGAGGTTGGCGTATTAATAATACCCGCCATATTGAATATGTATTACGCGATACTATGCGAACAAAAGTTAATCTCGCGACGCCGAACTTTTGCAAAAACCAAAGATTAAAATGAGAGGAAATGTACAAAAAGGAAATGGGAGAAGGATATTTAAAAGTTAATAACGATTGGAAAAAAAGAAGTACACTTCTTGTTTGCGAGATATAATTCATGATCAAACTGGTCAGACGGACGGTATACTTACTTGGTACAGAATGATGTCATTCACACACGTAAAATAAATTATTCCTGAAGAGAGATAGTCGAGGGGATATATGTACCTATACGGCGTAGAAGCTTGCTAGAAGGAACCCGTAAAAGTAATCAATCAATCGGTCTGAGCAACTCTCTCTCAATCTTCTCTCAGCTCTTCTCTCTTCTCTAGAATCGAAAATCTATAACTGTGAGAGAAGAAGAAAAAAGTCGTTCAAAAGACTAGAAATAAATAAAGAAGTAATTCACAAGTAATACAAAAGTAATACTCATCAGTAAGCTCGAGGAGAATAATTTCGAATAATATAAGTCTTACACGTACAAGTATAAGTATAAGTAAGAAATCGAATGGGGAATTTTGAAGAGGCAATACATGAATGAGTAGGGTAAAAAAAAGTTGCCGTGCGAGCTTTCCTATTCCTGTTCCCATTCCTGTTCCTGTTGTTCCCCGCGCAGCTCTGTGAGGTGAGTGAGACCCCGGCGGGGAAGGAAGGATGGATGGATGGATGGATGGACCCCGTATTAGCTAGGGACGTCGTATTTATTTATTTATCTATTAACCTTGTTTTTAAGAGGGAGAACGTAGGAGCCAATGAGGGTGTGGAAACTCTTCATTTGTTCAGTTCTTGATGGGTTGAAAGATCAAGTAAGGTTACATGCATGGGTGATTTTTGAGTTTGGATAACGGGTTTAGTTGAATTGTGTGCCGTGTAGAGCATGGAGGAAAGAGTACGGTACTGTGAGTGAAACTTTAAATATCTACCTACCTACCTACCTACCAAGTTACCTAGTTAGTAGCTATGAGCCTGTGATCTATTGGTGGCATGGTGAGGAAGTTGTAAACCGGTAGTTTTGTGGCGGCCATCTATCTATTTTATATCTGTATGAGTTGAGTATATATACAAATTCAACAACCTCACATCCTGAATCTCCAAACTGCAACTGCACAAGAGATGAAAATGAATTCCTCGAGTAGGTACCAGCACCATGGATCCAATCACACATCCATCCCATCCCATCCTCCATCCCCAAGTTCAGAACTCCAAGTTGATTGATTACCCTACTCTACTCTACTCCATAAGAATTATCGCCCCCCCAGATTTAAACGACCCCAGTTATCCCACCTACTGCTAATGATCCCAATTCTCAATTCCTCCCCCCTGCAATAATGACGGTAGTGGCTACAAAGTCCTTGATTAGGTACTGAAGAATGTGGATCTGATCTTATCTTGTTTTACATGAGTGAATGGATGGCTCTGTTGAAGCTTAACTCAACTTACACTCGATTCAAGCTACATTTTGGTGTACAGAGCATTAGTGGTTTCGATCTTTTACCCCCTAGTGCTATGCTAGCAGTGCACTCACTGTTGTAAATCTCACTACCTAGGTATGTAGATATAAAAACACAAGATTGACCAACTGAATTTTTATATACAGAGCACCCTGTAAACTTACTCGTGCGGTTACGGTGGAATGGGGGAGATAGTAATATAAAGTGTACTCAAGTGTACTCCGTACAATGCAAGAGCTTATATATAGTAATAATAGCAGTCCACTTCTAGTATGTAAGATCTTATCAATACTGTAAGGTCGGGGATACTCGAACCATATATGGTTAAGTACGCCCTTTAGAGACTTTAGAGGACAAATACAAAAGGAATAAATATATCACAACTTCCAATACCTAGTACATATACTTTTCATCCGCACGAGTACTCCACAAGTACCACTTACTAAGTTACAATACAATATCACGCAATCTCCAATTTTCTCCGCCAGGGCTAAGAATGAGGAGGGATTCAATTCATTCTGGGGCGATAACGTTGGGTACGGAGTACACGCCCAAAGATGGTATATCTACCAGCGATCTTTGATCGAACCATTTCATATGTATCATACCTATCATATGATAGCTAGAAGTCCTATGTATATCCTTTCTCAACCCTCTCACTCGTGACCGATGATCCACCTCCATCTCTCCATCTCTCCACAACCTCCTCTTTCCTTGTAGCGAATCTACTCCATACCTAGATATTAATATCTAATATCTAATATCATATCATCTAATAAAACTCACGATAATACCTACCGAGCCATCATCTTACAAATCTCGAGATAATAACAAATATACAAAGGTGATACTATCTATATCAGCACACCTAGGTAATATAAATTATTAGCTTCAAGCATGATGGAAGTTATTACATTATACTTTATTATACTAGCTGATGTTGAATCCATCAGCCTCATATCCCGTACCTACCCTACCTACCGAACAAAAGATGCCTGCCAATAATGAAGAAGCTTTCGGGCTTACAATGTGCCGTAACTTAGAAGCTTAGTGTGCACCTTAGCACTCGGATAGGCGTTTAAGCCTGTTGAACCCTGGGAATCAGCACTTGGATGGTGTGTTGAAATTGCTGGAAGACTTAAAATACGGTTGCGAGTACTCTGTACTGTACTCTGTACTGTACTCTTGAATTCGAATAACCTCTCAATACCTAGGTAGAATACGTAAAGAAATACTCCGTACTCAACAACAAAACCTCCAATCCTTCGCACGACTCTCTGTATGATTATAAACGAACACGCAGACAAAATCCCTGTTTCGTGCACAACCGGCGGTTAGATATTCATCATCATCGTGCAGATAGACACGCTAGTATACGAAGGAGCAAAAAAACAGGATCAAGGGCCTTGAGCAAGGCGTTGAATTATCGTTGGTACGATCGATGGCGCAAATAGTGGAGAGCGAGCGGAGGCGGGGGAATTATAATCGGATGCCGGGGGCGGGGCATATATTCGGACTGTGAAAATGAATGGCTCGGTTTCGTTGGATCGTCATAGACTAATGTATACTTGACCGAGTGCTGGCCGAGTTTTTCGCCGTCATGCTGATGATGCTCCATTTGTTCGGATAGATTCCTCTTTGATTGGTGACGTGGTCAGATGACGGTTCCATCTTCGATCTCTGTTTGTTGTATGTACGGAGTAGATGATTTTGAACACTTTCGGCCGATGCTATTATTACTTACCTGGTAGGTGAGTAGAGAATCTAGAGAATCTAGAGAATCTAGAGAATCTAGAGATTCTAGAGATTCTAGAGATACTCCGTACATCAGGCAATCGAACGGTCCAACCTGGACTGTTCAAGGCTCGATTAGGTAATATATCCGGTAGCAGAAAACATTGTTAGAATGTCGGGCAAAGGAAAAACTAGATAGACTTATTAGTTCTAGCAGTCATCTTTAGGTTTAGCTGCTCAATTGGATTAGAGATTGTGTTTTGTATTCCCGTGTTCGGCCGGAAGTTTTTGAATCCTACCACCCACGCGTCTAGTTGCTAGCACCAGTAGCCCATCCGCTTCTTGTAGATAGGTTCACCTCTAAGAATCGCTCGCCATCGTCAAATCGCGGGTGTAGTCTGCGGCTAATAATTAACATCATTACCGACAAGTTCAACTATCAACTTAGGTATCAACAAGAAGATATCCGACCCGGCGTTTATGATGCGATAAATTATGTGGCGCGCAAACCATCCATCCATGAAAATAATTAAAGATTGTGAAAAGTAATCTTACAAGTACCTGCATTGAGATTGAGATTGAGACTGAGACTGAGACTGAGACTGAGACTGAGACTGAGACTGAGAGAAGAGGAATGTCTTTCTTTTTCCAAGAAATGCAATCGGATAATCATCGGATAACCTTATAGGTTGGTTACAAATCAACCCTTTCCTTTCTTTCTGCCTTGATTTTTAACGACCAAGAATTTAAAGATCTGGTTCCTAGATTCGTGATTTGGAACTGGGTCCAGATCTGATCATGACGGGGAGGGAAGTCCAAGTCCAAGTCCAAGTCCAAGTCCAAGTCCAAGTCCAAGTCCAAGTCCAAGTCCAAGTCCAAGTCCAAGTCCAGGTCCAAGTCCAGGTCCAAGTCCAGGTCCAAGTCCAGGTCCAAGTCCAAGTTTCCATTTCATATTGAAGAAATTCAAAGGAAAACTATCATTCTGGAAATATTTATTTCCATCATAAGGTTAACTTGATGAAAAACAACAGTAATGATTCGGTCGATAGGTTCATGGGCTTTTCATCGAGTATTCTGGATATAGGTAAAGTAGGTGGTAGGTAGATACTTCCCTACTTATACTTGTACTCTACATACATACATACCTACTCTCTACCTACAACTAGCATCAGCAAAATCCCACACAAGCCAATCATCCAGTCCTCTTCAAAGCGATGATGCAAATCAAGTATCGAAATTGGATGGTGAAAATCAAGGATGGATTGATTGATTGATTGCATGGTGGTTGATGTAATGCACAATACAGAGTTTCATTCCTGCTCAGCCACCGCTAAGGTGCATACATACATATCTTTAATTTTTTTGAGCCTCTTTTCCTTGGTTACGGGAACAATCTCATTGAATGAATGCGTTTTGTTGCTTGTCTGTACATTTATTTCCTTGGTTTTTGGTGCTGATGAAGAAAGAGTAGAGAGTCAGTCATATTTGAGATTGATATAGTAGTTTTGGGTTGGAAATTGTTAATTCTATCTTTAAAGGTTTATTTCATGATTTTATAAAAGATATTTAAGGTATAGAGTGTGTTTTGTTATATAATTACAGGTTGATTTACTTGTTTTTTCTTATAAAGTATTAATATTAAATAATTATGTTATATTTAAGAGATTGTCTCTTGATGAAATTTCTTGTTTTTTTAACAGATCATGATTTTATAAATTATATTCAAGGAAAGAAAGTATACTTTGTTGCTTGTCTATAGATATATTTCCTTGCTTTTCAAAGTTTAACTTTCATGAATTGTATAAGATCAGATACTTTATTGCTTGTCTGATTTGAAATTCCTTGTTTTAGAATCATATCGAAGGAGTGAAGAAGGCTTTTGTTGCTCATCTATATTTTTGCTTCCTTGTTTTAGACAAAAGTAGAGCTTTAAATTTCAATGAGAAGGTACTTTTGTTGCTTGGCTGTTCTGAAACTTCCTTGCTTTGAGAAAAGTATGGAGAGGCTTGGTGGTGGCTGATGATGATTGACTATCATCATTCGTTGATGATAGTCATGACCGCAGATGAGGAGCTCCAAGTACCTGGATACCAATCACATATGCAAGGAAAACAGGTTTGATTTCAATGAGATGAGCAACAGAAATGGGTAAACTTAACGATCTACAAGTTCAAATGTTCAATGTGTTGTCTAGAACTCTCTCTTTGGCTTTTGTGGCTCATTTCAATATCTTCATTCTGCAACCCGGAGATTTTGCTCCATTTTTCTTTGGGAAACTTCATAAGTTTGAGGTTATCTTCACCAAGGTCATGATGTTTTGTTGCATATCTGATGATTCTTCCTTGGTTTTTGGTTTGGGAATAATGATGCTATATCCATCATACCAGAATGACAAATTTCCAAAACTGTGGAAAAGCCCTTTTTGCCCATCATACTGATCATCAATTTCTTGCTCTAAAGTTCAGAATCCCATAAATCTGTTGCTCATCTCATTCTCAAACCTGATTTTTGGTTCTCAAATATACTCTATATAACATCATAAGTTGCATCTGAGATTCCTTTTTGCCCAACTTTTGGTTTATATTTGCCACTTTATATACATTTTGTTGCACATCTAATCATATTTCCTTGGATTTTGGATGGAGAATGATGTAGATAGTGATGGCAAAGATTGTCTTGTTGCATTTCTGAGAACATTTCCCTGGTTTTTGGGTTAGAAATGATGCTGTTGATGATGATATGATGATACACTTCCAGTATCTTAAGAGAAGCAGGTTTGGCGGTAATGAGATGTGCAACAAATAGTTCATAAGGCTGGTGATTGAAGATAGCTGGAAGTAGTATGCACTTAAAGGTTTAGGAAATCTTTATGTAGTCTGCTTTGATATTGTTAGTGTTAGCCGGGAGAAGTCAGATTGATTCAGAACTTCTCTTCTTAAGAAATCATTGTTCTGGAATGTCATTTGCGAGATGGACATCTATATATACATAACAGAGAAGCTGGAATTGGCTGCAGTGATTCACGGACGAAATTACTAAGCATAGAGTCCATCATGAGGTTGGGGGAAATGAGATAAAACGAGTACATTAACATGTTCTTGATGGACGACAGATTACGTACAGTAAATGTGACGTACAAGAGCCTCATAAGAGCTGAATAAACAGGGTCAATTATATTCCTTAGAATCTACAATTGAAAAACTATGGCTCGTAAGGAGCATCCATATATATATAGAAAATACCTATACGGTAGCTGCACGGTTGTACACATCGGTTATTAAGGTGACCATAATCCCATACTAAAAAGGGTAAATCGGAACCCAAGTGCACAGACTACCAGCTCACCGATAGGAATTGTCGATCAATTGGAATCACGTGATCGTCCTTATACGAGGTCCGTGACAGTAAAGAATTATCTACTGTAAGAAAGTTGGAATTATAAGTTATATATATAAAGGGTTTTAATTAATTAATTATATAACCTTTTATAATTAGATATAAAAAAAGCTTTTGTTTCTTTTTTTTATAATAATCAATCTTCTAGATATATGTATTTGAATTTATATAATCTTGATCTCAAAATTATCATAAATTTTATTTTCTTTATAAATAATATATTACAATATAATTTAATCAGTTTTCTTTTTTAATTCTCTTTTATAATATATTATTAAGATATATATATCTTGATTTACCATTTTTATAATAGTGATTTATATAAAGAAGTTGAGTTATATTATTTGTAATATATAAAATTTATTTATAAAGATATTATATTAAAAAGAAAAAGAAAATTAATTATTTATTGATAAAAAATAAAATAGATTTTAAAAAGATAAATTTTTTAAAAATAAAATTATTAAATAAAGAATAAAGAAGATTTGGATTTTTGATTATTTTATTTTTATTAATTTATTATATTATAAATAAATGATTTTTTTATTAAGTTATTTATTTATATTTGTTACAAGGTAACAGTCAACCTGTCCACATGAGCTTAGTGTTACGAGGGATGCGATCTAGATCACGTGGAAGTGGCCTGGATCCTCGAATGGTTTATAACTAGGCGTCAAGCAGGAGCTTTAAAGTAATATCAATGGTTGCAATTCGTAACTAATAGTAGATTATACTAAATGATTGATCTTGAGCACGAAGCTCTACAAAAGGAATCCTTTCCTAGCTATATAGACCTTCGTATCGATTGGATCATAAGGATCTAGTGGATCTAGAATACGATTCTCTAGATCCCCTAGATCCTATGATCCATCACGTGAATACGATCAGACCATATGTCCGAGCTTGCTGAGGGTGGGGAGACCATATGAAGCGATTACCATACAAATTTGTATACAAATTGCTTTGCTTTTCGATGAGGCCTAAGCTCATGTGGACAGGCTGACTGTTACCCTGTAACACTAGATCGCATCCCTCGTAACACTTTGAACACCATTACTACTTCAAGTACCGGCCCAACAAAGTATTATCATGTCTTCCCAGACCCCCCGGCTTAACAACCCAATTTCAACCACCTCAAGGGATATAGATCAAGATAAAGATATCATTATGAAATGAACAAAGGATCCTAAAGAGATTACCGTTACCGAAACCCTCAAAGTTGCTCTACCCGACAAGTGTACAGGCAACTAACAAGAATTAAAAACCTTCCTACTTCAACTTGAGATCTATTTTGAATTCAATAAGGATAAGTTCAACCATAATACCAACAAAAGCATCTAAGCTACCTCCTACCTCAAAAGAGAAGCCTCCAAATAGACTCAACCTTACTTTAAAAACTATTTTATCTATCTAGATAAGCCTAAGAAACGAATATATCTAACTCAGATCATTTTTGATATATTCGTTGGATTTAAAAAAGAAATACAATGGGTATTCGGAAATATCAACGAACTACACAATACTGAATCCAAGATCTATAATCTCAAACAAACAGGATCAGCAGTTAAATACACTATAGAATTCAAACAGTATATAGGTACCACAGGATAGGAAGAGAACGCCACGACGAACCATTACAGAAAGGGGCTCAAGGCGGAAGTTAGATTAAAATTGGATCGCAATTGTACTTGAGAAGATCTGAACGAATTAATTGAGGAATCAATCAAAGCAAATAAGATACTCTACAAATACCAAAAGGAACATCGATCCTTAAACTCTTAGAATAATCGAGATCGTAATAAGTACCACAAGAACCGAGGAAGGTCTCGAGATCATCGACAATCACATAAGGACCCAATGCAATTGAATACAACCTTCAAAAACAAACTACCTAAAGAAGAAGTAGACCGAAAACGAAGGAATAAACTTTGCTTTGAATATAGCGAACCCGGCCATCAATCTAGAGATTGCCGAAACAAGAAATTGTAGGGATAAGGAGGTTATCACAAAAAAACTAGATTTGGAAAAAACCAACTCAATACTATCCCTGTATCTTAACTATACACTTCAAACCTAGTTGAAGACAAGAGTTATAAACGAGAGCAATGCCAAAAGGAAATTAACACAATACCACAAGATCAGGAAGGATTGAACGCTATAAACCGATATGAGTTGGAGCGTTTCCGAACTCCATCACCCCCCTTGATCAAGGAAAATCCAAAAGAAACACCGCCGGCAGAACACGCGACGATGAGCTGGATAGCTTGCTATGACAATTCCTGCAGAATTCACCTATCAGATAAGGAAGCCACAGGATGGTTCCCTCATAGGAAGGAGGCAAGAAATATTTCGTCACGTGGTCGTCAAAATGGTCAATTACACGAAATTGACCAAATTGACCAAACAAGTCCAAACCAAAAATTAAATATTATAGGCAAACAGGACAGACTATATTATTAATTCAAGAATAATATAAAATACAATATATAACACACAATAGCCGTATAAGAGCTGAATAAACAGGGTCAATTATGTTCTTTAAAATCTACAACTGAAGAACTATAGCTCGTAAGGAGCATCCATATATATATACAAAATACCTACACGGTAGCTGCATAGTTGTGCACAACCTGCCTTAGGGTGATCATAATCCCATACTAAAAAGGGTAAATCTGGCAAGATGTGTACAGACTAGCAGCTCACCGATAGGAATTGGAATCACGTAATAGTCCTTATACGAGATCCGTGACACAATATATTCGATAATAATTATTATAAAGGATTCGACGAATGATTTATAGATTATAAATTAAAATCTATAATATTTCTCTTTAACCAAGCACAATATAATTCTTACGATTTATATTTCAATATAGATTATAAATATTATTATTATTATAAAAAGATTAAAATGGATATTCTGAATGATATATTTTATACAAGTATATTTCCTAGAAACACCAAATGGGACTTTTCAATATATTCAGTTTTTTTATTAAACTATTATATTAAGATCTTAAAGAAATTTATAATTAAATTTATAATTATATATAATTTCATACAAGGACTGATACAAGAATATCAGGAAATATTTAAATTATCAATAAATCATTATATTAATATAAAATTTAAATTCAAAATAAGAAAAATCAATAATTGTCAATCAACTTTGAGGAGTAATATAAAATTGAATCTTTTGGATTATCTTTTGTATATTCCTATATTAAACAATTTAAAGAATCAAAAGAAATAAATAGTTTAAGAAATATTGAATATTTATAATCGATTGGAATTTCTGAAAAGAATAATATCAATTATTAACAATACTAAATCAGACGAACTATCGAATTTAATATCGCTTATTAAATAATTGAAATTGTATATAATATCTAGATGTGAACAAATATAATAAAGCTAATCATTTGTTATAATATAAAAGAATACTTAACTCTTACAATATTATAACAAGAAGTTCACCTTTTGGTAGAGGTTTAGGATATTATTCCTAAGGAAATCATGCCGAACATTCAGACTATTAACTCTAATAATGGGAAACTGTATCGTATATTTGAGAGATAAATGATTTCGAAAGCTCTGTTTCAAAGGGCAATCTCACTTTATGTTGCAAGGTAACAGTCAACCTGTCCACATGAGCTTAGGCCTCATCGAAAAGCAAGGTAATTTGTATACAAATTTGTATGGTAATCGACTCATGTGGTCTCCCCACCCTCAGCAAGCTCGGACTCGTAGTCTGATCCAAGAGGTCATGTGATGGACCCTACATATACAAGGATACGAATCGTAGGATACGAAGATCTATATAAAACAGATGGGTTTCCTGTATATAGGAGCTTCGTGCTCAAGATCAATCATTTAGTATAATCTACTATTAGTTATGAATTGCAACCATTGATATTATTTAAAAAGCCCCTGCTTGACGCCTAGTTATAAACCATTCGAGGATCCAGGCCACTTCCACGTGATCTAGATCGCATCCCTCGTAACACTTTACTATAAAAAGACCATCTTCTCGTTCATTCCACACTCGTTTATAAACTATCGGGTTGTCAAAATAATGAAGAAAATTACTATCCATATATCGTTATCTGAGTAGCATATACATACGATTGACATAGAATACATCTATGATTTATCGAAGACAATAACAGCAATTGAAGCTTATATTTTACAAAAACGATTGAAGGAATGTCCTGCAATGATGAAACTTCGATTTATAATTCCGTTTTGTATAAAAATTGAAGGTTATATTAAGTTGAACTATATTTCTTTGTCCAAAACTGATCTCTCCGATCTTCAAAAAAGGAAAGGGTTATGTGATTGTTGTATCTTCAGCAAAAAGTCAAATCTATAGTTGATCTATGTTTAAAGTATGTTGAGTTGAAGATAATCAGGCGTATTCAGAGGGTAGTGTATGAAGGTCTGGGGTGATGTATTCCTTTCGAGGTATCCTATAAGTAACGAATTAGGTTTGCTGTAATTAAGGGCTATTAAAAACATAATAAATTGCATCAACAAGATAGATTGATAGGTTCATTATGTTTGGAATATATCGTATATACAGTAAGATAAGAATATTGATATATGATTTGTAGAAATATCATTTTACTAAGAAACAATACTATTTTTGTCTGCTTTTCTACTTCATTATTTAAATATCTTCCTTAAGCCAAGCTTTCGAAACAATTTGCAACGTTTCGGTTTTGATGGAGCTCTTCCAGAACTAAGTATTGACGTTTCTTCCTGATTGTAATGATACATAGTAGTGGAACTTTCACATTACGAATTATTCACTAGCTCGCGTACTTCTTCCAAAGCCTCATCTTTTGCCACTGTATCTAAGCCCCGAAGATCCTTCTGCAAACTTAAATATTTTGGATGTTCAAATCCAACAACTTTCTCATACCCTAAAAGAGCTGTTGAATACATTATCCTGGCATTTGCTAGATCCGCTTGATATTTGAAGATATCGCCAAGACCACAGATACTACCTAGCGCAGGAAGATAAGTCGTCACATTCTCTGCACCAAGTGCCTTCTCGTAGCCTTGCAACGCTCTCTTGTACATCTGCTCTGCCTCAATAAGCTTTCCCTGATCTGCATAGAGGATCCCTAGATTGTTGATTGTATCAAGTGTCGATATATGTTCTGGACCTAATATCTTCTCTTTGCCTTGCAATGCTTACTTATACATCTGCTCTGCCTCAATAAGCTTTTCCTGATTCTTATAAAGAACCCCTAGATTGTTGATTGTATCAAGTGTCGATATATGTTCTGGACCTAATATCTTCTCGTAGCCTTGCAACGCTCGTTTGAACATTTGCTCTGCCTCAATAAGCTTTTCCTGATCTACATAAAGGGCCCCTAGGTTGTTGATTATACCAAACGTCGATATATGTTCTAAACCTAATACTTTCTCATAACCTTACAATACTTGTTTGAACATTTGTTCCGCCTCAATAAGCTTTCCCTGATTCTTATAAAGAATCCCTAGATTATTGATTGTATTAAGTGTCGATATATGTTCTGGATCTAATATCTTCTCTTTGCCTTGCAATACTTGTTTATACATCTGCTCCGCCTTAGTAAACTTTCCTTGATCTATATAAAGGGCCCCTAGGTTGTTGATTGTATTAAATATCAATACATATTCTGAACCTAATTCTTTCTCGCAACCTTGCAATACTCGTTCGTACATCTGTTCCGCTTTAATAAGCTTTCCTTGATTTGAATAAAAGATCCCTAGATTATAGATTATATAAAATATCAATGTATATTCTGGATCTAATGCCTTCTCTTCGCCTTGCAACGCTTGTTCGAACATCTGCTCCGCCTCAATAAGCTTTCCCTGATCTGCATAGAGGATCCCTAGACAGTGGATTGTATCAAGTGTTGATGTGTGTTCTGTAACTAAGCTGTTCAAGATAATATCTGAACATCTGGCTGCATGCTGAAGAAGCCGTCGTTGTGTTAACCACGACCCAATAGCCTGTTCTCTTGGGACATGTAATCCTACAAACTTGATAGCTATTTCAGCTAGATCGAAATCCCATTTTCGGTTTAGAACATTAACTATCCATAAGTGAACACATTTATGAATGCTATACCCTTTTGACTCGATTGTTTCCAGTGAAGACCTGTTTATATCCACTAGCCCGTACTCAGTTAGTATCCGAACTGTATCGTGAAAGTTTAATTCGTCCTTAGTGAGCTCTTTTATCCAGTCTGGGTCCTCAGGATCGCTATGATGAAGAAGTTCGAACCATAGATCTTGATTATCAAAGTATGCCCATAATCGAAGAAGCTTAGCTGAAAGTCCATTCCGTTGTTCGATATGTTCAAATGAAATTTGCCATGTAGAGTAAAGTGTTCGGTCTTCGTATGAGCTGAGCTCAGGAGTCATTTGCTGGAGTTTTGCCCATGATGTTTTATATAAACGTATATAATCTGAGAAGCTTATCGTTGTTTGATTAAGGTATGCTCCAGCCGTGGCCAAAGCAAGAGGAAGGCCATCCAATTCCTTAGCAAGTTTTATAGCATTTGGATCTATCAAGAAAATCAGAGTTGTAAACACAAATATAGAAATGACCTACCTTTTACTAATCCCTCTCGGTTTGATGCATTGGATAAAATCCTGAGACTGTCCTGAAGATCCTCTAGTTTTCTAACTTGTATCGGACGGCCAATTCCAACTCGAGATGATCGTGTTGTAATAATAACTGAACCTTGATATGATTCAGGAAGAAATTTTTGGATATCTACTGCGGCAGGATCTGTATTACCTGCCAATTTTGGATTATCATAATTGTCGTATATCACCAGCCATCGCGTGTTGTTAGGACGACTTAGCCATTTCTTGACAGCATCTATCATTTCATTGAGATCTTCTTTCATATCCACGCTGCTTGGCTGGATGTCCGAGACATGCTCCCGTATGATTTGTCTTGCGGCCTTGACAAAGCTCTGCTTCAGAGAATCCTCATCTTTGATATTCAACCATAATATTGCTGAGTAGTTGTCTTTATACCGTTTCGCATATGCAATACTTAATTGTGTCTTACCCATTCCGCCCAAACCATGAAGAACAACAGTTCTGCGCGATCCATCACCATTAAGCATCTCATGCATTTTTGCAAGCTCTACCTCCCTTCCAACAAATTGTTCGATTGTAGGAACATTAGAGAGACTGAAGGGGATAGAGAAATCCTCATGTTTAGACCCTAAAACCGATCAATTACTTTATCTTTGTATACATCTAACGTTCTGATCACTACTAATGATAAAAAAGAACGATTTACCTTTTGATGCTTTATTGATCTCTTCTCGAAGTCGTTTGAATGCATTCTCTCTCCCTTCGCCATAAATAAGTGGTATATAAATATCGAAAATACCAAGTAATGAGTAAGCATTGTCTTCTTCCCAAGTAGTTACACGCTTTTCAGCCCATAAAAAGCGTTCAGTGATGCTGAAATCAGACAACGAAGCTCCTTGAAGTGCTTTGACGGGGATCCTTGTTATTTCGCGAATGAGTAGCTCTAAGGATGATTTGTTGCCCAGTTTCTCCCAGTCTTTGGAAAAGAATTCGACGGATATCGGAGCGATAAGCTCTTGAAGGGTCCAGCCTCGAGTGAACCATCTGCTCTCCCGAAATACCGATTCCCAGGGCCGTTGGTGAAACTTGTTGTCATTATTAATGGCAGAACTCGAAACATCTGATAAATAAACATAACATTTCTCCGCATTACCATACCAACGAAACATGGAGTTGATAGCTTTTGAGAGTTCATTAGTGTTTGATTTATTGATACAACATGTATCAACCCAGAAATATCGTATGCCATCTCGTTCAGCCTGTTCTCCGCAGAGTCGGATCTTGTTATAGCCAGCCTTGGTTTTGCCGGCACCTTTCGTCATATCTTTGAAGGTGACCTCCTCGGTGTCAGCCCCCCATGTGTGCGAAAGTATAGCATAGCCGGGAATATCGTTGCCAAAATCCTCGGTGAGGCTGAACCCGCCACTGCCGCTACTTTCCAAAAGACGCATTAGTCAGATCAGTTCCGTCACGGAGAAAAGTTCTCAATAAATGCTTGTATCGCAGAGTTGATGTATATGCGAATTTTTATATTGAGTTAGGAGAGGAGGTTGGATTCAGGCTGGTGCTTATGTCAATTCAGTTGAACGGCAGCCTCGCGGCAATAGCGGCATCGCTTCGCTGTTGTCGTGCATCACTATGAGCTGGCCGCAGATGTGGTCGGTTGATGGCAAAGAACTATTGGTCATCGCTATGCAGGTCACTTAACGTTCTTACGGATTTGAGTAATAATTCGTTCTTCTATCGCCCAAGGTGTTTCTCGATGGATGTTGGAACTAGCTTTTCGTGAATTGTACTAGCAGCTTGCAATTCGCGGTTGAACGTATACAATATCTTAATACAATATACACTACAGTGTCAGGGAGCTGCTGGCATATAGAACTTCATTTCCGAATCTGGTGAGTCAGCAATGCGAGTGGGGGTTCGGGGAATTTTTATCCGATGACAAATATCAAGATTAAGCTTGACCCCAGTTTTCTTGGTGGACAAGTCAAATTCCAAAGGGTAGATCATAAACTTTGTAAAGATAGAGGATAAGTCATATATAAATGTGAAGCATATTAAGTTCAAGATAATCACTTATCATATCCCTTATTGCGAGTAGCCTAATGTTGTCCATACACAAATCTCGAAATCTCTTTCATATATCATACAATATATATATACATGCATTATCAAGCAATTCGACGTGGTAAATGCATATTTAAATGTGTCTAGGCCAGCCAGTTCAGAATTTGTTCTTCTATAAATAATAAACTTATAATTAAAATTTCAAATAATTATATCAACAAATAAGGAAGTCATTACTAATATATCGAGCAGATGGCGAAGAAATATCATTTCGCAGGACTGAATAACTCTATTACACTATTACCTTATTTTGATCTGGTAAAATTTGAAGATGAAGCAATAAAAGAAGAAACAAAACAGTTCCAAGAATTAATAGGATCGTTGTTATATTGTACGATAATGATCAGGGCGGACAACACTTTCGTTGTTAATAAACTGTTATACTTTTTGCGAAATCCGAGTTTATAATATATAAAAGCTATAAAGGATATCATTATCTATCTATAAGATACAGGATTCTTCTCGATTATATACACTGAGAATGAAGGAATAATACAATGTATTATCGCTTCAGATACTTCATTTGCAAATGATATAGAAACCAGAAGGTCATCCCAAGGATATACGATTTCGATATGCAGAGGGCTAGTGATCTGGAAGATATCAAGATAGGACATCTTGATTACCTTTATGACCGAAGCGGAACTCTTCGAAGTGGAACGGACAACAAAAGAAACGATGGTTTTGATACAGTACTTGAAAGAAATACAATTTAGTATAACACCAATGACAATTTATTACAATAATCAACAAACCATTTGTTTAATAACTAAAGAAAACCGAAGGATTATTACAAAGCTTCGATATATAGATATACAAAATATATAGCTATATTAGGAATATATCAAAGGTAATTTTCGAATCACCTATATACCGACAGATCAAATGCCAACAGATGGACTGACAAAGAACCTATCAAAGCAAAAGTTCGAACACTTCTGAATTACCAGGATATACACAACCAAATTGAAGAATTGGATTGAGGTCACCGAAATATACAAACGATTAAGATCGACAACTTTGGAAGCAAAATTCTAAGTCAATCGTTACAAGAACTATACTGTATAGTAACCGTAATGGATCTCTATATAATCTACCTTTTCCTTTTTCTTATTATGCAAATTCATTGGTAATAAATATACAATAAAATTTCACTAATATTCCCTTTTCTAAAAATACAGAAATCCGAATTACCCAGTGGGGCCCGATTGAAATCAACCCAACTACGATCGGAATGAACGTTGTGCTCTATCGATTTGAGGTTTAAAGGAATAACGAAAGCAGACAACAAACCAAAGCCACTCGCTAATAACTCCTGAGAAATCCAACGACTCTACAACGTTCATAAAATCAATATAAAGAACAAGCAAAACGATAAATCAAGGGATAAGCTAATACAACCAATAAAGATCTCAATGAATATTAATAAAAACCGGAACTAGAAAAGAAACAAACGATTACTTCATATCACTACAGATAAAAGCAAAAGTAACCCAATCAACCATTGGCGGTGTGGGTGTGGATGGTGTGGCGACAACAAGTACAGAGGCCACCAGAGATTGCCTAATTATACAGCGTGGGGAGAGTCAAGATTGATCAGGGGGCCATCGTCTTCAGACGATTTGTGCCGAAGATTCGAGACAACGGTTATGTTGGGGGCGGGAATAAAAGATAATATGTTATCATGTACGAAGAAAGAAGCATCGGTAAAACTGTATATCGAAGAAAGAAAAGCGAAAGCCACCTTCGCAATGTAAAGTTTTCCCAAAAGCCGAATGGCTTTTGGGGTCGAGGAAACTTTCTTGATAGAGTACTTAAACCCTTGATGATCCCTTTTGGCATCCGACAAAGCCTCGTCCAATAACAAAATACTCGAGAGCATCCGAGAAAGTTCAAAAGCAAGACGGCTGGACCTCTTCCCGAAAGCAACTATATCCTTCAACTCTACCAGCTGATCATCCAACTGGGTATACAGATTCCGAAAGCATTTTGTCTTACTATCATAACAAAGAAGGCAAACAATGTTTCCCAAAACGGAAATACAAATACCATCTCCTCCATTTAATATAAACCGAAAACAAAGAAGGCAAATCGGAGAATTAGAGATAATATATCTGATCAAATGTTAAAGATCGCCAGCAAGGGAATCGGGATACTAATTTGAAGGAGCACCTTTTTGAAAGGTAACTCGGATTTTCGATTTCGAGGTAAAGGCTTTGGAACTCCTCGTATACGACTCGGTATCATCCAAATCGTCATCGGTATCAGATATCACCATACGGAAAGTATCTAAAAACATCTTTAGTCAACAAAATTCCTAGATCAAAACCATCCAACATCAAGGATGAAAGAATACTCACCATCAAGCGCCTCCTTCAAACCCACTGCACAAACACGATATCGAACAGAACCTTTGGCTTCCGTTCCGATTCCACCAGACTTTACAGGGCTTTCCATTACTACTACAAGCTCTCGAATAGGACCTTGAATAGAAGATTTCGTTGTATATTTCTTTTCAGATAAGTACCGATTATCGAAGGGATCGTTCTCTGGATTATCCTCTAAAACAAGTTCGGGGCTGAATTTAAGGCCATTATTATCCGCCTCAAGGAATTGTTATCGAATACTCTGTATAGTCATATCGGTCTGCAAATATTAATTGTTAGTTTATTACCGATTAAGGGTTAAATTAAAAGCAAAAACTGTATACCTTTTTGAAAGAACAGGTATAACGCATCCTTTCCCTTGAATCGTTGAGAGACTTAGGGCTTTTGCTTATAGAAGGGGTCGGAATCTTTCGTTTGTTAAAGGATACACCGAAGGAGGAGTAGGAATCAGGGCTGTAATCCGATTCTACTATGATAGGTGGCTCAACAGCAGGCTCTTTAGCCGAATGAATTGCTTTCCTCATAATATAACGAAGAAGAGAAGAATGGAAATGGTAAGAGAAATGAAGAGTGGAAAAGGGAAAAGAAGGCGATATGTATACCCTGTGAGGGAGGTATTCGATCGGTGATCAATATTCTACATAATTCCACCGAGGGCTACAACAAGATCTTTATTCACTAAACGGCGATACATTAAACCAAAAGAAAGAAATAATATCACACAACTTTCTAAATTCTGATAAAAGATGTGAGACTATTATAAGCAAGCAAATCAAAAAGTCCTAGCTTATTAATAAACAATACAATTGTTACCAAAGATTTCATTCAATACTTGATCAAAGTAAAGCTCCTATATAGGAACGAGTATATCATTCGGCGGTGAATAGATCGTAGAGTAACTATTCATAGATTCAATACGATGACAAGTATTTCTTTTGTTTTGAATATGAAGGGTAGTTGCAGCGTGCATATCACGTGTTAGGCACCTGATATGGGGGGTGTGTGAAGAAATGGGGTGCCGGAGACCTGTTAGGGATCTCGAACTATAGGAACGATCACGTGATTCTATTTCCTATCGGTGAGCTGCTAGTCTGTGCACATCTTGCCAGATTTACCCTTTTTAGTATGGGATTATGGTCACCCTAAGGCAGAATGTGCACAGCCATGCAGCTATCGTATAGGTATTTTGTATATATATGGATGCTCCTTAGTTCTTCAATTGTAGACTCTAAGGAATATAATTGACCCTGTTTATTCAGCTTTTATGAGGCTCTTGTACATCACATCAAAAGGCAAGCCGACATTCTGCCTGCACCCTAATATATATCTAAGATTCAAATTTATTATAAACTTTTTAAATCTTAAATTTTCATTAGACGGTCTCGAGAAGCCAGGGGTCCGGGGCGCGCAGGCCCCTGGTAATAATAATGTTTTTTATTCTTTATAATATTTATAATATTTTTAATATCATTTATAATAATGTTTTATATTAATATTATTATTATTATAATAAGTTGAATGAGTTGAATTGAATGAATAGAGATGAATTGAATAAATAAAATTGTATGATTTTGGAGTTAAACAATTTCAATAGAGTTGGATGATTTCAATTAAATTAAAAAAAGTTCCCAGTCAGATGTAACGATCTGGTTGAGGCAGTGGCTGCCTCAGGTTTCGTATAATTGATAGTTGTAGATTAAAGCTAATAATCATTGATTATCCACTCGAAGGTGAATACGTTACTAGATCAATCGGAATGTAGGTAAACTAATTGATAACTAAGTTGAGCACAAAGCTCCTAAACTATGAAACTATTCTGACTATATACTAATCTCTTTCCTTGTGTGCTAGCTATACTAGCTGGCTAGCAGAGCTAGCACATCATGTGATTAAGGATCAGACTATATGTCCGAGTGTCACGAAATCATTTTATAGAATGTTACGGGGTAACAGTCAACCTGTCCTTATAAGCTTGGACCTCCTTAGAAAGCAAAGCAACTTGTATACAAATTTGTATGGCAACCACTTCATATAGTCTCCCCACCTTCAACAAGCTCGGACATATAGTCTGATCCTCAATCACGTGATATACTAGCTCTGCTAGCCAGCTAGCAAAACTAGCATCACAGGAATACTAACCATACTAACCAGCTAGTATAACTAGTATACAAGGAAAGAGATTAGTATATAATCAGAATAGTTTTATAGTTTAGAAGGTTCGTGTTCAATTTAGTTATCAATTAGTTTATCTATATTCCAATTGATCTAGTAACGTATTCACCTTTGAATAGATAATCAGTGATTATTAGTCTTAACCTACAACTACCAATCAAACGAATCCTGAGGCAGTCGTTGCTTCAACCAGATCGTTACACTTTGAGCATCGTTATGGTTAAGCTATATACAGTATAATAGCTTCCAACCAGCAACTTACCGAATCATCTTCGTTCAATTGTCACGATTTACGATTAAGATAAGGATATGTTGAGGGGCAGCAGTCAACGTGTCCACATGAGCTTAGGCCTTATTGAAAAGCAAGGCGATTCGTATACAAATTTGTATGGTAATCGCCTCATGTGGTCTCCCCACCTTTAGCAAGCTCGGACATATAGTCTGATCCTAATCACGTGATAAGGAGCCCTAGAGCTCTAGGGCTCCACAAAGCTCCTTTACATTCATTAGTATATAGTCAGAATAGTTTCATAGTTTAAGAGCTTTGTGCTCAACTTAGTTATCAATTAGTTTACCTATATTCCAATTGATCTAGTAATGTATTCACCTTCGAGTGGATAACCAGTGATTATTAGCCTTAACCTACAACTACCAACCATACGAAACCTGAGGCAGCCGCTGCTTCAACCAGATCGTTACATACAATTCAATAATAACAACTCTTGTATTTATTAGATCCTTATATTATTTTAATTCTATATTAAATTGATCAAATCGTATCTCATAAGCACAAGAAGATCCGTGATTGTAACATACATTAAGGCCTAGCTCTTTTTAAAAACTTAGCCCGTCAGCCCGAGGTACAATAGGAGGACTTAAAAATCGTATAACATAATGAAATATTAAACCCGACGTCCTAACAATTATGACTCGCAAAAATCCTTCTATGGTGTAATGGTTAGCACACTAGATTTTGATTCTGGAGATATTGGTTCGATTCCTATTAGAAGGTTCCCTCAGAACTTCCTAACCTTCCGTACTCAGTTTGAAGCTGAGATTAAAGGGTTGCTTTTTTGTCATTTTTTCGTATATCTAACGTTATTTTTTATGTCCTTCTCGCTTAGACATTACTAGTCAAGATTACAAAGTTTCATAAGTGGGTCAAAGTGGCCAAAGCTTTTCGATTATTAATCAATTCCACGTGACGATACCATCCAACAGCACCGCTTCAGCTAACCATCAAATTTGTCCATCTTTTCTGTATATATATATTCTGTATCACTTTGTACGATATACCCTCATGCAAGATCCACCCCGAAAACGTGTACGAGCCCGAAATGCATGCGACAGTTGCCGTAAGCGGAAGAGGAAGTGTGATGGCGCAGCACCATGTTCTGAATGCGCAGGCTATGAATATCCATGTAGCTTTTCTATCAAAACAACAACGGTTAGCCCTACGGATAAAGCAAATTCATCTCACGACTCGATATCCAATGGAGGACAACCTCACAATGGTACTACAACTAGTACATCAAGTGCTGAACCCTCCGCCCTTACAACAAATGAAGAAAATAATTCAAATTTGGCTTTTGTGATTAACGCAAAATCAAAAGGAAACTTAACGAAATTATTTCCCGAAGAGAGCACCAAAAAAGGCACTGCTAACAATGAATCCTCGAATGATTTATCGATTTTGGAGCCAAACAAGTGCAGATTTACCAATGCAAATAGTGCCATTGCCTTCCCGAGATGTCTAGGAATGGAGATGGAGATGGTAACACCTCCACGTCTTCATAGTTACGCATGGAATACCGGGATTCGCACAGAAGTACCAAGACCGAATCATATGCGTTTGCATGAATTTTGTTGTTGGGCATTTGCATCCTCAGCAATTGATGTTTATTTTGAACAAATCAATCCCGTTTTTGGAATGCTAGAAAGGGAAGGGTTTCGGCACAAGTGTGAGCTTTTCTGGAAAGATGACACGGGAAGTGTTGGATTCGAGGCACTTATCTGTGGAGTTGTGTCTCTGGGTTCTTTATTTACGAGACGGAGCGGATGTGTGCTTGAGTGTAATGTCTTCGAGCATGGTCGATGCTTACTGGAGCAGGGATCACAGAGGCATGGCGATATGTCTCTTGACCATGTGATGGCATGGACTTTACGGGCTCTTTACCTTCGATCGACGAGTCGTCCCAATTTGTCTTCATTGGCAATATTTACGACGGTCCATTTAGCTGAATCAATTGGCCTTCATCGAGAATTGGATAGCGTCGTATTCGCCGTTGATGGATCGAGAAAGGTTTTCACTCCCGACATATTAGAATTACGTCGGAGGGTCTTTTGGATTGTGATGTCATTGAATCAATTATTCGCTGCCGAATATGGTCGTTCGAAAGTTTCCTTGGACAATGTGAGATGCCGAAAACCAATCGCCAAGGAAGGAGATTCTATCGGCGACTTGATTGCAATGACAGAACTACTATCTTCATGCTCTAACCCACGCGTTGAACCTGATTCTTTGCGAGTATCAATCGAAAACCTATCGATCTTACCGTGTAATAATCCAGGATTAGCCCTAATCAAGGCAGATGTTGTCTTGTGTATGTCTCGAAGACTTCATCTGACCTATTCAAAGTTCTCTTCAGGTGTCTTGAACACTATCATGATGATTCTCCGCGGTGCCTTTAAAGAATCAGAAAAGCTTTCAGAAAGAAAACTACCATGGTGGAACGTAATTAGCGTTCCATTCAATACAGTTTGTCTTCTCTTGTCTATTAACACGCGCCAAAGTATATCCCATCTACCCCAAGCCATGCACACCCTAGAAACTGTTAGCAAATTATGGGACAGCCATCTGTCAAGAGAGGCGCTACAAACTGCACAAATGTTGGTTAATCGATTCGTCGAGATAAAACGCGAAGATCAGGTGGTTTTGGAATCTCTCCATCGGACTGTTGATCACCCTTGCGCGTCTTCGAGTAATCAGAATTGGACGGGGACTTTTGGTAATGATTTATTTGGGGGGTTAAACGGACAGGACTTTGGTTGGGCACAGTTTTTCGGCGATGCTGTGGGTTAGGCCAACTTGGGGCTCTTTGCAATATTATCTTTTCCATCCTAAAGACCATTTATGTATATCGCATCGTATTGCGGATAACCCGTGTAATTGTAAAAATTCGTTGAAAGACCGTGGACATATCATAAAATAACTATTAGTGTGATTTGTACGTACTTTAGACATATTCGACAGCATTTAGTAAATGATGGGAACATGAACAATTTAATGTGTCTACTCGAGTATGTGAGATATCTTTAATAATCCCCACTTCTCCATGAATGATCGACCTTTTCCGCAATATCCACCCCATCCACCAATTCGTTGTAGTGAGCATCTGTATCTACTGAAATGATTCCACTTATTCTCAATGCAATATCGAGGATTCATTTCTAGAAACTCGATAGTTCATAAGGTGGTTCATCAGATCCACCTTTTTTCCTTGCTTTATATAATTTTGGTAATTATATCGTCAGAACCTATGTCGGAGAGTTAGTAGTAGCAAGCGAGGTAAGTATCGTTTCATCAAAATATAAATAAGCCCATCTCTCACATTATGCTAAGCTCGTAGAGATCGACTTATGCATTGCTGGCTGCTCTGCTCACTATGCATCCTCGGTGTTCTTCACTGCCTATTTATGACATTTTTCACCATCGTATTTATTTATGCTCATTACTTACAATGACTCAAAAAAGGAAAGAACTTCTTGGTATTATTACTGCTAGAAATACGAGTAGTATGGATATACACATAATTGAGATTTCCCAATCCACATCCATACGGACTTCGAATAATATCGACCACCCTCATAATCTGCCATCGATCCGATCGAAGACCGCTGAATCGACTACGCCAACCAAGGATCTTGAGATAACTCCTCCAAGTTGCTAGCCCAACAATCCAAGAAGTTTGTGGAGTAAAACATACAGCAGTCAGTAATGAAGATGAGACAGCGATGAACTCATCATACTTAGCAGAGAATATTCAAGAGCCCTTTCATCATTTCGGGTTGTGTAGTTATTGAGATCGTTTATATTCCATATATTATTCGAGGTCAATATCCAAATCATCTAAGCTCTTGATGATATTATATATTCATTCCGTGGATTCTGACAGTGAAGAATATATTATTAAAAAATTCCTAGGAATTTTAAACTCCTTATTCCATGATATCAGATGAGAGTTCCACGTTTTCGCGAAGATTTTCCAGCCTTCAATATCAGATGATTAAATGCCACTGCTGAAAACAATGCAATCCTAAGTGCTTGGCCTTTCCATCGCCTGTCTCAAAAATTCCCTTTATCTCCACACCATTCACATCCCCAAAGCCCCCTCGACAACCTCCGCCACCCCAATAATCTTCTCCTCCTCACAAACTCTCCCTACAATCTGTATCCCCACCGGCGCACCATGATATATCTCCGCATCATACGCCGTCCAATTTCTCGAATCCTTCTCACTAACCGGTACATAAGCATGAAGTTCATCCATATGCTTATCCGCATGCGTAACTGGAATAACTAATGCCGTATAATCAAGCAGATTGAGTACTTCCGTATATGCTATTTTTTATTAGCATCAGCTCACATCAAATTATTTACTCAAGTTTATTAGAGAACATACCGAGATGTACCCATTTTCCAGGTATAACGGCAGCATGAGGTGCTGCTGGCATTAATACTGCATCGACCATATTTCCATTTGAATCTGCCGTACTATTCCAGTAATCACAGTATGCTTGCCTATAATCTCGTAGTTGCAGTGCTCGATCTTGGTATTCGAGAAGAGACATTGGTGATTTTAACGTGTAGAAGCCTTGTAAATCATTGATTAATGGTTCACCCGATAATGCTAACTGCTGCTGTATATGGTGAGAACCATCCGCGTTCATTATAGCTGGCTGTAGGTATGTTAGTTGCTGGACATGTACATGGAAAAAATGGAACAACATGCGTGAAGTCGCTCTGGTATACTATGGGATGGTGGACACCAATCTACGACCTGAATCTATTATTAACATGCACCTGTGTAATCATACGTCGCAACAGAGGAATACCTCATGTCCTGCATATTCCAAAGTATTCACAACCATTTCCAGTGCACGTGTAACTGGCGGATGAGGTTGTATCATTCCATCCCACCAAAATATGCCAAATTTGAGCTTTTTTCTGGCTTTAAGTCTATCATCCTCACGCCAGGGAATTGGAACAACAGCGGGATCGCGAAGCCAAGGTGAGGTTGAGAGGAGACTGCTCATGACTAATTCTAGACCTTCAAGTGAGCGTGAAAGGAAACCTACGGAGGAGGGAATTAGTGTTTGTCCTGGGTTCTGCAGAAGAGTAATCAGTATGATTAGTGAGTTCCGAGGAACGGTTGGGAGACAATGGCGTGTTGGACGAACAGTATTAGCAACTCCTCTGTAGGAAAACCGATTATGACTGGGCTTAATGCCGTAAATGCCGCAAAATGCAGCTGGGACCCGAACAGAGCCTGCTGAACTGCTGTTAGTCAAGGGTACAGTTGTATGAGGAAGCTAATGATATACCGATATCGGTACCCATTCCCAGTGAGCTTCCGCCCGTCGAAATAAGTGCTGCTTCGCCTGTAATGCTGCCTTAGACCATGGACGTTCATACCGAGAAAGAATTGTCAAATACCTCCAGAAGAGCCTCCACAGGATAAAAGTCGATTGACTGGGTTAAGTGTCTGGCCGATGATATTATTTATAGTTTCATCATACTAGATACCAATTATCATAATGCTACTTCAGCTCAACAAAAAATCGAAGCTTACGAGAACAGTTTGTGGCAAGCTGGTCTATCAATTGTCAGCTTAAGTATATCTGCTCCAAAACTTGTGGGGAGATGGATACCTTACAGAAAACCACAGCACCTTGTCCCTCCAAATCTGAAATAACCTGACTTTCTACTGCTCCCACCTTGGTATCATCACCATCTCCTTCAAAAGTGCCAATCCATCCAACATAACCCATGGTTGTATCTGAACCTTTGACATGGAATTGATCTTTAACACTTATTGGTAGACCATGAAGAAATCCCTTGACAGACCCCCGGCCCCCTTTAAAGGATTCATCTAATTTCCTGGCCTTTTCCAAAGCTTCGGGTATCATTATATTGAGCAAGCACGGATTCTACTTGAGTGAGTGGTATACCTCTTTTTAAACCTTTTAAACAGAAGCACAATCGACAATAGGAGGGATCGAAATGATGGAACTCACAATTTGGTGGGCAATACAGGAAATCTTGCAGGAAGCCCGCACACATTGAACAGCAGTCCATTCTCCATTCCAAATCCTCCTCAGTATTGAAATTGTATCATGGTTTAGGTATTCCCGTTCAAACCGATCCAGATACTTGCAAATAAAAGGCCCAGTGATGCTTCGCTGAATCCTCGCATTTGAGAGATCATTCGGCGAAAGTCTCCAGTCAAAAGGGATTTCTTTCATAATAAAAGTGGTTCTTTCTGCTGCTAGTGTTCCCCAGGAGTGAGACATGATGTCTTCGTTCGGCAATAGTAGAAACTGCTGTGTACTTATTGGTGAGGCTTGATCTAAGAGAAGAGATATTGTATAACTGTAACACAACAGGAAAAGAATATTTCGAAATTTCTTTCCTGTATGTAAAGAGAAGTGAGGAAAATATCATTTATCGCATGTTGTGTGATTGAGCTGCCATATGTGAATAAATGTCGGGCATAGTTACACTGCAGTTTGGAGGTGAATATCCATCCATCTGATGACAGTGAAGACTAGATTCACTGACTCCTGCCATGATTGGCCGGGCTTAATAGCCTGGATTGAGTTGCATAATATCTGTGACATGCTGCAGCACAATTGCATATTCAAACAAAATTTGCATCCATCTCCTCATCAAAAGGGCTGAAGAAAATCAACCTTATTAACATTTATTAATACCATTCATCAAAATCATTGGGATATACTTGAAGTGGAAGTTGCCAGCAACTTTTTCGTTTCATCTCTCAAATCGCACTATCCTTCCTCAATCCGATTCTGCATCATCGTCCAATTCTTCAAACCGTCCTTGTTGTAATGCTTCCTCCATAGGATTCTTCGCAGTGATGATCCCATTCTTCTTCAATCTATTAATACGTCAGCTTAATGATTTTATATTTAGAAGAGCTCTAGAATACCGTTCAAACAATACAAATAATCTTTCAGCCTCCCTCTCTTTCTCCTCCTGACTCATCTCTGGCACATCAATCTTCTCTTCAGCTTCGAGAAGTTGTCCAGTGATAGGATTGACTGCTTTTCCACTATCGTGGCTGGATCTTGTTTTGCCATCATCCTTATCATTTTCTGTACTCCATGCTTCGAGAGCATTTTCTGGGATGGGCACATTGTGCTGGAATAGGAAACCAGAGGCAAACCCATAGCCAAGATTTTGAACAAACGTGCTGGCGTCTTTATTAGACAGCTCAAATAGCAATGCTGAAATAGATTCTTTAACTTGCGGCGCCATGGGACTTGTAGATAATTGAATCAAGCGAGCAGACAATGATTCTCCTCGGCCTATAGGTTGCTCGCGATCCTTCTCACTTGGAAGCAACCGGGTTTGCATGAACTGACGAACTTCCGAAGGACCGATCTCGTACAATCTACGAATGAGGGTAAGTAGTGGTGAGACAAGTTGCTCGAGTTCCTCGTCCTCATATTTATTGATGGAATGATCTAGGAGTTCAAGAAATTTTTCGACATGGGAGAGTAGATTTACTCTAGGGAACAACACGCTAATATTTCCCGGATCTTCAAGAGGGAGGTTGATAAGGGTGTTGATAAGTTGCGAAACGGGGGATTCAAGGGGCGTATTTGGAATTATTTCTCTTTTATCAAGAATTGATAAGATGTAAGGTAGTGCTTGTGAGAAGCTGGAGTTTCGTTGTGGACAGAAATGTGTGATATTGAAGAGAAGTTTGAGCGATTCAGCAAGAGCCATATCCTCCATTGGATCTAATTGCTTGACTTTTTTCTGCTTCGCATTGTGCAGTCTCGCATGGTTGGCAATATTATGTGAAATAGCGTCCGCTAAATGACAATGATCGATGAGATTCTCAATATTGATAGTTGTACCGTAGGTTGTGAGGAAGATAATCCTAGATAATAAAAACTCATCGTCAACAGACCCATTCCTATCTTTGAGTAGAGTGCAAGCCTTTGCATCATAACCTAAGGTAACCAATGTTTGTCGTGTGTCTGGCTTTAAGAGCAGAGCGTTTGCGAGACATCGGAGCGCATTTCGAGAAGTGATTTTTGAGGGGCTATTGAAGGCGTGCCTTGAAAGAGTCTCGATGCCCTATCGCGAGAGTTAGATATCCCTTGCGCAAAAACATGTGTCACCTACCTCTTTTGTGAATATTGGGTCTGCATTGGTGGGGTCACGGCCATACACCTTCAATTGCTCAAGGAGTGCATCTCGTTCTGCATAGAGGAATGAGTATATTTTAATTTCTGAAGACTAATATAGACTTACGATGCGGCAAAAGGCTAATCTTCTCCAAATCCACCTTGAGACTTTCTACGATTTTGGTGACATCCGCCAATTTTGCTAACCATGATTGTTAGCAAACTATACCATAAACCACTTCGCATCCACAGATATACCTTCGCCGGTTAATTCCTGGGAAGACAAAGATGTTCTGGCACTTGAGATGGACATATTTGACGCTTGGAACCGAACTGAAGCTTCACAAGGTCGTATCAGTCTTGTATGATGCTCCCAGACTGTGCATCCACCGTATGAATTCGATTTCGGAGCCACTTGGACAAAACCGCAAGCCACTGCTCGCCCGCCTGGATTACCTTACTCAGATATCCTTCACGATTCTATTGGCAGATGATGCAGTCGCCAAACAAGATATGGGCTGCTAATGTTTCAAGCTCTCTAAGCCGACCGTATTACAATTTTATGCTGATGCTGTGCTTTCCACCAATTGTCTGAAATCCGTTTGATTGGCACAAAGCTGCAATTTTGACTCGGGTTGTGCAACAAGAACCACGAAATGTAACACTCAGAATTCAGGCAATGGGGTGGATGGAAACGGCAATCGTTGCATAACCATCTGGGAATCGCGGTTCGAGGTGGTGTGGAATTCCAGCGAGACCTTGGGGTAATGCGTCTATTTTGTAACGGAGGATGAGTAGGCCTTATGATACAGGAATTCAAGAGTAAAACGATTACTCGGACAATTTGGTAAATTTTGTGCCAACAAGACACTTTTGCATGGAAATCCTGTTGGATCTATCAATTGAGGGAACATTCGAAGAACACACCACTGGTGCACTTTTATTATTACTGCATTGGCCCCAGCCTCGAATTCTGCCATCATTTCACCACTGTAGGTTAGCGCGAACAAATTAGCTGGCGGTGTAATAGCTTGGCGGAATTTAGTAAAAATATCAAAATGAATTGACTCCTTGGTAGGTTACATGGACCGAATGGATATTATCCAGAAACTTCTCTCTAATTGGATAGTTCCAAAGTAAGGAACATATGATTGATACGACGTCACTTCAGCTAAAGCAACATGTTGTGTGTGGTTGAAATCAAGATATTCAAGCATATAAGCTGAGTATGTGATCAACCTCAGTTCCGATATCCTGCCGGTACATTTCCGTTTCTTACACCCTTCACATGCCGTCATCTAGATCCGTCGCAGCTGTTACCAAACCACTGAGTCACCATTCCAAAATCTCTTTCTTTGCATTTCACGAGTTGTGGAAAAGTGCCGTCTTCCTTGCAGTTCTCTTTCATACAAATACTACCGCCTAGCAGCGCTACGTTTCCTGGTTATGACTAATGAGTCAAACTCAAACCTGTCAAATTTACAGGATATAAGATCTTCGGAGTCTACGATATTAAATCCCAAAACGCTTACCTGATGACTGTTGAGCAACCACATTTTTGATCGTAAGGTTGTCGCTCAGCTCAATGGTACTGGTGTAATGAGAATAGGGGCGGCAGGATCATGGTTAGCGAACATGAATGCCAACGGAAGGAAATTAAAATGCAGTAGCCTCCCTATGGTATGCTTATAGATTCCTCTTGATCAGTTCCAGTCTTCAACTACGCGTAACACAACTCACCAGTTCAGGACCTTCCATCATCTACGGATTGGAAACCAATTTTTCAGGATCCTGTAACGCAAAAAGTACCGCCTGTGCTCGCACCGGGAGTCTGTCTCTTTCCTGTGTAGATTCGGGCCTTTATCAATTATTTTCGGGAATTCCTCGATCGGTATATGCATAGTTATTGTTCTACTCCGACGGGATGTACTGCTGGTGATTAAGTCAGAAGACTGGTCCGAAATCTAGTAATCTTCCCCACATCTGATGTTGTCATCATATTTAAGACATTCTTTTGTTTTTCTCAAGCGGGAAACGAAACAGGTGGTGGTTTACACAATTCCGTCATAAAACTGGGATTATCATTTCAGACAGGGGAGCATGTGACTGTTATTATCCCGTGCAATATTTAGGCTAATCTCTATCACCAGCTCCCGATATACGTACCGAGTATAGTACATTTTCAGATGGCATTTCACCTCATCTAGCTAGATAGTTCAATGCAACCTTGGGAGGATAATCCTTGTATCTGGCTTTGCTAATTAAGAGAAAGACCGACAAGCTAGACCCAAAAGTTTCATACCCATCGCCGATATCAAGACTCCCACGGCAATACTTTATTGATTCCTGCTCTGCCATACCTTAAGATTGCATACTGCATTGCTCTTTGATAGCCCAGAAGATGTTTTCTGCCGCTCCAGTCTTTCTATCTGACCGTGTTATTCGAATTCATATATGGGCTCAAAAGAGACCATGATATTCACACCTCATAGACTCCAACAACGGCGACGAATCTGGCTATCGACATTTAAACTCCTACCAATGGTATAAAAGCACTTCCTCGACAAAAGCGGCTTAGGATATGCTCATACAGACAACTACTTGAGGAACTGACAACGACTTCACACTCACTCACCCAATGTTCGTGGCTATGACTACTGTCTCGGATGTGGTCGCGAAGCAGAAGAAAGAGAACATTCTGTTCTCGCCAGAGACCCAAACATTGGAGGTTGCAGCTGCGACTGGTACACTTACCATAGGACTTGTCAATCAAAGCTCCTCAAACACTGTCTATGCATATGTTACCGGTCTTGCCATTAACAACAACTATGCTGTGGTGCTGCTTCAAGCTGACGGTTCGACCCTGTATTACCCTACAAATCCATCATATGATGGATCTGCCTTGAAAGAAGACTGCGCCATTCCGCTAGGAGCTCCTGGCTCTACTACAACAGTCATTATTCCATACATTGCAGGCGGTCGGATTTGGTTCTCCGTTGGAAGTACTTTGACATTTCTGCTAAATTCGGGGATTGCGGGGCCTGGATTGGTTGAACCCTCAGTCAGCAACACATCTGATCCGAACTATCTGAAGAATTGGGATTTTTGTGAATTTACATACAATAGCGACGAGGTTTTTGCAAATATTACCTATGTGGACTTTGTGTGCCTTCCCATTTCTTTGACACTGAACAGTACAAGCGGTGCAGTGAAACATGTTAGAGGTTTGCCTTCAAATGGATTGGCTACGGTCTGCGATGGTCTAATAGCACAAAGTGCGATTGATGGGGCCGGCTGGGACCAACTCATTATTAGGAACGGTGCTATATACTTGAGAGCCCTCAACCCAACTCAGGGCATAGTCTTTAATTCGGCACTTTTCAAAAACTATTGGACCAGCTATGTCGACGCTGTTTGGTCTAAATATGCCAGCACTCCCCTAATTGTCAACACTCAAGCATCATGGGGAGATGTCCTTGGATTGACATCCAACCTCACTTCCTTGTCGTTCAGTAGCATCGGCTCCTTCACAAAGCCATCGGCGGCCGATATATTTGGCGGCGCGTCAGGGGCTTTTGCAGCCCAGCCTAACAACACCGATCAGCTTTTAAACATTGGCGCACGGCTCGACGCTGCACTCAATCGTTCAACTCTTTTGATCGACTCCTTCCAGCCGAACAATGAAGTGGTCTCAACATACTACAAAAACGCAATTACAAACCACTATGCAAGAATTGTCCACGCTGCAAACGTCGATGGTCTCGGTTACTGCTTTCCGTATGACGATGTCACGCCCGATGGGGGTGTTAACCAATGCGGCGCCATAAATGATTCATCGCCCTCTTCTTTGATCGTAACGGTCGGCGGCAACAATGCATATGCACAAAGCAAGGTGAGTACAGTGGAAAATGATGATTCTGCCAACGAAAACTCTCTTGGCACTTCCCGTGGAGACCATTCAGCTCCGGGAGAAGAACAAAACGTGCCATCACACTTGGATGCAACTTAGGTATGAAATCCGGAAAGGCAGCCACGATTTCATCCACGAAGCTTTCCCCTTTCCTGGATTGATTCTTGGAAGTAATTCACTAGACATTACCATCTCATCGCCGCAAATCTTCGCAAACATCCTAACAATCATTCCTTTGTTTTTACTTCCACGCTTCTCAGGACTTCTCCGCCAGTTTGTAACAATTCTAGGGATATCCTCTTCCCTTGTGCTCAGAGACTCATTCTTTTGAATATGATTCGTATTCTGTTCACTTTATTTCATTTCTGTCGCTCCTGACACCTTCCGTTCTATCATCAATCTTTACAAATGGTTAGGTTTATTTAATCTGAAGTTTTGGACTGTGCATGTTACCAAAAGGAGGGGTGGGCGAATTATGGAGAAGATATTGGTGGAGCTATAGTGGGTCCACCATCCGGTCTACACAATTCAATGAAATCCTGGAACGTTTGTAAGATCATTGTTATCTGGTGAAATTCGTGACACACTTTCTGAGTACGGTGTGCTTATTATGCTTCGAGCCCCATATCATCCAACTGTTGGTACCGTCCTTGCCTGGCAAGAGATAACTTTTTCAAAACTTTTTCATTTCCATTACGAGGTTATCAGTTAAACTTCTCTTTTCGGCGGATGGCGGGGGCTTCCCTGAGCTTCATCCTGGGAAAGCTTAACCTGCCAGATCACTGCATAGGATAACTAATTAGTTCCCGAGTATGTACCGATTTACAGCCAATGAAAGGCTAGTAAATAGGCATGAACCCTAGTTATTAGGCCATAGCTCGTCCTGAAGTTCTTGATGGGGAGTATCCACTATGTAAGACTGGTACCCACCCACCTCATCCTTACAAAAAGATGGCTGAACAATTCTTTTAACATGCAGGGGAATGGTGAATTTAGAAGCCACTACTCCGTACTCCCCACGTGGACCTTTTATTCGCTTTAGGAAGGCCGGAAGATAGGGCAGTGTCTTTGTTCAACCCGGGAAGGAAAACAACGATCGCTATCAAAAGTTCAAAGCCCAGAAACAATCGTAGATATATAACCCAACGGTCAACCCAAAGTTGTGAAGTCCTTGGCAGACCTTCAATTGTTCTCATTCCTCCGCTCCAAGCTACATCTAAAGATGTATCTTTCCACAGTCGTTGCTACTAACGCCTTGTTGGCATCGGCCACGGCTGCCAATCTCATTACCGATATCAATCAGATCCAGAAGTACTGGGGAGAAATGACTCCTTATGCTGATAACGAAGAAGATTATTTCGGTGTAGAATATGTCGGACTTCCGGAAGGTTGTCAAGTTGTACGTTTCTGTCGTTAATGATGCCTATAAGCCGACTAACAATGTCAAGGAATCAGTGCAGGTTCTCCAAAGACATGCGGAGCGTTTTCAGACCGATTCTGTAGACGATGGTGCGAATGATGAGCGTTTTGCTGAGAAGGTTTCCAATTTCACCTCAACGTCTTCCAATGCGACCTTCACAGGCCCTCTTTCTTTTTTGAACTCTTATGAGTATCCCATGGTCGACAATGGCCTCTTGACTGGAGTGGGCGCAGTTACCGAATTTACTGCCGGTGTTTCTTTTTGGAATCGTTATGGCAGAATTTTATATGGTGCATCCCCTGGGCAACTTGCCTACGATCCTTTACACGCCAATGGCACGGCACGCCCGAAGGTCACCTTACGCACAACCTCACAATCAAGAATCGAAAACAGCCAAATTAACTGGGCATTAGGATTTTTTGGTCCTAGTTATTCCGCCGTCCCAGATCCTACTTTTGAAAACGTGACCACAGGATTCGACGTGGTGATAATCACTGAAGGAGGAAGCGACAATAATAATACCTTAGCATCATATTACGGTTGTTCCAATGACAACACTGATGGAATTTGGAACATTGGGGATTATGACATTTACACTTATCTTCCGAAATATTTGAGCAGCGCGACCAAAAGATTACAAAAATATGCACCTTCTGGCTTCGAATTAACATATAACGATACCTACGCTATGCAAAGTATCTGCGCATATGAGCATGCATACATTGGCATGAGTGCTTTCTGCGGGCTATTCACCGAGGATGAGTGGGCCGGGTTTGAGAGTACATTAGATATGATATGTAAGTTTGCACCTCCATTGATTTTCATGCGCCTCCCATGCTGAAAAATGCCAACAGACTGGTACGATTATTCGTATGGAAATCCCACGGGACGGGCTCAGGGAATCGGCTATGTCCAAGAGCTCCTCGCCCGTCTCCAACATCAATACATTCCCTCCTCAAATTCGTCCGTAAACTCCACCCTGGACGATAATCCAACCACATTCCCATTGGACCAAAAGTTCTACGCTGATTTCTCCCACGACGATATCATCATTTCCGTTTTGGCAGCAATGGGCATGGATTATTTCAGAGAGGCTCCAAGTCTCACACAATACCCACCCAACCCAGACAGAAATTTCATCATTTCTCACATGACTCCATTCGGCGCTCGTCTCGTGACGGAGACCATCGGCTGCAGCTCCGCCGACCCATTCCCTGAAAGAACTTCAAAGGTTCATTATACACCTACTCAATATGGCTATGACTCTGCCAATGCCACGAACAAATTTATTAGAATGAGACTCAATCACGGTATACTTCCGTTAGATTCGATTCGAGGCGGTGGGTGCAAGGGCAGAGTAGATGGAATGTGTGAGATGGAAAAGTTCCTGGGGAGTCAAAGTAATGCGACGGCACTGGCAAATTATGATTATGTCTGCTTTGGGAATTATACCATTGCGAATATTACGAGTGGAGAGGACTATGATGGTACTTTGTTTGAGTAGCTGACCAAGATGGCCCCGCTTTTAACATAGTTTTAGATCGGATTGAAGGTTAACAATTCTCTTTAGATGAGAAATCTTGTTGTAAAAATAAATCTTGGACATCTAAATTAAAGTTTGGATTCTGCATTTTGTCCATTCGACGGTGCACGAGGCCTTCTAAACTACCACCACTGGAATACCCACTCAAAAGTTGATTGAATGTGATTCAAATCACCAAGCTCACCTGTCCCATTCATATGCTCGCTGCTCCAATCATTTCATTTGCGTGCTAATTTTAACTCTTTTTATTTTGGATCTGGAGCTCAAACGAGGAAGGTTGAATTAATGAATCTTATGTCTTGAAGAGGCCTTTCCTTTCAGTTTGGCAGTGCCGAGGATGGCCATTTTCCCAAAATCTTTAAATGGCAAGCGCATTAAAGGAAAAACTGTAATCTGACCCAGAAATGTATCTAGTTCATACACTACTGTATTACAATTGCACGCTGCAGTTTAGTCATATATATGAATTACATATTCATTACCACGTGTTCCATTTATTCTCACTACTTTCTACCCAATTGAGAAATGACAAAGTCCCCCCCTAATTGATTAGACCAGACTCTCGCTTTACGCCCCGCACAGTTTCCTGTATCAATGAATTATCACCATGGTGTCTCTCCAAATAAATACATATCGCCTGACACTCCAAAGTCGCCCTGCGTTCAACCCACCAGACCAATGTCCGGGTTTTTAGATACCAATATGCAAGTAGAATTAGGGCTCTGGGATCTCTCATTTTCAATAGAATTTTAAGCTGAGGCGACATGGTTGTTAAGAATCGGAAGAAAGATAATAGGGCTGATCGATTGCACTCAATTTTCATAATCCGCCCAAGAGCCATAATCGCCGAATAATATGGATTATTCATGGAATTAGAGTACTCGTCCAAGTCGAAAAGTTTGGCAAAATGAGAGGGAAAGGATGAAAGGTCAGGTTTCTCATCGCTTCCGTAGTGAGCAATGTCATATTCGATAGACATGACATGAAAAATGCTATCTTTGCGCGTCGGATCTGTGAGTTCAAAAACAGCGCTCTTGCACTCGCTCATACGCAGCCAGTCAAGGTCATGGTCTGCATATGGAGTAAGAGGCCATGCATCATAGGGCGAGGAAGCTTCAATCGATGACATAGCTACGATCCCGAGAAGTGCCGCCGTGGCCCACAAAACATCCTTATCTTTGTATGCAATGGGCCTGCAGAGTTTCTGATTGAAGAGGGATGCGGCACGAGCTAGGTGGTAGATTTCTGCCGGCGTGCGCTGCGACGATCCTCCTTTCTGAAGAGTAAGGTATCGATCGTGGCACGCGGTTAGAGTTTGAAGGGTATGCATAAGGAATGGATAATTACAGGCCATTGGGATGGCAAATTCTTGGAACACTCCGGCAGCAGCTGGTGTCAGCAATGAACTGACAGTTCGGCGACGAAAGTGGTCTAATCGACAGAGGCTCTGTCTATCCAGCTCAAAAAATGAGATGCCATCGCCGATAGTGCAAGGCGGTTCTAGAGTGGTAGGGATGTTGGGTTTCCCTGAATTTGTAGTGCGAGTGATAGGCCAGGGGGATTCTCCAGGGTTTGTTGGTAACTTTATGGTTGAAGATGTTCCAGAACAGGCTAATTCTAAATCCGGCATTCTTGGGTCATAATTACATGCATATCCGTAACCGCTACACTTTAAGCAATTCGGTCTTGCCTCGTCGCACTGAAGACCATTATTTTGATCAGTCAATTGTACCAAACCATAAATCCAAGAATATTGTGTTACCTTGATTTTCCTCAATTTGCAATTCCGACATCCTTTCCGTGACTTTTTATGAGCTCTCCGCTTTCGCTGGCTGTCTTTCCTAGCATCGGCTTCCGCATTGTTGGACATGGTTAACGTCAGTCACCGGGTCGTTTCGAGTAAATTTTTGGCGTAATTCTGTTAGGATCATCTCCAGTGATTTCATGTAGGAAGTGAGGAGTTTTTTAATGAATACGACAGAAGGAAAGATACGCGAGGTGATGAAGGAGAAGATGCTTCAGGAAGATAAATATAGATATGTCCTCCTTCGCCCCACCACATTTCCCCACTTCTGACACTCGCGCTAACCACATTTCGTATTCGCAGCCAAACTAGTCCATGTATAGTCTAGAACATCGCAGCATGCATTATTAGAGGCAGATCACTTCAGTCTAATCCCGAATCGAGTCCCATCCATCTTCACGACAGCTCTAGAGAATCAAGAAGTGTAACATAGGATGATGAAACAATTCCTTGCAAACGTCAATAATGGCGTTGTCGGACAAATATCCACGCAGTGATCCTTGTTACGAAACTCTTCGAGGTTGCGTGTTGCTTCAAGGTGAGAAGGGAGTTGATTGTAAAATACTGTGAGTTTCTTTTCATAAGAAGGACAATATATAAACCACTTTCTTTCCACCTTAAGCCAGTAACCAAACAATATATCTTACCTCAATTGATCTCGCCTACTACATTAACTTAGCCATGTTTTCAGCAACTGACGCTTTCCTTCCAGCCACGATGAGGGCACTTTACGTCGAAGCTCAAGGCCAACCTTTCACCATCAAGACCGTCCCAACACCTCAACCTGGTCCGGGAAGTCTCGTCGTCAAAGTTCTCGCTACAGACATTGATCCACATTTAAACCAGATCATGAATGGGGAGCTCCCCTACCTCTACGTACCTACGCCTCTCATTCCAGGCGGTCGTGCTATTGGTCGTGTCGCAGCCACTGGGCCAGATACTACCGCTTTATCCATCGGCCAGCTCGTGACCATCGAGCCTTTTGTGCGTGGCCGCGATAATTCTGATGTACAAATACTATGGGGAGTTGGCGTATTTGGACAAGACCGAAAACCAAAGAAACTCATCGAGGCTTGGCGTGATGGCGTATCAGCTGAATATGTGAAGGCACCACTTGAGAATTTTTACACCCTAAACGAGAAACGGCTCTTGGGGAAACCTTGCAGACGGAGGCCTTGGTTATTCCCTTGGGGACCTTACTATACTTTCTCGACATCTGGTAGCCTATGGAGGATTTCGAGGAATTGATCTCAAACCTGGAGAGACAGTCATCGTGGCGCCTGCTACAGGTTCGTTTAGCAGTGCTGCAGTCGAAGTAGCATCAGCCCTGGGCGCGCGTGTCATTGCCGTTGGTAGGAACTTGTCTAAACTGCAGAAACTTGCAGCAGCGAACCAACGTGTCGAAGTTGTGCAGACTTCTGGTAATTTTGAGGAAGATCTTGCAAAAATCAAAGCCTTTGGTCCAATTGATGCGTATCTGGATTTGTCGCCCAAGGAAGCAAACGGATCGAGCTATATTAGAGCTTGTTTGATGTCATTAAGGAATTATGGGAGAGCATCACTGATGGGAGTACCGAGTAATGATATTGATATTCCATACATGATGGCTGTTATGAACAACCTTACGATTCGAGGACAGTATATGTATGAGAGAGAAGATGTAAAAGGACTGATTAAACTTGTTGAGAGTGGCTTATTGAAGATCGGAAAAGCTGGTGGTCATGAAATCGTTGGTGAATTTCCAATTGAGCAGTGGGATGAAGGGCTCAAAGTTGCGGTTCAGAATCCCGAGCCTGGAAAAATAGTCGTTATGCATCCTTAGTTTGAGATCTTGCTTAAGAGTCTTTTTACTTTAGCATACAAATATCTATATTTAACTTCCTTCGCCCAAATTCCTACTATGCTCATAGCCATAACTCATGTTCTTTCTCGACTGCAACCTTTAATGCTGTCGTCTCTTTGTCATACCGGATATCTAACTTTGTGCTCTGACGTACAAATACCTCTTGCGTTTTGTACCGCTTATTATTAATCGCGATAAGTAGAGGCGCACTTACCCTAGGCTCTTTGATTCATTTTGTACTAACATCAGCACCCGCTTTCAATAATTCAAGAATCATATCGAGATCTCTCTTGCAGCGACATATACTAAAGCCGCAGTGAGCATCCCTTAATATTTGTACAAATCTCTCCGTTTCATGATGTAATTTACAATTAAAGTGACGGCAGAAACTATCTCAACATCTTCCATTTTTTTAATTTGCGCGATGTATCCACCGAATTCTACATGGAGAATACATACGGCATGAAAATCTAACTTTTTAGATCGAGACTCCTGATATCTGCTCATGGAAGCATAGTAACGAAGTGCAGGTTGGGCGGTGATCGCTTGCAGTGATTTGGGGATTGAGCGAATTGCTGCCGTTTAGATTATCGAGACACGGGGTTGGCAATTTCGAGGTGAGGATTTGGGGAATTGGATGACCGCTAGGGCTGGGTTTATAGAATTTAGAGAATCCTTTCTTTGAGGCTTGAGATTTCTGTATCTGAGATTGGATCTTTCGATGGAGAGGACTCAGCGTTAATTGACGTGGCTCTTGGTAGTTGAGAAATTGATGCATTCAGAAAATAAGCCTAGGTTGGGATTCGCAGCTGAACCTATAGACAATCCATGGAATGGCACCAACTCATCATACTAGAAATGCGATCCCACTTAGGCTTTAGACTTAATGGGAAAAAATGATTCAAACCTGGTTTCTGCGTAAGAACAAAATAATCAAACATAGAAGAACGGTTTGCGCTAAGTGGAGACGGCGAAGAGCAGTACCTAACTTTCGTCTGATTCTTATACTATAAAAGTGGTAGGTCGAAATACATATGTCCTGATAGCATGTTATAAAGGGAAATTGGAAGAGAAAGCTGATTAGATTATATCGTAATATATCGTTTATAAAGAAAACGGGGTTTATAATGCTTTTAAGGTTGAGATTATATAGGTTCAAATATATACATATAGAAAATTGATTATTATAGAAAAGAGAAATAAAAGCTCTCTTTTTATATCTTTTTATATCTAATTATAGGAGGTTATATAATTGATTAGTTAAAAAGCTTTATGTATGTGACCTATAATTCCAACTTTCCCATAATACGACGTACACTGCAACTGTATCTAATACCGACTGCAGTCTGAAAATAACAGATTTTTGATTGTTAGCTTCTCTTCAAAACAATAAATATGATGAACGGTCGGAAAGCACTTCATATCAGACCCCGAAAAATCTATATCAAATTGCAGCCCAGGATATTAGATTAATTGAAACGGTGGATGTACATTTGATGCTTCAATACCACCAAGGGAGAACGAACAGGTTCTTAAAAATAAACATTGCTTCAGAATATCAATACTTCAAAGTGCGCTGAACGGTACAAGGAAGGACAGCGCATTGTATTCTTTGTTGACCATATAATCATACCATAGCCATCCTCACTTATATCTCACTAAAGAAAGATAAATGGCCGCTTTTACATGAAAAAAAAAGCAACAGGAAAGAAAAAAGCGGAAGCTCATATACGATCATTAGCACAAAGAAAGGAGAACCCCTCGAATGGCTTACTGTATCTACTTATTGCTCGACCAAAGCATGTGAATAGATCATCGTCACAAATAACTCGATTAAACTCGGTGTTCAATCTGCTTTAACCACTTTCCTAGAGCGAATTGGTAAGAAAGCATGGGATGGGATAAAGTGGTGATATTGGGAAATCCTCTTTCAAGCAGAACCTTCCTTTTAAGAAATTTACTCTTGAAAAGCCGAAAATTAATCCGCAAAATTTCTGCGATGAATAGATACGTTTGAGGATACTACCGTGTTAGAGTAATGTCCGAGAATATTATTCCCCTTAACTTCAAGGGCGACCAATCAACATAAGTCGTATACGACATCACTATGTCCAAGTCATACTAACGTAGACAGCCTGATATTTACGTTGACTGCGTTTGGTGTTACCTATCAAAGTAGATATGTGCAACATGCAACGTATGAAGGTAGTACCGGGTTCTTGTCAAGGAAGCTGACAGCATGAGTAGTCATGATGCATGCTGACAGCAACTGAAACACAACACTTGATTGCTTACAGAGTACACTCATCTCAATAAAAGCAAAGCAGCTCTCTCTTACTGTCAACTATGACCATGGCAGACAGGGCAGATATTTACAACATCCAAATTGAAAAGGGCAATTCCAACCAGCGAGTGTCTTACGGTACGTAGACCCGAGTCATCAGCACTTTACGACTCGGCCTCCACCCTCTTCGGCTACCTCCCCCGCGATGTATCAGCGGCAGGAGATAAAAAGGTGGTGTGATCCCCAGGACTGGACCTTACATCTTATATCAAGAGACATCTCGTCTCCAATAAAGAAAGTTCCATATCACAAGAATTGGAACAGCGGTCCCCAACATTTGGATAGGGGGCCAAACCTGCACAAGTTTGTTATCGGGAACACATTCCCCCGAGGACAAACATAAAAATCCCATGTTATGTCGGATCCGCCTCACGGATCACAATCATAAGAACATTCCTTACTCCGTAATCAGGTACAGACCCATGTCCATGTAATAAACTTTCAGCGGCGGATGTGCATGCATTGGGACAGCATGTCGCTCAGCCGCTAAGCTCACCTCAGTTTCCCACCGACACGGCGTTCGAAACTCTCCGCAGCAGCGTTTAATTCGGAATCTAGGATGCAGAACTCGGGCCCGACGCGGAAACGTCTTCGATTCGTTCGTTTGTTGCTTTCGGGTTCGCGATGTTAAGAGTCGTATAATGCCGTATTGTTTTTTTCAAAAGGGGCATGCAATACGTTATACGTTGGATGCATAGGAAAGGGTTGGTTGAGCGGTAGAAATAAAATCTAGCTATCGTAAAACTCTCCACTGAAAGGATCTTTCTAAGAGCAGCATGCTAGCCTAAATTAGACGATCCTCGGATCTCGCATTCGCTTTTTATTAGATGGTTGGGATTGTTTAACTTTCATATTCGCGCTGATTGGTTTCTTGGATATCAATATATTAATATATTAATATATCTAAATAAGTTTCAACTCGCTCACCTACAAATCAGATAATGCATCAGACGGTAATTCGGCATTTCTTTTATTTAGTGTTCTACAACGTTCGTTAACATTGGCACTATCTAGTTCCAGCGATATGAGGGCCATTCCCGCGATGACCAGAGCAAGGATTCGTCGGTTATGTAATCACTCTATTAGTATATGATCCGGGAATAAGACCGTGATGTCATTTATTGTTCTAGATGAATGAAGCGGGTAGAGCGGGTGGTTCTGGAGAACGTTATCACTATCACTCATCATGACTGATCATGAGAGAGGAAAAATTCTTTTGTACAGATGCAAAACGGCTAAGGTTCTCTACTAATTTCATAACTCAAAAACGCATCGAGAGCATCCGAACCCTAAAGTTATGAAAATCCAAGCGATCCACTTACATCACGATTCATAGCGGCTGGGCACTAAAATCCTTGTATATGTCGGACATGCGTTAACTCCGCACCGTAAACCCTCTCATTGGTGTAATGCAACGTCCTAAGTCAGGGATATCCGGCCGATAGGTAAGCAACGATGTTATTAATCAACATGTGGCTGCTTGGTATCTAATGAAATACTGGCCATTTTCCTCTTTTTCGAGAATGGAGATAAGATTACAGCCGAGCCTCACAATATTTTATTTGTTGTTATACATGATATAAACTCTGTACCTTCCATGTCGATATTTGATACCCTAGAAGATAGTAAAGACCCGATTCACTCATCATGAAGTAAGGTCCATTTGTCTTGCAGATCCTACGATGTGGGAGCCGAGAACATGTGCGTCACTCTGTTAGAATTTAGCACTTTACTACCAAAGATAGAGAAAGTATCTTCTATTGGATACGCTCGGAGTGTAGTTTCTTTCCACTCTAGAGCAAATTAAGATTACTGTAGAGTTTTGCGCTGAGACCCTAGAGTACTTCTTTGGCTGACTAGCCCTCTTCAACAATAAAAGAATACTACTCAGGCCTGTTCATCCGTACTTCCAACTTCCAGAAATAAAGTTGCAGCAAATCCTAAATGTACAAAGTGTATACCAATCCAAGCCAACCTAAATCCCGACGTTGACATTTTGTGTCATCAAGACCGCCATGGTATCGCTCCCCGTTCCCCAAACTCCGTAGCCAGTAAATCGTGACCTCGTCAAATAGTTCTGTCTCTCGTAAGACGTAATACACCTCTCCTTAAACCAAGTCGTCTCAAATATTGCATAATTCCCGGCTGTAAAATTCATCCTCAGCAGAAAATGAATACCCACTCAAGTCATTAAAGTCCAAGTCAAAAACGGTGTCGCAAGGCTCTAGGTAAGGCGATCGGTCAAAGTAGCTGCTAGCAGCTTGCTTGTTCAACAATAGCGTGTTTAGATCGTGGAATGGCGCTTCTGAGAAGTCGCCGAGAGGCGAATTCGGGGAGAGATAGGGGTCATTTTGCAAGGTGGATAAGTATGGTGATGAAGATGAAGAAGAATCTGTTTGGTAGGAATTTTCAGAAGATGTAAGCGGCGAATTCGCTTGGTAGGCGGGCGAAAATGATGAGACGGTAGATTGAAAGGGCGAGTTCGTTTGGTAGGTAGGCGAGAACGACGATACTGTAGAGGCAGATAATGTAGATTGTTCTTGATAATGATAAGGCTGTATCGTCAGACCGGGTACTCGGCGGCTGTCCAAAGTTGCAGGGTTTCGACTGCTGAATGAGGACCCCATAGAAAATTTTGATGGTAAGTTATTTATCATATTTCCATGGGGCATATTGACGCTTGCGTTTTGACTCGTCCTTGCCGATCTAATCGAAGCCTCATGTGACAAACTAGAAGTGTCGGGTCTTTGATCGATAGCTGCCGATCTTGATGTTGGTGCCGGTGATGGGAGGCTTTTGGGTGATTGAAGCTGGCGTTGAATGGAAGGCTTAGTTGTGTTGAGATACTCTACCTCGGACGAGGTAGGGAAATGGCTCGAATAACTTGGGGGAGGGAGCTCGACTGGTGATTCAACCTGGAATTCGGGCAAGGATTTGGCGCATTTGAGTTGTTGTTCTGGTGAAAGCTCCTCGGTAGACATGTTACCCTCCGTCTGAACCTCCTTCTTGACTTTGGACATTTCTTCTGCGGACAAGCGGGTCAATAGAGCTGGCGCATCTTCAATGAAACACTCTGGAAGACCAGGTGCATTACGTATGCAGCCAAGTGCCTGAGCTATGTCATGAATGACTACAGGCCCCTTTCCACCATCCTTCATCCGAGGCTCTGAAAAAGTCCATTCCTCTCTACTCTTTACCATTCGCCATAGCTTGTCTATAACAAGTACCATTGCTTGGTAGGTGTTCTCTAGGGATTCAGTGTATCTGAATGCTTACGTCAGATACTATTCATATGATAGAATTAAATTACTCACCCTGGAGGATACTTTTTGTCCTCCGTGTGCTTTCCGTTGCCGGCCTCACATACCACATTGGCATCGACACACGCATTGCAAGCAATGTCCCGTTCAATATCACACTATTATACCATTAGAATTTTGGTAAAGGTTTCTCATGCTTTGATATGCGTACTTTTATCTTTTTATTACGACAACGCTCACATGCTCTCGTGGCACGTTTATTTCTTTTCCCACTTTCGTTGGGAGATGTGGGACTTGAATGTTCACTTGAGGTGCCATCTCTCTTGCGCTTTCGTGCGTGCTGTTTTGACCCTTTCGGGGGTTTTATGTCATTGGAAATAGTCATCTTGAAATATCCAAGATCTTCGGACTCAGTGCTAAATAGTGAAGTAGATTGCAGGTCAAAAATATAATCTAAAAGTTGAGAAGGTCGTAACGGGTCAGGGCTTTTATTGAATGTTAAAAGGCTTTCAAAAAGGAAGGCTGGACAAAGCGTTTATGAGTATATAGTTCAAGTTAAGAATTTGTAAAGGGTGAAAAATGTGTCCGAGGATTGCATGCAGTATGCGAGAAATGCATCAATTGGAAGGTCGACTGTTAATTATATGAAAATAATTAAATAATGGATCCCCAAATGCTAGGCGCCATACAGTAGTGACGGACCTGAAAGGAATCCTAGACCCGTCGACCGAAGCGGCGGGTGATACTTTTTTTTTGATTATGTGAGGTGAAAGTAGGTGGCTAACCTTGCTGGTTCACCTAGACCATGACCCTAGTAATTCGGATTGAAATTGTAAAGTCCGCGCAGCGAAAGAAGTTAAAATAGGTAATCATACCACGATTCTCCGAAGCTCCTACACTCCGTGAAGTAGATTGGCACGGAATGGATTGCGGGATATGTGTTTTTTTGTGTATTCAAGTTCGATGTCGGGGATCTGTGAATACTGGGGTTTATCTGAAGGAACGTGTTTCGCTTGCATTGCTCCAAAATGTTGGAATGAAGGGGGTGAAAAAGGGAAATAGTCTTATTCTACGTTAACTAGTCTCACAAACTCGTTATAAACGCCCCAAATACGGTTGTACTGTACTGATTCTGGTATTAATATTATGGATTAGGACCATTAGAGTATCATCTATATGCACCAGTTGGGCGCAGAATATAAAAAAAAGGAAGTGTCAACTGTAGTGGCAGTGCCAGAGTCATGACATAAAGCGCAGAAAAGCTCAAGTGGATAACTACTGCCGCTTTAATCTTTTTTGGAGACAGGTGTATAGTCTCGGCATGTGATCTTATAAGCATAAATAAATATTAGTGATCCATTTTCATCTCAAATCACGATCATCGGTGAATTTTAAACAGTAGCATACTCCGTATAGGGATATCTTGACATCTATGGAGGCTTGAGGGGCTTCAAAAGCTTGGAGAACCCAACTTAATATCCTTCATCCCAAGCATTGTCCATGAAATACGGTTAATGATGATAAAAGCATCTGTACATGGTTAATGATCAGGTGGGTAGCTAAATTGCATAACATTAAGGATACCCTATATCCGAAAGACTAAGGCATTTATTTCATAACTATTCGGGTTTTGGGTTTTGGGTTTTGGGTTTTGTTTTCCTTCTTTTCCCTTTTTTTAATTGGAACCATCCCATGATTCTACAGGGCTGAGATATCGTTACCCAACCGCGGAAAATCTTAGGGTGGAGCTGTGCCTCTAGATTTTCATGGAAAATCATAAATGTCCGCAATAACCGTTTAACTATCATCCGAATCCGTCTCGGATAGAGCTGAATCTGAAGGAATTATCCAATGTCTGCCACCTCTTCTTCAATTGAGTCATGGTTACATGACATACTAGTGGCAGACAACACATTGAGAGTCGGTATAGGTATCATCAACATCAAGTAGGTATCTATTTTGTGTCACAGCAGGAGAATACCCACTATCCAGATATCTACGGAGGAGAGAACACTAAACTTGATATACAAGATATACATTATCATTATCACTATGGGTCTAACTAACACACAAGAGCCGAGTTAGCAAACTTCTAGAACAACGCATCACTAATCAATTCTTGTTGACTACTCCGTAAGCAAATTGTGGTTTCGTATCCCTGATTAGCCCGCTACTTTACAAGTTTGTTTAACTACAAACTGGACCTCATGAGTGCCATGTCATTCCCACCGTTGTGGTCATCATTAAGTCGAAATGCATATATATACCTACCTAACCTCATTGGATAAACTTTCTGCAACTCTAAAATCTTGATAGATTTTGTCGGGATTTCTAATGCACCGCTACCCGTTTCTGATCAAGAAATCAAACCCCAGAGGCCCGTCATTCTGGATAAACCCGTCGTTCTTCTATATCAGTGATATCACAGACAAACCTTTCATGCGAAATGCTTGCAGGGCACGCGATTGAAGCTCCCCACAACTTACAAGATGGTCCCGATGCCTTTTTCTTCCACATGGCAATTCACCAAAATACTCCATCAAAACAAATCCCGCAGATCACTGATGGAGATGCGGCATAACAACCATGTCCCTACAGTCTCCTGATTTTTTACCTCAGCGGAAGTAGCAAATTCCGTCTGCCGACATGACGACACACGCTAGCGCAGTTGGATTGCGGAAATAGATTTTCGAAAGGGGCTCGGATTATTCGCACTTTTCCATGGCTGCACGAACCGAGTGAGATGCAATTCCCGATAATTTTCACAAATACCGGCCGCAAGGGCCTATATCCGGTCGAAGTTCATACTATTCTTTAAACTATTCCATCGAAGTTAACCTTCCCCGCGTAACATAGTCATGTTGACGGAATGGTATCATCGACCAGACAGCATCACTGAAGGTTCATCCCAGATTCTCAGTCCTTACACCTTCTTACTAATTTCAACCTTATTGTTTATCAATATTATCAATGAACCTCGTAATCGGCAACGTCGAATAGCCGAGGCTTTGTAAAGCAGCCTTCCTATCTCAAAAGCCCTCATGCTCAGTGGCTTATCCCACCTCTTATTTAAGGCTTGGTGTCGCATTCATCGCCTCGACAGGAATACAACCATACGCATATCAACAAATGCCAAGATCAAGGCATGGCCAATGCACCGCATTCAGCCCAGAAGTCAATTTGGTGTCAATCTCCAGCACCAAGAACCTGAGAGACGAATGAGCTATTCCTTTGGCATCGCCATTTTGCCCAAGAGCGATACTACTTGGCAAGTCAGGTTTGTGTTCTAGGATACTTCCTGAGCAGCTTGCCTAGTGAAGTACTCTCCAGTCAAAAGAACTAACTATAATTCTTGGGTGGCTCTCCAATAAACTATTGCGCCAAAGTCAGTGCAATTCAAAGTCTCGACGACATTGGCTATGGAGCCTTGAACCTTATCTACCTGGTGCTTGAGCGGTCAGATATTATGGCACATTTTGTTAATACAAAACTACTATTCCTTTTGTACTTTAGGATCTTGTGGTACGCCCTTAAAATGGAGTGCCTTATAACGTTCTGGCCGCACGAATACAAGCATGGAGTTTTTAGGGACGTAAACAACACATTAGAAAAGGTCGCCGTTTTCGATTGTCTGCGCCAATCTTTGTGGCATCTAATTGCTCAAGGTTTAATAACTACCAAGCCTCCAACACACCCGTCATTTATCAGGTTCTACTAGTGAATAGAATCTACCTGATAAACTAGCATTAGTAAGCGCATAACAGGAGCTGTGTCAAAAAATGTGTAGGGCCTGGTTATGGGTCCCGCAATCCATTATCCCCAGGTTTCTGTCGGTACTTGACTTGGCAAGGGTTTGTAGGCCAGTGCCTTAAATTGCCGGAGCTACATAGAAGAGCGGGTGCGTCAAAGTAAGTAAGACATGTCGAAGTTTGGTTTCACTTGACTTTGTCCTAACAATTTTGCTAAGGTTATCCACATTTGAGACTTCCTCGCGGTACTGTTGATCAGATCAAACGGTTACTTTTCGCAGCGGAAATACCTTAGGGCTGTCGAGACCTTGACTTCCGTATTCAGTTCTCGACCTAGCTATAATCACCCCACACGATAATATACCATGGTCTCCACAACTATGTCGATCGAATGATCTTGCAAGTGTTCGAGTGACCAGCGAGTCTGCAACTTGGAACTAAAATGCAGGTTACTGCTACTATATTCAGGCATATAATAGTTTCCGGGTAGCGGGTAATTTGGTGGCATGGGCATCTTAAAGTCTAAAGAGAGAGGAATTCAAAAACGATACATGGAAATCAGAGAATCGCATGCGATGCGCAACAAAATATTTGTCCCAGAATTCTTACAATCCAATTGGATCTCCTTCATATGACCTTGAAGCTATGAGCATCGAGAAGTCTCCAAAATGTGGGAATTCAAACATTTCCATGCCTGACGATCTGCAACAAAATATACGTTACTCAGGTTTTGATGTGGACTCCACAAAACAACGTGGCCTTGCAAGCGAGCTAAACTAAGTTGACGGAAGCCAGTACTAGGTCAACGGCAGTTGAATAGCTACTATGCCGATCTCGAGGAATGATTATGAGAAGGTTCTCAATGAAGCATGGGACTTCGAAAGTATCCAATTTGGGCATCAAATTGGCATCTGTATCATTGAACACTACATCATCCAATCACTTAGCTACCTGTTGTACTTATTGTACGTTTTAAACGACCTGTCAGCAAAAAATGATCGTCTCTGAGATTATCATTAACCTCTAGGATGGAACAAATTCTTAACTTTATCCGGTATGGTGTTGTTGGATCTATGTTTGCTCCCGACACAGCACCAGTAGTTCAAGCCCCGAGATTTCAATTCTGGAATAGCACGAGTACATTCTGAGAGCGACGCGTTAAAATCCAAAATATCTTGGCTGGCGATCTATCCCGCATAGCTGTCCCTATATGTTTTAATAGGTATCATAGCTACAATATTTGTACATCTATCTCATCTCTTCAAGATACATTTTTGCCATCATCGAGGAAAACACTAGACGGAGGAACAGGGCGTGGCTTCTTGAGCAAAAAAAACTACTTATCTTGTATATGGAAACAGGTGGTTGAACATAGGTTGCCGATTTTTAAGCTTCATTTACATCCCTCCTTTATTTTTCTCTGCTTCCCTTCTCGGCGTTCTCAGTCCACAGTCAATTGTCCGCTGCAACAATTTTCTAGTCCTTGTCGCCTTCCTTTGCGGAAGTTATGAAGCGTTATGAGCGGTACTAGAACATAAAAATGTACTGAGCGGTGGACTAATCCACCGAAATGTGCGAGGAGCGACAAACGAAAATCGTTCACAAGAGAATAATTAGCGGTACCCCGTTTTGAATCATTGGTATGGCAATCCACCCTTTCCATTTTTGTGTTTTTATTGAGTGTAGAGGCAAAAAAGAAACAAGTGTGATACCTCATTGTAGTACTTCGCAAATTTCTCGGACGTCTCAATTTTCAGTAGCCCAATATCATGAGGTCGCTGCCTCTCCTTTATATATGCCCTTCACCATACTCCATCTCAAGATACCGCTGAGCTTTTCTCCCCTCACTTTTCTTTTAATAATATAATTCATTCGAGCACTTGATATTTCAAGTATGCACACAGATTCTGCATAAT